TAGAATTAGAATACAAGCGTCGATTGCTTAGGTGTTCAGTTCCATACAGTACAGAACATCAGAGACATAAGAAAGAACATTAGTTTATCGACTTCTCTGTCAAGACAACCTACTAGATCTTATTTTTGGTCAAAATTTGTTCAAACTTAGTCATTTTGAAGCACGAATAACTCATGCCACAAAGCATTCTGAGCGCTTAGAATAGCACCAAACGGCTCTCTTTGTCCACGCTTTACTTACTGATGTTTTATCTCAAAATTTTGTAGACCATTGCAAACCCATGAAAATCTTCATTTTTTCATGAGTAATAGCAAGGGGAATTTCTTAAAAATCAAACGATCGCGTTTTTCACCCCCAAAAATGAAGACTTTTTCTATGATACATATGAGATCAAATTGTTTGTAGAGATGGAATGCAACATTCGAGACTACTTTTATAGATTTTCCATATGCTAAATCTTGACATTTTTGCAGAAACCCTATATTCATATCTTTGAAGATTGCTCATTATTTTCAGTCTGAGATCTCAATGCAACAAACATCATTCGATTTGCCTTAATTGACTCTTCATGGACGCATTAGAAAGTAAAGACTGACAACAACTATTTCTATAGTCGAATTTGTCAAAAACGTTTAGAAAATGTAAAATCAAGTCAAGTAGAAATACGAAAATGGCCACTGCACAAATCCATGTTCAAGTGCCGCAACCGCAATTGCCTCGGCAGAAGACTGAGGTCAAATCTACTGACAGTGACGTCGGATAAGGCGCCGCCCGTCTATTTTTTTCTCCCTTTCCCCCGTTTGCAAAACGCGTTTAGTATCATACCATAATATTTTCTTTGAAAGCGTCTTGATTGAAAATAGCACCCTTGCTTCTGATAACACAGTCGTGTGCTGTTAGAAGAGTCTGACATTACCTCTCTCTGAAGTGCAATATAGTAGGTATTATTTGATTATTATGTGCACTGGAAGGTGTAAAACTAACATTAAACCTATATATTTATTAAACTTTGATATTTCTTTTGCCTGTTTGACGTGGGTGCTGCTGCTGGTAATCTGGTCTTTCTTCGTCTACTATCTTTATTGTATGGTTGTTCTATGGTCTATCTGTGGTGATTGCCTATTGTCTGGTCTATCTGTGGTCTATCTGTGGTTTGTCTCTGGTGATTACTACCTATTCTCTGGTCTATCTCTGGTAATTGCCTATTCTGTGGTCCATCTTTGGTTCATCTCTGGTCTATACATGGTGGTGGTAAGTGGTAAGTATCTTTTTTCTTCTGTTCGCGATGATATAAACCTTCTTTGAACGTTTGTATTATTGTTTTCTTCCTCATGACAATGCATACATGATGCTTTCTTTGTTGCGTCTTTCTTTTGTTGTTGGTTGTGTTGCCTCTGTGGCTTCACATGAAACAACATAAGTCATTATGTTCTATTGCAAACTTATAGTACCACAGTTGCTTTTGCAGTTGTGCGTGTTTGTGTTGCTTTACTTCTGACTATTACCATGCATGTTGCTCATCATGTATGCACTTTTGTCGCAACAACAACGAGCTGTTCTGAACGTCGCTGATGTTGTATTTGCTATACTTTTCTTTGACTCACTTTGTGTGAGTATCCCTTTTTTGCCTACGTAGTACTACTATACTACTCCTATAGTAGTATGCTCTTTCCTTCTTTTTTATATTATCATTCTTATGTTTCTTTGATGCATACCTTTTTTTACGTTGTGTGAATGTGCCTATCACTGAAGCTCAACAAGACTCTATCCGAGGTTAGGAGGTGGATAGGCTGCCTCCACTTGGTTATCGCTACTTACTTTAGTGATGATTGAGAGTCTCAATGCCAGTATTTAAAGCTAGGTGGTGTAAGTAAGGCATGCTCTAGCACCTGGGGGAAGTTTGATGACAGCGCACACTGCTAGATTTGATATATCTAGCGGCGCTTAAAATTTTGCCTCACATCAAAATAGGGGGAAACCCTCGCAAAATTTTTTTTAGGTTAGCGGAGTTTTCAAGCAATCTGATTGGCTAAGAGGTTGAAGCAACGAAGTTTTACAACTAGGTGATTTCCTATTGATTTGTCATTTAAAACTGTTTCGTTTTTGAAATAAAAGGGTATCTAAACAGTTACAATTTGAATTCTTTTATATATTCTAAAGCAAGACAACAAGGTGCAAACATTTGATTTAGCATCCATTAAACGCTTTCATATGAGGGATGTCTCTTAAATTTATTATATGGTAAAAAAAAAGAAAAAAAACTTGTATAATAGTAGGTACTACACAGCTGTATACTAGGCACAGGATTCTCCCAGCAGTATCAAATGTCCCGTCAAACATGCGTTGTTTATCATTGATTTCCTACAAGCTTCAGTTTCGTGGGTTGCTATCTTCTACCTCATATCAAAGATTTTGGATGTACAATAGTATTTCCGGCTTCGAGATTTGGGCCATTCAAATCCAAGTTTTGAAATACTGGTACTAGAGCTTTGAAAGTAGCATGATGCTATAGCAAAATGTTGCGAGAAAAACGACAGTGAAATTGGATTTCAGGTAGGATGGGCTGTTGTTGCTGATGACTGTTGAGAAATTGGCGATTCTCTAAATAACCCAATGTTAAACCATGACCTTCATTCATACATAAGCAAAATGCTAGAGTTGCATTCATCATTAAAACGTTGGCATAGGAAATGATCATGACAGAGCGGAGGCTGCTTTGTGTTTCTGAGATGCTTATAAAACATTCATTACTAAATTGACCCATGGGTTATCTTTAAATTGCGAATCATCTTCCAGACATCAATGTGAAATATCTCTTCTACAAAAAGACACGAAACAAACAGCCCAGCTCAGTATTGTTAGACTTGGAGGCTACTACCCTATGAATTACAAGTGATTACGAGTGTAAGAACGATGGATGCGATATTGGGAAACGTTATATTCAAAACCGTTTGATGATATCTTGTTGCTTCATTATTGTGGTTTGGCAAAGGCTTTAAGCTACGCTGTATATTTTACCAAGAACGGGGTGCAGCTTTTTTCACGCCCTATGTAGCGGTAGATGCTAAAAAGGACTTCTTGTCAGGAAGATTATAAGCCCATTTTGAGGGGTTGCTGAACATACAAAGGGAATATCATCAATCACTATATTGGTTGTTGTTAAATAATCCAATGAGGAAAGTGTAAATTAAACCAACAATATTAAAAGACTAGTGTTTCGACGCTATAAACCGTATAGCTGCCAACTACTACTCACCCAGGCTTCTCTATTGATTAAATTTTCTGCTTGAATGTCGTAAAATGCAGAATTTTGAGAAATATCGTAAAGGAAACGCTCATTTGGGACTTGAAACTTTTACATTATAATAGATACAAAATAGAGCTATTAAATGGTCTTTGTTTCATCTGAATACGATGCATCTTTCATGAGATATGGCCAAAAGTTCCTTCGTGCGAAATCATTGATTTTTGGCCAGAATTTGCCTATAGTAGCAAGGCGAGAATCTGGATGACAATTTCTTTGAGATACAAAGTTGTTTGTATCTCATGATAGAATCATGCTAGAGCTTTGAGTGAGAGCTCATTCAATAGGATCTTGTTTGCTCTACATTTCTATAAGTATTACAAGTAGAGTTTTGACTATTGAAACCTGGTAATCTATCGAAAACAACCAAAAAATGCAAGAGCTATTCTATCAAAAATCAGCCTGATAACGTCGGCCAAAACACATAAAATTGGTATCATTAGGTTCTCCTTTAAATTCTACCCTAAGTTTTATTTAGCTGGAAAGCAATGTTATTATCAGAATCGCATGATATTAAGGCTGAACGATTTCAGAAATCCATGAATCCTCATTTTGAGCATTATGGAGGCCGGGCTATTGATAGTTTAGAATACCGCTTTTTTTTTTTTTTTTTTTTTTTTTTAGTATGTGGCTCAATTCGAATGTAAAATTTGCTACCCTTGTCAAATATACCCTCTTAATTACATGTAACGGATTAATAGTGTTTTGCTAGAAGGGCTACAACTGTCTATAAAGATTAAGGTGTTCTTGATGGGTAGATATGTCTGTGTTGTGCAACAACATGGACAAGCTATGATAAGTGAAGTGCATCTCAGCTATCTAAATACTGAGGTTCACCAGATGTGATAAGCGTTGTACAAGATAAATTGCTACTTTGGCATTCAGAACTTAGTATAAATAGAATAACTCTTGTCTTCATCAATAAATCTTTAGTTTTTGCGTCTGATCTTATTCAAATAAGTCTTTTCTTGTTTTTATAATATCGAACATTTTTTATAAGCTACAAATAATAATCCTTTTATTCTTTGTGCTTAACATTATCAATGTACCGCAAAGTAAGTACCAGAATTTGATAGCTTGCTACAAGAAGGCAGCAAAGCAAGATAGGAATTAGCGATTTTCACCACAAGGTTCGCCAACACCTTACCTATTTGTTAAGCACAAAGAATAAAAGGATTATTATTTGTAGCTTATAAAAAATGTTCGATATTATAAAAACAAGAAAAGACTTATTTGAATAAGATCAGACGCAAAAACTAAAGATTTATTGATGAAGACAAGAGTTATTCTATTTATACTAAGTTCTGAATGCCAAAGTAGCAATTTATCTTGTACAACGCTTATCACATCTGGTGAACCTCAGTATTTAGATAGCTGAGATGCACTTCACTTATCATAGCTTGTCCATGTTGTTGCACAACACAGACATATCTACCCATCAAGAACACCTTAATCTTTATAGACAGTTGTAGCCCTTCTGGCACAACATTGCCCCCCCAGATTCAGGTACTTCTTGTGGACATTTCGTAATCTCAGATTACAAAACATCATGACAATATAGCACATAAAGCACTTTCCAATAAATAATTACCAAATGACACTGCATCCGAGATCAGTCAGTAAAAACCTTGTGTAAAAACCTTTCATAGGACAAAAATGTAAGGAAAAGACTTGATCCCATCATGCTAGTAGCCATTTAAGACCTGTTTGATCTACCACTCTGACCAATTTCGCGAGTAGTAGTAGTTCGCCAGTTAACTGTTTGAGGAGCTAACCTACGTTTACCAGCAGCCTTTGCACCTTCTCTTCGAGCCCAATACAGCTCAATGTGTTTGGCCGAATCAAAGTTTTTCACAGGCTCCCAAGTATCTTCACTAGGATCATCGAACCCTTTCCATTTTACCTTATACTCAAAGTTACCAGGAGATCCTCTATGATCAATCACAGCTTGAATTTCGTAATGCTCTGCAGAGAACTCATCAATTGTGATTGGCTGAGGATTCGCAGCGACTTGGTACTTGATATGATGGGTAGGCACATCTCGACTAAGGAGTGCACCCGTCTTGTCAGCCAGCACATAGGAACCTTTATCGGTTATACTATGAATCAAATAAGGTCCTTCATACCGTTCATCTAACTTATTTTGACGATGAACATTTTTAATCATAACTTTACTACCAATAGGATAGGGTTCGGCAATGACCTTATGTTTCTTCGCAAAGTTAGCATGATCAGCATTTTGTGTATCCACAATACGCTTAGAAATAGCCGGGATAAGAACATCTTGTACAAAACGGTATCGTTTGTCAATGAGTCTATTATCAGCTTTCTCCAAACGTTTGGAATAGTCCACCTTTGAGTAATCAGCCAGACCATTTGGTTGACGATTAAACAAAAGTGTATACGGACGAGATTTATGTAGCCGAGCATACTTGACATTGATGCAGTAATTCACCCACGGAATGAAGTGCTCCCATTGATCCCTCTTACCTTTTAACAACTTGATAGTCGTTAACTTACATATTTTGATAAATGACTCAGAAACCGAGTTACCCAATGGATTGTACCCTAATGACAGGCGATGGCCTATCCCACTGATGTCCATCATAGCACGGACCACCTCATTTATCCATTCTAGGCCTCTGTCTGAAGTCAACTTGATTGGCCATTCAAAAAGTGAGAAAACTTGAAGCATTTCCCTGGCAATTGTCGTAGCCTTCTTGTCTGGAATGCATCTTATCACAGTAAATCTCGTAAAGTAATCAGTAAGGACAAATAGAAAGTTGCTGCCGAAAGAGCTAGTAACACCCATATCACCGAGATCCATGCACCAATGATCCAAAGGTTGGGCTGCATTGACACTACGGAAAGGATGATATCCCTCTCTAGCGATATTGTACCTGTTACACTCGTCACAATCAGCTAATATTCTTTCTATGTCTTTCCGAATGTTCACCCAGTGAAACCCTTCATGATGAATTGCAGTTTCAACATGTTTGATCCCAAAATGTCCAACCAGATGCTGAGCAATGATCATACTGTCTCTTTCATTAGCAGGAGAAGTGATATAGTCAGCAAACCTAAGCGTACGCAATATGAATTCCTTTTGCTTTTGCGAGACAGCTGTGGTGGTGCCATCTTTGATAAGAGTAGCGTTTACCGCAGTGCGTGCATAGTTGCTAGAAGAATTAGATCGTAACGCCTTAGTTGTCTTGACCAAAGTACGTTTCATTGGAGGCGAAGGTGTGACAACCTTGAGTTTGTTTTTGGAACCCTTTTTCTTTCTCTTTACACTTTCACCACCATCAGCATAGTACCTGCCCCCCAGAAGATGTCGTGCTGAAGCATCAGCATCCGAATCTTCGTAAAGTCGAGATAAAGCATCAGGAATTACGTTAAGGACACCGGGCAAATGCAAAATATGGAAAGTATAAGAAAAAATGGTCTCCCACCATCCAAGCATGAGTGCATTGGGGACTTCCTGTGTATTCAAGTAGATCAGACTCTTATGGTCCGTATGTAAGGTAAACTCTCGCATATACAGAAAACGATGAAACTTAACCAAGGCATAGCAAATCCCTAGCAATTCCCTTTTCGTAGTACTGTAGTTACGCTCAGAAACAGACAATTTACGAGATACGAGACCTACATATCGAATTTCATCGTTGACCACTTGATATAAAACCGCGCCAAGAGCAGTTAAACTAGCATCAGTAGCCAAGTGAAATCGAATCGAAAAATCAGGAGGTGACAGCACAAGTGCCATCGTAAGTGCATCCTTCAAGTCGGCAATCGCTTTTGTATGAGACTCATTCCAAACATCTGTTAGATCTTTGTACTGTTTCAAGCTATCAAGATCTCGAGTCAGACGAGAATAACATGGAATGGCAGCACGAAAGTACGACATTAAACCCAAGAAAGATGCCAATTGACGACCAGTGGTAATAGCCGGCCAATCTGCAATGTTGGTAAGTTTTCTACCGTCAGGCAGTAATTTACCATTAATAACACTCCATCCCAAGAGATAAATACTACGCTGAGCGAAGACGACTTTCTCAGGATTGAGCACCAAATTAGCATCGGTTAAACGACGAATTACCTCAGCAACCAACGCATAGTGATCTTGTAGGCTCCCATTACTACTGCATAAGATGTCATCCACATAGCAGGAAACCGAGTGATCACCATCAGTAGGAAACGAAGTAGAACCAGAGCTTGTATTCAAATCAGAGAGCAGTGTTTGCAATGTGCGTACAACCACCGATCCGACATGGCGAATTCCATAAGCAGCCTTTTTATGGGTGTATTGGATATTCGTGAAGGGACAAGTAAATGACACTTTATGAGCTTGCTCTGGATCCAAACCAAAGCCCGTATCCACTAAGCCAAAGCAAATGACATTTTGAACCACAATAGGAACACAAATAGCATTGGTGGTCATAGTAGGTGGAGCACTAAATCTAGCATCGAACTTACATTGCTGAGCAAATATATTTTGTAGCGTATCGTCGTCCACAGACATGCTACTCATCTCTTTTTCAAGAAGAATAGACTGGGCACGATTCACCAGGTCAGTATCCTCAAAGATACCATGAGCTTCACTCATCACAGCATCTTGGTCAACATCAACATTGTCACTGTCACCAGAAGAAGGAGCAAGGACAACATCATCCACCGATTGTTCAGCAGAGGAGACAGCAGGGGAAGAAGCACCTTTCTCAGCTAACGCACGATCAACACGAGCAGAGAGAAAAGCAGCTTGGATTGCAGCATCCATCGAATGTTTGCCACCACGTTTCTTAGTCATGGCACGCAAAACTTTTTTACCACCATTACCCTGATGAGTGTTACCACCACCAGTACGAATAGCAGTGTTGCAGTGATGCATCTGCCCCTTTGGTCGAGGACCGTTACATTTGGAGCAAGTCCCTTCAGCAACATGTTCAGCAAATGTTTTGCCAAAACGATTAGCACCAGAACGTGGAGGGTTGGACGAGGGACCATTGGATCTCGACGAAGAGCTACTTTGCAGAGCGTTTCCACTAGAAGAAGGTGCGTACCGAGACTTCTTTGCTTCGTTCGAAACAGGTATGTCAGCAGCGCGTTTTCTTCCATCAAAAACAGAGCCCAAAGATTCTTGACCCGTCTCAATAGCCATCATATCCATCTTGCGCACGAGAGAGGACACATAATCAATGTCATAAAATGACGATTCTGGTGCCTGACTCATAGCAACCATTAGCAACCTAGCGGTAACCTTGGGGAAAGCGTCAAAAAACACCATCGCAACGACACCCTTATCACTGATGTCAGCTCTATTTCTCAACGTCTTAAACCGCTCTACGAAACCATCAACGGATTCTTCGTTTCCTTTAGTACAACGAAGAAACTCCCTAATTCTTTCGAATCTGAGCTGTTCTTTTGGTGTACCAAAACGACCGATGATAGCTCCCTTCAAGGTAGCCCAAGACACAGTGGAGCCAGATGCTTTCACAAACTCATCAAGCCAATTGCGAAGATCGCCGGGAAGACAAGGAGGAAGCAAACGATACCAGTGTTCGTCAAGATCAAGCGTGCAACTGCTCAACTTATTGGAAAACCGGCGACAACACTCCTCAATGTTGGCAAAAACTTCCTTTTTTTCATCTTTGACACGTCCAAACCATTGGAACAAAGGAAGATCATCAGGTACAGTTGAACTATTAGCCGCACCTTGACTAACCACTGTTACTTGGGAAGGACTCTGGTTAGGTGTGACCATAGAGAGAGCTTTCTCTATAGCCTCCAAGTTAGAGCACTTCTTTGACAGGGCAGCCTTCAAAGCGTCGACCTCTTCGTCCGACTTGTCCCCACTGTTCGCAACTTCAGCGATCAACCCATGAACCTCCTGACGAAGTCGCTCTACAGCTCCTCCGTACGAAAGCTCGCTTCCAACAGCTTGAACATCTGAACTCTTGTTCTGTTCTGCAGGAGACACAGTAAATTCATTCATAGTCATATTTTCGGTTTAAATTAGATAGGTAGGTTAAAATCTGGAAGATTCTGATTTACACGATCTTAAAAAATGTTAAGCACAAAGAATAAAAGGATTATTATTTGTAGCTTATAAAAAATGTTCGATATTATAAAAACAAGAAAAGACTTATTTGAATAAGATCAGACACAAAAACTAATGATTTATTGATGAAGACAAGAGTTATTCTATTTATACTAAGTTCTGAATGCCAAAGTAGCAATTTATCTTGTACAACGCTTATCACATCTGGTGAACCTCAGTATTTAGATAGCTGAGATGCACTTCACTTATCATAGCTTGTCCATGTTGTTGCACAACACAGACATATCTACCCATCAAGAATACCTTAATCTTTATAGACAGTTGTAGCCCTTCTGGCACAACAGATAACAGTGACGTCTTTCAGCCTCAACCTTTTATTAGCATTTTTTTCCTTTTTTCGTTTATATATATATATTATACTTCGCAAGCTCTCTACTCATGAAACAACGCTACCTTTGTGAATAGAATTGAAGCAAGTATAATTGAAAGCTGCGCAATAGACGTAAGATACAGTGTTAACGCGTTTTATACTGTGGTTATACTTGGAATAACTCTACTAGGGATCTATTTCTGATCTTTTGCTGTGCACTGGCTGCACACTTGGCGGCGGCTGCTTTGATGGTATATCGTTGCTTCGGTGGTTCTTCTCTGATGTTTGCTTATCCTGTGGTCTGTTGTCTTTGATGTATGCTGGTTCTCTGGTCTATCTCTGTTCGTGATGCTGTGGTAAGAAGTGGTAAGTATCTTTTTTTTTCTTGTGGTCGCAATGATATAAAACTTCTTTGAACGTTTGTACTACTGCTTCCTTTCCCGCGATAATGCATTCCTGCTGTTTGCTTTATTGCCTTTTCTTTCTTTTTTGTTGGCTGTGATATGATCAGCTCAACAAATACTTGCAATGTTGTTGCTTCGTATTTACGAACAACAAGCATGACACACTGCTATATAATTGTATTACCCTTCTTGTGATACTATGTTATATAGCTGTGGATTGTTGTTTGTGTTGCCTCTGTCGCTTCACATGAAAGCAACATTGGTTTTCATGTTGTATTACACACTTATACTGCTGCTACCGTTGCTCCTGCAATTGTGCGCGTTTGTGTTGTTTTACATCATTAGACTGTTATCATGCACATCGCTCATGTATATATTTTTGTTGCACTAACAAGAATATAATAACGTAAACATTTTTAATGTTTTATTCATAACATACTTTCCTTTGGCTCACTTCGTGTGAGCATCCTTTTTTTCTTTTGCCTACATATACTACTATACTCCTATAGTAATTATTATGTTCGCTTCTTTTATTATTATGTTTCTTTTGAAGCATACCTCTTTTCGTTGTGTGGATGTGCCTATCACTGAAGCTCAACAAGACTCTATCCGAGGTTAGGAGGTGGATAGGCTGCCTCCACTTGGTTATCGCTACTTACTTTAGTGATGATTGAGAGTCTCAATGCCAGTATTTAAAGCTAGGTGGTGTAAGTAAGGCATGCTCTAGCACCTGGGGGAAGTTTGATGACAGCGCACACTGCTAGATTTGATATATCTAGCGGCGCTTAAAATTTTGCCTCACATCAAAATAGGGGGAAACCCTCGCAAAATTTTTTTTAGGTTAGCGGAGTTTTCAAGCAATTTGATTGGCTCAGAGGTTCAAGGACCAAAGGGTTATAACTAGTTGATCTGTTGTTGATCTGTTATTTATTATCATGATTTTGTGCTTATAATAAAATAGTGACCTAATGAATACAAATTAGAACCGTGCTTTGTTCCAAACTAAGACAAAATGCAATTATTTCATCTGGCATCTATTAAGGGGTTTGATTTGATGAGGCACGTCTTTTTAAGTTATTATACGACGAGGAGTAACAACATACCATGTCTAGTAGACAATGCCCAAAAATATAATACCAGCAACTAACGTTATTATTATCATTCATCGAAATAGCTGCGTCGTTGATAATGCGGTTTGTAGATGGTGCATTCTATATGCCATGTGCCTTAGTCGGTACTCCCATGTCAAAGATGCGCACGAATTACCTGATTGTGTTGTCTTGTTTGAGAATGCACAAATTAATTAATATTATGATATGGACGACATATTGTTTCTACTAAAGCTTCTAAACAATTCACTAATAACCTATCAGGCAGAAGCTGTGCTCATCAAGCAAGGCAGCATGCGCAAGCCATAGCTTATTATCATATACATGCAAAGATTCAAATCATATAGGTACTGCAGATACTCCGTATTTAATCATGGTTCTCCATGTAATGCCTGATCATGCTCGATAGTACAGCAATCTTATAATACAATGTCTAGCTTTACACAGTAGTAGTGGCCATAGTATTTTGTCATTCATTACAGAAACCATGAATAGAGCAAATAGTACCATTCAACATGATTGAAGCTTAATTGTTAACTTGCGCTCAATTGGCATAACAATAGCAACGTGAATGAGGTCAGGTTGAGTGATTCACAGGTCAAATACATTATTGAGTGCTGCCTGAGTCTTTGTTTTGATCATTCAAAGCTGTGCAATGTTGAATAAATCCTCCTTTGAATTAGGCCACTCTTTTCTCTGCCATATTACAAACAGTGCTAAGAATCAAAATACAACACCCAAAGATTAAAATCATATATGAACTGGAAATACATCTACATCTTGCTTCTCCATTGATGCTTTACGAAGCTGGATGTCATTGAAATCTCATCGTTTGAGCCACAATAAACGCAAAACTCAAAAGTAGCTTTGAATACAGTGACTTGGAATACAAAGAATACAAAAACGTCTATAGAGTCCTTGGCTTTTGTATGCATGCCTTTGGGTTCGCAGGTCTCTAACTGTTCTGATGGACATGATGGCATTCATTTAATAACCTGAAGTTTAAATTGAGCAGCGCTATCTTACTTGAATTGCTAATGTAGGGTTCATGAGAAGCAGCATTATGCCATCTAAGATAGAATAAGAATTCAGGTAGCAATTTTGATATTTATCAAATGCGCGAAGGTGTTCAGTTGTAGCCATTACCAAAGGAACATGTGGAACCTCAATTTTTGGGTGCACCACATTGATGAGAACGCAACTGTTTTGTAGTCCGCGCATGCTTTTCATGATATTTAGGATTTGAGTAGCTTCAGTGTTTATTATACTTTTTTTTTTTTTTGCTTCTTCCTTTATTCTTAGTTCATTGAAAAAAGATGAACTCTTTATACAATAATGCTTTAAAGCAAAGTCATGCCCTTCAAAAAGATCTAGACAGTACGTACTCTGCAAGCAACATAAAGTACAGCTTAATAATGGGTTGTTTACAGAATTTCAGTCAGGTCAGGACGCTTCAGCAGGTTTACAAGGTAACAGAGTACAACTTCGCCATGCAGAGACATTACTAAGCTTGTGGTTGCAGGTCAAATATCAGCCTCGTTTAATGCCCTACAAAGATCCATCGACGATTATGACAATTTGGCTAAAAGAGAATTGATACCTGTGAAAAAGGAAACAGCGTTAACGTAAGTAGAGTAAAAGCATCCTGGAATACACTGGATTGAATTAAAAACGTTGGGATTGGGTCCAATAGGCGAGTTGCCAAGTTTCGACAAGATTTACAAGAGATGAAAGTTCGATTTGAAGCTACTAAAAAGCAGCAAGAGACACAAAAGCTTGAGCAAAGTAGAGATAGTTTATTAAGACGACCTAACCGAGGAGCTAATGTTGTAAGTGGGATACAGTGGAAAGCAGCCATGTCAATGACTCATGTCATCTTATTAGCCTGAACACCCATACCAACCATTATCTCGAGACGAATTTGCATTACGCGAGCAATCATTCGCTCGCAACACAGATTCACAGTTGGATGATTTCATTGGCCAAGCACAAAACTTACTAGAGAATTTAACAGATCAGCATAGTATTTTAAAGGTGAGAGAGAGAGAGAGAGAGAGATTTGCTTGGTTGGTTTTGCAGGTACAAGTATTAATGCAATGAATACAGAAAACACAAAAGAAGATTTTAGATACAGCAAACCATCTGGGGTTATCTCAAAATGTGATCCGTTATATCGAGAGACGATCAGCACAAGACAAATGGATATTTTATGGTGGCATGATCATTACTGTATTGTGTTTATGGGCTATTGTGCATTTTATTGGATAAAAGAGCTATATGCCAGGTAATAAAACTTTGCTGATCTTGTATCGAACGCCCAAATAGCTAAGGTAATCCAATTCTGGAAACACACGCACTTTTGAGACTTGAGGGAAATGGCTGTCTCGGATGTCCACAAACACACCTTTAGAGAGGATGGTATCTTCTAATTTCTGATGATTGATCATGTCTAATGGAACCCAGCGATTATCCTTGAAGAATAGCCATTGAGCATTCTGCACACGCACCTTCTTGTTCGTCTGACGGTAGTGGTCAATGACAGAATATGCAAATGTTGGTAATGTAACGTCCTGATCCAGCAGTTTCATTGAAGGTAAAACGACGTCTTTGCTCATTGAGTTGGGTGTTGTTTGTGTGTGAAGGCAATGTTATAAATCAAGTAATTCGATAGTGGGGAAAAAAAAGAGAGGAATGAATGCCCACAAGGTCATTCATTTCACTTTGTCAACTTTTTTTATTTCAAGTACCACTCACTGCAAGTTTATACAAATGCATCATTTGATATCCTCAAATTCGTGTGAGATGTCATGCTTCCCTTTTTGTTTTCACGGGGCTCACTGGCAACATTTTAACATGAAATCAAGGTATCCAATGTATGCTTAAGCGCTCTGAATGGCAGATGTGATTGGATTTGCTGTATCCTGGGATGATAGTAATGTATACACTCTGTAGCATGTCTTTGAGCCTGATGATGCATTACTTTTTTTGCTGCCTGTATCCAGAGTTGAGGAATTTGCAAGCGGACATTTGGCATTTCCAACTTGAATGTTTGAACTTGGCTGTACTTTTTGTTAAACATTTGAACTACATCCAGTATCACAGATGCTAATGATTCATACAGATAAAAAGTGCCTAAACAACTCGACATCCCATAGCGTTACTGTGGTTGATCCAGCATCAACTTTACCCCTTTTTTTTCTGGCAATGACGCCCATGGATCTTGTAATCGCTCCTTGAAAGACCATCCAAAGCAAGTTGACCCACATAACCGCAGCGGTGGCTTATCGATTCGCAGACAAAATTTTTTTAATAATAGTGCTTTCAAGGGAAATATGATGTAGCCTCCTCTTTTTCGCTTTAGTCGATTTTTAAAATGTAATGTAGCCATGAAGGATTCAAAGCATTGTGGATGGAATGATTGACGACATTTACTTATAGGGTCAGTTTGCTTGTCCAAAAGCGTCTCGCTGCCTCCGTCCTCAAGTGTGGTCAAAGAAAGATCTGGCTCGACCCCAATGAGGTCAATGAGATCTCCAATGCCAACTCTCGTAAGTCTCTCTAAACGCTACATACTTTCTGAATCGCTTGACATACTAAATGCATGACCACAGGTGCTAACATCCGTAAGCTCGTCAAGGATGGTCTTATCATCCGCAAGCCCGAGATCTCTCAATCTCGTTTCCGTGTTCTCGAACGTGCTGCTGCTAAGCGTAACGGTCGCCACATGGGTCACGGTAAGAGAAAGGGTACTGCCGATGCTCGTATGCGTAGCCAGGTTATCTGGATGCGCCGTATGCGTGTCCTCCGTCGTCTCCTTGCCAAGTACAGAGAAGCTGGTAAGATCGACAAGCACTTGTATCACCACCTTTACCTCAAGTCCAAGGGTAACGGTTTCAAGAACAAGCGTGTCTTGATGGAACACATCCACAAGGCCAAGGCTGAGAAGGTCCGTGCCAAGACTCTTGCTGAACAAGCTGATGTTCTCCGTGCTAAGAACAAGGCTCTCCGTGAACGTCGTGCCAACAAGAAGGCTGAGAAGCTCGAAGCTCGTCAATAAGTTACTCGTTAACCTCAAGTCTTTATTAAAACTTGATAAATGATGCTCCAAAAAGGTTGCTTTTTGTTACATTGATTTGATTTGGAGAAGGGGGTAGATGAGCAATATGTGTGTGATGTGTATTGAGAGGACCATCGAGTCTTGAGTATGTTACTGGAGGAATCAGACATTTATGTAGTAAAGCTGGATCATTGGATGTCATGCTTACTGCGTCGTAGTATGTGATTTGCTCAAATGCAATATCATGAACTGCGTTTAATGCAGGCATTGGATCATTTGGACCATTATATGTCAGTCCATTCCAGCAGCTGAATCATTCTAAAATATACGGCTCTTGCATTACCTTTGGCAAGCCTGCCTGTAGCATATACATTTGTTCAAATTTGATGAGCAACATTGCCCGGCTCAGTGGCCTTCATTGTGCAATATGCATGAATTCATGTTGTAACCTACTCACATTCAAACAGTGTATGATAGTTCATTGAAACACTTGGACTGTAAGCGATGTCGATTGCAATAAAAGGCTGATGTGAGTGTTCAATCAGGATGATGAGCATCATGGGCAAGATTTCTACTTGCAACAATGTAGACAAATGTCACATTCAAGGCAGCTATTCATGTATTGCTAGAAAATGCTTGATTCTAGAGGCTAGTATGTCATACTCAAAGATCCATTGGTATGCTTCTGAGCACAGTTTGGAAGGGCTCTTCCATTTGGAAAGACTGACGAAATGCCCTGATTTGCATTGTGAGATAACCAATCAACTCATTTTGATGGTTTCTCCGAGAATCATCATGGGAGAGCGTTGGTGCTTTCATATTTTCTCTCTTTTCCCATTTACTTATCTGCTACAACAATATGAAAGCATCTTCATTATACCTTACTTTAATCTCATCATTTGCGTTAATAGCGCAAGCACTACCAACTCAACAACAACAGCAACAGAGGTCTTTCATGGCTCCTGACGATCATGGTGATATTTGGTCACTATGCGATAATCCAGCTACACATCAACTCATTGGCTACAAGGATGGTGTATTCATATCGCCCGAACAACCCAAAACTGGAGAGGATATTCATGTTCAAGTCCATGGCAACCTGCGTAAGTAGCATGCCACTAGAAACAAACATAAACAGCATTATTTATCCAGTTTGTTTTGTGTATATCGACAGTAAAAGATGTCTCAAGCGGTAAAGTGGACATTGACCTTAGTATCATGGGCATGATCAAGATTAAGAAACAGCTTGATCTCTGCAGTGTGCTCGGTTCTGATGTCATGGGCCATAAAGATTGTCCTCTTCAAGCTGGTGATTTAAATTTAGATGCTACTGGTAAGCGATTATACAAGTGTTACCAACATGATCAAAAAGGCTCATTTTGGCTACGTTTCTTTTAGCTTGGATTCCGAAAGAGCTACCCAAATTACCACTTGATGGTAACATCCGCATATCAGATCAAGACGGCAACACTGTAACCTGTATCCACCTCAACTTTAAATTGCAATAAATGCCTGATAATTTTATTTCTTGTCTATTTTACCCCATCAACAGAGGTTTACAGAACAAATTGGCTTGAACCCCTTTTCATTTATCCGTCAACATGATGATGGAATAATAATACACAACGAAAGGGTATATGATAAAAGAGAGATTGGCGGCACCCTCTTTTTAGTAGGTCATTTTGGGCTTCTCTGTCATGGTGTACTTTTGATTGACACCCAACAAAGAGCTGATGACTCGAAGCTTGTTCTTCATTTTATCCTTCAATGCAAACAAATCAGCATCGTGGTCATTGAACGTAGGAAATTCATCAACCAGCTTCTTGAGGCCTTCAATTTGTTTCATGGCTCTAATGAAAGCAAAAAAAAAAAAAAAAAAAAAAAAATAGCATAAGTCATCGATCACTTGCAAATGTCAAATGAAACTATACTTTTGAGGCACAGTGTCAGGATGTTGTGCTGCCAATTGGGTCCACATATCAACACATCCAGAATAGAATCCAATTTCCTTGCCCAGATCAAATGCCTTTTCGCAGCCGAAAATGCGACCTTCCAATTCTCCAGATTGCTCGCCATCTCTAAATCCATCATCAAATCCATGCTCGGCAAACCTACAGCCAAATGTCAGTCATCCTTCTTACAGTTCAAGCTGTTGCAAGTTACATGGTCTCTAAATAGCACAAGGATTCAAGGTCTTGATTGGGAGGAGGAAGTACTTTATTATCTGACATGATGACTAATGTAGAATGAACAGGTATAAAAAAAGTTTTCATGGCATTTCCAGCATTTTTATATGCTTTTTGCAGTTCAAACCCATCCATTCTGGGCTGCGGTTAGTATGAATCCTAGATCAGGTAGTGCACTGGGCAGTGGTATATGACTATACTCGACAGCGTTTGATGTCGAGGAGTTGCTGGAATTTGTGGTCAAGTGTTGACAAGTCAAGACAATGACGCTCTCGCATTGCCATGACGCTTCTACAGAAGATCTACACTTCTTATTACGGAACAGGCAGAAGAGAATCAAGCATTCGTACGCAAAATTTAAGCATCAAAAGGGTGGTGCTTGGGAAATGGTCATGAATGCTTTGCTCTACAGTTACATGGCGCTTTATAAACACATTCATCAACGATTTGCTGAGGAAATAGTCGAGCAAATCTATCCTGAACAATCCTTGGAAAAACCATTGAAAGAGGATGATGATATTGGAGAAGCTCTTAAGTCTTGGACCATTATACCGCAATCCAAAGATATCCCATTAGGCAGCGTCAAATTTGAATTCTATAATGCAAATGCCATCAGACATTTAGGTAACCTCAAGCTTAGCGGCAACACCATCTATCCATGCGTTCTCTCCTAGCTTTCCAACAGTTTTGAATATGCCAACTATATGATTTTCAAAGAGGATTCCATGAAAATCATCGATGCAAATATTGCTTAAAATCGGCACCTCTCGTTATTGTTTGCTGCTTTGCTTTAAGATCTGCCTATGGTGCAGCTGAAGCGCATTACATGTCACTTTCATGTACAAATCAGCTATAATAATCTTGTCTTGCTAAAGCCCTGCCTACACTGCCGTCTGACTGGTGCACTGATATAGAAATCATGGATGTTGGTGTATCGTCCACGATTCAAACCCCTTTTCTCCAAGAAGCTACTTTAATTAAGCTTCACAATGGTTTCCTCTTCCTTTTTTCTCTCTCTCTCTTTTTTATTTCTACATCTTTTCTAGGCAACGTGACATAAAATGACCTCTTCCAGCCTGGCGTTCGAGTTGTTTACTCTGCCAACGCAAGTGGATAACAGCACTTTTTGGACCAATTTAAAGGAAAACAACTACTTCATTTTACAGCAAACAAAGACACAGAAAAATGGTCTTATGAGAAGTGTGCTGGGCACCTTACAGAATGTGTAAGTTATATTTGATCTCTCTCTCTCTCTCTTTGATGGATTAAGCTCACACCACGCTTGTGTAGTCTGGATACAAAGCAATCACCTTACCGCATCTTGTTTCGACGTGTAAACGGCACCAATTTGCAAGTGGCAGCTGCAGAGACAGAAAAGAGGGCAGAGATAGCATGGGGCTGGATCGAATGTGAGTGTTTCAAAGTGCCTCTCCACAAAGACACTGACACAAAATAATAGCCAATTTGCTGCCCTTGCTGGATAGTTTGGATAAAGAGGAGACAGAGCCTTTTGTTGTTACAAAGATAAACTCGATTGTTACACGTAGAGGTATTTTTACATTGAACATATGATTTATTCATGCTCTCATCGTCGTTTGATGTAGATTCTGGTACCGATGAGATTTCAACAGACGAGAAGGTCAGAAAGGCGTCGAGAAGCTTTCGACAGACATTTGATGTATCTCCTACTGAACGTCTTGTCAATTGTAAGCACATTTGAATGCCATGTCGAACCCTACTTTACTCATGTCCTGATTTGTTAGATTATTCCAGCGCATATCACACAAATCGATTCACCAGCCAGGGATGGCTCTACATTAGCGAAAATTACCTTGCTTTCTACTCATTTTTACTTGGTTATGAGACTAAACTGCTGCTGGAACTCAAGGACATCCAGGACATCAAGAAAGAGCGATCCAAGCGTGGTGTGTTTTCAGACGCCATTAAGATTTCGATGAAGGATAAGAGTGAGGTATGAAGCTTTGATTCAAGGAGAAAATTAGACCTGATGATCTGTTAAACTAACTTTTATTTTCTCAATAGCATTTTTTCTCCAATCTCTTCAAGAGAGATGAAGTATACGACATATTGGTCCAATTGACTGGACTAGCAATGCAGCGAGTGTTAAAGAGCACAGCTTTGGAACATGCACCTGGAAGCGACGTATCCATCGATATTAAAGACAGCGACATCGATGCCATCAAGGACTCTGAAGTATCATCCAACAAAATGGCTTCGTTACCTGCTGCTGAGATCAGACAACTCATGCAGCCTTTGAAAGCCAATCTTGCAGCCCAAAAACGTGATGAACGATTCAGAGCTCGATTTAGACTACCACCTACCGAACACTTGACCCATTCATTTAGTGTTGTTCACCCTGTGGAGGAGGAAGTAGCTTCCAGCGAAGATCACGAGAGAAAGACGACAAATTACAATGGTGTGTTGGCTTTATCAGAGGCGTACCTGACATTCAATTCCACAGATCAAGGTCGCTACTTTGAAGTTGTCATGCCATTATACACTGTTCGTCGTGTGGAGAAATTAGCAGATAAACCTGATGCTTTCCCTATCAAGATTGTAAATTGGCATCAATCCGAATCCGTCTATTATTTGAATGTGTAAGTGGCGTATACATGAGCTCCGTAGTGCATGCTATTGATCACTTTACAGTAATTCCAAGGAATACGACGAATTTTCAGCTACACTGACTACCAATTTGAGAAACCAAATCAAGCACATGAGAATGATGAAGCAGTTTTTGACCACATGCGCATCTGAGGCTGTGATTTCAGACAAAACATACGAGGAAATGAACACAATACCTGGTGGTTTGGGCTTGCAGTTTGAATTCCCTGGTGACCCCAAAAAGTTGAAGGAGAAAAGCAAGATGAAGCTTTGGAAAAAGTATTTCAATGGTACGTACTCGAGTCAATTTGATTGCAAATATGCGGATGGCTAACCCATCCTATAAAAGAATATGGACGCAATTTGACCATCTCAAAGACACCTCGTTTCGCCAAGCTGATACGAGTAGGATTGCCGAACAGATTGCGCGGTGAGATTTGGGAAGTTTGCTCTGGAGCAATTTTTGAGCGATTCATGAGCCAAGGATTATACGATCGCATTTTGGAAGAAAACAAGAACCGCAATTCATTGAGTTTGGAAGAGATTGAGAAGGATTTGAACAGATCGTTGCCTGAGTACAAAGCCTATCAACAGCCAGAGGGCATCAATAGTCTGAGAAGAGTGCTCAGCGCTTATTCCTGGAAAGACCCTGAACTGGGTTATTGTCAAGCAATGAACATTGTCACATCCGCTATTCTCATGTAAGTAGATGGATTGCTGTAGTTGTCTGCGACTAAACAAACCACCTTGTAGTTATATGAGCGAAGAACAAGCATTCTTTACTCTAAGCGTCTTGTGTGATGACTTGCTACCTGGTTATTATAGCACGTCCATGTATGGCGCCCTGCTGGATCAAATCATTTTTGAGCACTTATTGGAGAAAACGATGCCCAAATTGCATACTCATTTCAAAGAAACTGATATTCAGCTGTCGGTTGCTTGTTTGCCATGGTTTTTGAGTTTATACATCAATTCTATGCCCTTGTTGTTTGCATTCAGGGTCCTGGATTGCTTTTTCATGGAGGGGCCCAAAGTGTTGTTTCAAATAGGGTAAGTTCAGTGGGTTTACTTGCACTGATGAATGTTTCTAACCTTCATATTTTATAGTCTTGGTAAGAAACGCTTCTCACATGTGTCAAAAAGAATATGCATCTCACTAGCATTCAATAGCTATTCTCAAAATCAATGGAGATGAACTTTTGCAAGCAACAGACGATGGTGCATTCATGAACATATTGAAAAATTACTTTAACCACCTTGACAAACCTCTGTATCCCAACTCTGAAAACCCCAAGGCCAAGAACTTGACAGTAAGGTCCAACGTATTTTTGCAAATGCCAAGCTAACATGGATTATCTAGAAATTCAATGAATTATTACTTGTGGCATACCGAGAGTTTAGCAGTGTGACAGATGAATTGGTCAGAGAACTGCGACAAACCCATCAATTAAAGGTCGTCGCAGGCATTGAATCATTCACAAAACGATCAGCTGTGCGCAACATTGAAGACGCAGCAGGACTAGACAAAACAGAGCTGGGCATCATCTACGACAAATTCTACAACGTGTTATACTACAAACAGCAAAAACCAACAGAACGCAGCGATTCCAAAATGGACCTCAAATCATTTGAAATATTTATAGGGTCACTTGCTTCCTGGGCCAAGATTGAGTCAGAAGATTATCAACTGGATCGTCAGAGACAGTTGAAAGTGGCAAAAAATTTCTTGCACCAGTTGTTCAATGTATTTGACAGACACCATACACAACATCTCAGCCTTCAGGTACGATATGTTCGCATTGGGTTCGCAATTTGTATTGACCCTTTGTCTGTGCAGGACGCCATCATCGGAGTTGGATCTATCCACAAGGGCGATCTGAACACACAGATCAAGCTGTTCTTTGATTTGCATGATTTGGACAAGGATGAATACCTCAACAAGGACGAAGTGGTGCAGCTGTCAGAGACACTGCTTTGGATTTTCAGAAATATTCAAGATGAAGATCATTTGAACGCTGTATCTACGTTTTTACATAATGCGTTCGAGTACTCTGAGACTAGAGGAGACGATCAATATTTGTCCCTGGGATCATTGAGGTGAGTATTTATTTATGATCACATAGTGAAGGAGGACACTAACCATTCTACGCAGAATGATTGTCCTTGCTGATGAAACTTTGGAGAACTTCTTTGACCATGAATTTGCTTACTCTTTCAAATTATCAGAGAAGGAGACTGAACAGCAACGCAGTCTTGGAAGAGAAATATTTGATAATCTACTCGCAACAGGCGCTAAATTGGCCTCATCTACAGGCGTGAGTCGACCACAATTGAAATCAAAATTGACAGATGTCTCTTTGACATCATCCGAGATGCAAGCTACAATTGACTCTATAGAGAATGCCAAACTTGAAGACAAAGAGGACCTGATCAACAAGGTATCAGATAAAAACGACCATCCTCAGGAGAAACCAGAAGTGCAAGACGCTAGTAAAACCGATGCAGAAAAGAAGCGCTCTTCACCAGCAACAGAGGCCGAAGGAGCAGCTGAAAAACATGTGATTGGAGACTCTGACATGTCAGACGACGACGATGATGAAGAGGAAGAGGAAGATCTGAGCCCTGATGTGCTAGAGGAGGTTGATAGACTACTGAAGGAGTATGATGATGAAGATGAAGATTAATAAACTATTTATTTCGTATTTACTTTTATAATCTCTTGAACTACACAATGATGCTAAAAAAGACTATCTACTACTACTCTCAATCATGGTATTCTAATGTATCACGATATACCATTCGATAAGACGACAGAATGCATCATATAAAGCAGAACATAATCAACTTTGAAAGCTTTGAAGCCTTCATATCTTGGCATATAGACCTTTCTGAGCCGCCGGAATGACGCCAAGCAATTGTACTCGAGTAGTAGTAACTTCCTGACACGTTTACTCAACTTTTTGAGGACCCAAAAAACATGGCCAAAAATCGACCAAGAACCATGAGGGGTAACCTCATGCTTTTCATCGAAAATCAAACGATCGCGTTTTTCACCTTGAAAATGAAGATTTTTACTACGGTATATATCAGATCAAAATGTTTCTCTCGATCCAAAAGCAACCTCTGAAACCACTTTTATGAGGTTTTCATATGCAAAATATGGATATTTTCGCTAAAAACCTCATTTCAAATTTTATTAAATTGCTCAATAAGTTCGGTCAAAGTATTTATTACAATTAGTATCATTGGAAGCGCCTTGAAAAGTACTTCAAGAATGGATTAGGAAGCGTAGGGTGATCATCACAATTTATATAGTCAAATCTCACAAAATAATATAAAGAAGTCGAAAAAGGACAAAATCTATCCAATCTTGAACAGGAAAAAAAAATAACTGAATTTGAATTATTTTTTGCGGTTGGCGCTGCTGCTGGTTGGCCCTACAAGCTGCTTAGATCAAATGGCATCCAAATTTAAATATAGGATAAGCTACAGGAATTGTTAGATTGCTATGCATAGCAAGAACACTCATATTCTAATTTTAAAAGCAAACATTTTGGCTTCACGCATTGCCTTCAGATAGCATGGATTGTAGCCAGTGTACCTTTAAATTCTGATCACTTTAGTGGTAAACAGTGCACTATTGTTTAGTCTTGAAGCCATGGAAGTATCATAGAACATTTGGCACGATATGAATAACATGTGATCTGTCGTTGTGAATAAGCAATGTCGTTTAATTGTAGATGTAATGTCAAGATACATATATATATAAAAGATGAAAGGAGGCTGTCTAGAATCCAAATGTCACAGACGTTGATGGCTGCATGCAGCGTAGATCTGAACATCTTATTGCTATTGAAATCTATAAATAATCAAAGTGCGTATGCCTGATTTCATTAAGGCGGATATACTTTTATATCGAAAATTTACACACAAGCTTGCCAAGGAAAATGAATGTGCCTGTGATGGGAATGTAGTTTAATTTACCGGTACAGCGATGCAAACGTGAGATATCGAAAGGATTTCATTTGTGGACTTTCATAGATTCAGGTTACAAAAATGGGATTGACCCTAAAATTTATAAGCAACACTTTCCACATTAATAAAGGGCACGTTTCTAGACCTAAAGGAGCGCCTTAGTAGCACAGCAATGATAAACAAAGACGACTCCTTGTGGCATGTATACATGTATCTTCTCTCAACTATTTCAAAAATCATAGACATTCAATCATAAATACCTGTCTCTTCCAGCACAAAAAAAACTGGCACACTATTCTGTGTAACAGAACTTCTTGATTTGTTCTCTATTCATCTTCAATGACGTACGGGCAAAAAAAAAAAAACCAAACAAAATAGTGATTTTCGACGAGTTCATGACGCAAAAATCGTAAATCGGCTCACAAGCAGTTCTAGCAATTCCACAGTTTTCTTGGGAAGAAAATATTTCGTATCAAGTCCTGGCTCTCCGTATGATTTGACAATGATACAAACAAGTCAAGCATTTTCCCATTTTTACATGTCGATCATACTCGCAATGAAATATCCTTTTTTGGGTAAAATGTCGATAAAAAGGACGACGGAAGGGAAAAAAAAAGTCTGTAAACAAATATTAAAAAAACAACGTCATTTCGTATAGTATAAAGACCTCGATTTGTTTTACTCTTGCGTTCTTTCTTTCTTCTTTGTTTTCCTTTTTTTCGTCTTCTTTTTTTTTCCACCTCCTCATACTCACCTAGTTTCAATGTTGGGTGTCCATTTTAGTAGCTCGCTGAAGAAACGCTTATTTATAAGCTATGGCAAAGATTGGTTGTTGGTCATCATCATGATCATCATCTTTTTTGGTATTGATCTCATTGATCCCTTTCACAGAGAGTTTTCCATTAATGATACATCATTGATGCATAAATACACTGTGAATGAAAGCGTCCCTGTGTGGTTGTTGGTGGTAAGACTATACATATGCACATGTGAATAGACAGCAGAAAGATAGTAATATCAATCGTCTCGTAGGTAATCGCCATTGTCGCACCGATTCTCATTATTGCTGCCATTTCACTCGGCATTCGTCGCAGCTGGTTGGATTTTCATAGTGGAGTATTGGGTAAATGCGCTCAATCTCTTTCAATGTCAATGAATCCTTCAACTAACCCATAGTTTCAATTAGGTCTTGCTGTTGCCCTCTCCCTCACTATTATGATGACCGACATAATTAAGGTATGCATGCTTTGCAATGTGCGTGTGTATTTCTGCATCCATGGTAACACCGATGCAACATGAACAGATCACTGTGGGTCGTCCAAGACCTGATATGCTGGATCGCTGTCAGCCACCACCTGGCATCGAAAACCCACCCTTACACTTATTGAACTATACCATCTGCACAGCAGATCATAACACTTACGAATTCAAGGACGGCTTCAAGAGTTTTCCCAGTGGACATGCATCATGTACAGTGTCTCTTTTAGCAAATTACATCATGTCAAATCTTAACCCTGCTACTGTTAGTTTCTTTTGCTGGTTTGGGTTATTTAGCCTTCTATCTCGCTGGAAAGATGCACTTGTTCGACGAAGGAGGAGTATGTTGGAAGCTCGTGCATTTTGCACCATGTGTGGATACTCACCTGTGTTTCTATTATGTAGCATACCTACAAGAGTTTTGTGTTTTGCATTCCATTTTTGGGTGCATTGCTGATCTCCATTTCCCGTTTACATGATTACCGTCATCACTGGACAGATGTTTTCATAGGTGGCATTATTGGTAAATAGAGTACATGATCACGTCGTTTTTGTCCATAAGCTCACATTACATGCTGCATGATCCAGGCACCGCGTTTGCCTATTTCGCTTATAGACAATACTACCCCTCTTTAGCAGCCACATACTCTCAGAAACCATTCCCACCACGATTCAGCAGCCCCTCTGATTTGTTCACTCATGAGAATCCTACAAATGATCTTGAATCCGGACACGGTGGCCACAGAGGAGATGGAGTGACAGAAACTGCAGCTGTTGGACCAGATGATCCTGTATACGGTGAATGTACTTATACTGACTCTATCGACTCATCGTCCAGACTCCATTAATCAAGCTCTTTCAATAGATACCAACGCTCAAGGCAACACTGCACATCCACAATCACCCGCTTCAACATCAACTGACAGATCAAGCAGCAAATCCACAACCAGAGTGGAGCCACCATACAAACACACTGTAAACCATGTTGAGCACACGACCACATCTACTTCGAATAGTGCCCCATCTCCATATCGCCCTTGATAAAGTGTTGCTCTTGTCTTTGAATTTGATTCTTTTCTAATAGTTGTATATTTTTTTATGTGTATATTATAAATTTAATAATAAATCTTGACCTATTCTTCTTCTTCTTCTTCTCTCTCTCTCTCTTTTTCACTACAGTATAGAGGTGGTATTGGTGCTTGTATTTGTCGCTGGCATAGTAAAAAATGCGTCCCCTTGTTGTTGGTCTTTCTTTTTATTGTGCTGCTGACGATGCAATAGATTCCGCTTTGATGTGTGTCCCTGATCAATGCCATCCTCGTCGCTGCTATCGCTTCCTGATGTGATCAACGTATCAAGCCCACTACAATCTGATTCGGAAATCTTTTTGAATGTGTCCCTAATGCAAGTATTGCGATAAGAATGAATGACTTCATGAATGCAAGTGGATGCTTACATGGACTGGGTCAAATCGTCCAGCTACCATAACAAAAACGTCAGTGCGTGCATATCTATATAGCATTAGATAGTTTTTATTTACCTTTCGCATCATTGATTTCAACAAAACCTCCTTTCTTTCAAAACTCCTTAGGAATTGGTTGTCTTGATTTGGTTTCTTTAGCTGAGCAGTGGCTGTAGCTGTAGAGTTGCTAATGCATTGAACCTGTCAATCGATGATCCACAATACAGCCGTCATCCAACTTACGGTATATCTTGAATTTTCTCTAATGATACATGCTCGCTCGCTATGTCCAGTTGCTTTCTTCTTATCACATCCAACTCTTTGAATATCTGGCCTGTATTTTTGCCTATGTCACTCGAGATCAGTATATTACATCTTGGCTCTCATCCAACTGGGCCTACCAAATACCCTGACTTCACTCGACTCAAATGCTCTGTCTACTTTCTTGAACTCTTCGTTGAGATCTTTCACAACGTGGTCGTGTGCTTGCATGATTAAAATAAGTAAGAAAAAGAGAACGAACAATGAGATTCCCCGACTTGCACTATAAAGGTCAGCATTGATCCCATTTGGGGCGCCAATTTATCAAATGTAACTAGATACACAACACCAAGAAAATGTCACACATTTTGATTGACAATTCTACAAATTCTTTATATCAGTCCCTCTTTCTCTCTCTCTCTCTCTCTCTATAGCCTTTCCTTGTCATCTACATCATGGTTACCGATAAAGACACAGATTTAATCAAAATCACCAAAGATGGACATGTAACCAAACGAATTATCAAAGCTGGCGTTGGCAAAATACCAGAGAAAAACGACATAGTTACAGGTACACTTTTTTTTTAATGCGTACTGGAATCGCCTTACTCACACTGTCTACAACTAGTGCACTATGATTCATACATTGCAGACACAAACGTGCTGTTTGATTCTTCACGCGGGCGTCGATCAGAATTCACATTTGCCCTCAAGGGAGGTATGTATCAGACACTGCAACAAAAGCATTGACGTTAATGGTTGCATTTGACATGATGTAGGCAAAGTCATTGAAGCTTGGGAGCTGGTGATTCCTACCATGAAAGTAGGCGAAAAAGCAGAGATTATGTGTACAAGTGATTATGGTAAATTTATGAGCATTTTATTGTCGTGCTGGCTACTTGACATGCGTTGTTGATCCATAGGTTATGGTGATGATGGCCGTCAATATATCGTACCTCCAAAGGCTACATTGAGATTTGAGGTGGAACTGCTTGGTTCTTGGGAGGTACAGCTCATTATCAATGCTTGCCAGTAATGCGTCATTAAACAATCAAATATAGGCTGCAGGCACAGCTACAGAACGTATTAAAGCAGCAGAAAAGAAAAAGGCCGAGGGAAACGAATTTTTCAAACGAAAAGCAACGAATGAAGCACTGTTTGCTTACAAGAAAGCGAGGGAATACATCAAAGACTTATGGAACTGTGAGCCTGAGCAACTGGAAGAATGTCGATTTCTGACTGTGGCCCTTAACCTCAACATTGCCGCATGTTATCTCCAACTGAAAAACTATGATTTTGCCATTGAAGTCTGTAAAAGAGCATTGGATAGAGATTCATCCAGTGTCAAAGCATACTATAGATTGGGACAGGCTTATTTGGAGACAGGAGACTATAACCAAGGCATCCAGTTCGTAAAGATGGGTCTTCAGGTAAAAAGCACAATGAGCGGCGCTATGATATCATTCACTCACATTCCTGTTTGCTTAGTACGAAACAAATAACGCTGCCCTGAAATCGTTATTATCCACATTGGAGGCCAAACAGCAGAAATACATCAATGACAGCAAAAAGATTTATAAAAAGATGTGTGAATAGAATGTCGATTTGTTTTCTGTGGTTTTTTAATAAAATGCTTAATCTACTAAAAAAAAAAAAAAAACTACCATGCTTGGTGCATGTATTTTTGAACAGCCAAAAGGGCCTGGTATCTGACTTCTTGATCCTCATGAGTCATAAGTTCCATAATACGTTGCTTTGCACCAATTTCTTGCAAAACGTTCTTTCCAGTCTTGGATGAGTATTTGACATAGTATCCAATATCACTAGCAGCAATAGATAAAACCAATGGGCTGGTGGATGTGCTGAGGAGACGAGCAAGTGCGCGGAGCAATTGATAGTTGTGTTGTTCAAGCTTGCTAGCGTTTTCCTTCCAAAACAAGTCAGATTTGTGAGGAGGAGACCACTCCAGCTTACCCGTCTCAACTTCAGATGCATATTGTTCAAAGGTAGTAAGACTTTGGAAATCCTCTTGTAATCTCTCCTTGATGTAATCAATGTCCTCCAAAATATCAGCATCTGACCACTTGCGAGAGCTCAAATTCTCAGTGAAAGGTAGTAACTTAGTAACCAACATGGCAGCCAAGTTTTGAGCAGGTGCCTTTTCAACCAAATTCTTCAATGTAGCAACAGAGACACGAATCACCTTTTCTTTGACAGCCGATTTGGCAATCTCCACCAACAAGGGAATCACATCGTATTTTCTATATGACGATTGGTTAATGCTATGCCACTCGTAACAGGCAATATGACGCCTTTCTTACTCGTTGATTTGAGCTGCAATGTCCTTTTCAAAGGTAAGAAGCCATAAGCAAAAGATAATTTGGTATTGAATTTGAGGTGTTGAAGCAGATTTGTTCAAGTAGAGACGATGAATCAACCTAATGGCCAAAGAAAGTGACGTGAGTGATTCGAGTGTGGTATAGCGGCGACATAATAAGCTTACTCCTTGATTGCATTTTGAGTGTTCCAAACAGACAAACGGTAGGTGTTGACACGCAATAATGACTCTAATTCTTGAATGACCAAGTTAACAACATCGCTGATAGAACCAGTCAATTTCTTGGTGATCCAGTTGAATAAAGCAGAGAGATCCACTGAAGATGGTAAAGGAGCAGAACTGTAGAGTTTTGTATTGGTCATTCTGAAGGTTCATCAGTAACTACGACTACTTACCAAGCGAGGATAGTCAACACTTTAGATGCTTCAAGGGCCATAAACTCATCTTCGGCTTCAAGTACTTTGAGGAAAGGTGCAAAAGGAAGAGAGGCATCGTCTTTGGATATTTCATGGAAATAGCGAGCATTATCATCGCTAGCTATAAATAAAAACAGTGGGTTATCGTCAACAAGAAAACTTCCAAAGACGCACATTTCAGCTTACCAGAAAGAATATCATCCGTCATTAAACAGACGTATTGGATGGTATCAGGTCTCGACAAATTTTGCAAAAGGTACAAAATGAGAGAAGCATAAGTTGAACCCTTTTCATTCATGGCTTCTTGAATAACATGAGAGGGCTTCTTGTCGATAGCTTTGATAAGCTCGACTTGTTCATGTGTCAATAAACTAGCGCGTTCATAACCCTATACAACCAGTCAGTCGAATCTCCCATGATAACACGTTCAGTCGCTCATCTACCTCCCAAAGGATAGGCTTTTGTCGAATGATGGACGCCTTCTTCTCTAAATAAGGGTTTGATACAAGAACGAGTGGTACTTCGGGTACTTGGTCAGCCATGTTTTATTTAATGTGATGGTTTGTGTCGAATAAAATAAAATAAAAAGAAGAAAAAGAAAGATGCCTTGTGTGTATTGTGTTGCAGATATGAGGAAAAGGGATGATGAAACTTGAACTTCGAGACAAGATCCGAGACTTTTTTCCAGCTGTGACGTTATTAGCCTTGCTACATCTCTTGAGGATACATGATTGTGATATGTTTATTTTTGACTAGATAATCAAGGGGTTGAGCACGCAGTCTTGTAGGTACTCTGGATCTTGTTAACTATCATTTAGCAACATGTTTGATACAACATATAATGGCATTGTGTATCTATCTTGAGTTTGAGGCGGATTTTCAACATTTAGAGGGGAACGATGATGATCTGCTGGCTTCTTCATATTTGACGTGGGCGAGTATGCAATCTCGATGCTGATAACTGTTGATTTAGCGTTGAGTAACTCTAGGAGTAGTTAGATATACCATCTGTAATCAAATTGAGACTTGCCCGCCATGAATTTTAAAGATGTGCTGGAAAAGTACTAAAGCTGAGGATGTTTGGAATATAGACTATATACACCATTTTTTTATTACAGATTCTATTAATTCAGGTACAAATGCCAGCTAACTAAAGATATAAGCGAGCTCTTTTAGATGCATTATATCATTAATCTAGTATCAGAAAGCTCGATAGTTCAGATTGCACTGGAAATTGGCTTTACACACCAAAAAACATTGCAGCTAAGCGTACAGTCCTGCGTTACAAAGCACTACTAAAATGTAGCGCCGTGGTATCTTTACATGTTGTTGCAGTTTGGTTTAAAAGAGTATCTCAAATTTTCATTGAGCAAGAGGCTATCACGCAACTTGACCATAACCTTTTGAATTTTCTTTATAATTTATCGTCCTGGCGACGAGCCAAATTATGTTTTGAGTGATTTCTCGATAGGAAATTGAGATAGTACTAAATGATATACTCATTCGATGAGAAATTATAAGCTCGATTATCAGCGATATTTTGACGCATTTGAACCATGTTTTCTCGCATTAGAGGCAGTTTTAAACCGCCAGAATAGCGCCAAGTCATTGCTTTTGTTTAGCAGTTACTTGCTGGCGCATTTGCTCAACTTTTTTGGGATGACTATATCAAATGTCATAGCAAGGTCTCACACTAAAGGTGTTGGGCTATTCTTCGGTCCTTCGAGTAAATCATGCTGATCATGAGTTACAAATCAATTGTTGGGTAGATAGTAAATCTATTTGTATTATATTTCATTATCCTGCTGTAAACTGTAGCGTAATGAAAAGTATATAGATGCATCGCAAGGATGCATTCTCAATAAAAGTGTAATTCTTTGGCAGATTCAATTAGGTGAAAAAAAAAAAATAGAATCTCGTCAAACTTAAATATATTGTAGAATAATGATATTGGATCAACTTCTAGATGAAAACCTGGTATTGGAAATGCTTAATTCTAGAGATAACCAACATTGAGATGCTATTTTAAGCGGAGGAATATACATAGTTTAAATTGGAAAAATTATTATTCTTGAAAATAATAAGTTAATATGGCCCTTTGCGTACGCTCCAATTTTTAAAATGTTTGGTCAAATGCATACATGTGTGGTGTACACATGCGAAAGCTCAACGGAGATTCAATTTCTATTGTTCTGAACGATGATCCATGGGATTCCAAAATCTATCGACCTTAAAGTTACGCGTTTCTTGATAGTAAACACCCCTTCAAACTTATATAAAACTTGTAGAGAATTCAAAGGAGAATACAATGGTATTTATATCAAGTGTCTGGTGTACATTGCTCAACTGATTTTTGATGGGATATTTTTTGCAACTTTTTCACTGTTCTCTAACGATTAATCAGTATCTGTCATCAAAACATTTTGTTAATCATTACTAAACATTGTAGGCCAAAGAATTTCCTGTCGAATGAGCTATTGCTTGAAACTCTGGCATAACTCTATCATGAGATATCGATAATCTTGTCCTGGCCAAAAAATCGTCCCCAGATTTTTCGTTTGATATCACAGGCAGATTTCGAAGAAAAATCGATGACTTTGCATGATACTCTTTTTTGACCATATCTCGACAAATATTCACTGGATTCGCACAAAACAGAGACCATTTGATAACTCTACGTTATATCCATTATGATATAAGAGCTTTAAGTACCAGGTGTACGTTCCCTTCATAAATTTGCTCAAACTCTGTATTCTATCATCTTTATTTAATTTAAGCAGGAGATTTTTCCAAAAGTCCAAAATATCGTTATAATAGCCACACAATAGTGTGGAAGATAAAGATATACTTCAAATGGTAATACTATCAATAGCCTATTATTTACAGTTTGCGTTTAGGTAGGCCTAGTTTTATATATTCTAAAGGTTTTTTAAGGAGAGTATGCCCTGAACCTGCATTACTACTTCACCTGTAGCACCGCTCAGTACGTAGACCCAAAAAGAACCTATCGTTTCAAGCCTTGAAGCTATTACTGTGTCAAATCCTATATATCTTGTGTCAAAAGGTCAGCCTCATCCGAAATGCGCTGCACGACAACATCTATGTCCCTTTGCCAAACCACAACCAAGTATTGTATAATCAATCTAGAAGCGGTTTCAATACAATGCTTTTCAACACCTAAACTATCTATATATCACTCGTACTTACTTGTAATTAACAGATTTTTAAATGAATTTCATCACTCGAAGAAGTTGGCTAGACTGCACGACACAGCTGTAAACCGTTGCTGCAAAAGACATTAGCTGTCCAATAATTTCCTTTGGCTCCTGCAGCCATTTTGTTTTTGCAAAGAGGCTGTAATATCAAGTTACTTTGAGGCCCTATAGTATGCATTCTCAGCTGAAAGAAAAGGTACACTCCATTAAACATAAACGCTAAAACATCACTTGATAGAAATTAAGAGGGACTTTCCTTGTTCAAAGAGCTTCAGAGACAAAGCTTCTTCAGCATTTGATATAGATGTAAATGCACCTCAGACGAATACCAAAGTTGTATTTCATATATAAAAAAAAAAAGCGGATATTGCTTTTGAAACAACTCTTAGTTTCTTGGCTTTATTCTATCATCAAAGTGGGCTACCTTAGCAACAATGACCTTTTGTTTTGACTCTTGGGTCCTTCTTGTTGCCATTTCTTTTGGTTAGTTGATACAATTCACCTTTAAGATAGCCTCGTCCCTTCTAGCTAAGGCGTCGACCATGGCCTCACAGCAATTAACGTCAGGTTTCCCTCCGGTGTCTTCCGCTTGGATAGATGTTTGCAAGACAGATTATCAAAAGTATATCATCGCCACTGTCAAATTATCCTAAAAATTAACACTAATTGTGGACTTTCTGTTCGATTTCCTGTACAACGTTGACCTTGTGCTGTACTTTTGTCGGCTTCCCCTCTGTCCTCGTTAATCTTTTAGTTTGATGTTCTTCTGGTCTTTGTGCTCCTGGTGCTTGCTGTTACGCAACTCTGTTCCCCCCCCCCCTCGGTTTCCGTTATGAGACCCGAAATCCAAAACAGAGACAGCTCTTCACCAAGTACAATGATAATAGAGCAGCTTCAAATAATCACCAATGCAGTGAGAAATACGAATTTTCAGCTTTTCAGCGTAATGCTGCATCAACAAGATATGAGTCAAGATTTTGTTTGATTTATGCAAGACCGTTTAACACAACTCACTGTCACTTGGTCCTTAATTGCTCATTTCGTTAGAGTGCACAATCCAAATAAAATGTCAAATTCGTAGTACCGTCAGGAATCAAATCACCAATCAAGAGACGCATAAATGCCATCGCTACAACCTTAAACTGCTCAAGTCTGTAGGCTGATGGCGGATCGTACAACAGGAGTATGATGCATCTGTGAATCTACGGTATCAAATCTGATACATTCGATGTCTGTAAGAGAAGCAGCTCAACCACTCAAGAAAACCCATTTTCCATCTATCTACGCTGTACTACGTTGAAATCGTAACAGAATATATGATCGTTCATGATCACATGCAGTACATTTTTCACATGAAATCGGGGTTGTTGCTCAATGTCTATTAAGGTTGCAATGAAATGTATCCCTTTCCCTTTTGTTTTCTTTCATCTCTTTCTCTCTCTCTCTCTCTCTCTCTCTCTCATTTTTCAACCATGCTTAGAACCATCCAAAAAGTAGCCCGTCCCTGTGTGCGTTATTATTCATCGGAAGCCGCACCTCTGGGTATGGGATTCTCCCTGACAGAGGAACAGAAATCGATTCAACAAATGGCTCGTAAATTCACACGTGAAGAGATCATTCCTGTTGCTGCTGAACATGACATTACTGGCAAATACCCTACTGAGATCATCAAGAAGGCCTGGGAGCTTGGTCTTGTCAATACACACGTGGAAGCTAAATATGGTGGCATGGATTTGGGAGTTTTGGATAGTGCCATCATCTCTGAGGAATTGGCTTATGGTTGTACCGGTATTCAAACTGCCATTGAAGCCAACAACTTGGCAGAAGCGCCTCTTGTGGTCGCTGGTAACGATTTCCAAAAGAAAAAGTACCTGGGACGTATGACGGAAGCTCCCTTGGTGGCATCGTACGGCGTTACTGAACCTGGTGCTGGTTCTGATGTGGCTGGATTGACTACTTCTGCCGTCAAGAAATCAGATGGCAGTTGGGTGTTGAACGGCCAAAAGATGTGGATCACCAACTCGGGTCATGCTAATTGGTTCTTTGTGCTTGCTCGTACTGACGCTAATGCAAATACTGGTAAGGCCTTTACTGGTTTCATTGTGGATGCTGATACACCCGGTATCACTGTGGGACGCAAGGAGATAAACATGGGCCAACGTGCCTCTGATACCCGTGGTGTTACATTTGAGGATGTTGTGATTCCTGCAGAAAACGTATTGGGCTCAGAGGGTCAAGGTTTCAAGATTGCCATGAATGCTTTCGATATCACTCGTCCTTTGGTTGCTTCTGGTGCTGTAGGCTTAGCCCGCCGTGCCATGGAAGAAGCCACACGATATGCTTTGGAACGCAAGACTATGGGCAAACCTATTTTCAACCATCAAGCAGTGTCCTTCATGTTGGCTGATATGGCCATTGGTATCGAGAGCGCTCGCATGATGGTGTATCGTTCTGCCTTTATGCGTGATAATGGAGAGAAGAACACATGGCACGCCAGTATTGCCAAGGCCTTAGCTGGCGATGTGGCAAACAAGTGTGCTGCTGATGCCGTTCAAATCTTTGGTGGCAATGGCTTCAACACTGAATACCCTGTTGAAAAGTTGATGCGTGATGCCAAGATCTTCCAAATCTATGAAGGCACTGCACAAATCCAACGTTTGATCATCTCGCGTGGTTTAGCAGATGCAGTCAAATCTGGTGCTGATGCTCTTGGTGGTTTTTAGATAGTTTCAAGTTTTTTATTAAAATATGTGTGTATGTACAATATCAAAATCATCAACGTCGTCAAATTGAATGGTGGGTCCACTGTAACCCTTTTTTTGTGCTACAACAGAATACCAAGACATGTATGTGTTGTATTCGTTCACTTCGCTCTTCATGGATTCCACTGTCTTTTCTAGTTCGTCCTCGGCAATGAGCTTGTTGGTGATCCAATCCCTTCGAAAGCCCTTGATGATCCTCTCCCAATACTCCAATAGCAACGACCCAACTGCGCCGCCATAGATACCAACAGGCGTGTGTGTGTGATAGATCTGCATGCCAATCAATTGACTCATATTAGCAATTCTGTTGGGCCACGGATTGTATTGTGAAGTGGCAGATGTGTTTGACGTCAACGTATTGTATGCAGATGTTGGCGTAGTGGGCGATTGAGGAGGGTGTTTTATACTTGATTGAATTACTATAAATAGAGCAGCACATTTTAGTTTGTGTTTCTGTGTTTTTGCTCTGTTTTATACTTGCATTGATTTAGTGTGTTCATACTAGGTCCTGCATCAAATAGATTATCATATGCTTCTACACACTCGATATAAGCTCCCTTCTTCATAATGCGTACTAGCTCCTTCAGCACATTATCCCACATGGAGTCTGGTAGTGTATCCATCATGGACCGTATGAATATATAGTCAAACGTAGCATCTTCATATGGCAATGGAAGCTCAATCAGATCAATACGCTGATAGAGTACATTTTTGGAAAGCGAACTATTGAAATGTATGTATGAGCACACTTCGCACTTACTCTGTAGTGAGGTTACCTTGTGGGCAACACATTTTTGTCAATGTCAATGCCTGTAAAATACGATATCGGATATTTGGATGCCATGTCCTATTAACAGACATATCAGTTCCTATTACCCCTGAAGTCATCATGGACATGTTACATTACACTCGACCAAAACCCTGCACCACATCTATTGTAACTAATATGAGAGTCCATTACATATCCCAGTTACGGCATAGAGTTACCCAATATCTAACACTTCACTTCCACCCGCTTGCAATAATCTTTGAATTGGAGCCTTGAAATCACTGTACTCGAAAGTCAGACACACTTGTCAATAACCATCGCATTCAGCACCACATTTACCCCTCAAAAGCCAGCTTAAGAGCGCTATGTCTGACCCAATCTCTTTCGATATCATCTACTGAATTTGGTAGTCTTTGTCTAATGTTTAATTTCGGATCTTTGGAGGTTCTCCATTTCAGCTTGAGAAATGAGAACGTGCTGCCAGTGCTTGATGTGTTTGATGTGTTTGATGTGGTTGTGGTTGTGGTTGTGCTTGAACTGACATGTGTAGCCGAAGCATTTGTACTCGCTACCATCTTAGCAAGAAAAAAAAAATGAGCGACGAAAAAAAAAGAAAAAGAAAACAAGTAAAGTACCCTCTCTCCAGTGGAAGAGAAGCAAAGAAAAAAAAATAAGGGAGAGTTACACACATGATAAGTTGTAATTGGGTAATGCGAATACTCTATTTTTGTATGCACACTTCCGTGAATGTCAATTTTATTGTGATGAGGTATACCTTTTGACAAGATTCGATAGAGGCAGAAAAACAATGCTTAATACAAAATTAGAGGTATATAATACAATGCTGACAGCAGCCAATGCAGCTACAACAGCCCACATGACGGTAGATCCCCATCTCTCATAGATAAATCCACCCACCAAGGCGCCAATGCCACTTCCCAATCCATTGAAGGCCATATTCAGTAGCCCTTGAGCTCTGCTCTTGAGATCGGGTGGTGCAATTTGATCCGCCTGTAATGCTGCAGCACTCCAAGTCATTGAGAACCCAACGCCATGCAGTACCTGTGTTGCTGTGGCCAGATAAGCGCCCCAGGTAATCCGTGCGCATACAATGTATGTCAGGCATCGATAAACGATGATGCATTGAGCCACTGCCAGCATGCGACGTGCGCCTAGTCGATGAAGCACTTGCTTGAAGAAAAAAAAGACGATAATCTCGGTGATGCTTCCCAAAGGACCAAACAAGCCCACCAAGAAGGAAGAAGCATGCAGATCATTCTCCATAAACAAATACAGAAATGCTTGCACCACTGCAATTGCAAACCCCATGGTAGTCATAAAGGTAAAGAACTGAATGGCTTCAGGTTCTTGAAGCAGATGCCACATGGATGGATCTGGTGTAGCACAAATGCCATCATTTACGTCCTCGATGACCACAGCAGTTGCCTGCTCCACACTGTTGTTGTTGGGTGACATGGATCCATAGGTATCATCCACTTCCTCACCTGTCTCCACGGGCTCATAATAATGCGGATTGATATCGACAACAGCGAGCGTAATGACAAACCCTAAGCAATATACTGTAAACACGATGAACAAAGCATACAGAGAGTCTAGTTTTTCCGTAAGAAATCCAGTCAAGAAGACAGAGGTTGCAAAGCCGATAGGTACTCCAATCTTTTGACGGCCATATAAATCTTTGCGATGAGCCAACACTCGAAGGATCACAGTATCTACAAGCGCCGCAATGATGGGATATCCGAAAAATGCATACCCAAAGCAACCCATGGATGTCAATGCGATTTGGATCCATTCTGTGTTGGAGAGATAGGGTACAAGCCCAATAAATAAAATACACTATACATTCAAACATTACTACACTCTCTAATCCAATATACACACACACACACATGCAAACAACAAACATACCAACAATGCAATCAGCATGTTTCTAATCATGATTTCTCTATATTTTCCAGTCTTGTCTATTAAGGATGTCCAATAAGGGAACGCTATAAAGGACACAAAGGGTGCTTTCCATTCATCCATTGTTAGCCCTGAACGTCTTCTTTCTAAAAGATGTTCACACTTACTAATGGAAAAGATAAATCCGATTTTATCGTTTCCTAAACCCAATACTTTCTTGTAAAAGATGGGTAGAAACATTTGGCCAGAACCAATACATCCTATACTGAATGCACTTAGTAGCTTGAGTCCTATAAAGTGGTGCTCTTTTTCTAATTTCATGAATTGTGTAAAATTGAGAGAAAGAGAGAGAGAGAGAGAGAGAGAGAGTAAAAGAGAGCTGTGAGTGAGAGAGGAACGGAATAAAAAGGATTTATTTATAAAAAAAAAAAAAAAAAAAAAAAAAAGATTGTTCGTGTCGCCATCCTATCTTGAAGGCATTTTAAAGGGGCAAAAGGCAAAATGTTGTGTTGCGTGTGTGTGTTTAGTCCCTTTGATCCGCGCTTTGCTTCTTGTGCGAAATGTCATCGGATTGCCTTTTATACTTGTTAGGCTGAAGATACCCGCTACTAGTGCAGTATACAGAATCTCACTGTGCTGTGTCTATTGTACAACATGAAATCATATATTGCGCTTCAAAAGTAAATACAATTGTCAATAGCTTCTTCATTTGCTATCTTGGCAAGAAGAAAGAGCTAGATCTGCTCCTATTGCGTTAAGCTTCACATGAAAATCTTGTATCCAATACACATTGGCGTCTCAGTGCAACACGCCAGCAGGCTGGTTAACCTTTATGGGAAGCAGTTGTCATCAGCGGGTTAAAGCTGGCTGTCAGCATACGTCAAACGTTGCTTGATGCTATTCGATCTTTGATTTGCTGTGCCTGGAATTAGATATGCAGACTCTTCCTAGCACATAATGTTCTGTATAATGGTAGCAGCATTTTTCAACTTTGTCACTCTTTCAATGATACTTCATCATATTGATCAAAGTGACTAAAAATCGTATCGACTTTATCTTTGGGATTCAATCGTTCACAAGCTGTGTACCATAACCTCTTGTTGAGTTGAGGCGTGGAAATGATTTCTGGAAAATACGTACAACACCAGGTGTGTTTTTTAAGGCAGCCTCCTCAGGATTAACATCTGCGGACGGCTTGTACCTGTAAATATGGCTCTTCTATGATGCTGTACGTCTGTATCGATGAGAAAAAGTCGTATACAGATAGACAGTATACTTGCTCTGCTTCTTGCGTCTCAATTTTATAAGACACAGCTAAATTCGAATGTATTTTAGCCGTGATTTTTCGTGTTAGGAGCCGTTTCAGACCGCTGGAATAGCGCCAAATCATTGCTCTCAACCAGCACCTACTGTTTGATACCTTTGCTCGAGTTTTTTGGAATCGTCAAAAATCGGCTTCAGACCATGAGGGGTACCTCATGGTTTTTATCAAAAATCAAACGATCGCGTTTTTCATCTCAAAAATGAAGACTTTTACTATAGCATATGTTAAATCAAAATGCTACTCTCGATCCAAAGCAACCCATAAAACTTTGTTTGTGGGATTTTCATATGTGAAATCTCGGCGTTTTGGCAGAAAACCTCATTCCATATTTTTAGATAGTGCTTGATCAATTGATTAGAAGCAAGCCTTAAAATCAACACCATTGGATGCACCTTGAAAAGTACCCCTAAACAACATTAGGAAGTATGGGGTTATCATCACAGTTTACATAGTCGAATCCAACGAAATAGATCAAAACAAGTCGAGAATCGGCCAGAAATTTCTACTTCTAGACAAATCGGCAAGCAGAGCGTTAAAATATTTTGGCTTGCAGATCCATTTCTAATGAAGATAGTCGATGATTTCGAACCTATTAATCAATGCAAAGCTGTGAATGATGTATACATCATTTACCAACAATATGCATTTGTGAATGCTAAGAAACAAAAAAATAATGGTTATTGTCAAATACAGATTTATTTAAATATTAGGAAATGAATGATTGAATAAAAGGGGATATGAGGAAAATGTGTGCAAATATGTATATGTAGAAAGAGATGAAACAAATGGAAAAGTTAGAGTGTTTAGTCTACTTCTTCCATCTTGGAGACTTCAGCGTTGTCATCAGTGGCAGTTTCAGTGACAGGTTCAGCAGTTGGGAGTTCATCTTCGTCAATAGAGAGACCAAGAGAGACCATGCGGTTAATACGGCTAGCAAATGAACTAGGGTCATCCAAAGAGAATCCAGAAGTCAACAAGGAAGTCTCGTACAACAAGGTAACAAGATCCTTGACAGTGCGATCACCAGCATCGGCAGAAGCCTTGGCACGAAGAGCCTTAATGATAGGGTGGCTAGGGTTCAATTCCAAAGTCTTCTTTGAAGCCATGTAACTAGACATGGAAGAATCACGCAGAGCTTGAGCCTTCATGATACGTTCCATATTAGCAGACCAACCAAATTGACCAGTAGTCAATACACAGGGAGAATCAGTCAAGATGTTGGAGAGAACGACCTTTTCAACCTTGTCGCCGAGAATATCCTTGACAGTCTTGCAAAGGCCTTCATACTCCTTTTGTTCGGCCTCACGAGCCTTCTTCTCCTCTTCATCCTCTTCAATTTCAGCACCCTCCTTAGTAATACAGACCAGTTTGTGATCCTCGTACTCCTTCAATTGAGTTGTAGCGTACTCATCAATGGGATCAGTCATCAAGAGAACCTCAATACCCTTCTTCTTAAAACCCTCGAGGAAAGGAGAATTTTCAACAGCAGTGCGAGATTCACCAGTAATATAGTAGATGTTCTTTTGCTTCTCGGGCATACGAGTAATGTAATCCTTGAAGGAGGTCATCTCATCGCCAGACTTGGTGGAGTAGTAGCGCAACAAGTCAGCGAGCTTGGCACGGTTTTGAGTGTCTTCGTGGATACCGAGCTTGATGTTCTTACCAAAGGCTTCATAGAACTTATCAAATTGCTCCTTGTCTTCAGCAATTTCTTGGAACATTTCGAGACACTTCTTGACCAAGTTCTTGCGGATCACCTTCAAGATCTTGTTCTGTTGCAGCATTTCACGCGAAATGTTGAGAGGGAGATCCTCAGAATCAACCACACCCTTGATGAAGCCAAGCCATTCAGGGATCAATTCATCACAGTCATCCATGATAAAGACACGACGGACATAAAGCTTGATGTTGTTTCTCTTCTTCTTGGTTTCAAACATGTCAAATGGAGCACGCTTGGGGACAAAGAGAATAGCACGGAATTCGAGTTGACCTTCTACAGAGAAATGCTTGACAGCCAATTGGTCTTCCCAGTCGTTGGTGAGGGCCTTGTAGAATTCAGAGTACTCTTCAGGCTTGACGTCTTCAGGGTTGCGAGTCCAGAGAGGTTTGGTCTTGTTCAACTCTTCGTTTTCAGTGACCGTTTCCTTGATAGTCTTCTTCTTCTTGTCGTCCTTCTTGTCATCCTCGTCAGTGACCTCTTCAATCTTGGCACCTTCAGAGGCAGGTTCAGCAGACTCGTCATCAGAGACTTCCTTTTCGACTTCCTTTTCAACGACCAATTGGATGGGATAAGAGATGAATTCAGAGTGCTTCTTGACAATGTCCTTGATCTTCTTCTCATCAAGGTATTCGAGTTGATCCTCCTTCATGAAGAGACGCATTTCAGTACCGCGACCAAGAGAGGGGTTGACCTCATCACGAGTAATAGTGAAAGAGCCACCAGCAGCAGATTCCCAAATGTATTGTTCGTCATCATTGTGCTTGGTGATGACCTGGACCTTGTCAGCAACAAGGTAAGCAGAGTAGAAACCAACACCAAATTGACCAATCATGGAGATATCAGCACCAGAAGAGAGAGCTTCCATAAAAGCCTTTGTACCAGACTTTGCAATGGTACCCAAGTTGTTGACCAAATCAGCCTTGGTCATACCGATACCAGTATCACGGATGGAGAGAATGTTGTTTTCCTTGTCAGGAGTGATGCGAATGTAGAGGTTCTTTTCAGAATCGAGCACAGAGGGATCAGTCAAGGATTGATAGCGCACTTTATCCAAAGCATCAGAGGCATTCGAGATCAATTCACGCAAGAAAATTTCCTATTGATAAGTTAGTATACATGTATGCTCCCAAAGCGCGTTTTCATAGAGTCATTACCTTGTTGGAATAGAAAGTGTTGATGATCAAACTCATCAACTGAGAGATCTCAGCTTGGAAAGAAAAGGTTTCTGTTTCAGCGCTCATAGTGTTGTTATATACGTGTTGATGGAGTAAAAGAGAATGAAGAATCGCATTTCATCACAGATTCATGCCTTTATTTATACACAATGCCATCCTTCTATTGAATGCCAGATTTCGAGCAAATTCCAGCAGCTGACAGAAATCCTTTGAATCAGAGTGGACCCGCTGGATTCCCAAAAGGCACGTTCCCATTGAGCTTGGGTTCTGGAAATTTCGAAAAACTCCCCCTTAAATTGAAACTTTCTAGCAAGATCCTTGAGGTTGCTGTATCAGAAGTGGCAGTAGCATATGCTGATGGCATGTTGCAGTGTGGTGTGCCAGTGTGTAAGGGAGGTCGGGTGAGATGGCTGATCAGATAGACTCCCACATCGTGGGATGAGTGATTACAGTTTGCATTGTTGGTTTCATGATGCCCAGGCTATAAACCGCTGTTTCAAAAGCCAGCGATGATTGTTTCTGAATATGTCATGGCGAAGGTCATGGAAGGCGGACATATGTCTATCAAAGATACTGCAAAATGAAGCTATCTGCATTGATGCCTATCAAAGACTCGGGCGCTGTGCCAGATTGGAATAGCCCTAATCTACATTGCTCGTCTTGCGAACGCATGTACAACTCAAAACAAGCCTTCTTGCCTAGGGCATTGCCGAAGCATACATTAATTTAAAACCTGTCAAATTTGTCAACCTTGCTGCAGTGCCCAACATCGACGATCCTGATTCTTGTTGCAAAATTTGCGACAAGCATCAATTCAAACTGCATTTAAGCTTCACACACAGAAAATATGGTGAATAGCTCTCATCAAGACAGCGCAACAAACAGTCAGATATCAATGACACAAACTGTTATTGCTGCTGCTGCTGCTGCGATAGAAAACTCTGTTTGAATGCATTGTAGAAATGTTCAACTGATGGAGGAGATGGAGCAGGGCCGTCCACCCACCAAGAACAGCAATACAGTGATTGACCTTAATCACCCTGACTTGTGCATAGTGTGAACACAATTGTTGCAATAGAAATTCATTCAGACATCATTTAAAATTCATCTATTGCATCGATGTCTCAAAGAATTGATAACATGTAGCAAACAGAGCTTTGATGACTAGTAGCATACTCTTGTCGATAACTATATAAGACTATTTCTAGATACTTCACCTTGTATTTAAGCTTATAGTTAAGCTCTGAGAGCATGCTTGTTAGCTAGATATATGGTGGCTTGAAAGAACGTAATATCCATTTTAGCTGGCGTTCTCTTCATACCAATGCGTGTAATGAACTTTCAAACGCGTGCTAGTTGTCACCAAAAAAAAAAATCTGATGGTTGGACAATACAAGACTCCAATCAACAGGGTAGACTCAAGCGATGCCCACTGAGCAGCAAGACGTATCTCTATATTCATTCTGGATCATGAACAAATCCATGAATATCTTTATTTTCTCAGGCACTAGTTACTGATGAACCCTGCCAGTTCTAGTTGATCCGCATACCAATCACCCCACAAAAATCAAATAACTCAACATCTCTCAAACAACACATTCTCTAATATACAAATAGCAAACGTCGAGTACTTTCAAACAATGATTTAATGCTGCAAATGTTTTATATAAAAGGGACACAACAAAAAATGAGATATCGTCTCAAGTCTAAATTTTTCTTTTTGATTTGACCAAGAGAAATTTAAGCCTTGACAGCGTACTTGCGAAGAGGGAAGTGAGCCAACTTCTTTTGCTCACGAACAGTCTTCTTGGACTTCTCAAAAGGAGTCAAAGCTCTACGCATGGCACGGGTCTTCTTGACACGGAGATCCAAGGGAGTGAAACGCTTCTTTTGGTAGAAGAGACGAAGTTGTTCACGTTGAGTTTGGTTGATGACGGTCAAGACACGGGCAACGTTCTTGCGAGCTTCACCACTGTTTGTCATATATTGATTAATGATGCCATCCTCATCCTCTCATTACAATAACTCTAAATGACTTACATTTCTTGAGATCTACCACCAGCGACCTTTTGGACACGGATGTTGGCAAGTTGTTGCTTTTGTTCGTCAAGGATCTTGACGAGCTCGGCCTTGTTCTTGTTACGGAGTTCGTGAGCTTTGACGGCAACCTTCATAGCAAAGTAAATTCATTAGAAAACAATCGTGTGGAAGTGTATGTGGCATCTGTAATGTATCCAAGCAAGTCAGATCTGTGAAATGTTTGCATCGTCGACAGCAGAGATACTGCATTTGTCTATGGTTGCAATGAAAACTGTCAACTTGCTGTATTCAGTCCATCATGAGCTCCTCCCCTTTTTCTCTATGCCTCTGGAAAAAAAAAAAAAAAAACATGGTACACTGCATCCACATCCACAACATGTCCTGATCCATCGAATCCATCGTTGCTGCAAACATCCATTTCCACGCTGAACTGATATGATCTTGCTCTGATACATTACGATGCCCTCTGTGTATGTCAACTAACCATTGGAATTTATGGATGATTATTAAGAGGGGGATCTTTATTATTACTCTTTTCCAATTCTATAGTCATTCAATTTTTTTTTGTGTGTGTGGATGGGATTGGAACAACCATGCTTTCCACAAAGAAATTGCGGGCCGATAAACCAGCCTTCCGGCCAAAAATTCACCGGACAGCAACTCTTTATGCATCCATATCTTCGTCTTCTAGTATCCCATGATGACCATTCAGTTGTTGTTGTTGCTGCTGTTGTTGTATTAATTCTTGCTGTTGATGGACAATGGCTGCGTTCGATGGCATATCATCCCAAATCTGGAATAAAATGTTTCTTGGCAGCTGACGAAATCCTTCTGTATGAGAAATGGCGCCAAAATGTTGGAATATAAAATGCAACGACACTTGCTGTAGACCCCTTTGTTCAGATAGACTTGCCGTGTGGTATATTCTGCTAGCACTTTCAACATTCATTTCACTAAACAAATGGCGCACACACAAGGCCAGCAGTCTTGGCAGCGAGTAGATATGAGCCATTACCATGAGATCAGCAATCAAATCCGTTGTGAAATGAGGGTCATTCAGTGTATCTGTATACAAATATCGCACAAAACTCTCCAATGTTGAAATTGGCTCTGACATGGTCAATCTATTGGATATCGATTCTTGCATACCCGAGTCCATCAAATGAACAAAATGAGGCCATCTTGCCAGCAACACCAACCGATGCACATGGATAGGCGGTGCATTGGGCTCTGTGGAGGAGTAGATGGTGAAATCCGTTTGCTGCTTTTCCAACTGCTGTTGATTCAGTAACAAGCCAATGAGATCTGTGCCAAGTTGAGGCGGAGGCACAGGAACAATGCCTAGCTCCTCCAATTCCACTTTCAAAACCATAGAGTAAAACTCGTCTGGATCATCTTCCGTAGTGCCAAATAAATAGAATGACGTGTCGTGTTCTGTCATTGAGAAACAGTGCCAGCTGCAAGCTTCATAACGAGTGCCCACCTCTCTGCATTGCCACTGCATGGAAGGCAGATCCAAAGACCACAGACCAGTAACTGGGGCCTCCACCATGGCTTCTCTAAACGGCAATGTTACCAACACAATCAACTGGTCTCCGCATATTTGGGCTGATCGCTGTCCTGACAGAGAAGGGGCAGAAGGAGAACTGATGTCGAGCTGTGTTACATCCTCGGTCCTGTTCAGATCGATAAACGCCAAGTGGTTTGATCTGCTCATATCCTCTCTTAATCCACCAAACAAGTATAACCTTGAGTTGTACACAAAACTCATATGCTGTGATCGCTTGACGAAGGGTATTGGCTGATCCCATTCCCATGTATTGAGATCCAGTGTCAGTAGCGTGTCCGCAAAGGCAGCGTTGGATTCACCTCGCTTGCCGCCTGCAATGTACAGCTTATCCTGATAAATTGTAGCTGAGTGTCGAATTCTGCCTTCAGGTATAAATCCGTGCACTTCTGGATGCCACCAAGTCATGCTTGTCAGATCCAACACTGCAATGTCATTAAAGTAGTTGTCTTCCTCCGAGTTGCCACCAAAGACGACGAGCTTATCTCCATTCCATAATGTCGCAGAGTGGTCGTTGCGCTTGGCTGGTGGCTCTCCCTTTGTGTAAATTAATTGCTTCCATTGGCAAATATCATCATAATCCAGCCTATACAACTTGTTGTAAATCTCATCGCTGTACTGATCAAAGCCGCCAAAGACATAGATGGAGTTGTTGACCGTTGTCAAGGAGGCACCTACAAGCGAAGCAAGTCTTTCACCTGTTGTTCGCACTGGCTGTGAATAATGCACCACTGGCACTCCATTTGATGATGGAGTTCTGTCTCTAGAAGATGCTGCTGTTCGAGGTGAGTTTGGGCGAGAGTTGTTCATGATACGAATCTCGGCTGTTTTGTATATGAAAAAGAAAGAAGAAAAAACTCCCTTTTATCTGCAACATCTTATTTGTCATTTATTTGGGTGTGCTCTATAGTTCATGCTTTTTCGTTCCTCTCACTGATTGTAAACTCCTCCCACATTTCTCATGTCATGATGGCGCACCACACACCACTGCTCTACGCGCGTCATAGGGTCCGGACAGCCGAGATTAGCAACTGTATGTGAAAAAAAAAAAGCTTGTCCCGGTTGAGCAAAAAGAAAGAGCAAGCAGCTGCCCACATTTGATACCTCCTCCTCTTTGGTACTTAATCTAAAATGGTACATACTATACATATCCATCCATCCATCATGTAAAAACTAACAGTGATCCATCATCATCTGTAGGCCAAGCGCACTAAGAAGGTCGGAATCACCGGTAAATACGGTACCCGTTATGGTGCCTCTCTCAGAAAGACCGTCAAGAAGATGGAAATCACTCAACATTCCACTTACACCTGTACCTTCTGTGGTAAGGACGCTGTTAAGCGTACTGCTGTTGGTATCTGGAAGTGCAAGGGTTGTAAGAAGACCATGGCTGGCGGTGCTTACACTGTCTCGTAAGTCTTTTTGTGCTGTAATAGACATTTGGGATGTGTACTGACATTGTTATCATTTTAGCACTACTGCTGCTGCCACTGTTCGTTCCACTGTTCGTCGTCTCCGTGAATTGGCCGAGATCTAAGTAAAAAGATCAATCCTATCTGTCTATTTACTCTAAATAAATTTAGTCATTCTTCCTTCTGGAGAAGAAGTGGATAAAAATGTACAAAGTTCAGTCCGTGTGTTATAGATGTGTTGGAGATTGGAGTAACGCTGTTGTGATGTGAGAGCGCACGATTTAATGGGTAGGATATTGGATGAGGGCGTGTGGATGCATAGCTGTGTGATCTGAATTGGTTGAATGAGCATGTTGGCCGCCATTTGTCGTAAAATCAGATGAAATATAAATGTAATGTACATCTGGAACTTGATCCAGTAAACTGTTCGATTCCATGCCAGCATGACATTGATACTGGATTTCTACTAAAAGGAAGTTTTGATCCAATGCTATCATTGCACTGACTTTTTTCATGGCATTGACTAGCATCCTAGCACTGCTATCTCTGTTCAAGTGCTAGAAAAAGTACTACAGCGGCCACACTAAATTCCCTGTCAATGCACCATTTGAAATCTGACAGGTACATTGTGGAAATCACATTGCCATGACAGCATCTCTTCTAATTCGGAAATTTTATCTCTTTTTTTTTTCCCAATTGCAGTTTTATTCAGTTTCTTAACGACTTGCAAATGGCAAAGACAAGTGTCCATATATACAATAGAGCGTGCATATCACCAAATTCTGGGGTCCAGCCAATCTCGATTTACATGTCGTCCAATTGCTTGTTGATCTCTTCCAACTGTTCATTCAACTCCTTGTTCTTTTCTACAAGATCCTCATTCTTCTTTTCTTCATCAGCAAGCTTGATGGTCAGTTGTTCAACCTTCTTTTCAAGCTGTTCAGCCTTGACATCAGCTTCACGGAAACTATCACACATGCACCCTTTTTAGTTGCATGCGCCTCTTTTTTTTTTTTTTTTTTTTTTTTTTTTTTTTACACGATATGATCTTACTTTGTAGTCGTTTCCTTGAGTGCCTTATCTGATTCTTCCAATTCCTCTTCAAGTAATGCAATTTTACGCATAGAATTCTCGTGTTCCTTTTTGTAGTCATTGTCTTCTGCTTCATTACCCTTCAAGTCCTTGATGGTCTCATGAGCAGTTTCTAAATCCTCTTCGAGTTGCCTGTTCTTGTTGTTCAAAGAAACAATTTCACGCTCTTGTTGAGTATGATCTTGCTCAATCTCCTTGAGCTTGGCCTCCAATTCTTCCACCTTGGCATTAGCAGCATCTGCTTCAGCACGGATACTGGCAATTTTCTAAATAAACATGGGTACACAAGGTTTAGTGTTTAATTGTTCTCTTTGACATAGTGTAACATCTTTGAAACGCTTCATCTTACCTCGCGAATCTTATCCATGTTGTTCAATTGATTTGAGTAGTTGAAAAAAGAAAGAGAAAATTCCACTGCAAAAAGTTTGAGTCATTTTTATAATTCTTGCCAGAAAGGACCAACAGAATGAGGTGACGTGGTATGGTGGTGATCTTGGCTCCTTTGACAACACAATACGATTAAACGCCGTAATCCAATGGAATACGCCGATCATTAGATCTGGTAAGGGAATGGGGTCAGTGCTCAATTGAACTGCTTTCGCAAGTGAATGCCAGAGTGAGAGTATGTAGTAGCTTTTGTCTCTGGCGAATAAAGATTGATAACACTCAAGGAAAACTCTATTGAAATATGTCTGTCAAAATCTTACGAATCGCATCAGATCAGGGGCAAATCAGCCCCTTCATCATGGCCCTATAGAGTAAAATTAGCCTCATTTGCAGTGATGTTGACATGCTATGAAAGAAAGACATCACAAGAATAATCATCCAAGTGCTTGTAATTCTCTTGATTATATCATCAAAGAAACAAGTATTTATTTATTACAGGATGTGTTAGAAAGTCATTGTAACTAGTAGCATGTGCTATGTTGGTGGTTGGTTATGCCGACTTCTTTGACGGACGCTCGTATATCTCGCTCACCATATCCCACCCATTGACCAGCTTTGACTCGGTCATCAATGTGTCATTTGTCGCTACCTGCTGATCAAGTGAACCGTCTGCTGTTGCTTGTGTGCTATCGTTTTTTGGTAAATCTTCATCGAACGATACGAGGTTATGGCTGGCGGCTGTATCCTGCTCATTTGGTAACACTGTTGAATGATACGACTCCTGATCCTCAACCAACACCTTCTCGGTCACAGTAGGTGTGTCCTCCCCTTGCTGCTCACTGTGGCTGATGATGTTTGAGGGCTCATCTTGCTGCTGTGCTTTTTCTTGACCCTGGTTTTCGCTAGAATACTTGCCCTCCTCCTTTGCAATCAATGCTTGCAAATCATTGATGAATCTATCTATTCTGCGATGAAATCCAAATAGCAGCAAATGGGTAACACGAACAATTGGCTTCCTTATAACGCCTTGCTCTGTTATTTTCAGTGTCACTTGATCCTCGGTTTCTTTATCTTGGATGATTTCAAACGTCCAAGAGCCAGAGAACGTAGGTATCTTTTTCTGTCCATCGATGCTAGTTCTTTCCTCCAAGATCCTTAGCAAGCACCTGTAGGGTGCTCTTTGATGGTGAATGATGACGGTATGTCGTTTGCGAGTAGAATGCTCCACAAAGACTGTTTGCTGGTCTTTTTCCTCTTGCACAGTAACTTTCTCAACTTTGGGCTGCCATTCAGGATATTTTGATACATCAATAAGAATGTCCCAAAGCCTCTTGGACGGCAACTTGAGATTTACCGATCGAGATACGATATGGCTTGCTGGGATGAGTATGCCAATCACATAGGCAAACAGTGGTAGAATGATGGAGGTGATGATTAGAAATGATATGCTTGTGGATATAATTGCCATTTTGTTTATTTTTGGAAAATAAAAGTTAAAAAAAAAAAGAATGTATGTGAAGCTCTGTAAGTTGCTGAATGGTGCTTAAATACTGTTCTCTTGTAATGCGCATAATGTGACATTTTTGAACTTTTTATGGGGTTAAAGAGAGAGAGACTTACACAAACCTCACAACCAATAACACTTGACCAGATTTCGACCTTGAAACGTTTGTGCGATACATAAAACGTGTTGGGCGATTAGCCAAACCTGTTTCCAAAGCACAGTAAGTATACAGCATCATATAATATACAAGAACATAATTATGCATCTAATTCAACACTTGATAGCATTGGTTTACAGGGAGGGTTTACCGCATTGAAACAAAGGTGTAAAACCATAGTGTTCATCCAGCAAATTCAATTTCTCATTTCTATTTTTATTATCAAGTTTACAAACAATATAACGCATGAAAATTTGCATAAATTAATGTCAAAATAATCAATGTGCCTCCTATTCGAATTAGAAGTTGCACGGACTGCAGAACTGCCCTTCCAAAAGACTTCAGCTACTAAAGATGTGATTCATGCCGTGTAAATAAAAGCCATAAAGCAAAGCATTACCAAATTGGACAGTTTTTAAACCTTCATATCTTGACATGTAGACCTTTCTGAGCCACCAGAATGACGTTAAACAATTGTACTTGAGTAGTAATAACTTTCTGACACCTTTGCTCAACTTTTTGGGACCAAAAAAAATATGGCTAAAAATCGACTAAAAACCATGAGGGGTACCTCATGCTTTTCATCAAAAATCAAATGATCGCATTTTTCACCTTGAAAATGAAGACTTTTTACTATGGTATGTATTGAATCAAAATGTTTCTCTCGACCCAGAGCAACTTCTGAAACTACTTTTATGAGGTTTTTATATGCAAAATATGGCTATTTTTGCTAAAAGCCTCATTTAAAATTTTATTAAATTGCTCACTAATTTCAGTCAAAACATCTATTTTATTTGGCACCATTGGAAGCGCCTTGAAAAGTGCTCCAAGAATGTATTAGGAAGCATCGTCTGAAAACCACATTTCGTATAGTCGAATATCACAAAATAAATTAAAGAAGTCGAAAGAAAGACAAAATCTGTCCAATCTTGGACAGAAAAAATAAACTGAGTTTGAACTAGTTTTGGTAGGCGGCTTGCTGCTGGCTGACCTAAATGCCTTTCTGATGATGACAATGATGATTGTGATGCTGTTTAAATGAAGATCATGGAATTGAAAGGACAATTACTTAGTGCAAATACTTTTTTTTGGGGGGAACTTTGCCTCATGAAGGTGACTTTTGCAATGACAATATCTCAAAAAAAGTTGCTATAGATCTTACACAAGTTCTGTATTTACACATAGCCAGCTTTATGTCGCCAGCTCAAGAGCAACACCAGCGAATGATATGACAATTCTGCTACCAAAAAATGAAGTGCAAATGGATAATGTAGTATACAGATGCTGTATAAAGCTTGAACTCTCTTTCACATCGTTTCAATAATAGCTTCCGTCGATACCAATGTATAAGCAAAGTGAGGAGGATGCAGGGAGAAATACCTCTCCCTTTCTGAATCTGATATAATCTTTCTTTTATTATTGATAGATTGTTTAAAATCTACTTAAATAGCAGGTTTTTATTGCCTCTGATTTGAAATGCCTTCGACGAGAGCCCGCAGGACGACGCCGTCATCGAGCGTAGCGAGATTGATCGGCTAGTTGTTGTATACTTTTATTCATCTCTAATGTTACTAATAGTCGCTTTGTCGCTTGGCAATATCATAAGAACATCGCCCTAAATGACTCGAGACAGTGGATTTAAGAATTTTACGATGCTCTACGTCTGCATCTACAAGGAAGAGCCATATAAGGGCAGGTAGCATACTTGCATTGCCTCTTACTACTCAGATAGATGTTAAATACAGCATAATTTGGGTGTATTTGAGCAGTGATTTCTCGAGCTAGAAGCCGTTTTGGACCTCCAAAATGTCACCAAACAGTTGCTCTCGACCAGGATTTACCTACTATTATCTTTGCTCAACTTTTTTGGGATCGACCAAAATTCATCAAAAAACCATGAGGGATAACCTCATGAAAAACACCAAAAATTAAACGATCGCACTTTTGACCACAAAAATGGAGACTTTTACTATAGCATGTATTAAATTAAAATGTTTGTATCGATCCAACGCAACCCCTGACGACTTGTTTGAGATACCTTGATATGTAAAATTTCGACATTTTGGCCAGAAACCTCTTTCCATATTTTCGTAAATTATTCAATAAGTTTATTCAAAACATCTATATTACTTGGTACCATTAGATGCGCCTTGAAAAGCGCTCCAAAAAAGCTTAAAGAATATAAGATTATATGACAACTTACATAGTCAAAACTGTCCAAATAGGTCGAATTCAATCCAAAATTTTTGAAAACTGGCAAATCAAAATTACAAAAAAAATATCGGAAATTAAAATTATTTTTGGCTGCTGCGTGCTGGCGAAATGCTTTTCTCATGAAGACATCAATGTTTTTTGAAGCTATTACGAAGAGAATCACGAATTGAAACATACTATAACTTAGATAAAAAAACTTTTGTTTTCTTTTGGTGTACAATGTCATACATAATTCATCTGTTGTACTCGTTGACAAGTATTTAGCTCAATAGTTTCTTAGTGCACAAAAGATCGCGGCCATCCTGAGGTCCTCATTGTATTAATGGCATCTTTCGACCTTCTTATTACAAAACTAATGATTCAAAGTATTACATTTACTTTAAAGCCTATACATCAATCTCATTGTTAAAACTATACCTTGTTTACCGGCAATAGATCTAATTTGAACCAGCATTTGCAACTAAATTTGCTTTGATTTCTTCAGCTATGAGTTTCATGGATAGTGAAAGCACTATACGATAGACTTGAATAATTCAGTCATTTAACCAACGTGTGCAGAAAGCACAAGGACAAGTAGTTTTATATATCATGAATTTATGAAGGCATACCCGACTCAATGTTGAGCTATTAATTCAATCACATTGGACAACTGTCAAGGCTAAATGCGCATCATTGACGCAGACAGGAGACAGAGTGAAATGAACCGTCTTTTTTCATTTTTTTGGTTGATTAGAAAGCTTATTAGCTCCAGTGATGCTTATTAGCACTCTTCGTTCATCCAAATAAGAGCAGAACCATTGTCATTTGAATAGTGTTCAATACAAATTTCCAACAACCAAAGTGCAATTCCCATTGGAGTTAATTGACTAACAAATTGAGATAAGAAGAATTACCAGTGCTTTGGTTTTAGAGGGAATAGAAAATGTGTGCCCAGAATTGCAATAATGAATGCTGCATAAATACTCTTGTAGATTGTGCTCCTCTAGGTAGTCTTGTAGTCGATCGGTTGTAAGGCACCGATAAATGTATTTTTAAGGTTGAAACAAAAGTATTATAAGCAATAGTGCGCTGTGTATAATGTGGGAAAGTTACAAAGTCTCAAATTAACGATTTGGTCGATGTTACAAAGGTCAGTTGAGCACTTTGCGTCTTGAATGACAATTAGACTTTTAAATGAAATACACAGTACACATGATATCTTATTCTGAGCTTGGGGTTAAACCCAATACAGTGGATCACATTTCACATTCATGCTGTTTGATTCATCATCGCAATTAGCGTGATCGTTGTAGTGCAAAGATAAGCTTATTAGTAATGCAGTACGGCAGAATGCCGAGCTTTGCTTATAAAGACTTTTATTCTAGATTTTTAAGAGAGCCCAACAACTTACAATACTGAAAGCTTTTAGTGTCATTAGAATTGAATAGCTTGGCAAACGATAAACCAACAGGCCGATTTGTGTACCGTTTATGCATAAACTATACGTTATACCTTGTTTCAATAGCAACCTTCCACAGCTAGCTATTCTTGCGCATGCTACATATGTTATCTGATTTTGATCCAAAGTTCTAGTTTATAGGGGCAAAAACAAGTTCTGCCTAGATCTGGTCAAGTGTAATATTACACTTGGGTTGGTGTATCTAGCTATACCTTTGCGATACAAGCTTGTAACGTGATAGCATCATTTTTGTTTTTGGTAATGTGTTACGTTATTACCGTGAAAATATAGAAATGAATCTATACATGATCGCATGGTTGAAATGAGGAAGTTTGATTAAACTTATTATTTAAGGTTGATACTGGCTGTTCTGTTTTATCGGAAAGCGTTCCTTGATTTCGTGCAACATCGATTGAATACAAATGTCGCGGGCAGCGATTGCTGTTATTACATGTTGATAAAAATCGTTATGAACATTGTTATTTCATACTGCAAGATTGGACTGAGGTATGCATTTACAATTATAGTTACTCTGATAAAATTAATAATAATCGTCGACTTCCATGTATAAATATTGACATTTTCAAAATTGTGCACAAACTAAAAATATGGGTACTCGAGGAATTGATGGGGGGGGGGGGGAGAGATACCAAAATCGCATCAAAAAAAAAAACAAGTTCAATCTGAATCGGGTCCTCTGAAGAAAGAAAACTGATGAGCTTGGTTGATTCGTATCGAGATTAGCGATCGATTTTCAGTATATGCTGGTTAGACACATCTATTTCTACTAGACGGAACTCACCATTTCTGGCCATCATTTAAGCATTTCAAGCTCTTTGGATATTTCTGGGTAAAGGTTACTCAAATCTGTAGAAATAGATGCACAATTTATTTTTCAGGTAAAATTGATAAACATATTTGTTGCAAAATTCAGGTACACAGAATTATCAAGACGTCATTTAACCTGAAAAACGCCCTCGCATCTTCCATATTACCAATCTCTGTGTGTGTGTGTGTGTGTGTGTGTGTGTGTGTGTGTATTTGTGTATTACTACATTAAAGATTGAAAGCCTAATATCCCGCTTACTTGTCAAAAAGGGGTCAAGATACACAGAAATATTGTTTATATGATTACATATACACACCTTTTTTTTGCAACACATAGGAAAATTTAGTGAATGTAATGTATTTTTACCAATAAAATGGCGCCTATTTCAGAAGAATTTTTATCTGGGCTAGTGCCATTTCCAGGAAAACAGCCCGGTAGCAAGCGAGAGAGAAGCATTTGAGTTGACAAATAAATGCTGCCTTTGTTTTGCAAGCAATCAGGTGCACAAAGTGCAGTACTACAATCCGTGAGGTTCTGAATTGAATGCGATATATGAGAACAACGGGCTTAGATTGGCTTGCAAAGCGAGATACATCCATGTAGCCTTGTTTCAATTTTGCATCTGTGTCACTCAAGAGTGTTTATATTATGATTTAGAAATGCCAACCCACCAACATGATTTGCATGCCTGTTATTTTTTTCGCAATTGCCTAATGGATCAACCACTTGGTATTATTGTTGTTATTTTATTTTATTTTTTTTCGAAAAGATCAAACAAGGGCGTTTTTTTTTTTCTTAATATTAGTTTACATTAGAGCGTGCATCAAGTAATTGTGAATCATGTCATACAAAACCAGGTACAACACACATCAAATGTAACTCAACAGAAACTTTGTGAGCCTAGCCATCATAATAAAGGCGAAGCTATCTTTATATTTATACATACACACACGCAGATCTGCGCACTTCCTACTAGTTGAAATGTAATAACAACAAGTAGTCATTATTTATTTATTTATACTATCCTTGCTCGAAATCGACTGCTACTATGAGTGCCATTACTACTATTAGCACTACTGCTGTGGTTACTACTGCGGGGACTCCAGTGTCTAGTCCACTCACTGGTGCGAATCAATACATTTCTGGCATCAGATACTCGCTTGAATAGCTCACGATAGGGGAAACCTTCTTGGTAGCCTCCCGACCAACGATCTAGACTTTCGTCAGCAACATCTGCTTCATCCCAGACAACCTGGCTCTCTTGGTGAGGTAATGCTGGCTCCAGGTATGCCATTTGACGTCGAATGGATGCAATGAGCACATTGCAAATAGCAACATAAAACTTCCTGCATGTTCTGGATGCTCTGACCAGAGAAGGAGTGTCGTCAGCCAAACAATCAAGAACAAGCTCTAGGATCTCTGAGGGAACATCGTCAACCAACCGGCTCGTTGCGCTGTCTTGTAGATGCGTAATGTCTTTTACTGGTATGTCGTTCAAGTCAGAGATGACAATGGCTTTATCAGACTTATTTAACAGCGGTGGAGGAGATCTCTTTGTTGGAGGTCTGGATAAACATTGAGCAGTGAGCGGCCTCTTCATATTGATCCAGTTGGAAGCCAATTTTCCTTGCTGACATTTGATGGATCTTCTTTTGAGTTGATTCATGATTTCGTGAGCATCTCGAAGACAGATGATGCCGCTCATCTCTAGTTTACACCGAGTTTCTATTAATCGCTTCAACAAATATTGATGAAAGTATTGACCGGGACCGCGACCGATATAGACGGAATCTACCGCCAAATTATTGGCCACTCGCAACATGGCTGGCATGAATTCTGCATCAGACAGATGGACTTTTAGTGCTCGAACTAGTTCTACGGCACCGCCCTCTGTTGATATGAACGGATAATCCAAAAAAGGTGTTTTCGCTTGTATTTGGCCCACTTGTGCATTTGTACCCGGACAAAGAACAAGAAAATATGCATCATACTTCAGAAGTAGTCTAAAAAACTGGATTGGGGTGAGTCTCTTTTCAGCAATCAAAAGCGGCTCCAAGCAGCCCACTCACTCTTTTTCTGACGGGATCAATGGTGAATTCTTGGTGTGTGAATGGATCGATAAACTCATGACAATCAGGGTCCAAGCCGTACATATTTAATACCTTGAGCAACTGAGGACAAGCAGGACATGTTGCGTTTTTTAGTGTTATCAAAATCAAATGATAGTCTGTGGCAAGTTGCTTCACGTCTACTCGGTTACCCTATTTATGTATATGTGAGCTGATGTTTTTGCATAATAAAAATAGACTTTTTAACGATATGTACTCGAACATCCAACAGGTCCATTTGAGGAAACGCTCTTGGTGTAATTGTCATTGTTTGGAACACGTCGTCGTTGTAAAATGCTGCATCGCCCATCTTACCAAGTTGCTCTGTATAGTAAAGAGAAAGAAAAAATGAGAGAGAGAGAGAGAGAGAGAAATGAGAGAAGGAAAAAGAAATAGCCCTAGTCGCATTTCCATTGGACTAAAATAAGCACTCGTTGTTTCAACATATGAAGAAAATGAGAAAAAAGGGGCATACAATTTATTGAGATTTTACATATATATGTGTGTGTGTGTGTGTGTGTGTGCGATGTACTTAATAGCTGGATGTCTATCTTTGGAAGATGGAATCGTGTATAAAATAACACTATAGAACATCGAGGAATACTTCTCTTTGGATTGAGCTTCGTCAAATTGCTTGGGTTGAGTAACATGGATTTCTTTTTGATAGATGTGTTTTTCGTTGCAGTCTTGACAAAGCAAAATGAGTGGCATAAGGATAAGAATAATGGGAATAATAAGGGGAATAAGTGGAAGCAGCAATAAACAAAAGAACTAGAGTAGATACAAGGAGGAAAGAGGAATAAGCTAAGGTAATGACAGAACCAAAGAACCAGTATTGGATGGGGATTAAAAAGAAAGAACAAATGAAACATTTACAAAAGAAAGACGGAGGAACGTGAAAGCAGATGTGAAGCGAACAAACTAATAATGATACTAAAGGCATATATGTATGTATGTATATATATGTAACAGAAGGGATTGTAATAAAGGTTGTGTCGGGTTTGTTGGTTTTTTTTTTTGAAGTGTCTTTTGATAGGATTTTCTGATTTTTTTTTTGGGTTCATTTCGTTCTTGATCTGCTATCTGATTCTGCCTTTAGTTTAGCAAATGCTGCACTGTCAAACATAATGGCCGAGTCATTTTGGGTTTTAACAGACGGTAGCTGGTTGGCTCCATGGCTGGAGAAAGGCATCTTGTAGGAGAGGAGGTTGGCGATGGCGAGGAGTCGTCAGAGGATGAAAAGGACGACATGGATGATGTGGATGAACTGGATGGTGAAGTAGGTCCATAGCACATAGACGGAAATGTGTTGTAATTTGCATGTCCTTCGCATATGGCAGTTGATTTTTGGATCAGTTTTTCGACATACTCTCTTCTCTCTTGGGATGTAAGGCGTCGTCTGATGTTGGAGGGTCTGTGGACACGAAGATGTCTTCTCAAGTTGCTGATCACAGCGAATCGCCGGCCACATCCAGGTCTACAAGAAGTTTAGTTTCTTAATATTACAGGGTGAGGTTGATCTTACATGTCACATCTGTGAGGTTTCTCTCCTGTGTGGGTGTAGATATGAGTTTGCAATGCACTGGGACGAGTAAAGAACTTGGAGCACAAATGACAATCATATCTCTTTCGATTTGATTTGGATTTAGACAATGAGGTGATGAAGATGGGTTGCTGATCCCCATCGTCGAATGAAGCTTCGAGCGCTTGATTTTGTTTGAAGGACAAAGACATTTTTTTGAGTGGTGGATGATATACTTGTATAAAGTTCAAAAGGAAAGAAGAAAAGCAAAAGAAGGAAATCAATCAAAAAATTAGGCTTTATATACTGATAAAATAAGGGGGGGGGGGGTTTAAAGTGATCGATCGGCATATAGTAATCCATTTTTACATGTAACATTTATTTAGAAGATAGAGAAGGTAAAATAACAAATCAACAAATCATAATAGGCTATACGAATTGTAAATAGTGATTTTATCATGTAAGCTAACAATTCCTAGCCAAAATATCCTTCTCCAAACTCTATCCTTATTTGTATTACATATCCAGTTTTATCTACAGAGAAGCTTGGGGGAAGAGAGAAAAAGTCTCGCTGAATGGATGAAATGTCAATGATCCCAATTAGGCATTGCCACTAAGAAATCCCCTTGGAAAAATCAAATGACATGTCAAACTTGACAGCAATATTTATTCAAGATATAAAATGGTCTTGGAAGCCGTAACCAAGTTTATCAGTTATCGCCGAAAGAGTTTTAGGGTGAGATAAAAACAGAAGACGCAAAGAACAAAAAGATAAACCCTGCCCCTTGTTTTTTTTTTTTTTTTTTTTTTTTTTTTTTTTTTTTTTTTTTTTTTTTAGTTTTGAGTTGTGTGTATCGATTCTAAGCAATTTTCCTACTCACTACCTCTCTGTTTTAACTCTTTCTGCTAATGACGCATTTGAGCAGGTAGGAGTAACAACAACAACAACAACAACATTCTTTTTTCTCAAGGATACTGGTTGCATATTTACAACAAATAGTAATACAAAAAAGTGTGATGTGTATATACCGTTTGTTTCCGTGTGAATTCATGGGAGCTCGTATTTTCTCTTCTGGCCATTTCATCTTGAATGTGTATATACAATCGCATTTGACTAAATTAATACTAGAATGCACATTTTATCCAAGATAAATAAACAGTTCAGTAATGTGCATTTTAAAGTGCACATTTTGGTTCTCTGTTTATCATCTTTTTTTTTTAAATGAGTTATACGCATTTATTTGTTTGCTTTAAATATAGACATGTTGATACATGGATATCTTGAAAGTCGAATTCTACAAGTATCAGCATCGTTAACGGATACCTGAGTTGCGGTGGGGGTGTGCTTTTGTGGTATGTTGATTTACATTTGCAAAACAATGTGTTTATGAAACGAGTGCACAATAGAGAGATGCCATATGCAACCACAACAAATAACAATTTGATCGAAATTTTTGCTTTTTTAGTTCTTGAAGTGTCGGAGGCAACGGGGGGGGGAGCAGAGGCAAGTGATACAACTGTGCTCCCAACGATGATGTGTGAATGTGATTTGGAAGCGGCCTTAAATCTTGAAGATGTATGAAAAAGTGCAGTGATAAAATATTGGTAGACAACATGTACGGTGTCAACAGATAGGTCAGTCTTGCTGCTTTTATGCCAGTATAACGTGGCTTGCTTCACTTGCTGAGTGGTGTGTGAATAATTAGTGGTAGAATACTAAGGTGCCATAGTGTTTTACATGTAATGAATTATTCAACCTCATTTGATGTCTCGGCTATACACCCGATCAAATCACCCCTTCAAAACTACAGATTTCGTACCACAGTACTCAAATTTGTATTTGAGAATATCATGCCAATAACGCACACATTGATTGATTGTTTAAGGAAGGCTCCGATAACTCGTTTTTTTCTTCCTAATAGTATCATTCATGTAAATATATACTGCCTAAACAAGATAATGATGTCTCTAGAATGCTTTCTGCTAGTCCCAACATAGCAAACACCAGCTGATGTTGTTTCTTCCAAATGTGTATATAACCAAGTTTATATATATCCAGTAAAACCCACAGCAATGGTATGAGGTAGCACCACGGTATTTTATCGTTCTTTTACCTTAATTTGAATGAAATCGGCTGCAACCAAATGTCGCACACATTATCTTTATGTCTTGGATTCAAGTACTAAAAATCGTGAGGGCTCTTTTTTTTTATCATATGATGATCAAAACAGAATGCGCATTCGATAAGCCAATGTATACGCGTCTATATATAATGGCACGATCATCACTAGCCCCACAAAAAACCACTACATTTAAAAATTATTGGCCCTGCCGCCTGGGACCGAGATGTCATTACTTCTTGATGGAACCAGCCTCTATACAAGCGTGGTTACTCAAATGATGTCATAAGTAAACGTGGGCGAAAAGAGTAATTTTCTTCTGCTTTATTTGATTGTGTATGCTATATAGCAAGGTTAGGTAACAGTTTATCATCATAAAGTGTCGATAGAGAAACAAAAGAGAATCAAGGACTGTCATAGGATCACTTGATCTATTTGCAGTCTAACTTGGTATAAAACAGAACGCTCGAGCCTCCCGAACTTCTCATTACTGACACGAATGTCTTTTACCTCCGCCTGTCCGCTTGCAATGCTAAAATGGCCCGAATTGGACCGTGCAACTTGGAAGGTTCATGTATCCAACGCTTCACGAATAGCCCATACACAAAAAGCAAGCCAAGTAGCTTAAACGGATGAGACAGGATTGAGGTGCTACGTATTTGCCACCCGCTTGTAAGATGCAGCGTGCAAAATATTATATTGGATAGTCTGCACAAGTTTCCAGATTGAGACCAATACTCACACAATGTCCATCGTGTTTATGATAAACTCAATTTTTGACCATCGATATATCCAAGTGATTTACATCTACGTCAATGCAACGTCAGTTAAAGATGAGCACTGTGTTTACCCATTGTATAAAAGTTGGGGCGGATAAATCATAATCGTCGAGATTTACGGTTTTGTGATCTGCAAGGTACAGAATTACCAAATTTAGAAATTAGAGCAGTAACCATGGCATCCTAGTTTCAAAGTACGCCTATACAGCCTGAGTGAAGAAGGGGGTAAAAAAGATGGACATCATCTACAGAGCTTGTTAAATCAGACCCGTGTTTCTTATTAAACAGCCTTGAAACTTTATTTTTTTGCCACGACTATTTAAGGAGAGGTAAGTCGAACGTTTCAAATGAGAAGGATTTTTTCGTGTACCCTGAATATTTATACACTTTGCATAAATGATCAATAGCACATTAAACCATTCAGATGGTTTTGTCTCACTGTAGAAAACGCCATTTGAAAGGCCAGATTTGTTTCCATACGGTTATCACATTGCTTTTCGCAGTGTTCTTTCAAGGAAATGTACGAATTAAATTAACAGATATACAAAACATGGGCGGAAAAAAAGCCAGCAATCACACATTATCGTAGAAAAAACAAGACTTTATTTTGAATGAAAGTATGCCCGTCTATTTATGAAATCACCTTACACATGCTCTGGATTGTTCTATTTATTTTTACCATGTTGATTATCTTGGCTCGCTGGCTTAGCTAACGTAGTAGTATCATGCCTTTCCTTCTTAGCCTTAGTCTCTTGTTCCACCTCTAATGTTTGATCAGCCGTAGTTTCTTCGGATTGTACCAATTCCAAATGATAATCCGCAATATCGTTTACAATACTAGACAGCTCAGTCAGATGGCCCTCGTGTGTATCTACCTTTTTGGCTATAGGTAAAAGTGTATGATAGTGTTCTTGTGTTACAGTTTGAAGTTTACCGATGGCAAAATTAGCAATCTTGAAACTCTCGGACAATGCTGCTACTTGTTTTTTCAATTTCTCTCCGGAAATACGCTGATCTTCTTGCTCTTTCTCTGTCTTGTTGACTACAGTAGTCAAGTTGTTGGAAAGCTGCTTGATATCATTTGAATATATGTCGAGTGTATTTTCAGTTTGGACGGCTTGCTCAAGAAGATATTTAATGACACCTTGTTCCTTGAGAGGAGATATGCTCTTGTAGTTAGCCTCAAGTGCAGTCAGTCTTGTTTGAACATGCGAACAATTTGCTTGTACGCCGTCTTGAATGCTGGGCAGCTTTTGTTCAATGAATGCTACCTTGGTCTTGAGAAGATTTACTCTGCTGTCAATTTCAGATACCTTGGAGGACAATAGCTCAAAGCTTTTGGCTTTGTTGATAGGACTTGACACTTTGGTAGACTTAGAATCGAATTTCTGTTCCAATGCCTTCATCCCTTGCTCCATCTTTTCATACTTTTCAGATAGCTGGACATAACCAAGCTTGTGCTGATGATCCTTGGAGGTGTTCTCAGCTGTAATAAGATCATATTTGGCTACAAGTTGGTTGACCTAGCAATACGAAGTTAGATGAACATCAAAAACACTCTATGTCATCTACTTACCTTATTCTCAAGCAACTCCAGCTTCAAGTTGGACTCAATACGCTCTTGATTCAAAATCGTTACTGTCTGCTTCAAATCCAACATTCTCTCAGTAATCAAACGATTGAAATGCTCGTCTCTTTGCGTGTAATGTCGTTCAAATTCTCTTTTGAGGTCTATAGAAATGGATATTTCAGATAAGTCACTCAAGTAGACAATACATATTCACCAACGTACCATCTTTCAACTGAATCACCTTGGCACCAGAGAGTTCAGTCAGACCTATTATGTTCAGTTAGTTATGTTTCATCTAACTGTATTATTCAAAGCATAACTTACCCCTGATTTCTTTCCCTAAAGTACCCAGAGGAAAAGCAATAAAAAGAATAAATTTCATGACGAAAATAAGTGGCAGAGACAAGTTTTCTGGAAGGATTTGAGAAAACATAATGATTGTATCCAAAGTTTAAATAGAATCAACTGTTGAAAGTATGGGAGAAATTCAGTATGTCATATATACAGTATATATATATACATATATGCATCACATCGTGCCCATTGTCAATCGGTAATACTGTAAGACGTTGACTGTGGTCATGTATGTGGATTTTAGGATGATTGTTGTTGAAGTAGGGCTCTTTGTATAACAATAGAGAATATCGAGTACCGTGATATTCAATGCTCATTGACTCCAATCGTTCCGAATACCATACATTCAATTTGATTGTCTTTTCCGAGCAAGAGATTGTGGTTGTCCGAGGCTTTGCATTAAATGTAATGGTATACTTAATCTTAGCCCCTAGATGTACCTATTTATAGGATACTTGTACCATTGTCCTGGATAGGTATCTTGGCGAGAGTGATTATCACATTAATTTTAATGATTGGAATTTGAAACTAATATGTTCTTTGATCAGCTTTGCGGTGTGGGTCTAAGTTTCATGTGGTAGATTCACAATTAGCTTTCTATACTGAAATTTTCAATTCTAAACTGCAGATAAGCTTAGGGAATATGTGCCATGGACAATTACCTTACAATGCCTATAGAAGCTAACTTATGTCCTGAAGATGTTTTTCATACAGCAATGATTTTTAAAGTTTACATTTCTACAAGCAATCTCAAACTCGAGAGGATGCTGATATTTAAATAACTTGTCAAGCATCGAAAGGCCAATGCCCATATGCTGAATAATGACTGAACACCTGAAAAAAATATTTTAAATTGAAAAGAATTTGATATAAATGTGATCTCCTTCAAGTGCCTTTTCTCTTTCTGATAGGTATGTGACCAAAAGTATGAATTTAGTGAATTGGCATGTTGAAATAGCAGACTTTTCTATAGTAAAAAAAAAACTTACTAGCCGATCTATCTCGCTACGCTCAATGCCCGCGTCTCCATGCGGCCTCTCACTGAAGGCATTTTAAATCAGATATTATAACATTTATAACCACCATTTAATCAGCATCACAATCATCATTGTCATCATCAGAAAGGCATTTGGGTCAGCCAGCAGCAAGCCGCCTACCAAGACTAGTTCAAGCTCAGTTTATTTTTTTCTGTCCAAGATTGGACAGATTTTGTCTTTCTTTCGACTTCTTTAGTTTATTTTGTGATATTCGACTATACGAAATGTGGTTTTCAGACGATGCTTCCTAATACATTCTTGGAGCACTTTTCAAGGCGCTTCCAATGGTGCTAGCTGTAATAGATGTTTTGAATAAACTTACTGAGCAATTCCAAAAAAATACGAAGTAAGGTTTTTGGCCAAAATGTCAAAATTTTGCATATAAAGACCTCATCAAAGTGGTTTCAGAAGTTGCTTTGGACCGAGAGAAACATTTTGATTTAGTATGTACCATAGTAAAAGTCTTCATTTTTAAGGTGAAAAACGCGATCGTTTGATTTTCGTAAAAAAAGCATGAGGGGTACCTCGTGCTGTTTGGTCGATTTTTGGCCATATTTTTTTTTTGGCCCAAAAAGTTGAGCAAAAGTATCAAAAAGTTACTACTACTCAAGCACAATTGTTTGGCGTCATTCCGGAGGCTCAGAAAGGTCTATACGTCAAGATATGAAGGCTTGAAAGCTTTCAAATGTGGTTATGTTTTGTTGCATAGCTTTTATTTACACGGCATAAATCATATCTTTGTTGGTAGCCAAGTTCTTCTGGAAGGGTAGTTCTGTAGTCTGTGTAACTTCTAATTTGAATAGAAGGCATATTGATTTCGTTAAAACTAATTTATGCAAATTTTGATGCATTATTATGTTGTTCGTAAGCTTGTATAGTATATGATTTATTTTTCAAAAGGTGGTAAATGAGATGAAATAGATATAACGAAATAACATCATTATGATGCATCAGATACGGGGAAATAAACAATCTAAGCTTCAACCTTGAAAGGCTTGAGCTTCCAGATCTTTTCAGCGTAGGTACGAACAGCTCTGTCAGATGAGAAGAAGCCCATACCAGCGGTACACATGATGGATTTCTTGTTCCAAGTAGCCTTATCTCTGTAAGTGTCATCGACTTCGGTATGCTTTTGAAGATAAGACTTGAAGTCAGTAGAAATAAGATAGTAATCGCCACCATATGTCAAAGTATTAATAAGAGGACCGAAAATGGAGGGGTCACCAAATTCACCACCTTGGATAGCATCAATGACAACTTGAAGGCTAGCATCGATAAAGAGACCATGGTATTTTTGGTTATGACGGATATCATCAACAGCATCAGCAAGGACGCCAAACATAAAGATGTTTTCAGCACCAATCTGTTCACCAATTTCGATATTAGCACCATCCACTGTACCCAAAATCAAGCCACCATTGAGAACAAACTTCATGTTGGAAGTTCCAGAAGCCTCAGTACCAGCAGTAGAAATATGTTGAGAGATTTCAGAAGCAGGAATGATGATTTCAGCAAGAGAGACATTGTAATCAGGAATAAAGACAACCTTGAGCATGTCCTTGATGCTAGAATCGTTGTTGATCACTTCAGCAGCACTGTTGATCAACTTGATGACAAGCTTGGCAATGTAGTAACCAGGAGCAGCCTTACCACCAAAGATAACAACACGAGGCACTTGTTGCTCGAGGTCTTCAGGCGCCATCTTCTTGAGGCTCTTGTAGCGATAAATGACACTCAAGATGTTCATGTATTGACGCTTGTACTCGTGAATACGCTTGACTTGAATATCAAAGAGAGCATGAGGGTTGACAGTAATGTTCATGTTGGTCTTGATCCAGTTGGCCAAACGCTTCTTGTTTTGCAGCTTAACATCAGCCCAGGCCTCTTGGAAGGAGGCATTTTCAGCGTACTTTTTCAAACCTTCGAGTTGATCCAAATGAGTAGCCCATTCCTCAGAACCGAGAGCCTTGGTAATCAAATCGCGGAGTCCAGGATTAGATTGATACAACCAACGACGAGGAGTAATACCGTTAGTAATATTGATGAACTTTTCAGGACCATAGTACTTGACAAAGTCGTTGAAGAGATTCTTTCTAATAAGATCAGAGTGGAGAGCAGCAACACCATTGACAGTATGAGATCCCACAACAGCCAAGTAAGCCATACGTACTTGTTGAGGAGAAGTTTCCTCAATGATTGAGATACGCTTCAACAATTCGCGATCAGCAGAGAAATCTCTCTCCACCTTCTGCAAGAAGAAGAGGTTGATGTCATAGATGATTTGCATATGGCGAGGCAAGATCTTCTCCATCATAGGGACAGACCAACATTCAAGAGCTTCAGGCAAAACGGTGTGATTGGTGAAAGCAAAGGTACGGGTAACAATATCCCAGGCATCATCCCATTCCAAACCTTCAACATCGACCAAGATACGTTGTAATTCAGGAACAGCCAAAGTAGGATGAGTATCGTTCATTTGGACAGCAACCTTGTCAGGGAAATCCTTCCAGGGACACTTGGCGCGCTTGAATCGATGAATAATATCTTGAAGGGAGGCACTGACAAAGAAATACTCTTGCTTGAGACGAAGTTCCTTACCGACCAAATGATTATCGTTGGGATAAAGGACAGAAGTCAAGTTTTGAGCATTAGTTTGTTCAGAAACAGATCTATCGTAATCACCAGCATTGAAAGAGTCAAAATCAAAGGTATTGAGAGGCTTTGAAGACCAGAGACGAATGTTACCACAGCCCTTGGTATCAAAGCCGGGAATAGGAACATCATAAGCCATAGCTTGCACCTTGTCGCCGCCCTCCCAGGACATGCGGGACTCACCCTTCTCATTCATTTTGGTAGCAACATAACCATGGAAGCGAACTTCATAACGAATATCAGCACGAGGGAACTCCCAAGGGTTATCGAAGTTGAGCCAGTAATCGGGCATCTCATTTTGATAGCCATCCTTGATGATTTGCTTGAAAATACCATATTGATAACGAAGACCATAGCCCCAAGTAGGGTAATCCAAAGTAGCAGCAGAATCCATGTAACAGGCCGCAAGACGACCGAGACCACCGTTACCAAGAGCAGCATCCTTCTCCTCCACCAGGAGATCCTCCAGATTGAAACCAAGGTTATCCACGCTCTCCCTGTAGTTCTTCTTTACCTTGAGACAATTTAAAGCATTATCAAGAGCACGACCAATCAAGAACTCCATAGACATATAGTAACAACGCTTGGGATTTTCCCTGTGCAACGCTTCTTGAGTGAGGTTCCAGTCTTCCAAGAGACGATCGCGAACAGAGTGAGCAGTGGCTTGATACATGGCCAGCTTGTCGATGTTGTACACGCCGCGACAGAGAGTGGTGATGGTGTGGTGCACGATATCTTGTTCAATGGCATCAGTATCGTTCTTCTCGGGTGTCATGTGTTTCTTCCAGGTCTCTATAGCCTTCTCACCCAACTGTTCACGCTTGGAAGGACGAGATGGGACGCTTGCGGGTGTGACGGGCTCAACATTATCATTGTTATCAACATGAATGACAACGTTGGTTAGACGACGAGTCAATTTAGGCATTGACAGACGACGGGGTCTAGATGATGTAGGAGTAGTACTCATAATTTAGCTTTTGATAAAAGTAAGAAATAAAGTAAAAGGAAAAGGGGGAGAAGCCTTGCCAGAAAGATGAAACGAGCTTTTTATATCGACTTGTGAGGCGTCTTTAAGTTTTCCCTGAATACGTGATATAAATTCAGTTTTTTTTTTTTTCTATTTTTCCTTGAGGTATATCACTAAAGCATTTGTGTCTCACTCATCTTCAACATGGTTAAATCTCAGTTACCGTTTGGATGCCTCTTCTTGTTACCTTGCCACCATCATTTGGCTCAAATTGCTCTTTCTCTTATCGTCCGATTTACTTTTGTTATGTTGTCATTTTTGATAAGATGCTTCCCACACAAGAAAAGAGAGATGTAGAAGAAAAATTATTCACACACGAAACAATATAAACAAAAGATTTCGATGGCTTATCAAAATCATGCAAAAAAGCTTGTGTTTGTGCGCTGGTAAATCAGCTAAATAATGATGCTATAAATTTCTCTAGGCCACACAGTTGTGTGTAGCCAAGGAGTTTGGGGAGGGTGGAGGGGCCAATGCTCCGTTTCAAATAAGCATCGGAGGCATTAAGCTTATTTGAATGGAAAGCAAACGTTCTACCTACAGATTGGTATTGGGCTGGATAATGTCGTGTAATTTATATTTCCATTGCTGTTGCTGCATAGATATTGAGGCGCTTTGTTATAGCATGACTAATGAATTTACAATGCATCACTATGAAAGCAGTCGTCCATCGTGAGCATGGTACAACCGTTATCCTTGCCAATTGTATATATACCTACAGCAATGTGAAATTCAGAATCCATTATAAAACATCTCACTGTTGTTCAAATTGTTTTGTGCTGATTTATAATGCAGCGCATTAAAAATGGCCGTTTTGAAGTTACAATCATCACTATTATTATTTAAAAGCAAATAATCCATCATTTCATGGATATAGCTGCAATGGCATGTTGATGCTGATGACTGCTTAGATACGAATTACAAACCATCACTAGACCACCATGCCAATAGTAAGAGTATATTTGGTAATCTCAAGTGGAGATTTTCCCGCCCCTAGCAATCCAGAATCACATCAAAAGAAAGATCTATGCGCATACAGTTCCTTTAACGAGTAATTGAATTGCCTGATGTAGGTAGAGATTAACTGTGCAACCAAAATATTTAAAATATACTTAGTAGCAGAAGGTATACATCAGGCTTGTCAACTTGGCTTTTCAATTAATGCAACATTTGGCATAGATCAAAAAAAAAAAAAAAAGAATACTTGTAACTTTGCATTGGACACGCAGTAATCGAGTCGTCAGACAGTTGATCGGTTTTGGTTTGTTCTTTTCTCAATTCATACTTTACGGATCTTGTTGATTTTCCATTGAGAATACCACATCAGGTGAAAGTACGACGAGATTTGTTTATACATGATGTAGTAGTGGAAATACTACAGCAAATGGATTGGGAGGGAGCTAGAACCTTATTTTTACTTGTTTCTGCCTGTGTCAATCGTCATTCTTCACTCTCCAGTTAGACCATTTCTACAAACTTTGAGAAAACAGAAAAAAAGTATATATTACGCAAAAAATAATCAGGGTTCATTGATCCTGATCTGCTCCTTTCTAAGATGTAAATACGCAGTAATGCTTCTGTACATTAAAGATTAAGCTTTTGAATCACGGAAAGCATGGTTTGAGATTGCCATTCAACATGCTTAATACGAACCTCTTGCGTTCAATCTCTTGTTGCTTTAGAGCATTCAAACCACATATCAATAGCGACCCAGCCCCTAGACAATTTTTTCTTTCTTTTTTTTTTCCATCATTTGGGGAGAGCGGCCAACATTCTGTACCTGTTTCAATCTTGAACAAGCGATCTGTTTCAAATTTCTTGATCTGGATACCTACTGCTATATGTACGATTTTGAGTGAATGGTGTACGATGCGACCGCTCTCGTTTGTGATGTACTCTACATATCAAACGATCATTAAGAAGGGTGTTCAAGGAATTCTGTCGCTCTTTGCCGAAATCTCTTTTTTCAGATGTGTACTAGCACGCGAGAATTCTCCACAATTCATCTGTTGTTGGGGATCTGCCTATTTCATGATGATCCACATCTGTATTAATGGGAGCGATTCGTATTCGGAAAGATAGCATACTTGCACTGCCCCTCACAGCTAAGTTTGAGTGCATCAAATCCGTATTTTCTTGCGCTAGAAGCCGTTTTAGGCCGCTAGAGTAGCACCAAACGATTGCATTAATCTAACTCTTACTTTCTCGCACCTTTCCTCATCTTTTTTGGAATCACCGAAAATTGACTAAAAACCATGAGGGGTACCTCATGCTTTTCATCGAAAATCAAACGACCGCGTTTTTCACCTTGAAAATAAAGACTTTTACTATGGTACATACTAAATCAAAATGTTTCTCTCGGTCCAAAGCAACCTCTAAAACCACTTTGATGAGGTCTTTATATGCAAAATTTTGACATTTTGGCCAAAAACCTTACTTCATATTTTTTGGAATTGCTCAGTAAGTTTATTCAAAACATCTATTACAGCTAGCACCATTGGAAGCGCCTTGAAAAGTGCTCCAAGAATGCATTAGGAAGCATCGTCTGAAAACCATATTTCATATAGTCGAATATCATAGAATAAATTAAAGAAGTCGAAAAAGAGCAAAATCTGTCCAATCTTGAACAAAAGAAAAAATACTGAGTTTGAACTAGTCTTGGTAGGCGGCTTGCTGCTGGCTGACCCAAATGCTTTTCTGATGATGACAAATGATGATTGTGATGCTGTTTAAATGAAGATCATGGAATTGAAAGGACAATTGCTTAGCGCAAATCCTTTTTTTTGGTGGGGGGGGGGGGTTCTTTGCCTCATGAAGGTGACTTTTGCAATGACAATATCTCAAAAAAGTCGCTATAGATCTTACACAAGTTCTGTATTTACACATGGCCAGCTTTATGCTGCCATCTCAAGCGAACGGATAACTCTCCCTGATGACTCTGATATAACCTTTTTTTTTACTATTAACTGGTTGTTTAAAATCTATTTGATATGCCATTTTTTTATTATCTCTGATTTGGAATGTCTTGGGCAAGAGCCCGCAGGGCGACGCCGTCATCGAACATAGCGAGATTGGCCGGCTAGTATTTTAATACATCAGTGAAATAGACTTCTTTGATAGCAGCTTTTTCGACAAGAAACTTACCACTACATCATGTCGTTAGGAGAATACCTTGCCATCTGGAATAAAAGAGTAGACGGAGCATTTATTATAAGCCTTGTAAAGACATGCCTGACACTGATTCAAATGTGAATGAATGAATGAATGAATGAATGAATGAAAAGAGGAAAAGAAACAAGAGGATAAAAAAAAATTCGTCTATTATTTTCTTTGCGCATCTCTTTCTCTGTCTATTCATCCATTCATCTATATATTACGCACGCTTCCGATATCCTCTGTGCTTAGACAGCAAACCGAGATAACATTCTGTTTGTTGGAGTCAACACCCATGAACCTGTTACTGAACAGCCACAAGACACTTTTACTGCTGACAGAGGAAAGCAAACTGCTAAAGATCAGTGAGTTGTACTTCTAAATGTAGTTACAATGGGCAGTAAAAAGCGGAAGAAGCGACATCCTAATGAATCGACATTAACGTCCCTCATCCAAAGGGCGGATCAGGATATTTCTGATTAAGAGTGTGCGTTTTCATCCAGACAAAAGTAACTCATGTTCAAGCAGCTAAGATATCCTAAGGTATGTATCAAAACATCAACTGATCTAGCCTAACATCTATACTAAATCCTTTATCGCATAGCTTTTACACATCGTCAGCTCAAATAAGAATTATTATCCAACTAGTCATAGCAGATCAGTCATTTCGTTTCACACCATCCGTTTGAAGATACAGGTACTGTTTTAAGCTTCTCTCTTTGGTAAACTTTACACTGGCCTCTGTTATTCTGTAATAGGAACAAGCATACGATGCTATTTAAACTTGGCTACAGACACTAAAATAGCTCAAGACAAGAATGCAATCAACAGGTTATATAGATTGTTGTTGGAAGCAATAGTGCCCTGAGCAATGTATCGGGTGCTTGCCAAATCCAACTATGATGTGAAGCCAGCCAATGATGGTAGTTGTCATGGAGATTGTGATTTATTTGAATATTCTATTTACACTTTTGATTTACTAATTATTATTGATGATTGTAGACTTTTCTATTACTATGGCTATTACTGCTGCCCATCATTTTCCGTTTAAACTCTTCCACACGGTCATCTGCATCCTTTTGAACACGTCTTGCCCACTCATCGTCCAATCTCGAGGGATCACTGATCATGCGCTCCACAATATCATCAAACCGACTTCGATATTTCATTTTGAGAATGTCAAAGTTCCTCTGATATTCTTCCAGCATACGTGCTTTCTGATCCTCGAATTGATCAATGCAAATGGCTATTTGATGATCGTAATGATCTTGCTCAATCTTCTTTTGAAACAGGTCCATGGCATGCGGATATCGTGCTAGTAGCAAAGAAACCGTGTTTTCGTTGTCTCCTTTTATCAATTGGTCGTCCTTTTCTTTGAGTGCTCTTTCCAATCGTCTTATGCGGATTGTTTGTGTGTCCATTTGACTTTTAATTGTATCAATGAAATCATCTTTGGATTCAATTGAGGTGGATGAACTATCCACCACGTCCATAAATGTAGATTTCAGTTTACTAAATGTTAGGTCATCATCTTCCTCTTCAGCATCACTGTCTGGTCTTTGCTCGTCATCTTCTTTTTTTTCTACTACAGTTTGTCTTATGAGCGGCTGTTTGCGTGCTGTTGATGGTGTTGAATTTGTAAAAGGCTTTGATTTGTTGCTCTTGCTGCCTGCGCCTGTGGTTTCACTTTTGCTGGGCCGTGTGGTGTAGTTCAATTTTTTCAAAGATGCTTGGTATTGAAGTGCTCTGCTACGGCTGCTTGTAATGTTATCTTCACTGAGCTGGCTCTTGCTAATCATTGCATAGGAATCAGTCGTAGAATTAGAGACGTTGCTGCTTTGACTGGATGTAGGTAGTGGCTTTTTTCTAATGTTCAGTCTTGATTCATACATTTACGATATACAAAGAAAAAGAGAAAGAAACACAGGAATGATGAAAAAATTAAATGTATACAGATATAAATATGATTTTGTGTTCCTTGCACGTGGTATTTCTTTATTGTTTGAAGTCTTGTTTAAATGTAACCTTGAGATGAAATAAATCTTCTCGCAACATACGATTTCCAGGGCCTAGTTTTTATTCATGCTCGTTTTTATAATGATGTTGTCTGATTGATCTGATAAGATGTGCGAACTTTGGACAGAATGGAGCCCCAAATGTGCTGAATATCGTCCTGAGGCGGCATTTTTCCAAACACAATGTCATGAGGTATCTTGCCTGTCTCGGGATGTGTGGTGGTATTTAGATGACAACAAAAATCAAACAAACAGTCAGGCCAAACAGTGTGATTTACGTGTTGTTTGCCCTGGAACCACTGTGACAACTGCAGTGCAAATGCTGAGTCCTCTTCAGTGCAGTGATATATGCCAATTTGAGAGTGGATCAGCCGTAGAGTAGGCCAATGACGCGTCAAAGCGTTCTAGAGAGTAGGTAGTAATTCAGTGAGCCTGTTTTGCTTTTTTTTTTTTTTTTTGTTAATGTACCACTTTACTATCATGTCTTGTGTGAACTGGCAATTGTAGCTTAGTATTGATGGCGTTCCAAACTGACAAAATAGTCTGTGCAATGCTGGTATCACTGACTGCACATGTATAGTATCCACAGCATAGGCCCAGTGAAAGTTTGAGTACACATCCTTTAAATGCAGAATAAACGGGGCTTCTGATCCAAGCCGATGCTCGATCAAGGTCATCTAATGTTTATATACACGTTTGTTTCGTTGGTAACAGAGCGTTACATTGTATTACCTTGAGCATGGTCATGAACCTAGTCGTTGCAATTGGCTTTTCTACTTGGGTATCCGTGCTTTCTTTGGTCTTCCGCTTACTGGCACATTGAGTGCATTTTTTGACAAGGATATCGCATAATTCTTTAGGTACATAGGATCGAGATTTCTTGACCTGCATATGTTTGTGTTTCATCAGCATGAATCAAGCTATGCATATAGTGTAACCTGCTTACCCAGTCGTAGGTAGGATCTCTTCCTCTATGATTTGAATTGATGTGCGCTTCTGTAATCACATCAAATAGCTCTTCTCGAGGGCAGACTGGCTTTCCAACCACATCGTGATCCTCTCTGGCACAGAGTACCCAGTTACCTCGTTGTTCTTTGCGGGAGACGAACCTCTTCCTTGCCCAAAATCTAAAACTGGGTGTTCTAACCTGGCTATTCTTTTCCTATATTTGGGATTATTAAAATCTTCTTTTTCCATTATACAATAGCTGCTACACGTTACTTTGAGTACGAGTAATACGTCTTGAACTGTGGCTTTGGTAATTAGAGCTTTCGCCTGAAATTTGGATGTCTTTCTCCGTATAAATGCCTCAACCATCTCTTCAAATTCCTCTCTTGTGATCCAATCGACAACTTTATCTTGGTTTGACAGTGTCATTTTGTCAATAGATGCTGCTAGAAAGAAAGAGAGAAAAAAAAAGGTACAGCAAGTAGAAGATGGCAAGAGGAAAAAGGAAACGGGCAAATTTCAAGGTAGACGGTTTTGATCAGTCTTCAAAATGCAACTACTATTCGACTATTTCTCTATTCGTTATAGATCTACTGCAAAACGATAGTTCCATCTGGGCCCGAGTAGACAAGAAGCAAGGGGCAGAAGATAGACGATGAAAGTTGGATTGGTCTAGTGACCATGAAGCCCTAAACAAAATAGGCACACAGGGTGTGATGTACAGTCAAAATCAAGATTGTATCCGGTTCCTATAGAAACATGATCAACAGCTGTCAGAACAAGGCGCACATGTGTAATCTCAGCTGTGATATGCGAGCTACCTTGTTTCTACCATGTATTTGTATGGCAATTTTATTATAATAAAGGAAAAAACTAGAATTTTGAGTATAGGGGAAGGCGATGAAAAAGGTGAGAAAACAAATCTATTTAGCTTGCAACATGCTGATCAAAGAAGCTTGAGATCTCATGATTTCCAAAGCCTGCTTGACTTCCAAATGGCGACGAGCAGCGTCTAACCAATCCAAAGATAAACGCTTGGGCCAGCCAGTCAACTGATTGATTTCTCTAGCAGCACTCTCCAAATCCTTCTCTGTGTTGAGGTAGTATTCAGCACGAGCCAATCTTGATTCTACATCGTCACCAGCTACCAGACCCTTCTTGGTAAACATAAAGCTACTCAACACAATAGAGATGAGATGAGAAATCATGGAAGCATCTTGCTCAGGTATCAGTGAAGCACGACGCACTTCACGAGCGACAGTTTCAAAACGCTCAGACAATGAAGCAATGGAAGTAATGCCATGTTGAGCCACATGCTCTTGGATGCTGGATGTCACCAATTGAATCAATTCATCGCTCTGACGTTCACCCACTTTGGCAAAGGGCGTCTTTGCACTGAGGCGCTTCAATGTCTCTAATTCCAAGGCAAACTGAGTCTTTTCGCCTTTAAGAGCTGCACGCTTCAAGGCATCAATAGCAGCGACCAATTGATGAGCTTTACGGACATCATCCAAAAGCTCGACATCAGCAGAAGCCAACTTTTCGAATTCGGCCTGTTTGTTAGAAACAGCTTCAATGTTGGACAAACGGCCACCACGTTCTCCCTCTACTTGACGTTGCACTTGAGCCACGTATTCCTTTTGGATCTCAATGGCTTTTTCCTTGAGCTCCTCTTGCAATTGCTTCAAGTGATGTTGACGTTGAGAAGTCAATTCTTTGGTGTGAATAGCTTGCAATTGTCTCTCCAATTCAGCCTTGTCAGATGCAATATCAGCTTCAATGTGCTTAACTTGACTCTCCACACGAGCAGAAGCCTTGGCTTCAGCATCCTTGATCTTTTGGTCTACTTGTTGATGGTGTGCTTCAATGTGTTGTTTAGCAGCTTCTAATTCTTTCTCCAATGCCTTGATCTCATCATGTGCCTTTTGTTCCTCTCCCTTGATCAGTGTAAAGGCCTTGTCAAGGCTCTCTAAATCACGAGTAGCAAAATCGACAAGACGCTTAGCATGGCCCGACATACCAGCCTCGTTCAACATGGTGACCAATCTTTGCACTGTGGATCCTAATTCATTGACAATCTCCTCGTTGGCCTTTGCAAAGGTAGGTAAAGGTTGAGGCTCAGTGCTGTGAATGACATTGGCAAACAAGGAGTCCTTCTTGGTAGCCTTCTTGATGCGGAAACGTTTGTCGTTGGATGGTGTGGGTCCAGTACCAGGAGCAATAGGTGCTTCCTTGTCACCTCTGATTTGAGCAATGGCGTCAGAAATATATTCGTACCAATCTTGAGCAGATTCTTTGGTGCTGGCTGCATAGCTCTTAATAGTCTCAGTTGTAGATGAAGTCTGTTGTTGCAGTTGCTTGGCTTGGTTGTAGAATTGTTGAATGCGATCATCAGCAGCCCAATCCTCTAACGCGTCCAACAGCTGCTCACCTCCAGGGACATATGTAGTGTAGGTGTCGTAGAATGCTTCGTTTTTAAGTGCTAAATAGGTAGCGCCTGAGTAGGCTGTACCGGTCAAAAGAGTGGCCCATAAGAGCTTCTTTCCAATTGATCCAGACTTCTTTTCTTCGATAGTGGCAGTAGTGCTGGTGTAAAGTCGCTTGGGCTGTGATGGATTTGCGCATTAGTAGACTATTCAAACCATGGCATTGATGGGATCTTACGGTGTAGGGACGAACCGACTTTCCAACTGTCAAACGAGCTGTATTTCGAACAACAGAAGCTCCTCTCAACATGATGTTTAAATAAATATAGGGGTTGTATATACAAAAAAAAAAGGTAGTTTGGCCTTCAAGATGTGGTTTCCTCGTATTATTTGCCATCTTTCACCAGGGCAGCCAAGAACTCAGCTTGTATTTTGTGTGTGGGGAGAGCTATCCTTTGGTCTACGTCACTTTGTTAAAAGCCTTTCACTATGGCTATCTTGATCTGCTGTCATGTAAAGAATGCTGCCTTGAGGACATTGATTTATAGTACGGTAAGCTTTAGATGAACATTTCGTTGCATTGGATGATGTTTGGTAGCAAGTAGTTTGATGGCATCTCGAGTGATCTACAATCAATGGAGAGCAATGTCAACATCTCACCATGTTCAGCTACAAAAGCCAGACCAAATGCTGTATTTTTTTTTTTGCTACAGAACCTTTGCAAACGCTCATATACAGCTATTCAAATAGTCTATTAAACAATCAACAAAAGATCCTCTAAAGAAAACCATAGCAAATGCAGCATTGCCATGTATCATAGTAGCCCTCCACACCGGGATTTAAATCAACCTCGAAACCACGCCATGTCCATTGAAGCATTGTGTTCTTTTTCCCTTGTCATACACATTCACGCTCGTCATGCTCGTTCTCGCAAGAAGCAGGCTCACCACTACAGCACAGCACGCTAGTCGTCGCTTTTTCTCCAACAAGCAAGGCTTTGATAGTCTTGTTTTAGGGGCTTACACATCAGAAAAGCCAGCATTAACCACACAGCAAGTGTCCAGCAAGACCAGAGACTTGCTTCAGAGTCAATTAGCTCTAAGCAAATTCAAGAAAGCAGGTGATGTTCGTTTGTTTTACAACGTAGGTGGTGTCAAGCAAGTCGCTGTTGTGTCTTTGGGAGACAATTGCAACCAGAATCCACATGAGAAGCAAGAAAGCGTTCGCATGGCGGTAACGTTACTACACAAAGCAAACGTGCGCCATCCTTTACTGATCCAACTTGTAGACAGCCATTGGTATTCAAGCACTTCAAAAGCAAGGATCTGTCTACACAGGTGTAGATGTCTCGGTAGACATCCAAGGAGCTGCTGAAGGTGCTGTATTGGCACAATTCTCATTTGATAAACTCAAGCAAAAGAAAAAGGAGGATCAAGTGGACAGACAGGTGGAGCCCTATCACTCGGATGACAGTGTACACGAAGCCTGGGAGACTGGAAGACTCTACGGCGCTTCACAGAACGTAGCTCGCATGTTGATGACTTCTCCTGCTAATCTAATGACACCCAAGTTGTTTGCAGAGGAAGTAGCCTACTTGCTGGCTGGTTTGGAAAACGTGGATGTCTTGGTGCATGATGAAGAATGGGCTGCTCGTAAAAAGATGAATGCGTTTTTATCAGTAGCAAAGGGCAGGTAAGTGTGTAACAGCCATGTGTAGCAACAAGGTGTATTGATTATCTTGTTCATTAGTGCTGAACCATTGCGATTCCTTGAAATTCATTACAAGGGAGCCAAGAACAAGGATGAAAGCCCTTATGGTCTCGTTGGAAAGGGTATTACATTTGATTCGGGAGGCATCTCGCTCAAACCCTCTACCAACATGGCTTTGATGAAGGGGGACATGGGTGGCGCTGCTACCGTCGCTGGTGCTTTGTACGGTATCTGTAAAATGCAATCGCCTGTCAACATTGTAGCCATGATTCCACTGTGCGAGAATATGCCATCTGGCAAAGCAACAAAGCCTGGCGATGTTGTGAAAGCAATGAACGGCAAATCCATTGAAGTATTGAATACGGATGCAGAGGGAAGACTGATTCTGGTAATATAAAGCATCAGTATATATATAAAGAGCAGCACACTAACGATGTATATCATAGGCCGATGCACTCTCTTACATCTCCACTATGAAACCCAAACACATTATTGATCTAGCCACCCTCACCGGTGCCATGGATGTCGCCTTGGGTCAAGTATTTGCTGGCGTGTTTACCAATTCAGATACGTTATGGCATCAATTAGAAAAAGCAGGCGAATCCGTATCAGATCCTTTCTGGCGTATGCCTATTCACAAGGATTACATTCGAGAAATGAAGCAATCGTTGGTAGCAGATCTAGGCAATGTTGGATTCCGCCGTTCCGGAGGCTCATGTGCTGCAGCTGGGTTCTTGCAAGAGTTTGTTGATAAGGACATCCCCTGGGCTCATATTGACATTGCAGGTGTCATGGACTGTTCGTCTACCAATGGCCACCACATCAAGGGAATGACAGGTAAGTTTACGATTTGTGTTTGCTAGTGGGATTGGGTCTAACCTACGTATGATATGTAGGTCGTCCTACAAGGGCATTGATTGAGCTGTTACGAAACACAATTCACCAATAGTCGTCGTACAGTAGTAAGAATAAAAATATCGATTCAGACTGATATTTAACTTTTGACACGATTTGGCAGAGCATCATTCTGTTGCTTGTTCTCTTATTGATAATTAATGATCGGTTGTATTTATACGTAAACCAACTAGATTTTCTCTTGGCCATTTGTAAATACAAGTGAATAGCGTATATATCATTCATTCTTTGATCTTTTTAGTTTAGCATCGCCTTGTGGATGCTGTATTTACTAAATTAATTGTGAATTTATGTAAATGTATGCATTGATTTTTTAATTATATGAAATGAACACAATCTAAACTGCTGCAGAAGTAAAAAAAAAAAAAAAAAAAAAAAAATGAGTATGGACCAATAGCACGAAACAAGTACCTGAAGAATGTACGGATTAAGGATTCTTTAAGGAGAAGGGGCAGAGCAAACAGAGTGGCGAGGGCTGGAATAAAAAAGCAGCAGTATTTTAATGGTAAATGATGATGATGATGAGATGTGCGTTTAATCTAAATATATCGTCAGAATACATGACAATTTCATTTAGAACCCTGTTATTACTACTGCTGCTAATCTTGAGCATATATACTACTAGTTTCAACATGTATAAATACGCTCTTGGTTTTTACCCAATTTTCCTCTTTTCGATATCTAAATTATTAATTTATATACGCTACCATAATGTCTGATCTAGCGATAAGTCCTTTTACTATATTAACATGCACGCTTGCTATGGTAAGTCGTATCTCGTTGCATGTGATGAAGCTATGGGTGTACTCACATCTGTTTCAACAGGCTGGTTGGGTGGTTACATTTGTTGGTCTGTGCACATCACACACATTTACACATTCAATCTCTTGGTGGATCATCATATTTGAGTTTTTTGTAATTTCATTCTCGTGCTCTGTATTTTGGACAAATTCAACAAGAGTATACTATCCTGTGGTATGAATGTCAATCAGGTTGGGTGATAGTCTTGTACTTAGTTCTGATGTTAGGTTCTTTGTTTGATTGCTATCAGTATTCCATATACAACCGATGAAGTTCTCTTGTGCATTTCGGCAGGTAGAGCATCCTTATCTGCTGCTGCCTCGGGCTACATCATAATGATGATTACTCAAGTAAGACACTGTATTGAAATAATTCTTACCAACATCCACTCACACACAAATGCCAGTTTTCTTGGATATTTCTTTTGGGCATTCAACATGAAGTTTCAGTACTTCGTTCTTTTAGTGATCTGAATCATCACCATCGTGTATACACAAACAGCATTCATCACTATCAAAAGGAGCAGCCATCCAATAACAACATTGTGTTTGGCAATAACACTATGCTGGACCTGCAAAATCCAAGTTATCCTACACCTATCCCAACACAGACCTCCTATCCTACGACATCTCCTAAAAACCAATTGGTCTCGGTCCCAATCTACATGAATTCGCCACCTAGTCCACAACAAGATCCATCAAATACAGTCTTTTTATCACCTCATTCCGAATATTTGATTCCTGTTACAGCTATCCATAACTGTAAGTTGCTGTTGATTCCATAGGCGCTATGTTAAGTCATGCTGATATGTAATATATCTAGATCGAGCAAATAAAGAAGATCCCAACGAGCTGTCATTTACAAAAGGTGAATTGCTGTATGTCCATGAAAAGAAGGGAAGCTGGTGGCAAGCAAAGAAATCGGATGGTACCATTGGCATGATCCCTAGCAATTATGTGAATTAGGAGTTGATTTGTTCCTAACTATTGCAACACCCCCCTTTCAGTCATCTTGTATCAATAATATCAGACACGCCTATATATATATATATATATTCTTGTAATCTCGCCCATTTTTCTAGTTAACTTACAAAGTAAATACATACTAGCCGATCTATCTCGCTACGCTCAATGTCGGCGTCGCTCTGTAGGCTCTCGCCAAAGGCATTTTAAATAAGACATTACAACATTTTGGTATATCAAGTAGATTTTAAACAAACAATTATTAGTTGGTAAAAGAAAGGTTATATCAGAGTCATGAGAAGGAGAGGAGGTATCTTCCTCAGCATCTTTTTTGCTTACACTGCTACCAAACAAAGCTTATTATTGGGACAATGTGAAAAAAAAATTCAGGTTGTATGCAGCAATTCTACATCACAATTGCCATTTTCTGATGATAGAATTGACATATCAATCGCTGCTGCTGATGCTCTTAATAAGATGGCAGCATAAAGCTGGCCATGTGTAAATACAGAACTTGTGTAAGATCTATAGCGACTTTTTTGAGATATTGTCATTGCAAAAGTCACCTTCATGAGGCAAAGACCCCCCCCAAAAAAAAAGAATTTTCGCTAAGCAATTGTCCTTTCAATTCCATGATCTTCATTTAAACAACATCATAATCATCATTGTCATCATCAGAAAGGCATTTAGGTCAGCCAGCAGCAAGCCGCCTACCAAGACTAGTTCAAACTCAGTTTATTTTTTCTGTCCAAGATTGGACAGATTTTGTCTTTTTTTCGACTTCTTTAGTTTATTTTGTGATATTCGACTATATGAAATGTGGTTTTCAGACGATGCTTCCTAATACATTCTTGGAGCACTTTTCAAGGCGCTTCCAATGGTGCTAGCTGTAATAGATGTTTTGACTGAAATCAGCGAGTAATTTAATAAAATTTTAAATGAGGCTTTTAGCGAAAATAGCCATATTTTGCATATAAAAACCTCATAAAAGTAGTTTCAGAAGTTGCTCTGGGTCGAGAGAAACATTTTGATTCAATACATACCATAGTAAAAAGTCTTCATTTTCAAGGTGAAAAACGCGATCGTTTGATTTTCGATGAAAACCATGAGATATCCCTCATGGTTTTGAACCGATTTTTGGTGATCCCAAAAAAGTTGAGGAAACGCGTCAGAAAGTAAGTACTAGATTAAAGCAATCGTCTGGTGTTGCTCTGGCGGTCTAAACCGAGTTTAAACGCGAGACATGACGCCCAACTGTATCCAAATTTAGCTGTATTCGACAAAATAACGAGTAGTGAGAGGCATTTCAAGCCTGCTGTCTGTCTGTAGATTAACTGTTTCATTAGATACGGACGTGGAGCAGCTTAGAAGGGTCAGATCTGTAGATCATATAACGATTACAAATCTTGACGCAACCATTGACTTGAATACTATTGACTTTTATTGTGCGTAGTGTGAGCACCGTTGTAGCAGCAGAAGTTCATTTCGTTCCCACTTAAAGAGCATTCACACAACCATTGTTTAATCAAGTCGAATAGTAAAGTTCTTCATCTCAGGACTTTAACAGAGCAGAGCTTACTTTCACTTTTTGTTATTTGGACCATACATCCATAACATTCTATGATGAAGCTTGACGGTATGACACATGATCCTCTGTCCTTGGTTTTACTCATAATACCCCGCATTTTTACAGTAACTTGATAATACAAATGTCTCTTTTAGTAATCATGAGCATTAAATGTAGGCTTATATCATCTTGTTTAATACATGTTTAAGAGTTTTCTTCATGTCAATGTTGATATCAGTGTGGGAATAGTTTTTCAAGAGAGTTGTACGAAATCTGATTTTGTCCAATGAATAGATACTCCAACACAGTGGGTATAATCACAAAGCTTTCATATAAAAGGGGGAGTAAATCAACGAGTTTTTCTTCTCGAAACATCACTCCCTTCTTTTGTTGTTATTTCCAGTCGTCTTGTTCATATACTCTTCTGTCGAGATAGTCTAGAGCGATGAAACTGCAGCCATCCCCACAACATTTGAAACGAAGCGATGCACAATGAAGCGATAACAGGCGATACGTCTTGGCCTTTTGAAACGAAATTAGAAAACAACTCGAAGCAATCGAATATTTAGATGTAGAAAACAATTGAAAACGATGGACGTACCAGCATCAGCACTTTATATATAACGAGTTCACGACTCTGTTCGATTGTTATACAGCATTTACAAATGTCCGCACTTTGGATTTCACACTGCTATTCGTTTATCCATAAGGTTGCCAGTTTATCCAATTGGATGAATATCCAGCTTTCTCACATTTTGTGAATATGGAAAGCTTCCAGCTTGAGAAAGAATCCTTCTATACAGTGTAACTTTGCCTGTAAAATGCACATCATTTATTAAGATGCGGATAATATATTTTCAATCAAATTTATATTGCATGCTTTATCAGATCTTTTGCATGGTGCTAGTGCTTTTTACTAGTGCAGTAATCTATTTAGCCGTCAAATGGATGATATCACTACTGCAAAGAGAAAGAGAAAGGAGCAGGCGATAATGCATTAGAGAAAGATCTTCCAAATATCATATGACACTGCACGGATTTTTCTGTTTACATGTACAATGCAAATGAATATCAAATGCTGCAAGGAGCGGTTTGATACACAAAGATGCCAGTAATCCTGATTACCAAGACGATAAAATTGAAATAAAAAATGTGGGGGAAACACATCACGTATACAGAACGGGATTACAAACGATCTTAGAGCACTATTTGTTTTGTGTTTTTCTCACAAACAATCAACATCGTTTTCGTCCCTGAGAGCAGTGTCATACAGGCATTAACAAATAAAGGACATTTTCATGAATCTTATCTTATCTTTTGTGAGACAAATTGTTCCAGTTCTTCCACTAACCTGCTCAATAGAAAATACTCAACTGACTCTTTCAAGATGTCATTTTGATTCACTTGAATGTTGCATGAATGACGGGCTATCAAGATGAAAAAAAAAAAAAAGGCGAGAGAATATATATAAAAAAAAAGCGAGGAGAATGATGCTTTGTCATTTTATAATGAAATGCATGCTGTATTCATATATTATATCAGTGATAACAATTGAAATTTATAAGCATCATTTACAAATCAAGACAAGGTTGTGTCCTACAAACCGAACCTTATAATGTGATTTGAAAGGCCGAGAGTGGGGGAATTGGGAGTGCGGGGGTGGGCAATGGCTGGCTGAATGAGACTGGAGACAGCAGGATAAGAGATTAGGAGCTCGTTTTAGGTTTACCACGTTAAATGCTCCTTGTGTACCCAATTGTTTAGCTTTGTGACATCATGTTTGATGCTTCTTCAAAAGACCTCTCGCTCTCTCTTTCAGCAGGTTATACCTGTGACAAGGGTTATCTTCCCTATTGAGATGGAATCTTTCGCAAAGGTAACACTGGTAAAGAAATCGGGGTGACCCCTGCAGGATTATCTATTTCCCCATCATTTACCAATCCCTTCTCCAATTGAAAGACCAATTTAACCCGGATGGATAATGATTCTTATATAAGCAATTTGGTATAAAAGCCGCCTTTGCGCGTTAAATTATTTCAATTTCTTCTTCTTTTCCATTTTTTATATCATCTTTTTTGTTATATCTAAAATGTCTGCTCTTCGTGCATTTACCTCTGCAACCAAGGTTAGATTTCAACACATTCATACACGCTGCATTGGTATGCTAAATCAATTGTAATAGGCTGCTACTCAACAATCTGCTTTCCGTCTCGCACCTGCCATGGCTGTTGGCGCTACTCGTGCCTATTCCTCCAAGACCAAGGTAATGTCGTGTTGAAATTCGCTCAAAAAATCTCCTAAAATTAAAACCATGTTGCATGATATAGTCCTTGAAGGAGCGTCTCTCTGAACTCATTCCTGAGGAACAAGCCAAGGTCAAGGCCTTCAAGAAGGAGTATGGTTCCAAGGTTCTTGGTGAAGTTACTCTTGACCAAGCCTATGGTGGTATGCGTGGTATCAAGGGTCTTGTTTGGGAAGGTTCAGTCCTCGATGCTGAGGAGGGTATCCGTTTCCGTGGTTTGACCATTCCTGATTGTCAAAAGGCCCTTCCTGGTGCCGAAGAGGGTGGTGAGCCTCTCCCTGAATCTCTCTTCTGGTTGCTTGTTACCGGTGAAGTCCCTACTACCGAACAAGTCAAGTCTCTCTCTGCTGAATGGGCTGCTCGTTCTGACATCCCTGAATTCGTTGAGGAACTCATTGACCGTTGTCCCAAGACTCTTCACCCCATGTCTCAATTCTCTCTTGCTGTCAATGCCCTTCAACACGATTCTCAATTCGCCAAGGCTTACACTGAGGGTATTCACAAGTCTCAATACTGGGATCCTACCTTTGAGGATACCATGGATTTGATCGCCAAGCTCCCCAAGGTTGCTGCTCGTATCTACCGTAACATCTACAAGGATGGTAAGCTCGCTGAGATCGACGCCGACAAGGATTACTCTTACAACTTCTCCAAGCTCTTGGGCTTCGAGAGCAACAAGGACTTTGTTGAATTGATGCGTCTCTACCTCACCATTCACTCTGATCACGAAGGTGGTAACGTCTCTGCTCACACGTAAGTGCATTATATTATAGTGGGGGTGTATAGTTTATCTGATGTTTATTTCCAATCTAGTACCCATTTGGTCGGTTCTGCCCTCTCTGATCCTTATCTCTCTTTCGCCGCCGGTTTGAACGGTTTGGCTGGTCCTCTCCACGGTTTGGCTAACCAAGAAGTCCTCCGTTGGACCTTGAAGTTGAAGGATACTATTGGTATCGATGCCTCTGAAGAAGATATCAAGAAGTACCTTTGGGATACCCTCAACGGTGGCCAAGTCGTTCCTGGTTATGGCCATGCTGTCTTGCGTAAGACTGATCCCCGTTACACTGCTCAACGTGAGTTCGCCTTGAAGCACTTGCCCGATGATCCTCTCTTTGGTTTGGTTTCCAAGTTGTACCACATTATTGTAAGTATATTTCCTTCATCATAATGTGTTTGGGGTTCTTTTGGTTATCATTGGAATGGAATACACAAAGACATGGAGTTTTAAAAGCGTATCTTCTTTCAATTTTACTAACCCATTATTATTTACTTTTTATAGCCTGGAGTTCTTACTGAACATGGTAAGACTAAGAACCCCTGGCCCAATGTCGATGCTCACTCTGGTGTCCTCCTCCAATACTACGGTCTCACTGAACAAGATTACTACACTGTTCTCTTTGGTGTTTCTCGTGCCCTCGGTGTTACATCTCAGTTGATCTGGGATCGTGCTCTTGGTGCTGTAAGTATAAACATGAACATTTTGCTGATGAAACACATTGCTAATCCTTCTTTAAACTTGAATTTAGCCCCTTGAGAGACCAAAGAGTTTCTCTACTCGTGCTTTGATGAACATGTTTGGTGCTGCCAAGTAAAAGACCAACATAACTGTAAATACACTTTAATTTCACAAAATAAAAGATTATAATGAAACAACATGACTTGATGATCTGGGTGTTGTATGCAAGCACTCATTGCAAACAGTGAGGCTTACAAAATGGCATGAGCAATACTCGATAGTGTATTTGGATATGCTTGTATGGAATCACGGAAAAATCAAGGATGTATATCTGTTATCACAGATAATCTGATGTCCACATATGGAAGTGAGAATCTTTGATTATCTGCGTCAAAGATCTATATGGCAAAGTCATCTCTATTTGTGCCTCTATGCACGATTGGCTTACCCCAAATTACGTTGACAAAGGTCAACCATGTTGAGCATTTATTTAAATATATATAAATTTAATGATTTTGCATTTCTATCATGTGTAACTAGAGGCTGATAATTCTTGTTGGGGATGACAAGCAAGTCGTCATTTGATTAAAAGCTGTGGTTGCTAATATTACTCCAAAAGACAATCATCGTAGTATCAATCACTTTTCTACATCATTGGCAATAATGTGCATCAAAACTAAACTCTGTAACTAAACACCTTTGAAGTCAATAGATAAGAAGCGTAAATGAGAGATTGCATATTGTCGGTGTACGTCTTATTTCAAGTCAATTGACTTCCTGCTCCATAAATGATAGGAAGTTGCTGTATTTGCATAGTCCTAAAATTTGGGTTTCGTCTATACGTGGCTGGAAGTCTCTAACATAATAAAACTGGACTATCAAGCTCCACCATTACTGATATAATCACTGTCAATATAGATTTTATATCGACTGTTGGACTAAAATCTTCTTATGATTCACATTTCTCTCAACTTATCAACGCGACACGTTTAAGGTGGAGCGAGTTTTTTTTGAGTTTTAGATTTATGAGTTCAAGTCGGATGTATCTCTATCTGTTAAAGAAGGTGTTATCTTCATAGCCCTTATAGACCGCTCTGTAGCTTTGAAACGGCAACGATTGTCAAAGGAGATTTAAATGCTGTACACATAACAGTACTCAAATCCTAGCTATTGGAGCAAGTTGTGAATAACCGTTTGTAATGCAGTGAGATAGAATAACAGTTTGCTTATGCAAGAATGACACAATTTTCTCTGTTGTCAGTCCTCCCACATTGCCATCATCTGGACGGGGTTGACGTTTAATCCAGCCTGTCCTCCTCTCCAAGATGAGCACCTCTTGTTTCTGGGCCAAGTCTTTTCGACGTTAGAACGATTGCTCTGGGCTAGCATCTCGGTCTACAGTTTAATTGAGCAGTTCCTAGTCTATTACTACATCCGTTGGCATGGCTTGATTAATAAAGCTACCACAGATGCAAAAAAAAAAAAAAGTAAGCGATAAAAAAGAAAATGGGGTTTCAGACCATGCCGTATTTAATCATCATGTCTGATAGATTGATCAGTGATGTGGAAGCTTTGTAGTTTATATAGGAGTAGTATAGTAATCTGCAGTTGATTGCGGCTTATTTTGCTCCTTAAACAAGATAACCCACCAATACATATCAACACATGTTCGGTCCAATGCTTATGCTGAAGCTTTGCTTAAACAAGTGTATGCGAGGTTTAGAAACAAAGCAGTTTCCAAAATGTAGACTGCTATGTCCCAATTATGAGATAATGGATATTTTATAATAGCACATGTTAGCAAACAAGAGTTACTCTTGTTTACTGATGAGCGTGCTTAATTATAACAATTGTATCGAGCCGCTGCGTCAAAAGAATCAGAAGAGCAATCAAATGAAAATACTAATGATTCTCGAGATTTCTCTTTTTCTTTCTTTCTCTAATAGCTTAAACTTTCTTGTCATGACTGATAGAAGACCTGTTGGTGCTTACAACAACATTGCCAAGAGCATTCGTTCGAATGCAAGTGCCGGTACCGACGGTGAATAGCTGCTTTTAATAACATTTGTGTTGGCAATGCTGACCTGACCTTTCTTCAAAGCACAAACTGATATTCCAAAAACCCTTCAATGTGTTTTCTGCAAAAAGGTAGGTGCTATTCAACTATGAACAGGCTCGTGTTGGGCAACTATATCACATATTATAGGACAAACCTTACGAGGCTTTCTCTACTACAATGATTTCAAAGACATCTTATAACCGTGAGTGTTTTCAAATAGACTCCAGTCAATTTCTCGTTATTTACGGATAGTTATATAGCTTATGCTCCGTCTTCCTTCAATGCCAAAAAGAAAGCGATCAGTTGTAAGAGCTGCACTGCAACTTCTGTCACTCATTTGACTTGTATGATTTGTTCCGAGAAAATGCCATTAAACAAGTTTGCGAACGTAAGTTATTGGATTTTTTTTTCGGCCGGCTCATTGACTAGCCATTACTGACATATCGTGTTACTAGACCCAAAGAAAAAACCATGAAAGAGCTCGTTGTAAAAAGTGTATCGAGAAACGTCAAGAGGAAGATGTCTGGAGCGACAATGATATCACAGATTCTGACGACGATTACTAAATATCTGGCTGCCATGGTTTCTATTGTGCTCATTTATATATTTATATTACATCCTTGAGGTAGCGTTTTATATATACAACTGTGTTCTTGCAGTGAATAAAGTAATAACGCCATTCGATATCGATATACTCAAATATCAAGTGAACAATGTACACCAGAAACTTGATATAAATACCATTGTATTCTCCTTTGAATTCTCTACAAGTTTTATATAAGTTTGAAGGGGTGTTTACTATCAAGAAACGCGTAACTTTAAGGTCGATAGATTTCGGAATCCCATGGATCATCATTCAGGACAATAGAAATTGAATCTCCGTTGAGCTTTCGCATGTGTACACCACACATGTATGCATTTGACCAAACATTTTAAAAATCGGAGCGTACGAAAAGGGCCATATTAACTTGTTAATTTTAAGTTATCAATAGATACCTGACATGTTGAAAAATCTTGTTGTTAAGACTAGACAACTGTAGCTTGCTTTATTCAAGAATAATAACTTTTCTAATTTAAAGTATATATATTCCCCCGCTTAAAAATAGCATCTCCTATGCCGTTTCAACGAATGGCTCAATTGAAATGCAAAATTCGCTATCTTTGTTAAATATAAACTCTTAATTACAAGCTTTAGATTGATAAGTAAGGTATTGGCATACCTTGTAATGGAAACTGCAAAATTCCATCTTGCTTTGCTGCCCTGTGGCAAATACTGAATCCTCGGATACTAAAGCCACCGCCAAGATCGAGAGTAGGCAGATTCAGCGTTGGAAGAGTAATACTGGAGAATGTGATAGCTGGAAACGAGAACAATTTAAATCCTTCTTTATTCATAAATAGGTAAGGTACAATTATTCGATCTGGCGTTCATCGCACCACAGTTTGATATGAGGAATGTCTTTTAAATTTATTACATGGGAAAGTTATACAGATACTACTTCAGGCACGGTGTTGTTTACGTTGTTGTTGTTATAATAATGGAGGAACATCACAATTACCACAGAGAAGAGCATAGTTATAATGCGGTCAGTATTGTTAACCATTGAGGCATTATTTGTTTTAGCTTAGGAATATACGTCAAAACTGAATTATCTATAAAGCGATGTAATTTGCAGTTGCATGACCAGAGGTTGTGCAATAATAGTAGGTAACTTCATTGAATAAGCTCGCGATGCTGTAGCACGAAGCCATCGTGAAGAACATTAGTATTGTATATACGTAGAATTGAGCATATAAACCTTCCATTATAAAGCAGATCAGGGTTTTGATTGTAGATATTATGGCTCAGCATAAAATGTATGTTTGCAGTATTGCATTTTTGGGCTTTGCTGATGATGTTAAGGCGTTTGAAATGATACATTTACATTGTAGTACGCATTATGAGGATAGACGATCGAACTTTCTCTACTCGTAAATAATCAATAAAGCGGTAAGGTATTACATGCGATCTTTGAGCACAGCGTTGAATCACACTTTGGAGCATGGTAAGTAGAGAGTCTACCACAGTCTGTCACTGATGCGGTCTAATGACCTTTGATTTCTATCACAATAACGAGGTGTTTTTCTCTTCCTTCTCATTGCGATTGCATCTTATATCATCCAAACACTAGATCGAGATGATACTGGCTATGAAATCAACCGAGCGTTCGTTCATAATACAGTCTAAAAAGAGGTGCACACACTTGATTCATGCTGCGTCATTGTATGCCTAATCAACGAATTATCCACATCTTACTGTGAATACTGAATGGCATTTGAAAATTCAGATTGTATGCTATCAATACCTTGATAGCACACAACCTACGTTCATGGTTTATTGATTTGACACTATGAGCTATGATATCATTTGGCATGATTTTAGGATGGTAAAAACGGTTGCGCTTATTGGATAAGATGAAACCTGCTTTAAATGTTATATAAAAAAATCTCGCAGTTTAATCTCTACCTTTTTTTCATCTTTCATTTATACAGAGTATGTCGCGCCATAGAGCAGTTAGAAACTTGGACATTGATGGTAAAATATCCCCGGCTCAAAAGGCATGTCGACCAAGAAAAACTCATAAACCATGTCTAGATATCCTTGATGAGGATGAATATGAAAGCGAGTACGACGAAAATCATTGTAAGGATTGTACCAGGTGGCAATTGCAAAGCAACATGGCTCATTGTATCCATTTTCTAGTTGACGAGACAGAGATTTCGAACGAAGATTTAGATAAACTGGAAGATGGATTAGCTTATGTGTACAGCGTCATTGGCGAAGATACCATCTTGACGGCAACAGAGATCAAGGAAGCGTTATGGTATTACTATTTTGACAGAGAGGAGACGATTAATTGGACACTTGGTAAGATTGATAGGCAGGGAAGCGATGTCGATGATTAATAAGAATCCACAGAAAAAATTGCCAAAGAGAAGGCATTAGAGGAAAAGAAGAAAGCAAAAGAGGAAGCCAAGAAAGGTAAAGGCATTGGCTTGGCAATTTTTTTTTTTTATAGAGCAAGAGAGAAAGGAAGGGAGAGACTTTGTATAAAATCACGCCAAAATGAAAAAGGGCTTTTTTTTCTTTTTTTCTTTCTTTTAGTTTCCACTCGACCTACTAAAAAGGTAAATATGCTTTGGTTGTTGGATACATTCAAGATGTTCATCCTTCTTGTTAGTATCATGAGCGATCAAAACAGTAATAAAAAGGCAATGCCTTCGCTTTCCAGTTTATCCAACTCGCGTCAATCATCGTCACCAGCAAACAGCTTGGCTCAACTTCGACAAAATATGCAGAAACCTGTCACCTCTTCATCCTCTTCGCTCGCTTCGCTTGCTTCTTCATCTTCGGCGGAAGGAAAGAGACCTCTGTCATCATTGCAGGCACTGGCTCAAAGATCAAATACAACGGCAAAGACTGCCCCTTCACTCGCTTCACTTGCTGTTAAATCACCCTCACCAACTACTACCCAGAAACCTTTGAACAGCCTTGCTCATCTGGCATCTCGGCAATCAGCACCCAATTCCAACGCTGGTGTTGGTAAAAGCGCATTGTCTAGTCTTGCACCAAAACAGTCCACAGCAACAAGGCCAGCATCTATGAAGCCGGTGTCATCTCCAACTCCAGTTGTATCCGCTGCTCCTGCTGCAAATGTAGACACCAACAGGTTGACGAACGAGGAGTCATCATCAGACGAGGAACAGGAGGAAGCGATTTACGAAAATCCTCTATGTGCCAAACCGTCTGCTGCAGCACAATTCTTGTTCAAACCTCAGCAATCATTGCAATTTGATCCTCAATCTGTATTTTCGCAAGCTCTCAAAAAACCAACCTCGATTCATGTGTTTGAATTTGATCAACCCAGCCCTGATGATATTGTCATTGCTGCTCAAAATCAACGAGGCGGAAAGAAGCTGTAACAGCACTTGCCTCTCTCCCTCTCCTCCTCTCTCTCTCTCTCTCTCTCTCTTTATTTCTTCTCCAACACAAAATTCATAAAACTAACATAAACCTCATTCACATTTAATAGCTGCCGCCGAAAAGAAAGCATCCGCCGCCGCTGCTGCTGCTGCTGCTGCATCAAAAGCCAAGGCCGCAAAAGCAGCCAAAGAAGAAGCAGTTGAATTCCTTTCCGATGAAGAGGAAATTAGTCAAGAAATGGACGCCATGGGATTTGGAAGCAAAGCGACCAAGCCTACCGCCGAGCCCTTTGTCAAGCTGCCTCCCTCCAAGCGCGTTGATGTGGCCCAAGAATACCAAAAGAGATCTGGCGAGAAGCCCAAACTGAACCTGGTAGTGATTGGACATGTGGATGCTGGTAAATCTACCTTGATGGGACACTTTTTGTACGATCTCGGTCAGGTCAATGAACGTACCATGCGCAAATTCGAACGCGACTCACAAAAGATTGGTAAAGGATCTTTTGCTTTTGCCTGGGTTTTGGACGAAACAGGAGAAGAGAGAGATCGTGGTATTACCATGGATATCGCTACCAATCACTTTGAAACCGAACATCGTCAATTCACATTGTTGGATGCACCTGGACACCGTGATTTCATTCCCAACATGATATCAGGTACTGCGCAGGCGGACGCTGCCATTTTGGTTGTAGATGCCTCTACCAATGCGTTTGAGGCTGGTTTTGATGCTGGAGGTCAGACAAAAGAACATGCCGTGTTGGCAAGAAGTCTGGGTGTGCAGCAGTTGATTGTGGCTATCAACAAATTGGACATGGCTGACTGGTCTCAAGATCGATTCAAAGAGATTCAGGCTAAATTGGGTGCTTATCTGTATCAAGTAGGCTTCAAAAAGCCAAATGTGATATTTGTGCCTGTATCTGGTCTGACTGGCGAGAATTTGGTCAAGAAGAGTGCGATTGCTGAACTGACATCCTGGTACAATGGACCTTCTTTGATGGAGCAAATCGATAAATTCGAGGCCCCCACTCGTTTACTGGACAAGCCTTTGAGAATGCGTGTTACAGATTTCTTCAAGGGCGGTATTGGAAGCAGTGGTGGTGTGTCTGTTGCTGGCAATATCGAGTCTGGTACCATTCAAGTGGGTGAGCAGATTATGATTGTGCCTGGAAATGAAGTAGGCTTTGTAAAAAGTAAGTTTGCATGATTAAAAAAGAAGAGGTGTGTATGTATTCAATATTCTGCACATAGCTATGCAAGTGAATGAGGAACCAGCTACTTGGGCTGCTGCAGGTGATTCCGTATTAATGACATTAGTTAATCTGGATATCATGAATCTGAGGTAAGTTTGCAGCCTGAATAAGGATGGCATATCATGTTACTTATGGTTGAATCCAATAGTAATGGGTGCGTGCTGTGTACAGGCGCAAAACCAGTGCCAGTAACAACCACGTTTGAAGCGCAAATTGTTGTGTTTGATATCCGTATTCCCATCACACCTGGATATCCCGTTGTTCTTCACCATGGCAGTCTGGATGAACCAGCATCTGTCATCAAACTCATAGAAATCATAGACAAATCCACAGGCGAGGTGACCAAGAAGAACCCCAGATGTTTGAGCAAGGGAACGACAGCCAAGGTCCAGATCAAACTCTCGCAGCGTCCTATTCCTCTGGAGACATTCAAAGATAGTAAGCAATTGGGTCGTATCATGCTGCGTAAGAATGGTGAAACTGTGGCTGCTGGTGTTGTAAATGAAATTTTGACATTTGGATCTTAAAACTGTATCCAAAAAACCTTTTATAGATGTATGAAATAAAATGTTGGTTATATGTAATCTACATTGTATGAGTGAAGATTCTAGTGACACGATGATGAGGCAGATGTCATGGCGCTCGGAGCATCATTTTGATACTTCTTCCTTGTAAGACCGCATGAGGTAATGCCTTAATCATTACACAGGGTACATCACTTGTGTCACACTGTGGTCCGAATAAATGTGTCTAGAAGACGACATGATGACTAGTAGAAGCGATTTCAATGTTTGAATACATTGGGATTCTTGAGAGTAAGTTCTTGTTTCGTTCTTTTTGCGCCTCATATGAACTCCAGCCTCAATTGGCTTGATGATCAATCTGTTATACGTGTTTTCAAAGCCTCTTGTCAAGCCAACTTCTACGGCGTAAAATGCATGCCATGAACGCATGTCATGTGATGGAACACCCGATAATCAACCACCGTTAAGGAAGCAACGGGCATACCATGTGGAGGGGGGGGGGGCTTTTTCTTTTCGTCTCTTTTTCATCATTTTCATACAACCTGTATCAATTGCATATCTACTCTACACATCCATATGGGGAACATTGATAGTTTACCTGAGATTGACATGAGAGAGGAAGAAGAAGAAGGTCTTTTAAATTATTGAACAGCAACCACAACTCAGCCCTAAACCTATGTATTTTGCTTTACAGATGTCCACCTAGCCCATTTCAAAGTATTAAAGACCATTGGCCAAGGAGCCTTTGGTAAGGTACTCTCTGACTGCTAGCAAAACAATGGCATGCATACTCACAGCAACATTAGGTCTATAAAGTGCAGCATCGAAAGCAGCGAGAGCTATACGCGTTGAAAGTGATCAACAAGGAGAGATGCATCAAGATGAATGCCGTATCCAACATTATCCGAGAAAGAACAATTATTGAATGTTTAGATCATCCACTTGTTTGCAATATGCGGTTTGCTTTTCAAGACACTGAATCAATGTTTATGGCTATGGATTTGATGTTGGTAGTTTAGTTGATTTGAAGTCTCTAGATCAGATAATGTCTAATTGACTTCAACATGTAGGTCGGGAGGAGATCTCAGGTCCCATATTTCCAACAGCACAGTACAACAGCACGATGAAAGGACGATTCAATTTTGGATGGCTGAGTTGATTTGTGCTGTCAAATATCTACATTCGCAAGGGATAATACACAGGTAAACTATGCTTTTAATAAGAGGGGGTTTGCACATTTTAATTAAGCGTACCATACAGAGATATCAAACCTGACAATATTCTACTGGATCAACAAGGGCATGTTCATCTCAGTGATTTCAATATTGCTTGCAATATACCTGAAAAGTACGAAAAGCCACTGATTTCGTTATCAGGCACCGCAGTGTACTTTGGTATGTTTTAGGACAGAGAGTTCATGCAGTTTTCTCATTCGGTTGATGGTAGCACCCGAATATTTTAAATGCATTGGTTACAATGAAGATGTCGATTGGTGGAGTCTAGGCATCACATTTTATGAGTGTGTCTATGGAACGGTAAGAACAGGTCAACTCTTCAGCCTGAGCCATGTATACTAACAAACAAAAACAGAGACCCTGGTTACACTGCACAAATATTGATGATTTAGGCAAACAAATTCTGCATCGAAAGATTCCATTTCCATACAAACAGTCCATTTCAGTTGAATGTGTATCAGCCTTGAAAAGTGTAAGCTCTGTAAAAGTCATATAGAAACAGCATGTTGAATAACATTCATGCAAACCAGTTTTTAGAAAAGGATCCCAAAAAGCGATTGGGTCATGGTATCATCTCAGGCTGGAACAAAATCGCTTCTCATCCATTCTTTCGTTCTGTTGATTGGTACACTATGGATAACAAACAATGCCAACCTTTGTATATACCTCGCATTCAACCATTCACGATACCCCAAGCAACAACAGCAGCAGCAGATGACTTATTATCGCAACAAACATCACACAAGACGACGACTACATGTTCCATCATCCCAAAAGACATAACACCTCCACTGGATGAGGAGGAAGGCGTCATGGGGTGGCTGAATCGATACAAACGATCCAGTCGAACATTGCAGAAACAAAACCGATTCAGTCAAGATCTTAAAATCATACAAGACAAGTTTAAACCATTTGACTATACGATATTCGATCAGTACCAAGGGTTTCTAGACGAACGATTGATGACTGTGGGCCCACCGCCTGATTGGGTCAAGCCTGCTTTTCCTGATGCTGATAATGGAAGTATACTACCGATTCGAAAGATCTATTTGGAGACACCTTCTGTTTTTGATGTGTTTGGAGATCACCATTATATGATGGGACAACAATGTAAATGATAAAAAAAAAAAAAACTCCATCCCTCATACCGCCACAGTTAACCCCATTTTGTATCATATATCCATTCTTGAATAAATCGCCAATTGATTGGTGCTGAAAAGCCTATCTTCTTGTCGTTGTAGCACTACTGCGCCTAGAAAAAGAGGATCCAGATCAAGTCCACTTGCCAAGAGCATGTTGGTCTTCCAAGCTTTATTTCCAAACCAAAATGCACTGGCGTATGTGACGAGTGTAAATTCATATCGAGCATCTGAGCTAGACTATTCAAAAGATGGGAAAAACTATCCTGCACTACGCATTGCATTCAGCTTTCAACGGCGCTATTTTCATTGCTCCTTTTCTACCACTAAATTGAGTATAGATTAAATGAATTGTATTACTTGATGTTATTGAACCCACCAGTGTCTTTCTACTACGTCAAAGATGCTATCAGAAATACGTAGTCTTATGCGTCATATTACTCTCTTTCATATCGTCCAATCTAGATTTTGTTGCTGTGCAGACTAAATGCGACGCCTCAGGTGATCTTCTTCAACTCCTCAAAAGTTTGACAGAAATCGACCTTGTTTCGGTTTATGGAATGCGTTTTGAATAGATCCCACAACAAGTACGGTAAACAAACTTGTATCAAATGTTTCTTCTCGTTTGTGCTTTTCAGCACAACATATATCCTAATATGAATTAGCCTCTCATTTCCATTGTATTTGATAAAAGAACAGGACTCATGCCGCTAAAACACACAAATAAAGATGAGGGTACAACACTAAATAGAACAACAACCCTTTGTTCATGTTACACGACGCAAAAATCAAGGTACCAGGACAACAAACCACGCTCACTGTATGCAGATCACATAAACACTTTTCTCTTGTCGAGAACGACATTACCCCATCTTGTTTTGTATACATTGTATCAGTCCTTATCGAAAACCATACACAACATAAAAAGGAGACATTTGATTTGAGCATGTCAAGCGAGATGGATTTGAATCATCAGAGATTCGATAAACACGCATCATGAAACAATACAGCATCATGTTATATGATATTTATCCTCGATAAACAAACAGTTTTCTGATCTGAATCAACCACTCGACAATGAGCAACATGATAAAGAGGTTGGTTGAATTCAATGAATCCAAATGAATCAATGAAGGCTGACTTGAAATTAAGCAAATTAAGTGACTATTCTGAACATGCTGCTCCCTAACACAAACGCACACAAAGGTAAAGATTGCCCCTATTTTCCTTTTTTCTCTCTTTTATTTCTCTGTACTTGTTCAGTTGGTAAATAAATTCAAAAAGGTAAAGGTAGAATGATGGCGAGATGGAGAGAAAAAGGGCTCAAATGTGGATGGCATGGACTAAATCAGACAACAACGTGACATGTTAGATGTCTGATACCAAAGCCGTTGTGAAGAGTGTGGATATGAGTGAGGAGATGCAACAAGAGGCTATCGAATGCTCGACACAAGCCTTGGAAAAGTACAATATTGAGAAGGATATTGCAGCACACATTAAGCGTGAATTTGATCGCAAATATGGTAAGGAAACGAAAGCGGGAAAGAAAAAGCGAGAGAGATGGAATCACATTTGATTTACATGTCTATTCCATTAGGACCTACCTGGCACTGTGTTGTTGGCCGCAATTTTGGTAGTTTTGTCACTCATGGTAAGATGGAATTCGACAGGGGAAAACGTGTTTTTGTATCTGACATTACCTATCTAGAATCCAAGCATTTCATCTACTTTTACCATGGTCAAATCGCTATTCTTTTGTTTAAATCTGCTTAAATATTCACCCCCTTTTTCTTTCGTTTATGTGTTTTAATTTGGAGTAAATCGACATGTTGTGAAATACATAATGCAATTCAAAGCTAAGCTTTTTGTTATTTTTACATTTCGGTGTGTGACATCAAAAGATGAAATAACGGATTCTAAGGATGATGAAACAAGTCAAATTGAGGCGATTGGAAGTGCAGGATTTTTCCTTTTTTTTTTTCTTACGTCTAAACAAAAGCTTGTCAAATTCTATATAAATCGCACATCATTGATATATTTCTTCTTTTTCTTTTCCTTTCAACTCAAAAATATATTAATCTCAAACAAATGCTTAACCTAATTATAGCTGCCGTGCAGGTAAGGCGATCAATTCATTGACATGTTGTTGCCATGGTGACGATCCATGATCACCATGGTAACCATTCATTGCCATAGCAACCATTAAACATTGATGTTTAGGCAATTTTACAAGTGATGGTGGTGGTCTTTTTCGGTAGTGTGTTGGCAAAGTATGGTTATTTCAATATGGATAAGCAAAGAGTAAGCATTTCTGGCATTTATTGTATATCGTAATCATGACATTGACACTTTTTTTTTTCTGCTAGTGGCTATCCAAATTAAACTTAGTCTTTTTTACACCCTGCTTGCTATTCTCCAATATCGCTTCTGTCATTTCGTTCCAAAAACTATTAGCATTCTGGCCAATTCCCGTGTTCTATCTCACTTTTGCTCTCTTGAACTACACGAGTAGTCAACTCATTACTCGATTGGCTGGTCTCAGTCCAGCTTATCGTAGATTTGTCTTGGCCTGTGTCATGTTTTCCAATTCCAATTCATTGCCGATCGCAACCATATCCAGCTTGGCTGTATCTGAGGCTGCGCACATTTTGTTCTGGGGCGACGATGATACACCTGAATCTGTGGCTGCAAGGGGTATCTCTTATACTCTTTTCTTTGCCATCTTTGGTAATCTGATTCGTTGGTCTTACGGATATCAATTGCTGCAAAAGCATGAAGATGATGTATCAATCGAGGATAATCGCAAAGTAAACGAGGAAGAACAAGTAGAGACCATGCAATCCACATATCACTCATTCGACGGCCACTCTAGCAGCAGCAGCAGCAGCTCAACCTCTGATTATTTGACCACTTCTCGTGATGGCATGCCTCGACAATTAAGCGCAGTGACAATTACAGCGGCAGATGAGAACACCACTCTATTACCTCAAACAAACACCAAGAGCAACAAACAAATTGATACCATAACGGCTCCAGCACCTTTGTACAAACGCATTGCTAAACGTATTAATGGTTTCATGTCTCCTCCACTTTATGCTGCCTTCTTTGCTCTTTTGGTCGGATTATCACCTTTAAAACCAATTCTGTACGACAAGCAATCCTTTTTGTATCCTTCATTTACAAAAGCCGTTGAGAGCTGTGGTAAAGCAGCAGTTCCACTCATCTTGACCTGTCTGGGTGCCCAATTAGTCTCCATTCAAGAATCTCAACATCCTGCTTCTCCTCAAATGAAGAAACCAGTTGCACTCGCCATTGCTATCCGTATGGGACTCATGCCATTTTTAGTTGTACCGATCGTTGTTTTGTTTGTATTGTATGGTTCTCAGTTCTCTACTTTGGCAAGTGATCCTGTATTTATTACCATGATGATCGTATTGGGCTGTACTCCTACCGCAATCAACCTTGTACAAATCACTCAAGTAAACAACATCTTTGAAGAAGAAATGTTGCGTATGCTTTTCTGGAGTTACGGTGTCGTTTGTGTTCCAATCTGTACGTTTGTCGTCTTTTTAGCATTGAATGTTGTAGATAGAATGTTATAAATCTTGCTTTATCTCTCTTTCTCGCTATTATCCTTGTAGAATATCAGTAATACCCCAAATTCTATTATAAAGTAAACATTTTGAAATGTTTACAAAAGTGTTCAGTCCTTAAGCGGTAATTTTTGTCTGGAGAATCAAGCAATTATAGTGTTCTAGATCTGCTATCTTGCCTTCTTTGTGAACACACATGATGCATAGATTGGCTCTTTTAACGCTTTATGGCATTTTGTGATATCCCAAAGGTAAAGTTTATTTCAAACGGGCATCTTTGCAAGGCATGTGGCCTGCTGCATTTCGGTCGATTTTGATAATACACATATATATTTTTCAATGCATTACATGTGCATGTTCTCATATAATTTGAACATAACGTGTGTCTCTTTTTATGTATGCACAGCTACCTATAGACAATGCTAATCGGCCCCTGTATTTTTTATATAGTACACTGGTCTCTCGATAATTTAGATTAGGATAGAGTGCAACTCGAATTCGGAGAGATTCTACCGTTTCAAACCTCGTAGTGAAATTCGACAGAGAGGCAGCTATTGCGCAAGGCAAAACTTTGTCTCGCAATTAATGTTATCATCTGGCCTTGGCAATGTTTGCCATGAGGGATATGTTTCGTTGTGCAATTGGCTTCCATTCTCACACTATACCAACATGTATTGTAGTGTTTACGCAGTATCTGTCAAAACACTGGCCAGTTATCGTCTCGATCCCAAATACGCTCATCGACAAGCAATGTCAGATCAAAAATAATATGACGTTAATTTTAAGATGTAGCATTGATTCTTGGCCATTGAACTGCAAAACACTGTAGGCTGGAAGATGCATGATAGTAGTTGCCTGCAAAATATTGAACCTGGCATGCTGAAATAAAGTGATTGCAAATTATATCAAGAAGCAATATAATCATATCCACTAAGCACCGTCAAAGTGCAATAACAAGCAGATGGAGTTCACAGGCGTATTTGAATAATAATCCAAGCTGACAATCATTATTATATCCGAGAGTTTATGCTACGGATGGCTCTCTACCTTCGCTTTGCTTCGGTAAGACCCAACCTGCGCAGCGGCAGCTCGTGCTACTGATTGCTCTTGTGCATCTTATCAAAATACTGCTACTTTCATTTTGACTCTCCACTTACACATAAAAGCCCTTTATATTATCTGTGTATCTGATTTTTATGTGATACTTTACATCCATATACACGTAGCTACTTCGTATACAGGTAAGCAGCATACCGGTATGTCCCCTTTTAGTCGAGTGTGTATCTTGCGCAGCAAAAACTGGGTACATTCGAGCCGTATTTTCTCGCGTCAGGAGTCGTTTTAGATTGTCAGAATAGCACCAAGCAATTGCTCTTAGCTGGCAGTTACTTATTGCCACTATTACTCAACTTTTTAGGGACCAACAAAACATGGCCAAATTTCGACCAACAAGCATGAGGTGCCCCTCATGGTTTTTATCAAAAATCAAACGATCGCATTTTTGACCTTGATAACGAAGACTTTTACTATGGTATACGAGCCATTCAGCACTTCGGGTGGTTTCCTGACCTACGCTTCGCTTCGGTGGAAACCAACTTACGTCCAAACAACTCGCGCTGCCGCGGGCCTTTGGCTAATATCCCAATATTAATATAGCTAAAATGTTAGAAGAAGAACCCTGATTGTTGATTGATATATAATCACTAATCATAAGAGCGTTTATGCTTCGGATGGTTCTCACCGAAGCGTAGCGAAGGAAGAGAACCAACCTGCACAGCGACAGCTCGAGCTACCGGTTACCCTTGCGTATTTTATCAAAATACTGCTACTTTCATTTTGACCCTCCACTTACACATAGTAACCCTTCATATTATCTGTGGATCTGATTCTTATGTGATGTTCTACATCCATATACACGTAGTTACTTCATATACGGGCAAGCAGCATACTGGTATTTCCACTTTTCAGTCCATAGTGTCACTGATACAGCTAAACCTGAGTGCATTTGAGCAGTGGTTTCTGGTGGTAGAAGCCGTTTCAAGCTGTCAAAATAGCCCCAAATAATTGCTCTCATCTAGCATTTACTTGCTGATATCTTTGCTCAAATTTTTTTAGGACCCAAAAAACATGGCCAAAAATCGACCAAAAAGCATGAGATACCCCTCATGGTTTTCATTGAAAATCAAACGATCGCGTTTTTTGACCTTGATAATGAAGACTTTTACTATGGTATATCATGAATCAAAATGTTTCTCTCGATCCAAAGCAACCTCTGAAACCACTTTTGCGAGGCCTTTATATGCAAAATCTTGACATTTTGGCCAAAAACCGCTTTTCATATTTTCTTGAATTGCTCGATAAATTCAGTCAAAACATTTATTTTACTTGGCACCATTGGAAACGCCTTGAAACGTACTCCAAGAATGTATTAGGAAGTACGGGCTGATTATCACATTTCATATAGTCGAAAAAACTATAATGCGTTGTTATAGCTCTGTGTCTTTTCATATATTTCCGTGTTATACTGTTGTTATAGCTAAAAAAATATGGCAGACGGCGTCAACCTCAAGACCTTTTCTCTTCCAAGGAAGTATTTGCCTGGAACCGATTTAATGAGCAAGCTCTTGTTAGCTGATCAAGATGTTATTAATATTGTTGTCTCAGCAGTTATTGGTATGATCTTAAATATGCCTGTTAGTATGCTACTAATTCTTTTCGTTTGTGTAGGACCAAAGGCAAAAGATCAACTGAGTGGATTGATTTCACTCGCTCTGATGTCGCGTACGAGTCAATCAACTGCTCTAATGACCTACCTCGTATTCTAATCGAGATTCAAAACAAGGCAGATATGAATTTTTATCAACAACTAATCCACTACTCGCGTTCGGTTTCTAGACAACATAAAGCGTCTAAGCTCCCTATTGTTGTGGCAATTGTGATTAATTCGACAACCAGCTATCTACTTGAAACTGAAATACCTGGTTCTCGTATCCCTTTCGCAAAGCAGCTGTCGAGTATTGGCTGGGCCAGCTCATGTCTATTTTTCAATGCAGAGACTATTGCGCCCTATCTCAACGAAACCCCGTTAAACCCATTACTTGCACTTGTTCACTGTCTTATTGAACAAGAGACATCACTTATCAACTTTACGCAATGCAATGATCCAACATTAATTTGTCTGTATACCAAAATGAAAAATATACTTGGTAGCCATATCCATGACAACGAAAACTCTATCCATGCATTAAAAAGTGTATGTGCCCAATCAAAATCAGAATGCTATAAGGCAAAGGCAGCCTTTGAAAATCAAGATCAACCTGTTGGCGTGCGTATTGAAACAGCCGTAAACATTTTGAGTAATGTCATTGCGTATGTCGATGGAATAGCACAAAAGCGACGCTTAGAGAATCCATTATCCGATTTCGAATTTGCTGAGCAACAAGTGGACAAAAACGGACACATACCATGGAAAGCTCAATTCCAACAGTGGAAAATACTGGGCCGCTTTGAGCAGTATAAGTCGTACAAAAGTGCTCAAAGTGCTTATCACCGCGCTATGAAAAAGCAAAAGCAAAAGCAAAAGCAAACTGAACAACAACAGAGAACACCTGTAGTAGCGTCCTCATCACCATCACCTTCCGGAGCAAGACAGTCATCATTTTAAATTGAATTTCTGATATTAGTTATTGATATGTTCCCCTTGTCATAGTTAAAAAATTAGGAAAAAAAAGTATTCTAGGCATTAAGAACCAACGATGGATTGCTTGATAGTTGAGCGTATAAATTGCGCAGAGAAGACGTAAAGAAGCAGAGAGGCGTTGTTGTAGCATTAAAAGGAAATTGCTTAAACGATTTGACGCCGTCTGCCATCAATTTTTTTAGCTATAACAACAGCTATAACAACACATTATAATTTTTGAAATATCAAGTTGAACAGCTAATAACTAGCCAATCAACAGTGTCCTTTGCTATAACCAAATGTTATAGCAATTTCGTACTCTTATTTGCTATAACATTATGTTATAGTACTCCTATTTGCTATAACCAAATGTTATAGTACTCCTATTTGCTATAACAGTATGTTATAGTACTTCTATTTGCTATAACATTATGTTATAGTACTCCTATTTGCTATAACAGTATGTTATAGTACTCTTATTTGCTATAACATTATGTTATAGTACTCCTATTTGCTATAACATTATGTTATAGTACTTCTATTTGCTATAACAGTATGTTATAGTACTTCTATTTGCTATAACATTATGTTATAGTACTCCTATTTGCTATAACAGTATGTTATAGTACTCCTATTTGCTATAACCAAATGTTATAGTACTCTTATTTGCTATAACATTATGTTATAGTACTTCTATTTGCTATAACATTATGTTATAGTACTCCTATTTGCTATAACCAAATGTTATAGTACTCTTATTTGCTATAACATTATGTTATAGTACTTCTATTTGCTATAACATTATGTTATAGTACTTCTATTTGCTATAACATTATGTTATAGTACTCTTATTTGCTATAACATTATGTTATAGTACTCTTATTTGCTATAACATTATGTTATAGTACTTCTATTTGCTATAACAGTATGTTATAGTACTTCTATTTGCTATAACCAAATGTTATAGTACTCTTATTTGCTATAACATTATGTTATAGTACTCCTATTTGCTATAACATTATGTTATAGTACTCCTATTTGCTATAACCAAATGTTATAGTACTCTTATTTGCTATAACATTATGTTATAGTACTCTTATTTGCTATAACATTATGTTATAGTACTCCTATTTGCTATAACATTATGTTATAGCAGACACACCAGTTCGCTAAGTCCCTGAAATGCTATTTTGTACTCCTATTTGCTATAACATTATGTTATAGCAAAAAAAAATTCCTAATACGACATTGTCTACCGCTTACCGAAACGGGCTCTTCTGCTTTATAATTCATCCCTTTTCCCGCTAGTTTAGCGGATACGTCCATTATTTCAAATGTTGTATATTTCGAAATATGTCGTAACCAACCACACATCACTAATCACTATCACTAATCTAAAATATATATACTGGAAAACTATGAAAAAAAAAATAGACAAGCCAATCATATCCATTATTGAGCCGGGCAAAGGTGAATAAAGCTACCGGCAAAGCCTGCAATGGGGAGGGGGTTCGGAGGAGGGGCTCAGCCTCTCCACCAAGAACATAATAATGCATCTAATTCAACACTGGATAACATTGATTTATAGGGGAGGTTTACCATAGCGAAGCAAAGGTGTAAAGCCTATGACAACTAAGCATCTAATCCAACATTGGGTAGCATTGAGTTATAGGGGGTTATACCGTAGCAAATCAAAAGTGCAAAGCCATGGTAATCAGGCGTCTAATCCAACACTTGGTAGCATTGATTTATATGAGGGCTTGATTGCAGCGAAGCGAAGGTTCAAAACCATAGTATCTAATAAGCAGCAAATTCGAGTTTTTATTTCCATTGCTAATAAGCTTACCGGCAACATAACGCAACAAAATTTGAATGAATTAGCTTTACCAAAATTAATATGCCTCTTATTCGAATTAAAAATTGCGCAAGCTACAGAACTGCCTTTCTAATAAGTTCCAACTACCAAAGATGTGATTTATGCCGTGTAAATAAACTCTATAAAGCAATACATAACCAAATTTGACAGCTTTCAAGCCTTCATATCTTGGCATGTAGATCTTTATGAGCCACCGGAATGACGCCAAACAATTGTACTTGAGTAGTAGTAACTTCCTGACATCTTTGCTCAACTTTTTCGGCCAAAAAAAAACATGGCCAAATCGACCAAAAACCATGAGGGGTACCTCATGGTTTTCATCAAAAATCAAACGATCACATTTTTTACCTTGAAAATGAAGACTTTTACTATGGTATATATTGGATCAAAATGTTTCTCTCGATCCAAAGCCACCTCTGAAACTACTTTTATGAGGTGTTCATATGCAAAATTTCGAAATTTTGGCCAAAAACCTTGTCCCAGATTTTTTGGGATTGCTTATTAAGTTCAGTTAAAACATGTATTTTACTTGGCATTATTGGAAGCGCCTTGAAAAGTACTCCAAGAGTGTATTAGGAAGCGTAGGGTGATCATCACAGTTTATATAGTCAAATACCTTAAAATAGATTAAAAAAGTCGTAAAAAGACAGAATCCGTCCAATCTTAAGCAGAAAAAGTAAATGGAGTTTGAATGAATTTTGGCGGCGGCATTGCTGCTGGCTGACCTAAATGTCTTTCTGTTGATGGCAATGATGATTGCGATGCTGATTAATTGGGGATCATGAATTTGAAAGAACAATCGATTAGCCTGAATCCTTTTTTATTTGGTTTTATTGCGAGTTTTTCCCTATATAGGTGTCTTTTGCAATGATAATCTCTCAAAAAATCGCTGTAGATCTCATAAAAGTCCTGTGTTTACGCATGGTCAGCTCTGTGTCGCCATCTCAAGAGCAGCATCCGCGAATGGGTATCTCTGTTCTGCCGCCAGAAAATGCGACTCGTACGGAGGATGTAGTGAACCAGAAGTCTTATAATAACGTAAATGCTGCATAAAAAATATTGATTTGGTTATAGCAAAGGACACTGTTGATTGGCTAGTTATTAGCTGTTCAACTTGATATTTTGAAGCGTATGGAAAGTAGGTGGTAAATTACATAACATTATCGTTAACCATACTATTTTCCTTGCATTCTATATTTAATAACGTTAGTCTGGACATTGATGATTCATGGGCTGCGAAGCATGTCTGCAGTAAGATTTTGCTGAAAATGGACAATCTAAGCAAATAATAATAATAATAATAATAATAATAATAAAAACATAAAAAAACTATGAATACTCATTTATTTAATTTCAAGAAGCATAAGTAATCTTTGGCTATACTAAACTATTGTAGCTATGATTGTTTCTTATTCATTAACTAATCAATTGAACTTTGACTTTATACGTAGATTCAACGAGGATGATGCTTTTGCGACTATTGCCTTGAATTTTGGATGAACTATGCTCGGTCTGATCAAAGGTTCTTTTTCTCGATTGCTCGCCTTTGAGGCTTGGCAGCACATGTGTTGTAACTGACGAATGGCTCATGCGGGAATCACGGTATTGTTGGTATGTGTTGCTGCTAGCGTTGGTGTTTTCTGTTTCATGGCCATTTGATACTTGTTGAGGTGTGCTAGCAGCCGTCGTAATAGTAGCTGCTGCTGCTGCTGCTGCTGCTTTAGATATGTTGGTTTTTGAGAGTTTGTTGAGAGTATTAGAAGGTGCAGACAATGGCATCATATTCATAGGTTGTGCCGGATCACTGGCTTGAGTTTTCTGATGATATGGCATTGTATCCTGTCTTTTGCATATAGCTGTATTGCTCGTTGGGTAGTTGTTGTGAGCATTGAGTGCTGAAACGTGTCTTTTAGGACTATTGCCTTGCATCGTGGAAACACTGTGCTCTGTCTGATCAAACGATCTTTTCTTTAGCTGTGATTGATTATTTGGTACGGGAGGTGGTGGTCATCACTGTGATCGCAGACATCGCCAGGCACTGCCCCTGGAACCCACACCTTCACTTCAGACCTAGAAAAACCTCCGATGACATACGTCTATGCGTCTTCATCGTGGTTTCGGTCAGTGGTTCTGCCATGTGGGTAAGCCTTCAGTTGGATTGACTGGACATACATCCATTCAATTCCGAGGAACAATCCCCTGTCGTGGTCCCCTTGGTTTGTGTAATCTGCCTCTCTCCACGAGGGCATGACCTCTCCCCAGTGGGGCTTGAACTTTGAGCGGATTTCTCTACTCATCAAATGCGAGTATATCGCTATACAATGTTGGACGTCCCAGGGGCCCCCGTCAAAGGTTTCCCTGTTCCTCTCTAGCCATACAGACCAGAGGAGGTATGACCATTGTACTTGTGCTAGTTGAGTGATGTCTTCGTCTTTCATTCCGTACAGTGCCAAGGCTCCATCGGTCTGGGCGGCGATATTCACTCTGTATAAGTTTTTCCAGGCCTCCCAGTTGAAGTCAGACTTTTGCGTGGTGGTTTGGAGATGTTGGTTTTGAGTGTGTATGAAATATTGAACCAGAGGTTCAATTCTTTCGCACTCTAAGAACAAGTGTTGCAGGGTCTCTTCTTCGTAGGTACATCCGCAAAGTCTACGTTCCCGTGGTTTATCACGCAACCTGTGTCTGGTCAAGAGGGATCGTCTACTGACCTCCCATAAGAAAACTTTGACCGAGTCGCCAACTGGGAGCTTCCACAGGTGCTTCCAAGGCTTCCCTTGAATCACACCATATGATGTTTCCACAGTTGTGGCTGTGGGTGGAACATACCCACGTTGCTTGGTTACTTGATCTTGGATCAGTGTTCCATAGAAGTCCGTGGGTCTTTTTGCAGAGCTCAAATAACTGGGCTCGTTGTTGATAAGAAATGCCACATTCATGTTTGACTAAGAAGAGGTGGGTCTAATCATCTGTCGGCGCAGATTATTCGGGATAAAGGCTTCCAATTTCGCCATAATACACTACTTCCGGAAATTATTGGTGCACTAATAAAAAGCAGTTTGGTGCACTTAGAAAAATCAATTTGGAGCACCGCCAAAAATCATTTTGGTGCACTCATTAAAATACGATTGGTGCACCTGCAAAATAAATTTCGTGCAAAAATTAAAGTGTATTTGATGCACTTTTAGTTCTTTTCTTATCACAAGTATTACTTCATTCAATGGATCAATTTATTTTCGAAGATGGAAACGGCAATCTCTGCAATGAGCAGGGTGAATCAGTTGCTGTCATCTCCACGGAGATAGACAATGAACAATACCCTTTGGCTAACATAACCAACTTTGGTGAGTATACGTACCTGAAGCCACCAGAAAAGCCAAGCAAGACGAGTGAGACAGATAGTGTAGAAGAAGATGATGATGAAAAAGTAGATTCAAGAGAAATTAAAAGAAAAAGGTATCGTTCATACAAACCTGAAGATAAAGACAAGTTTTTCTTTTACGTTTACGAGAAACAACTGAGCATCCGCGCAGCATGTAAAATGGTAAATATCCCTCCCAGTACTGGTCAAAACTGGTACAAGAAAGGTGTGGAGAGTTTGGCAAAAGACGAGAACCTACCACACAAAAAAGAGAGCAGCAAGGTTGGAAGGCCAGCAAAACTTCGAGAAGAGCACAGAATGGCTTTGATCAGCATAGTAGATGAAAAACCAGACTCAGTTTTGGAAGAAATGATGGAACAACTGAATGCTCAGTTTGTTGGCCTTGATATTCACCAATCTGCCTTGCACACATTTCTTTATGAAAAGTGTCATTTTTCTCTTAAAAGGGCTCATTTCCACTCTGTAGAGCGAAATAGTCCCGAGAAGATTGAAGAAAGATACAATTGGGTCAAGCAGTGGCAAGAAACTGACATGGATTTTACAAGCAATTGCGTATTTATTGATGAGGCTGCATTTCATATCAACATGAAGCGCAACTATGCATGGTCAGGTAAAGGAAAGCGAACTGTTGTAAATGTTCCCAAAACTCGAGTAAAAACCACGACAATCATTGGGGCCATATCTTCCTTTGGCATTGTTAACGTAAAGGTGAAGCTTCCAAAAGTTACGGCACCCTCGAAAAAAAGAAAAGCTACATGTGGCCCTGTTCAAGCAGATAAGGGAGAAACCGTTACTGGGCATTATTTCAATTTTGTCGCCAGCACTTTGGATGTGATGGATAAGTACGAACAGTTCAAGGATCACTATTTGATTATGGACAATGCCACTATCCACAAAAACAAAGACATACAACTGTACATTGAAGGCAGAGGGTATAGATGCGTTTATCTCCCACCTTACTCTCCGGAACTTAATCCAATCGAGCAGTTTTGGTCCATAGTGAAAAGCAAGCTTAAGAGAGTCGCACTTTTGGAAGAAGAAACGCTATCCACTAGAATTTCTGACTCTTGTAACAAGGTTATGATCAGCGACTTACAAGGATTTTGCAGATACTCTGCTGCCAGATGGGCTGACTGTTTAGAGAGAAAAAGTATATAATAAACACATTTGGTGCATAATGCACCAAATACGTTTTAATTTTTGCACGAAATTTATTTTGCAAATGCACCAATCGTATTTTAATGTGTGCACCAAAATGATTTTTCTAAGTGCACCAAACTGCTTTTTATTAGTGCACCAATAATTTCCGGAAATAGTGTAACCTTTCGCCGTTGGGGAGATACTTGGCTAAAAGCATTATTCCTCCAGGTGCCATCCGGTCTGACGACTTCGTGCCACCATCTTGGGCTTGTAAAATCTTGGAGAGTTGGGCGGATTGTTGACCAAACCCTGCTTTCTCCAAAGGTGGTTAGGGTAGTATACCACAAGGGTATCTCCCCCCAACGTCCGGTCACCTAAATATTCCGCAATCTGGGTTCCACCATGTTTCAGCCAAAATTTGGAAACGGCGGTCCAGTACTCTGGCCAACTCGTACTGATCCCGCCCATCTGTTTAGCCGTTTGGATCCACGGATTACCGAAGTAATGCTGAATCACCGGCATAGGGTAGCTAAGCCTATTTGATGCACGGAGCTGCCAGTAGTACCGAAGTACTTCTGCCCATCTAGCTCCGGCTGACACAATGAAGTCTTGTATCGCTACAAGCTTATATGCGTCAAACAAAACTGAAAGAGTCGGGAAACCGAGGCCTCCCTCACTAGGTGGCAAACCTAGTATATACTTATTCGCTTTTGACCTACGGTTATCCCAAACCGCCTGAGACAGCCAAGACTCACAGTAAGTCAACTGACGTGAGCTCATTGCTAAGTATCGCGCCAAATACATAAATTTGGGAATGATTAATGCCTTGATGGCATTTATTCTTCCCTGTAAAGACAGATAGGAGAGATTCAACCGGCTTAGCACCACTTTGATCTGTTCTATTCGGGGTTCCCATGCTTTCGCAGACGAAAGCTGCCAACCGACCGGGACGCCTAGGTGTGTGACCCAATTGCCCCTGCCGATCGGTTCTGGGAGGTTATTCGGCACTTCCCCAGCAGATGGTTTGGTGAGGATTTCAGTCTTTTCAGTATTGAACTTAGCGCCAGAAGCCCTACAATACTGATCGAGGGTTTGTTTCAGATCTGGATACTGTGGCCAGGTTTCAAGCCCAATAACAGTATCATCCGCATACATCGTATATTTGAGTGGGGGGAGACATGGGAAGTTGTATGCCTATCTGGGTCTGGTAAACGATCTTTTCTTGGATTTCTCGTTATTAGACCTTGACGCCATATTTGTTGGGATAAAGTAGTTTGGATTGTTGTAATAGGGGTCACGCATATCGTATTTGCTGCTATTATTGTTACCGTTCTCCTCTCCACCACCATTTGACGCATTTTGAGATAGCTTGATGGCCGTTATAGTTGCCGCTATAGTTGTATTGCTCGTTGAAAAGTTAACGTGAGCATTGTAAGATACGTGATCAGATGATGGCGTCATGTTCACAGCTTGAGATATTTCACTGGCATTGGGCCTGGCTAGGGTGTCTTGTTGAGTAGGGATTGCTGTCTGTTTGATGGATGTAGCTATATTGTTTGTAAAGGGGTTGATATGTGCAATGTTTGGTATATAATGAGATGGTGGTGGTGTTATTTTCACAGGTTGAGCCGATTTGTCAGCCAAGGGCTTGGCCCCGGTATGTTGATTATATGAAGCCGTATTCTCTTTGATGGATGTAGCTGTAGGTGGCGACAAGGGTGGAGATGGGCTGTTTGTCTCGCATGTTTGGCCGCTTGATGTTTGATTTGTGTCCTGCGATACTTTAGAAACGCTTGCGTTGATATTGTTGATATTGTTGATAGATACTGTGGTATTATTAGACACGTTTGTAGTGGTAGTGTCAGACATCTCATCTTTTGTTGGTGGGGCATGAGGAGGAGAGATGGGATCGTCATGAGTTGAAGTTGTGCTTGCTTCAGTTAAAGGCATCAAAGGTTGTTCAACTGAAGGAGGTAGTGAGACTGAAGGACATGCAGCAGTTGACTCTTTAGGTGTTGCCACTGTAGGTCTAGGCAAGTGTGATGAGGCTTGCGCAGAGGTTGATGCAGAGAACTCTCCAGCTGTTGTGGCCACTGACACTGATACTGTGGTAACATTACTCAATTCAGAAAGCACTCGTTTGGGTCCCATTCTAGATGCTGATGATGTAGATGATTTAGGTGACTTTTGTGATTTGGGTGCTGCTGCTGAGAATGGTGTTCCTAAATGTGAAGTCTACAAAAGATGTACGCCGTTAGTTTGGTGGGCACTTTTAAGCAGCTTGTTGGCGCAACACCTACCATAATATTAGTAAAAGGTATAAACCATCAAAAAAAAAAAAAAAAAAGAGAATACTTACTGTAATGGTGGCAATGGCCATGTCTTCTGAGATGGTTACTGGTTCCAGGTGGCTAGCACTGTTTAATGCAGCTTGACGGGCTCTACATCAAAATGCATGATCAATGACAATGATATGGTTACTTGATTGCACTACCAAAACTTACTTGCGATATTCATAATTCATGCTTTGCTTGAAAAGGAGAGTGAGACCGCCAAAGACCATAATAGGTGTTACACTATTTTCTTCAAGCAATTGAGTAAATTCCAGCAAATAGTCGTTATATCTGCAGGGAAATCTTGTTAATATAAGATCAACGGAATAGATATTAATACTTACGAATTGGCGGAATGATTCCATACAGGCTCCAAAGCAGCACGGGAAGCTCCATCAAGAAGAAAGTCATCACCATCGATGGCAACAGTTTTACCTTTGTATTCTGAGAATTTGATGGTTCTTTGGTTACGGTCAATCGATTGCAAAAGTACGCCAATGCTTGTCATGGTGAGAAAGTGTTTCAATGTAAGCTTATATTCTTTTTTGTTTTGTATTTATGATTTAATGAGTGATAAATGAGAAAACAAGTGTGTAGCTTGGATATGAAACAGTAAAGAAGACAGTGAAAAAGCTTAAAGCAAAATAGACAGTTGTATATCAATGCATATATTTTTCGCGTTTTGTAGTGACGTCTGCATCCCATACTGTGCAATAGTTCAGTGCTCAGATCAGCCATTACGCCAAGCACACACACATGTATTAACTCTCTATACTTGATACTTGAAACGCCACTCCTTTAAATTAGATTATCGGCAAGCCACCGCGTTCGACCTCTCCAATATATTGCCTTTTGGGGGGGGGGGAATACATACAAAGCAAGAACGTCTTGAACATGAATTTGATCTGTTGATTGACTTTGATTAGCCTTGATTAACCTTGATGCTAGGACTCATACATTGCATTTCTTGGGTTGACACTAGCACAAATAGTTAAACCGCAACTGCATTCATTCGTTCCTGATTTGCAGCTCACATTCTTATTACATGAGACATTATGCAAAACACGGCAAAATTTGGATGCATTTGAGCAGTGGTTTCTGGTGGTAGAAGCCGTTTCAAGCTGTCAAAATAGCCCCAAATAATTGCTCTCATCTAGCATTTACTTGCTGATATCTTTGCTCAACTTTTTTTAGGACCCAAAAAACATGGCCAAAAATCGACCAAAAAGCATGAGATACCCCTCATGGTTTTCATTGAAAATCAAACGATCGCGTTTTTTGACCTTGATAATGAAGACTTTTACTATGGTACATCATGAATCAAAATGTTTCTCTCGATCCAAAGCAACCTCTGAAACCACTTTTGCGAGGCCTTTATATGCAAAATCTTGACATTTTGGCCAAAAACCGCTTTTCATATTTTCTTGAATTGCTCGATAAATTCAGTCAAAACATTTATTTTACTTGGCACCATTGGAAACGCCTTGAAACGTACTCCAAGAATGTATTAGGAAGTACGGGCTGATTATCACATTTCATATAGTCGAATCTAGCAAAATAGTGTGATCAAGTCGAAGATCATCAGAATTTGGCCACTCTGGAACAGACTAAGAGTCTGGGTGTGAATTAATTTTGGCTGGTGGGGGCCAGCTGGCAAACTCAATGCCCTTTTCCTCATGAAGGCAATACAGTAATAAATGCCCTTGAAGCGTATGGAAAGTAGGTGGTAAATTACATGACATTACCTTTAACCATATTGTTTTCCTTGCATTCTATATTTAGTAATGTCAGTCTATCAAAATACTTGTTAGAACAACTTGTTTCCTTTTTCAGGCTTCGAAAGTGTCTAGGGACTGAACATTTATTATAATATGATAATTTACAAATTGGCAGTAGAGACAATAGCGCCGCCGTCCACGGTAACAGTAGCACCGTTAGTATATTGACCAGCTCTTGAGGACAGATAGATACAGGTACCTGCGATATCTTCCATACTTCCGATACGTTTAACAGCCAATTTGGATACAATTTGATCGTGGAATTTGTCCAAGGTAGCCTTCATCATCTTGGATTGGAAAGCACCAGGGGCAATGACATTGACACGGACACCCTTATAACCAATCTTGCCAGCCATATGGCGAGACATGTGATGGAGGCCGCCCTTGGATGCAGAGTAAGCGTAGGTTTCCTGAGGAGGAGCCTGAGGTGTTGTGCAATTAGCATTTATGCGTTTTGGTATAGCGCTTTATACAGAATACTTACTCGGATACCATCAATGGAGCCAATGTTGATAACAGAGGATGTGTTTTCTCTTGATGCCTTGGCTGTCAAAAGAGGAAGACAACTATAGCATACGATAGGATGAGCACAACAGGGACATGTGCATTAAACGCCATGGCGAAATACTTACGCTTGAGTCAATGTGAAAATACGCTTCAAATTCAAGTTGACGACCTTTTCAAAGGCATCATCAGGGTATGTCTCAACTGATTCATTCCAGTTGGCGCCGGCATTATTGATCAATACATCAAGATCTGTCAACACGTATGTCAGTTTTCATTCTGCTGAATCAGTTCATGGTGATATTTACGATCCTCTTTTTGAGAAAGCTCAGCAACGAGACGTTCAATTTCAGACTTCTTTTGCAGATCTGCAGGAATGGCGATACATTGACCAGGACCTTGAGCAGTCAATTCTTTGGCAACCTTTTGGAGTTTGTTTTTATGAGTGATGATGATGCATTGACACTAGCATTGCGCATGATTTACCTTGTAACAGACATCAGCAGAACGACTGGTAATGTATACTTTGGAACCAGCAGCAACAAAACCCTGCAATCTTATTAATAATCATTTTCACACACTCTGGCGATCTTTTCTTACAGTGGCAATCATTTCACCAATACCTCTTGAACCACCAGTGACCAAGACAACCTGCCATCATTTCACTTGTTGGATTACTGCTACATTTTCTATGAGTCCAACGTCCCATTTACCTTATCCTTGACATCAAACAAACTCTTGTAATCCATGTTTATTATCGTTATTTACAAAATATATCCAAAAAGAAAAAAGGGAAAAAAAAAAGACTAAAGATCAGAAAGAGAACTCTATAAATGTAAAAAAAAAGGAATTTCAATTTTATTAAAGCAAATGACTAAGGTTTTTCTCATATTCAATCCTCTTGAAAGCTTAATCTGTTCTCATAGAATTCAATTAACTACAGTTTACAGGGTGTGAGTATAACAAGCACTTGTTGGTTGGTTCTACACGCAATCTTACCTTCAAGGGAGCCCTTCTTGCAACAGTAGAAGTCTTATACTTGGCTAACTTAGAGTCATTCCAGCGAACAATGGCGTATAATTGATCATCGTCTTCATCTCTTCTAACGTATTGGACTTTGTAGACTTTGCCATCCCATTTCTGATTGAGTCTGAAGGTTTCGCCCTCGATTTCGCTATCGGAAACGTCAAATTCATCTTCACTTTCATAAACAGTTTCCTTTGATTCGGCGTCCTCGACGTCAGCTTCTATATGTATACACATGTTAGTTGTGTTTGTTTACTAAACTCACGGCATTGATAGCGGAAACTTACCATCGACCTTGGCTCTCTTCTTTCCAGAATTTGTAGCTGTTGAGGATGGAGCAGAACCGCCTCTAGCATTCTTTCTCTTCCTTGACTGGACAGCAGGCTCCTCTTCAGCTACAGCAGTATCCTTCTTATCCTTCTTGTCTTTGGTAGCAGTGGCTACCTTGTTGCCGCCTTCCAATTGCTTGAAGACTTCTTCGCGTTCCTTCTCACCGCCGTGGGTAGCCCAGTATTCGTCAACTAATTGTTTTGCATTTTCACTAGAGGATGATCAAACATTGTCATTAAAAATTTTGCATTGACAATGACAGTTGGGAGTTTCAATTCAAGTAGACACTTACACTGCTGTAGCGGGTTCCCAGGTGTTATCGCTATCAGGATAATTCTTCCATTTTACCAAGTAAAGCAATTTTGCTCTTTTCTATTGTGAGTTGAGATTGTGTTTAGTCCTTGCTGAATCACATCAGCAACTCTATATAAAAAAAAGGGAAAAAAAACTTACGCCTTTGCCGGTGATTTGATGGGATTCAACACGTTCAACCTCATACTCTTCTTCAGCAGTGGACTCAGGTTCAGCTTCCTTCACTTGCTTTGTGTTCTTTGCGGATTTTCCGCGTCCTCCAGCCATTATTTGTTATAAAAAGTTTTGTATGCAAATTAAAAAAAAAAAAAAGGAAAACAGTGCTGTTTATCAGATAGACACTATCCAACAATGAATGAATGGGAAAAAGTAGAAGCGCGTTGAAGGAATGGGTGCAGAAACTGATTGAAAAGGCAAGAAAAAAAAAAATTCGCTAAAGCGTTGAGAGACTGCTTTCGATGGCATCTGCATTTCCTAAAATCAGATGTACAATGAATAAAATGAACAAATGCGACCAAGAAATGCATCAAATCATCAGAATGGGCTTTGCTGTTGACTAAATGCCCCAAGCTGATGATCTCCTTGTTGTCAAATGCATATATATCCGATCATTCTCTGCTCGCTATTTCCTCATGTTGTGAAATCTTCCGATCCTTGAACCGTATATAAGCATTGCTGTAGTAGCAGAGCATCAATGAGAGTGTCAACTGATCATCAGGTACCTCTGTTTCCATAAAGGTAGCTTGCCATTGTTCTGTAAATCTGTTCAAGCGCGAACATCCCAAGAGCGATACGGTCGACATGACTACAGTCGCTCATCTGAGATGAATTGTGATGATGCCATTGCAATACCCTAAATCTCTGATTTACGCCTGCCCCTTGCCTACGATCATTTGAATAAACCATAATGCAAGCATAGGTCTCTGATCATCAGCAGCCTTGTAATACAACAGAGTACCGTGTTACCATCATCCATGTCCATAAAAGGATGGTTAAATTTCACACACACACAAAAAGACTAAATGTACCAACATCTCCCTCTTCTTTTGCTCTTTCAACACTTTATACAATCATAAATGACTACTACCACAAATCAAGAGATCAACTTTACAAATTACTTTGGCACAAATAATGGAGCAGAGCTGGAGAGTAAAAAGAAAAAGGCATCTAGAGCATGCCTTCATTGCCAAAGGGTATGGACATTTAAGCTATTCTCTGATTTTCATTCTAACATGTATGAAAAAAAATCAGGCACATTTAACCTGTGATGACTGTAATGAAGACACCGATAGCAAGATGGGCTGACAGACTGACTTTACTTGTATGATTCATATAGCTAGACCTTGTCAACGATGTGTGAAAAGAGATTTGGCAACTACTTGCACAGATGCTGTACGAAAAAGAGCGAAATACCTACAGGACATTCCAGTAGACGAGTGTACGGTGTAAATGTTGCCTAAAATACACATCGATGATGACTAATATGATGGATCTAGTATTTAATACATCAAACAACAGCAGCAATCGGCCTACCACCTCTTCTGCCGCTGTTCCATCATCGTCCACCGCTTCTTACAGTAACCCAATGGTGGATAACACTGCAGGTATGACAAGGATAAAATATTTTCAAATGCTGGAAAAATGTGACCAACCGTAATCAATCTTCCAGCATATTCAACTACTGCTGCCACATCAAATACATCAGAATTGTTTGATTTTGCATTGTCTGATCTCAACTTTGGATCAACTACCATTGGATTGGAATACGGATTTCTGGGTAACATGTTACAAAACCCGTTGCTGGATTTGGACACAGCTACACCTACGAGTGCTCCTACGACAACTGCCCCAATGCATCTATCGACTATTGGCATGCAGCAAATGATGGCCAACAATGGGTACTCATCTTCTGTGTCTCCTGCAAGTACAACAACTTCAGTGCCATTCTACAATATGGCATTTAATCCTCAAATACGGCACCAACAGCAGCAGCAGCAGCAGCAACAACAACAACAACAACAACAACAACAACAACAGCAGCAGCAACAACAACAACAACAACAACAGCAGCAGCAGCCCATTACACCTATTCCTAATAATAGCAGATCTTCTCCACTTTCAGACACTACATCGATCCTCGGTATGAAACGCCCAAGCAACGCATCCTCAGTAACATCTGCATCCGGTAGAAGAAAAGGATATGGAAATACACCTGAAGAAACATATACCGGGGTAAAGAGACCCTTTAATTATGCAGAAGGATTTCACTACCTTATTCAACATGTCCGGGACAAGTAAGTTCCTATCCTTGTGTACAACATGTATAAAAACGAAGAACAAAACGCTGTTTATAGGATGGGCAGAGATGACCTGATGAGGATAAGTAGAGCATTGGCCTTGTTCAGACCCTCCTTTCTAGCGCTCATTATGAACTTGACAGAAGAGGATTTGGTCTTTATGGAGAAATGCTTGCAGCGAACATTATTGGAATACGAGAAATTGATCAGTTTTTCAGGAACACCGACAGTTGTGTGGAGAAGAACAGGAGAAATATGTCTTGTTGGGAAAGAGTTTTCGCTATTAACACAATGGACCAAGGACATGCTACTGGGGAAAAAGATTTACATTTACGAGGTATTTGCATACAAATTCATGAGAATGCATCTTACACTAACGTCAACGGAAAGCTGATGGATAGTCAATCAGCTGTGGAATATTGGGAAAAGTTTGCTACACATGCATTCGATAATACAGATAAATCTTGTGTCTATTCATGTATCATCAAGACACCGCAGCAGAAGCCTGTGCCTTGCACATTTTGCTTTACCATCAAACGAGATATATTTGATCTGCCCAGTGTTATTGTTGGCAATGTAAGTTTTGTTATTTTGAAGAGTATAGGATGATGGCATTGATGTGTCATATAGTTTCTACCCATACTCAGCTAAAACGTTATGGTGCATTTGGCGAGCGATACAGATCAAGACATGTGCATTTTTTGCAATATCAAATTATAATTTAATAGTATATATGATTTAAAATAGATAAATGAGACGAGCGAGAGAGAGAGAGAGATTGAGGTGATACACTTGAAGCGATGAGGATTTTTTACTAATACAAATACAACTCAATATGTACAAGAGCTATATAGAGGATGTGTGTAAGAAGGGGAGGACAAGGAGGAGAGAAAGAGGCAACAGGAGTAAAAAAAAAAAAAAAAAAAAATAGGAGATGATTTTGGCGGTTTACTTAGGTACGTTCGTCATCTTCATCCTCATCATCACCATTCCATTCATCCCAATCAATTGGAATAACACCCTTGTTGTAATCGCTCTCGAGCTGACCCCAAACAGCGGGAGTAAGGTCCAAACATCCTATGTGAAATGCGCATTGTTAGCGTCTTGAAAGAGGTACATGATGAAAATCATTGTTTGTATATTTACCATTATCACATCCAGGACAAGCATCAGTCACTGTGGCAATGGTGCACTTTGTCTTGTGACAAATCTTGAGCTTCTTTCCACACCAATGACTCTTCTTGTTCAAGTTGCCGTATTGATGAGCGTTCATGGCAACGATTTGCGAGTTTTCGTCTGCATATGGACCACAGGCACCTTGAGAACCTCCTTCTGACTCGGGATCGAAAAAGGTACCAATACCGTGATGAAGTAAATTCTTGACAGTCTTGACCAGATCTCCTGCTAAACCTCTAGCTTTCAGTGGTTTGGCTGAGGCGATGGTTGCAAATAACACAACCAAGAAAGTGAATAGCAATTGAACCTTCATATCTATGTGTATACTCTATTTTAGATTTGAGTGGCAAATGAGAATAGGAGAAATGAGAAGAGCGAGAGAGAGAGAGAGAGAGAGAGAGACGAGACTAAAGAGTAAGAGGAAAGAGAAAAAAAAACTAAAAAAAAACAAGATCAAGATGGTATTCTTTTTATATGTTTATGATTGAAGGATGGTGAACCAGAAGGAGGGGAAGGACCAAGTCAATGACTTGAGTGAGTGAAGGGGCGGAAGAGGGGAAGGAAGGGTGGGGGGAAGCTTAGAATACCATGTATTTACCTGCTTTCCTCATCACTGCTTTGTCCCAATCATGTCGAACCACCTGCAGTAATTAGCATAATTGACTAGTTGTTCTTGTTGTGTATCTTGCTTGCTTTCTAATGTCGTTGTTTTTGTTTGCAGTGATTTTTGCAGTGTTTTGCGTATGCTACCCCCCCTTCTTTTTAACCTAATAATAAACCCCACCCCTCTTTCTTGATTATAATTTCTGCTTCTTGATAGGTTTGAACCCCTTGGTAAAGAATATTTATTTTTTTTAGATTAGGCTTCAAACCTAACGAAATTGTAGATTGAACATGTGTCATATTTGTTTTAGAGACTTCAAGATGTGATGCTGCTGCTGCTGCTGTTGTCTCTCTGTCTGTAGTTTTTCTTGTGATTTACATCTTGTGTACCATCGTTTCCATGTATACATGGGCCAACTCCTCGTTTTGCACATTTTCTACAAGGTAACTGAGCTCTTTTCTCCTTTTGCTGTTGTTTGATGACTTGTTCGACAAATCTCCTGCCTCAACCACACCTCTCCCTTGATTTGTTTCTTGACTCAGACACATAAATCAACTTGACAATAGACGCACACACACACATATAGGTCGCTGATAAAGACGACTTTAAGAAATGTCGCGTGATACTATTGTAAACACAAACAGCACTTTATGCCAGTCGTAGATCATTGATTGTGTCTTGGTACAGACCCTCAAATTGAATGTGTTTATTGAAAGACTCGGCTTGTGTGCCACAAACAAAAAGTGTCATGTTTTGACACAAATAGGTTTCCCGTACCATTTTCTTTGTTCTCTGATTTAGATGTCTGAAAGAGTGCTCGACATGAATCCCATAGAACCAGTAGCCCATTTACTAGTGCACGGCCAGCAAATGGGTGGTTTTAGATACATTGATACATCCCCTTTCGATCCCCTTTCAAGACGCTATTTGAGTGTTCTAGATAAAGAAAGAAAAACCTGATTTGTGATTGTATGTGATACATTCATGTTAAAATCACGTTCTTTCATCAAGGTGTAAAATGCCGTATTTTATTCATAAAAATCGCTATTACGTGTAAAAGCCCACGTTAATCAATGGTGCGTACTGGACGGTTCAAATGGCAATCATAAAATGGGATCATTCTCTCTCTACACATCGCTCAGAAAGTATATTCGTTATGGAACGCTTCTGATCGGAAAATGCTGTTGATTGTTGTGCATAAATGCTTACTGTTCCTCAGTTTTATTCAAATTGCATCTGAAAGGGAGATCTCATTTACCGTCAAAATATTGTATGAATGGGATCATCTCTCCCTGTGGATATGTTTGTTCTTTCATTCTTGGCCATGTATTCTATAGTTTATTTTAGTGGTGATAGTGTGTTATGTATGTACATCAAAACATGATGGGCAGCAGCCCACCTGAGCGCATAAACATACAGTAGCTAGTTTACACAACGTAGTACCTTATGACAAGTGTGTTGTGTACAGCAAAGCTTAAAACTTTCTGCTCATCAGTTTGTCATGATCATCTAAGCAACTAAGCTCATCCACTTGATTGTGTGAGTATGTATGTGTGAGTGGACAAGGTGGTGTCTGTTTGTATACGACAAAATCCCAACCCCTTCTGTACACATGTAATCACTCGATCCCCTTACTTTTCACCAACCAGAATTTCTATTCCGTAAAAGCAGAGTTTGAGAATACACCTGCATTTGACTGTAACGGTAGTGATGAGGCTTGTATAGCAAATGAAAGCTCATACTTTCTTTCTGTCCTGATTCACACAACAGCAATCGAGCAGTGTCTCGTTTCAACAGTAAATATGATACAATTCACGCACACGCATGCTTGTTTGTTTGCTGGACATGGAGTAATAATGACGATACATGAAAACGATAATGTGCGTGGCATACTGTGTATATAAAAGTATCAACGGATGATTGCCCATGCTAATGACATTGTTGTGTTGCTAGAAATGCATTGTCGATTTTCCACTAGTGTAGTGCAAATCACCATGATTCCGCACATCCTTTTTCCCTTTACGTACCTCATGTTGTATTCAGCTTCGTCATGCTAATTATCAAGTTCATGCAATCCAGTTTGGCCAAAACTGCACACACAGTAATCTCTTCCACCCCCCCTCGCCAGGCTTTTTTAATAACGCTGTAGTCTTTAATGCAATGTACAAGATGTAAAACATGGTTTATCACTACGAATTAACACTATATTCATCAGTTTCTCTCTAAAAAGAAAGTTTAATTTGAACTAACAGCTATTGTTTTTTAAATGCTACATTCATTGCCATCATGCCATCTAAAAAAAAAAAAATGCACGATAGACAATGATGACCTATCTGAATACTTTCAAGTGCTGCTGCTGATCGTAGAAAAGAAGGATTTCATGCGCATTGAAGAATCACGCTACTCAAGACATGCATATGTTATACAGCAACATCAGCAGATCTATTTGCGATTGTCATCTGGGCAGCCAAATCATCTAATTATTGGAGCCTGTATGATAGCTACAGCTTCATAAATAACAGCCTCAAAGATAGTAAAAACACCAGTGAGTAGGAGGTTTTGGTGGATTGTTGATAGCTTTTACTACTACATACGAGCCTTTGGCTAATATCCCAAAATTAATAGAGTTAAAATGTTAGAATAATCCCGATTGTTGATTGATACATAATCACTAAACATATGAGTGTTTATGCTTCGGATGGTTCTTTACCTTTGCTTCGCTTCGGTGAGAACCAACCTGCGCATCGGCAGCTCGTGCTACTGATTGCTCTTGCGTATCTTTTCAAAATACTGCTACTTTCATTTTGGCCCTCCACTTACGCATTAAAAAAACCCTTCTTATGTGATGCTCTACATCCATATACACGTAGTTATTTCATATACGGGCAAGCAGTATACAGATATTTTCTCTTTTTAGTCAAAAGTGTACCTAATACAGCAAAATTTGGGCACATTTGAGCTGTGTTTTCTCGCGTTAAAAGCCATTTTGGACCATCAGAATAGTACCAAACAATTGCTCTCATCTGGCAGTTACTTTCTGACATCTTTGCTCAATTTTTTGGGGATCAAAAAAAACATGGCCAAAAATCGACCAAAAAGCATGAGGTACCCCTCGTGGTTTTCATTGAAAATCAAACGATCGCATTTTTCACCTTGATAACGAAGACTTTGATTATGGTATATCATAAATCAAAATGTTTCTATCGATCGAATGTAATTCCTGAAATCATCTGTGTGGGACTTTGATATGTAAAATTTCGACATTTTGGCCAGAAACCTCTTTTCATATTTTCGTAAATTACTCAATAAGTTTATTCAAAACATTCATCTTACTTGGTACCATTGGAAGCGCCTTGAAAATACCTCTAACAAAGTATTAAGAAGTGTGGATTGATCAGGACAGTTTACATAGTCAAATTTGGAAAAATAGATCGAATCGTGTCCAAAAAGTTTGAGAATCGACAAATCAAGACAGAATGTAAAGCGGAGATAACATCGATTTTGGCTGGCTAAAGCGATGCCACTGACGCTAGACGAAAGGCAGATACAGTAATCCCGCAATCCATCTCGTCTACAGCTATTCAATCCGAACAGGCGCCTCATCCTGGTTGAAAAACTATTCTGGTATCCCATATTACCATCACTATCACCATCACCATCGTCATCCAATTTGCCCCCTTACTGCAGTCAATGCTCTGTCCAGGTACTCATTCATGTGGACAACATTGGCCGAAACCCATATTCCCGTCAACGAGCATGTCACCGTTGTGATCGCAAGCAACCATAAAAAGTGGCCCGTCAGAGTTCGGGTGGCCATTTTGTTTGGTATCACGGCATTCAAGTGGTAGCTTTCAAACTTTGGTAGTATCTACAGCTCAAAGCTCATCATCAGCATTTCTCTGGTATCTGTAGACTATTCTGTTAGCATGGTCATGAGCACTGTAGATTGACCAGTACTTGAATTGAGTTAATCGGCGTCTTTGGAAGCTTACTACCGAAAATAAGCTTTTAATTACGGATGGTCCATCCCTTTATTACAGGCTAACCCAAATAGAAATTGAAAAATATGCGCTGATTTTCATCTGCGTTTGTTGCAGGGTGGTGTGATTAAATGTAAGTGTTAAGGCTTTGCATGACAGCAAGGTCTCCTTAATGAAATAAAAGCTTCATTGATTAGAAACATGGCGCTTTCCATCGCCCTCAAATAGCGTAGGCGATAATTTTTGTTTCTCTGTCTCTCTCTGTTGGCATACTTAATCTCATAAATGTGGATGATCATTTGGATGAGAGAGTGGAAAGTGACACAAATTACAACTCAATACTATCGTAACTCTATGAAACGCTTAACCACAAATGCATCTTGCATGTATGCCCAAACAAACAAACAAACAGATACTGCGTTTTGCGCCCATGTCGTATAGAGCATGAATACTGAGCTTTACCCTGTTTGCTGCAATAAACAATGACATTTGCTATATACTATATAATAGTCGCCGAGCTTAAGGCCATTTGTATGTATAGAAAGGAGCATTGTGTGGAGTTTTGAGAAAACTACTTTCCATGACATGCTGCAACAGTATCTATTTGCGAACGGCTTGCATTGTGCCATTGCAGAGCTATAAATGTCTTTTTTTTTTTTAAAAAAAAAAAAAAGTTGGATTTGCTTTGACACCATCCAGAAATCTAACTAAATGCTCGACAGTGTTCTAAATCTCCAAGATGGACCTATGCGAGTACGACAAGGCTTGTTATGATAGGAGCTAAGCTCGCGATAGCATTTATAAAAGAAAAAGGCAGTCTAGATTCAACTGATTGATGCTGGTGGTTTCAACCCGTCTTGCCACATCTCCAGGTAGAATTGATGATTGCATTGTGGCTATATCCAAAGCAGTTTGACTGGAATAACACCCAATGATGCGTCTTGTTTGAAAGGGGTTTGTTGGGCCATACGTCTGATTACTATGCTGCTTAATGTGGCCTGCTTGGTTGTATTGGTACCAACTGGGTTGTACATGTTTTGGTTGGTATACAGCTTCTTCCAGATGTATAACGTTTGTGCACCACCAAAAAAGTGGGACAATATCAAGTGAGAGAGAATAGTGAACACAAAGCAAATACATACACGACAAATATTATTGCACAAAAGAGTAAGAGAAAGGGGGGAGGAGATGTACAACAACCGCTGTCAGTTTTTCAACGGCAAAAGCAACCGAGACTCGCGAGATGCCATGTGTCTACAATGGCCGATTGACGTATTCGCCGTAATTCGGGTGTTGCTCTTGTCAGTAAAAAAGAGGTGATTTCCTCTTTCTCCAACAACGGACACTACTACAAAGTTTAATTTATCGTGCCATGAGCACTGACCGATAAAAATTTCTTTGTGTAAGCGAATAACAAGACTGTGTACACAAGAGATTACTGAAAGGGGATAAGCGTGTGATGCAAAACAAACACAAAGCAAGCTACTTAAGTAGAATGTCTGTCTCTTTTCCCCCCCTTTCATCTCTTCTCGACTACCAAAAAATACACACATCAAATCTATAATGAACTCTGTTCTCTCAAACACTACTTTCTACAGCCACCATCAAGCCTCATCTGCCTCTACAGATGTTCTCATGCATCAAAATGTTACCTTTTCACAAATGAGACCGAGATATGTCGATAAATGTGTTGCTCAGAATCCTAGGCAAACTGTGCTTGTTGATATCTTGGGTGATATGGTCGAGCTACCTGTCTATGCTCTTCGACGTAGAAATGCCATGGTTCATTTCTAACTGGTATAATCCAATATCTACTATACATAATGACAAAGAAACCCTGTACATAGCACATTAGAAATTACTATCCCTTTGACTCCTCTCTCTCTCTCTCTCTCTCTCTCTCTCATCACTCCAACTACCCCTCCCCCCCTTGTCCTGCCGTTTATCTCCTAATCCACAAAATGTATCATACAAATATAGCCCATCATTTACATGCTGATAAATGAAATGAAATAAAAACATTCTCTACCAACTCCATTTGCAAATGCTCTAATATTAAATTTGTCAAGTTTCGTGGTAATCAAAATGGCGTCAATGCTGGTTGGTACGACAAATAGTGGCCCAAGGCTCTATAGCGATGGCATTCTCCATCAGTAAAGAACCACATAGTCATGCTGTGTAGTATATTAGATCAATCATTGGGATTGTCTAGTCACAAAAAGAAAAATCCTGCTATATTGGGTGTTCCACACCCACTCGAATGGAAAAAAGAGGGTGATATCAAGAAAATTGCTTATTTACCACTCTTTTTAAGCATCTTGCTACATTAAATAATGAGCCAACATACAGATTGGTCCGCAAATACATTGAGCATATTTGAGAGGTAAGTAGCATTCGAATGTGGATGGACATCAGACATTTGACCCTGTTTGCAGGTCTTCAAAATCAGGTAGCAAAGGCTTCTTTGCTGCTGCTGCTGCTGCTGCTCCCTCCTATAATGCCACAGCAAAGTCCTTCATCCCCTCTGCACCACGACAGCCACCGCCACCAACAACACCATCGCCTAGACAGTTTGATCCGTTTGATAAGGAAGAAGAGGTGGAAGAAAAGGACGAGGACGAAGACGACATCAACGAACTTGGCCAGCAATTCATATCCAGTAACTTGCTTGCGGATGAAGAGGATGATGGTACTCCCATGGTGACAACCCATTCAAGCCAAATGCAGCAGCAATCCGTGCAATGGACACCCAACACCAATATCAAGGACATTTGGGAATCACCCAAGACACAACCACAACAAACTTGGGATCATTTTGAGCCCTATTCACGTGGAGACGAGCAGGAATTTGACCCCACACTGCAATTCTATCATGGCTCGCTGTACGATGCTTCAACTATACAAGACATGAACAAGCTGTCCTTAGAACTGCCCTCTGCGGAGGAGACCACCAAGGAGAATGTCGAGGAAGACATGTCGACTTTACAAATGATGCAAACCATCTTTAGTGATCTGAGTGATGCAGAATTAATAGAGACGCTGGAGAAGTTTGATTACGATGTGGATCGATCGATCGAATCTTTATTGACACAAAAGATGAGCAGCAAGGCAGCAGCAGCAGCAGCAGCAGCAGCAGTAGCAGAAGAGGTAGCAGCAGCAGAGGCAGTAGTAGCAGCCACCAGCGTGAATTCAACAAAAGCAGCATCATTACCATCCAAATTGGCCACGACAAATACATTAGAAAACACACCCAAGAAGAGACAGGTTTGCAGACACTTTTTAGCTGGCGAGTGTTATCGAAAGGATTGTTGGTTTGTTCATGATTTGCAAGAGAAGGTGTGCAAATTCTGGTACGTATTTCATTGCGACATGATTGAGCTTTGAGTAACCCCCCCTTTGTATGTAAAAAAAAAAAAAAGGCTCCAAGGCAGTTGTTTGAAAGGAGATTCCTGTGAATTCTCGCATCACATTGATATTCAAGAGGTTGCCAACAAGATGACATTACCCGAATCACCCAAAAAGAAGGAGCCCGTCAAATACAACCAAGGCGATTACCCAGCATTGAGTTCGGCTAGCAGCAGTAGAAAGACTCGTGCTTGGAATGCAGCTTCTACTACGAGCGCCTCCACAGTGAAAGAGCAAGACGAGTTTCCTACATTAGCGTCCGCTGCCAAAATCAAAAAAAGCTCCACAAACAACAGCAATAGCAACAGAGCCATCAACTTTGCAGAGGCAGCCAAGAAGAAAAAGACAGCACCCTCGCCCAAAGCAACATCTGCCAAGCGATCCTTACTGTATCGACCCCATAAATACAGTCATCAAAAGCTGACTCAACCTGTTCGTATACCATGGCTTGAAACAGGCAGTTCACTCAACAGTGTCTACATGAAGGAGGTAAGTGTATAGTTACGTGAGACGAGTAATGTCGCCAACGCCCTGTACGCAGAGAGAACAAGCGATCGAGTACGGTATGCTTCGAAATAGATTGTTTAGCAAGGCTACAGAATACTATTTAAAGGGGGATGGAGCCAGAGCCAAATTATACTCGATGGAAGCCAAGCAGTACAATCGACTGATGCAGGAAATGCACTCTGAAGCAAGCCAGCGTATTTTCGAGAGTCGATCGAAGCATGAAGCATTCATTGATTTGCATGGATTGCACGAAGATGAAGCCATGGAAATTGTGGAACAAAGACTGTCGCATTTGAAGGCAACTTATTCTGGCATTATTTACATTGTCACCGGCACTGGCCATCATTCAGGAGCCAGTGGTCTCAGTAAAAAACAGAGCAAATTGAAGCCTTGCGTCTACAACTATCTCAAGCAGGAACACTATCACTTTGCAGAGACAAGCATTGTAGGAGACAATCAAGGCGGTGTGTTTGCTGTTGAAATTTGATGATCTAGGGCAAAAAAAAAAAAAAAAAAAAAAAAAAAAAACAAATCATTCAAATGTGTAATATCTATTAGGCTGTGGTAATTTATTTATATGGAATGATATGTGACGAGAGAGAGAGAGAGAGAGGGAGAGAGAGAAATGATGCATGCTTATGTACAGAAAGAAATGAAGTATATAGTAAAATTATCGAGTACACATGACTTTGGCAAAAATAGCCGCTAAAGAAGATGTGGATCTATGGAAAATATGCGTGAAACTTGACTTGGAAGGTTTTTCCTTGCTTGTGTTCTTGGTGTTGATGTGGTCGGGTAATTTGTTATTCGGCCCCAATGAGCCTCGGTGCAGTAATGCAGATGGCATGGAGGATGTGTTGCTTGCTGATGATTCAGAGGTGCTGTAAATAAGAGGCGGGGGACGTGATGAAGCGCTGATGCTCAACAAAGTAGGGGATAAGGGCCGTGTCGTAGTGTTTCGAAAGGAGATCATGGACTCATGTTTGTTGGCCTCGTTTTGTGGGTAACCGGAACCAAAGTCATTGTGGTCAACGTCGTTGTCTTGATCCATATCTTGGTCTTCTTGGCCGTGATCAACATCATCGTCGTCCTCTTCATCGCCATCGAAATGCATTGTCGTTGTTGCTGACACGGGAGTGGCACAGGTCGATTGATTTGATTTAATCGGTGAATCAGACTCCTGTTCCATTTCTTGGTGTGATAACCGTTCCCTGGTGAGATGATAGAGTGATAATAGAGGGTGATAGGCAGCTGGCTCCGTCTGAGGATCATCGTAAGGTTTGGCCATGAGGTCTTGCGGTGTGTTGACAACGGATGTATGCTGTACTTTTGCCACATGCTCTGCTGCTGATCGATACACTTGCGACTTGATAATCATCTCCATTTTGATGCGAATGTCCTCTGCATTGCCCATATTGAAACCACGAGTCATATGCTGTAATATGTTTGGCGCTAATGGCGGGACAATGGGTAAACGTAGTGGGAGATAGTTCTTGATCGCCTTATTATAGCCATGGTTCATCCATTCATGACGCAAGACATCTGCTAAAATGATTCGTTTCGTTGGATTAATGACAAATATCCGTGATAGTAGATCTCGGCAACTGGGGCTGACATGAGCAGGATAAGCGACTTGACCGCGCTTAATTTTTTCATGCAAACCAGGCATCGACTTGTCGTCAAAAGGAACAGACCCGGTTACCATGACATAGATGACCACTCCAAAACTCCAAATATCAATCTCTGGTCCACGATACGGTGATGCCCGCAACAGTTCAGGAGCTGCAAAGTACAAGGATCCACAATAGGTTGTTAAACGTCGCTCGGGGCAAAACAAATTGGAGAGGCCAAAATCAATAATCTTGATGTTCCGTCCAGCCTTGTCAATGAGGATGTTTTCAATCTTGAGATCACGATGTACAATGGAATTGCGGTGCATGTAATCAAGAGCGCTGACAATTTGTCGAGAAAACTGACGAGCATGCTGTTCTGAGAGCTTCTGACGCTTGACAATGTAATGCAAGAGCTGCCCACCATTGACATAATCCATCAAGATGTAAAAGTATGGGCCGACAGCGACGAGATTCCGCAACTGAACAATGTGTGGGTGTCGTAGAAGCATCATGATGTGCGCCTCTCTGATTGTTCGCAATTCTCGAGTCTCTTCCTTGACCTTTTCCTTCATCATTTGCTCTTTTGTCCTTGGTTTTCCTGCGCTTGTGAATCCATTGATCTGAAAATTAGCTCTTCTGACTATTTTAACGGCCACCTGAGTTTGCATGATATCATGACATGGTTAGTAGTGTTCTTTTTTTAAATTTGCCAATTAAGCGAACATCTACCTTTTCACCAGAGACAGCATGCACACCTAGCTTGACCTTGCCCATGCTGCCTTTTCCAAGGCTACGATGAAACTCGTAATCATCGATGCAAGACAAAGGCGAAGTTTTATTATGCTTGGATGTTGATTTATCTTCTTGAGACATGCAAATTGTGTCTCCTTAATTCCTTTGCTGCTCTGTATCTTTTGTTGATGAATAGAAAAAAAAAAAAAAAGAAAAGAAAGAAACTCAACAAGAATTGCAATTGCGTAGTCGATATAAAAAGTAAAAAAGAAACAAAGAAAGAAGAGAAAAAAACATACAATTGATTATTTGGAGCCATTCTGTAACCAACCTTATTTTTATTTTTTTTAAAGGCGAGGCGAATACAACCAAATTTCCCGGGCTCAGAGTGATACTAAAAGGCTCAAATCAATCGGTCAGTTGTTGTTATGGTACATGCTGTACGTGTAACGTCTTACTAAAAATCTAGAAAACCCCCCCCCCCTCCTCCTCCTCCTCACCTGTTTCTTTTGCTAATTGCAATTGACTTTCACAACATCATGGCATACGCTATTTCATTGCTTTTCATGAAAGAGTGCTTTTTTGCGCATCTATTGCAGAGTTTGAATAAATGTATGCTGATAACTGAAAGCATAAATTGAAGGCAAAAAAAAATGTTTATGCTTGATTTGGATTCGTGCAGGCTGCATTTGATTTACAACGATATTTGGTAGCACACACAAAAGTAGGTGTAATTTTGGGCAACCTGATTCACAAAACAGGTACGATGAGATGCTAGTTAACTGCCTTTTAGGTCTTGCTTTCTCAATGGAATTGCAATGGGATTTTAAGGATGGCATGGTAAAGTAGATGTGTAGTATTGGTGATAGGACGATGATGATGATGATGATGATGATGATGAAATAGCCAATGCCAACACATGGGTTCATGAGAATGAATGACTGCTGTTGTTCAATATTATTTAGGTCACGATATAAGGCTGCTAAATATATCTGCTTTTCTGTTTTACAATACTACAGGCTTAGCAAACATCGTTGGTATCGTAAGATGAATGCTGCTAAGCAGCCGTGGGTGTATTTATTTTGCAGTGGCTGATCTGTTTTGTTAATGCATGCATACAAAAGTAGAAAAGCATTGTGTCACCGTAAATCTAGCTCGCAGTTGAGTATTCAGTAGTTAGTCATGTCTAACATCATTCCAATTGTATTTTATGGCATGATGTTGCTTTAAATCGATCATGGGCAGGGTAGAAATATTAGACCAATCAAATGCTTGTCCTGAGCGGTAAATGAATTAAATTGATCTGCATATCATTTTGACATCGAAATGCCATTGCTACTACTTTTATCCAGGACAACCATCATTGCGAGATACAATACTATAAACGTAAAGACGACATCCAGGCCCTTTCTTTAAGAAAAAAAAAAAACCTCAAAAGCAATCATTTCATTTTATTTTATTTTTTGGTTTGATTTTCAGGTAGATTATGCGACTTATGGACGTTCTGCCTTGACAGCGCCTTGTGCGACCTGTTGCTGTTGTTGTTGTTGTTGTTGCTGAGGAGGAGGATTGGCAGCAGAGGAGTTGCCAGCATTACCTTGCTGTTGTTGATCGTTAAAAGACCAATATCCAAGTGGAGGAGGACCGTTGGAAGAATTTTGTTGTTGCTGAGATGGGTGTTGAGGAGGATGCTGAGGTGGCTGTTGGTAATAGAGTGGTTGAGGACCTCCATATTGTGATTGTGCTTGTTGGTTATGTTGAGGTGGAGGGTAAGGTTGGTTTGGTTGAGGTAAATTGCTACCATTGTAACCAGGATGAGTGGGATATCTCTGTTGGTTATATTGAGCCATGCTACCCATTTGAGGAGGAGGAGGAGGCTGATGATGTTGATGATGGGGAGGTTGATTGGATTGGGAATAATTTCCAGGCCCACCACTTTGTTGCTGTTGAGGATTGTTCACATTGCCTAACGCAACAGCAGTAGCAGTAGCAGCCATGGGAGGCACAACCATGTTCTGTCTCATGACGTTAGGTGCAGCAGACTGCATCATAGGGCTCTGAGATGACGTTGTTTGAGGTGATGATTGCTAAACGATACATGCACAATCAATATCAAATTCAAATTTTACAGCTTTCAATCTTACATGTTGGGAGGTATCTTCTGGAATACGATTAACAATAGGAGTCGGAGATGTATTACTAACATTGCCAATATCATTTGCATTTTGAGACATATAGTTACCGTCTTCCAATTTATTTTCCGCATTCATCTGTGTCAAAGAATCATGCCGAATGAGAAACACAGAAACGCGTACTTGAACGTGAAACTTACCTCAGGCATTGAAGGGTCAGGCGTGTTCAAACAAGCTTGAATGAGATTTTTACCTTCAGGCTTCGTGACAATAGGTTGCAACTTTGTTGTGGTAAATGTATAGACAAGACCAGTTTCAGAAACCACCAACAATAAGACTTGAGTGCCAGTGAGAGTAGATAATTCGTATGCCTAAAATAGGTAGTGTGAATGGTAAGTTGAGTTTTGATATATCCATCTCGTCCCCCGTCCCAAAAAAGAACATTACCTTCTTCATGATACCAGCTTTACGTTTGGAAAATGTAATGTGTCTGCGGTTCTTGTCTTCAATGTATTCAATCTTGATCTTTCTTCTACCATTACGCTTTACTGGCTTCTGCTCTGAATCATCTGAATCAATGGCATCTTGGTCCAAAGTCTCATTTTGTCTTTTTTGACTATTATAGAAATAGTTAATTTCTTTTTTAGTTACAAAAAAGTGTAGATGTTACTATAAATGATACATACCCGGCTGGCAACATATTTCTTGTTCTTATAAGGGTTGAAATGTCAAGTAGATCCTTTCCAAAGAAAGTATGATGAGGGAATAAAAGAACAAGAAAGATTTCGTGTGTGAAAAAAAAGAAAGAAAAAAAAAAAGTGAGCATGTTCACTGGGATATTCAACTCGAGCTGAAAAAAGGATATGAGTGGCTTGGATTAAGAGTAAAATGATGGCAGACAGCATTAATTCGCGCAAACTGAAAAATCATTTATCTTTAACACTTTTTCAATCCTTACACATATAAGAATGGCCGATTTATCAAGCCAAATAAACTTGATTACTACAAAACTCTCTGAGCAATTGAATGCATTGGAGCAAGAGTATCAACGCTGGTCTGATTACAAGACAGATTACGATGCATTGGAAAACCAGCTCAAAACATTGCCTGATAACACAACTAAAAGTGCCATGGTATATCAACTGACATGAATCTCGGTCTACCATCCGATATGTAGCTAATTTATTGTTGTTTAGATACCAATGGGAAAACTCGCCTTCATGCCAGGAAAATTGATTCATACGAATGAAATCCTCGTGTTGTTGGGTGATCAATATTATGCAGAACGCTCTGCCAAACAAGCCGTTGAAATTTTGGGACGTCGTAGACAGGGTAAGATATCGATCGCTTTGTGTAGTTGCGGTGGAGGCTCATCCTTTGGCAGTTGTTGATGAGAATTTGAGGTTGGTGGAAGCGCAATTGAATAGTTTCAAGGCCAAGAAAGACTCGATTTTGGATGCAGGTGCTCTCTCGACATCAGATCCTCAGGTAACTGAAACAAACGACAGCCGTGTGGAGAATCTATCGCTTTTAGAGGATATATATGCAATCAAAGCGCTGCCATGAAACATGTGCTATTTCATGCAGACGTGCTTCCTATTGATGCTGTGCATCCATGTCAAATGGATAGTGTTACTCAAATCAATTCTTGCGAAAGCACAGATCTGTCAGTTGTTAAAGTCGATGATTGAATGCATATATAGACTTGCCAAAAGCGGCAGATCTACCTGGGTAGTCAGAACGATGTTTAGCTTTAAAATACTGACATGATCTCTTTGGAAAAATAGATGAACGAAGAGGGCTTGCCCATCATGGAAATTAGAGAAGAGTTACCACCTATAGATGAGAAAGAAGAAGCCTTGAAACAAAAAAAGCTACTGGAAGAAAAGAAAAAGGCGCCTCAACCGCCTTCAAATCAACTCCCAGAATCTGTGTTGCGTGCACGTAAAATGATGGCAGAGGCAGATGAGAGAAAGAAAAAGGCGGACAAGAACGACGAAAATAAAGCTTTGTTTGATCTATTACGAGAATTGGAAGAGGAAGAAGAGGAAGAAGAAGAAGGAGGAGGCGCAAGTACAAAGCAGATGGGCTCTGCTGCTGCTGCTGCTGCTTCTGCTGCTACAGAAAAGAAGAAAACGACGCCTCCAATCGACGAAGACAGTGATGAATTGACCGATGATTTTAGCGACGATGAAGAGGATGAAGACGACGATCGCTACGATACCGAGATTTCAGACAACATGTTTGATCGATTTGGAGATGACGAGCAATATCCTTTGGATGGCGTTGTGGATCAGGAAGACTTTACTTGCTATGACGAATTGCCTCCACAAGTGCCTCCCGCTGCTACTTTGAGAGAGATTGCCGATGACGAAGACACAGAAGAGTATGAAAAGAGCACGCCCAAAGTCATTACAAAGAAGAAGGTCAAGGAATCCATTGAACAGCCTGTTGCTGCTCCTGCTGAAACCCCATCAACTGCCCCCAAGAAAATGTCAAAGTTTAAGCTTGCTCAACAGGAAAAGAAGAACAGCATTGCAGCTGTCAAAGAGTCATCGCCATTAGCACAAGCGCCCATCACTGAATCAGCAACACCCGCTCTTGTCGAACCATCCAGCAATGAAACTCCCAAAAAGAAGTTTTCAAAATTCAAATTGCTGCGTCAAGAACAAAAAGACAGACCCTCAACATCTGCCACACCCACTGCTACTCCTCCTGTGTCCAACGCACCTGTCAAGGAATTAGTTACTATCCCTTCTGTTGCGGGGACAACTCATTCTCCAGCCACCGCCACTGCAACCCCATCCGAGAAGAAGACGTCAGAAGAACAAGAACAAGACGAGCAACTGATGCGTACAGAGAGCAAAAAGGTCAATCAAGGTATTCCCCAGGTGGCCTCTGTCAGTAGCCATAAGCCTAGAAAAATGTCTCGATTTAAGCTGCAAAGAGCCCAATCCAAGCCAGACGTGAAGGAGCCTGCTACTACCACAGCTCCCCCCTTGGCTGCTGATCGTATCAAACCCAAGCGATCCGTTACTTGGGATGCCAATACAGACGTCCGTGATCATGATTATACCTCTGCACCATCCGTTGTCGCTGAAACATTGAGTTACACCCAACCCATGAAGACGGATGCCAAAAAATCAACTGTATTAAAACAAAAGATAAGATCTCCTGCCGACATATTCAACGCGATCAAGCACACGCAAGGCGACATGGTCGATGACTATCCCTCGCTTGACGACGATGAGGACGCTGCAAGTGGAAATCAAGTCGATTTGAATGAACTGATCAAAGTGGCTCGTGATAGATCGGAAGCATTTTATCGACCCAATGACGGTAGTGAAGCATTGATACCCATGGTGAAGCAATACAATGATGATGATGATGATGATGAAGAAGAAGAAGAGGAAAAGCCCAATGGGATCATTGTAGCCAGAAAGAATAAGCTAGACAACAAGATCATGAAGGGAGCTGTCATGGAACGAGACATTGCACCTGTGGATCTGGAGCAAGTCGAGGATGACATGGATTTGAAAGAAATCACCTCTAGCTACCAACAAAAGAGACAGAGCATGCTTGCAGCTACTGGCGGCTTTTCTTTTGCGACAAAGCCTGAATTTGAGGTCATTGAAGAGGACTTGCCATTGCCTAAAAAGAAGCAGCAACAGCAAGAAGAAGAGGAAGAAGAGCAGCAAGAAGTGGCACCCAAAAAGATGTCCAGATTCAAGGCAGCAAGATTAGGCATGAGAATGGATGCAACCGAAGATAATTATTATTAGACTTTTTTTTTATTATTATTATTATTATTATTAAACAATTCTAAAGAGGAGTGATTTATTATCAGCGTTTCTAATGGCTACGATGATGACTGTGCTGGGCCCTGCTGTTGGTTTTTCTCGGCAGCTTGTTTTACGCTGTGCCATGCGATCTCTCGATCTTTTTGTAGCTCTTCCACCCTACATACATGCAAGTTTGTATGTGAGAATCCTCAGAATTGAGATACATGTTGCAAAAAAAAAACTTACTTTTTTTCGTTGTTCTTGTAATAATAAGTGCATTGATCAAATAGCTGTGGATCCATATCCATGAATATCTTGAGCGCATTATACACCAGTCCGTGAATCGTTCTATTCCAATGCTGTTGCGAGAATGTGTACAGTGGTTTAAACATGATTGGCATGATGGTCTTTACATGATCATGCATCAAATTCACAATGAAATCGTTATTCCAGAGATAGAGAGCCCGCTCTGCAACTTGAAAATGACAACTAGAGACACACTGAGCGATCTTTTCGAAGATGGGCACACAGACTTTGGGAAACTCGCTGCTGTCAATGATGTCGAGGATTTCTTCAATTTCGTTCAGAAACATGACCTCCTTGGCGCTGTTCACCTTGGGCCAGTAGCGCAGCAAACAATCCACCACGGGCTTTGTCAGTGTAGGATCCTTCTCCAAGAACTGCACCACACAGTAAGCCAGTTGAGGATGATATGTTGTCAAGCAGCTTGGTTTATGCAACGGCATCAGGACGCGGATCAAGAAGGTTTTGTGTTCCTCCTTCAAGGGCAGTGCAAATCCGTTGATGATGCTTCCCAGGATCTCCAGCAATTCCGCAATGCCATTGAAACTTTCCGTCTCATAAATAAACTGGAAAAAGATATTGTTGATGGATTTTCGAATGTAGGCTCGCAGGTTGAGGAATTTTCCATATAGTCGATGCAGCGTGGTCTTTAGGAAATCTCGCTCACGCGGATCTTCGCTGTCGAATAGCTCGAGTAGATGCAGTATGAATTTCTGGTCAAGGTACTTTTTGGCTTCATGCACATTGAAATCTGGTGATTCCACAAATCGCAAGAAGAATTCGTACACGAGTTGCAAATGTGGCCAAGCTGCTTCCAGTGTGGGTTCGTCTTCTTCTGGATCGTATCCTTCTTCTCTGTCGATAGGAGGTGGTATTGTGCGGAATAGATTCGCAGAAAACTATGTTTTTTTTTTTTTCAAAGTGAGTTTCTCTTTCTCTCTCTCGCTCTCTCTCTCTCTGGAAACCTAACATGCAATTACCATTTTTACTACATCTGGATAGACTGCATCAGTCAATGCACCTTTGGTGGTGGCTACGTATTCCAGCATGTCTTGCAGCGCCTGTCGCTTGATTTCCTTGCCGTTGAGGTCCGAGGAGGGATCACTGAAATCAAACAGTACTTGACATTGTGCTAATTTCTTGAGGAAGAGTTCTGTTCGTTTGGCAGGCGCTACTTCTTTGAATGACGGCAATTTTTCCAACGTTACTTTATCGTACACATGAAATCTGGATGATTTTTGTCGTCGAGGTACTTTGCCAATAGGAATTGTGTCTTTGGACGCTCCTTTCAACCATGCCATGGCGCTGTTGGAGGGCTGCTTGGGGACAACCGCAGTGCCGTCTTTGGTGGTAGTTGTATGTTGGTTCTTTTTGGATGATGTGTTGTTGTTACTGTTGAGGAATGAGTGTTTTTGATGGGAGGATGAGGTGGATGTAGACGATGATTTCGATGATGCGGACGCCGTTGCTGCTGCTGCTGTCGCTGTTGCTGAAGACTATCAAGATTGTCAATGACTCTACGTGCGCTTCGTCTATATAAACTCACCATTGCGTTTGGTTCGACAGATATCGTTGGTGTATCTGCAGTAGTCGTCGAAGTGCTTGTGGTAGGTAACATGTTTTGAATGGACGCTCGAGACAGGATAGACGACTTGTTTTGTCCATTGGACGACTTGCTTAACTTGGGAGATGAATTACTATTATTAGACGATTTCGATTTTTTCGAGGGAGAGGATGATGGTGAGGAATTGGTGTTTGTGGACGATAATGCTTCAGGTGTAATGGTAGGGGATGACATGGCAGTATTACTGTGTGAATCTATAGATTTAATCGAGTCTTTTTGCTGATGCTGTTGTTGTTGTTGTTGGTGTTGGTGTTGTTGTTTGCCTTTGAAAAGCTGTCAAGAGAGATGCCATGTTAGCGTTCATTTAATCATGCGATAACAAGACGATGACTTACAGCAACTTTTATTCCTTTTATCATTGAATGGCTTGTCTATTTCTAAAGAAAAAAAAAAAAAAAAAAAAAAAAAAGGGAGGCGATTCAATCAACATGCTGCGAAATCACTTGAGGAAATAGCTTACACTGTGTATATATAGTCGTAATAAAAAGATCTCCTTGCAATGCTTTAGGATTGAAAACAGAAAAAGAAAAAAAAAAAAAAAAAAGAGAGAGAGACAAGACAAAAAAAAAAAAAAAAAAAAAGATGCATTATACAAAACCAAATGCTGTGTAGAGATGGTCGTAATCCCCGATGATATTTGATGCTCATCATCGCCCGTTCGTGCTCCCTTAATTGCTGCATCCAATAAGTGTAGGCTGGTCAAAGTCAACCAATCCAAAAAGGTCAAAATCCGGCTGCTACAGTGGAAGCAAATATCATCATCAGAATTTTTTTTTTTTTCAAGTAGAGCGTGCATAAAAAAGAGAGACAGACAGACATCATATCCATACTACAGTGACGAATGGTTTCGTCATTTCTGTATCTGACTGACAAAATGATGGCTTGGTGAGATGATGGCATTTCTTGATCTACAAGGATTGGCATCATGTCATCTACAGAGCTTTTCCAATGCCATGAAATGAGCATGACATGGCTCAACTGTCTAAAGAAAAAGCTTAGCTTCGTTCAGTGGTCAACTCATTATCAACGCTCAACTGTGGAAGCATGCAAGCCCGAATAGCATGCTCTATGAGTAGGAAATCTGACAGCTGATCCATATGAAGGATGTCTATACACCATCTTTGCCGTGTCTGCCATGCTTGAACCATGTATTCCAAATTCAATTGCTGATAATTTACATTTCGTCTAGCCAATTGGCACCCTCACCGTCTCAAACTAGATTCATTTCTGGTATATGTACTTTTTATTCATGTCTATTTGATATCATTCAATTAATTGCTTCATGAGCTTACAATGCTCTGAAAAGGAATCAGGACTGGGAATATTATTAGTAACAGCATCCATGGAGGAGGCATCATCTGACGTGGAGCAGGAGGAAGGAGGAGGAGAGTCTACAAAGAACTTGCTGTCATCATTGCTATTCGCAGCGATAGCAGCAGCAGCAGCTATTGCTGATTGAAACGTGGCATTGAAGTCTTGCTGTTGCACGGATGAATCGGATGAAATGGATGTAGGCGATGATGGCATTTGATGATGAGGGTGGTGGTGGTGGTGACGGTGTTGAGACGAGTTGACAGCAGCCATGGCAGCAGCAGTAGCAACAGAGGCGGCGGTGGTCACTGAATGTGTTGTGCTGCCTTGCTGTTGCTGCTGTAGTAGATAGGTATAAGAGTCGCTGCTATTGCTAAACAAGTTTTTGGTGGCGCTTGGTTGATCATGTTGTGGGTGATGATGGCCGTAAAAGAAATCAAAATCTGTGTCGTCTTGTGGTGTAGGTGTTGCCGAATGAGAAGAGCATATAAAAGTGGAAGCGACGGCAGCAGCAGCAGCAGACGTAGCTACAGTAGCAGCCATTGATATCAAGGCAGGGCTATAGTGATGATTACTGTAAGGCGAGTATCTTTTTCGCTTTACACCAGACGACGATAGTGTTCGATGCGGACGACGAAAGAAATCATTCAGGGCATTGCTACAAAGCGGTGAAGGAGGTGTATAGATGGGGAGAGATGCTTTGGACATCATGGCAGCAGTAGCAGCAGCAGCAGCAGCAGCAGCTGAAGCAGAGGATGCCGACGACGAAGATTGCTGACATCCATTGCGCCTCGAGATACAGAATGGGCAATGCCTTACAAAACGAGCAATCAGCTCTTTGGGTATCCAGGAGTATCTTTTGCGCACCAACGCCGATGTTTTATCTCTGCCACCATGATGCGCTTCTTTATGTGCAATGATCAGGATGTTGTAAATGTCTTCTCGAGTAGCCACAGGTTTATTGTCATGGCACACAAACTCCATATGGTCGGTGGTAGTTAAGCGAAACATCTTCTTGACCCAGAATCGAAACTGAGCAGTGGAAATGGCTGTGTTGCGAGGATCTTTGAGCACTTGCAATATCAATGAGTATCGATGGCTGTCCACCAGTGCTTTGTCTCGCTTCTTGGAGGATAGATTTTGCAAGTAGCCATTGACAATGCTGTTGAACTCTTCTATTGATGGAAATTGCTGGTATTCATGCATGAGTCCATCATTGGCGTCGTTATTATTGGAGGTGGCGGTGGGGGTGGAGCTGCTATTGTGCTGATAAAAGTCCTCTATAGATGAGCATGTGGATGATGATGATGGCGATGACATTTATATTACACAAAAGAGAAAAATGTACAGGGAAGATGGTGTCGAAAAAACAAGAAATGTCTTTGTGGTCAACCCAACATCACTGGATATTTATATACAACGGATGAAATCCAATATGACTAAATATGTGGGTTTGGCGGGAAAAAAAAAAAAAAAAAAAAAAAGTAAGTGTTGCTTTGTGTATGTAAATGTGCTATAGAATGTTGTTGTTGTATAAAAAAAAAAAAAAAAAAAAAAAAAGTGAGAAAACCCTAATTAAACCGTTTATAACCTCCCATTCCCTAGCATATTCCCCTTTGATTTGTCTGTGCGCAAACATTTTTATTTATCATTTTCCATCATTTGTTGTTGTTGTTGTTGTTGCTGTTGGTGATGATGATTGGCACCCGTGCTACTACTACTGCCAAACCCAGGAATGGACGTCAATATACGATTCTTGAAACTCGTCTTTGTCGCTGGCGTTTCGTTTGATCCAGCTATTGTCATATCCAAGAGATCCTGCTCCGAATGACTCCGTTTGGATCCTATATGTTGAAGAATTTTTAATATAAGCATATTTGATCAAAATTTATACAACAACAACAACAACAACAAATATAAACATACCTTCAGTAAACTTTCTTGATCCTTTTTGAAAATGTTTCATGCTATTGCTGCCTGTGGATTTGGGTCTATCATTCAAGTCTTGGGTACTTCTTCTTCGGCCCAAGCCAACAATGTTCTCTGAAATCTCGCGGATGATGGTGGACTTGGATGGACTTGGGATACTGTTGAAACTGCTTTGCGAGGAGGAACTGGACGCTGATTTGGAGTGCTTTCGGACATGTACACTCTCTTCCGTTTGCATCTCTTCCAGAGCGAGCTTGTACCCCTTCTCCACCAGGTTGGTAAAGATGCCCTCTCGAGCGCGGTTCATTGGCACTGCAAACTTGGGTGATTTGAATGCTGCATACTCGGCATTCACCACTATCATAGTTCAGTATTTCTTGAGCTATACCAAATCAGTGTGTTTGCAACGTAACTTACATTTAGCAATCAGAAATTGTTCCAATTCTTTCTTATTGTTGAAAATGGCCGATTTCTCTGGTAGCGGTGGTCCGAAATCAGGGACGTCTTGCACAGACACAATTTCCACTCGATACACAACTTGAGCCATGATGGTCTCTTGGTGCACAATGATAAATACATGTAGAAACTGGGATTTGATGGCGGTTGGGTTGAATGGCTGATTGCCCTGGACAAAGACAATGCAAACAATGTCTTTTATGCTAGTTAGTCGCATGTCATGATTACGTGTGCGTGTGTTTGTATATGCATAAATACCATTGCCTATATGTCGCTTTCTCTGGATTTGTTGTTTGTCACCAGGTTTAGAGGGTATCAAAGTGGATACATGATAGGCAAGTATGTTTTCATTCCAAGCATTTGTATATGTGTATTCTCCGGAATCACCACCTAAAAGGCAACATTATTAATCATGCTGTTTACTCTCTCTCTCTCTCTACAGGATGAACCCCGCTCTTACTTTTGGTATCTAACCCTGCTGCCCAGCCAGTGTATCCTTTCAATGCCACTTTTCTACCAATGATGTTGAGAAATGCTTCCAGCTCGTCTGTGTGCTGATTGGAAAACCAATCTTCTTCCTTTGTTTGGCCCGGCTGGATCAGTAGTACGCCAAATTTGTACCGTGTGTGCAGCGATGTTTCGTCTAATCGCACTAATTCTTCATGTATGCCACTGGATAGCAGCTGATCTTTGCTCATTCTTACCAAATCCTGAAATGAAATGTCAGGCACCGTTGTTTCTATGATGGTTTTCCAAGTGGACTCTTGGATCGTGGTAGCAGCGGCGGCAGGTGGTGATGCTATGTCAGACGTCGTTGGCGCACTCAAGAGGAATGAATCTTGGATTATTTTTCTTTGATCCATCGCTTCTTTGGTGCGGTGGATGATTCGGTATTGTCGCTTGTCTGATCCCTGCTCCTGCTCCACCTGTATCGATATCAGGACCGGATCACCACTCTTGTAGTAGCCGAAAAATGTGTGTATCTCGTTGGTGTCGTCGTCCGGACGGAAAAAAGTTCTGTACCAATGTGCCTCTGTGTCTTTGTGATCAATCAGTGCCTTAGAATAATCCACCGCCTCATCTCGAACCATCAATGCCGAGTTTGTCGATCCGTACTTGTTGATCCCTTCAATCTTGTACCCCTTGGAAGGTATGACAATGGCTTTTTCGACCACCTTGTAGTATTGACATATACACTGATTCATGATCTGCTTCATGGTGGACACAACATCCTTGACAATAGCAATCGTCATTTCCTGCATGGACACCGTGTCCTCCAATGTCTGCAAATTCGATTTGATCTCGTCCTTGTCGACGGGCTGCTGATCCCAGTTGACCATTTCTGTCATTTTGCGCAGATCAGATAAAATGGACAATAGCTGCTCTTGTGGTATATTTTTGTTTGCTTGTTGTATATCGGCATTGTTATTGTTGCTGTTGGCTAATAGCACCAATGAAAGTGCTCGATCGCATTCGTTGCTTAGCCGGGTATGTAATGTTGTCAATGTGGTAGTGACCAGCCCCTTGAATAAAGGCAGATCAGACTTGATGGGTTTGCTTGATTTATATGGTATACTGTCAGATTCGGGTAAATTGCACGATGAATTTTTAGTGGCTAGTTGACGCAGCATGGGCGTCTTATTTTCCTGACACGATTTTGCTCTTTGACGTATCCAGGGCTCTTCCTTCTTGGGCTTTGGTGATAGTTTTTCGCTTTTTGAATCGGATACAGCTTGCTCCTCGTGTACCATGAACTCTAAATCATCCACCTGCTTACCAAACAGTAAACTGCCTACCACCACATTGTCATTGTCCTTTTTATATACATCCACTACACTGTTGCGTCGGTTGGATTTCTTGTGTGTGTCGCTTGCCTCTCTGGATCGTGGTTTTTGATGAAACAAAGTAGAGCTTGCGGTGGATGTGGGTATTACGTCGGGTGATTTACGTGAAAACAGGCTGAAATTGATCGTTGTCCTCTTTAATTTAGATGAAAAGGTTTCATGATCCGTTGTCGCAGTGGATGTAGATGTTGTCTCGTTGGACTTATTCTTGTTGCGTCTGACCAGATATTTCATGGAGGATTTCACAGCGTTGGGTATTTTGCTCAATCGACTCGATGTGCTAAACATGGAGCTTGTTGTTGAATTCATAGAGTAGATGGAGGCATCATCTCTGGCTTTGAAATATGGTATATTGTTTGATTCATCACCAGCGACAGAATCACAGGCACTGTCATGAGAGTATCTTTTGTTGCTGTTATCCATACGATGCGATGCCCAGGAAGTAGAACTAGATGACGATAAAAAGCGTATGGATGTACCGTTAGTTCAAGGGCACACAAATGAGTGCTGTATTAACAAATAAAAAATAGGAGGGAAGAACAAGGGGAAAAGTGTATATATAAAAAAAGAAACGAGAAAGAAAAGAGGAAAAGGCAATCATTTAGGCCTTGCGGCTTTTTTTTTTTCAAATCCAATGTGCGCTTTTGCCTGTTGGCTTTGAGTAACCATTATCATGATTGATTTGCACAACACATCTTTTATTTCTTTCTATACTATCTAAACGTGGTTTATAAGGACACCAAATGAAATCGTTCTTTTTAGAATGCCACCATTTGATTTGATGGAGTAAAATGAAATGAGGTGCTCATGATTTGCCATGTGCCTCATGATCAATTTGCGTGTATCCATAGACTTGATCTCAAGAGGTAGACCAAGATCTGATACATATTGCGCCACGAGTAGGTTGGCATTGTTGGTCATGTCAGAGACCTCTATGATTATGTACTAGGAAGGGAGCCACCGACACCTTTCGTATCGTACCTCAAATTAGGCATTGAATAGCCTTTGGTGTAAGTTTCACAGATTGAGATTGAATATTCATGCCGTCAAATTTCACTTTGATCTTGGCACTTACTGTGATCCAACAAATACAGTGGTACCTTTCATCAAAAGCCGCAGTTGCTCTTTGATACTGGTGCGCGTGAGTGAAGGAATGAGGGAACAAGTGGCTCAAATAGGTATAGGATGGGCAACATTGGCGAGCTATCCATGTCGCAAGGACAGTGTGATAAACAACCAGACGTAAATGATCTAAACAACTACTTTTGCTGTTGCTATAAATCACTTTTGATGAAATATGGCTACAAGAAGCATTTGTTTTTAAAAAAAAAACATTCAGCACCTCACTAAGCCCCCCCTAAGAGAGCTAAATTGCTGCTAGATGGATAGTATCCCAACATGTACTTTGCTTTCTGATCCTTTTGATCCAAATTTTTACTGTAAATTATGTGATGGAACTAAAAAATCATTGGGCTCATATCGTTTGCATGGCAAATATACTTTCATTCAATAGTGTGGACTTGTTTTATTAGCAATAGCTTCTGATAAAGCAAAATTTGAATCCTGGCCAGTATAGCATCTTCAAAAATATAGCATTGATAATTGCTAATGCTCAAAATCACTGGATAGAACATGAAGCTATTATATGTCATATCAATTACAATGAAACAAAAAAATCCTTGGATAGCACGCATATGATAAAGTGTGAGCCAAGTAGCTTGAAACAGACTTGAAAGGATGAACGGGATCTATTGCAAGTTAATGCAATTATGACTGAGTTTGGTACTAGAGTTGAACTGAAGCAGAAAGACACTGCCAAATCTCAAGTGATTTTGCACGAGAAATTGGGTGTTGCTTAGTATACAAGACATATGGATACATGAAGACTCAAAGAAACTACATTTCATAGACATGACGCTGCAAAACATACTCCAAGGTCCTGGAAAATCTAGCGTCCGTGGTGGTGCTCTACGATAAAGCACATTGATTTAGAACCAAATCTTGATGATCTCAGCAGCTATTGTAAAACTTGGGAATCCTGCTGTAAATTGAGAAAAGCATTTAGGGGACATGCCAGAGATACTCATTTTACAGTATTTAGAAGGTTGAAGACAATTAGAGCTAGCAGCAGCAGTGACCTTGTTAATGAGTATACCAAGTTTGACTACTGTAATTCATGCAAGCTAGGGTGTGTAGCCAATGACATTTACTGCCACTTTAAACCTACAGAAGCAGAACTTTGCCGCCCAATCAATGCTGTCGTCTGTGGGATATACTCTATCGTGCATCTGACTTGAGTTTTGAAAATTCTCTGCTGTCATAGCTCATGAAATATAAGATTTTCAGCAAATTTGTAAAGGGAACGCACATCTGATACTTAAAAACCTCATATTATGATGTATATAATGTAGAGCTATTGAATTGTTTTTATCTTGTGCGAATTGGATGAGTATTTGTTGGGATACGGCCAAAAAAAGGGTATCGTGCAAAATCATGGATTTTTGTTCAAAATCTGCCTGTGATAGCAAGCAAAAAATCTGGTGACGATTTTTTGGTCAGGACAAGATTGTCAATATTTCATGATAGAATTATGATAGAGCTTCCAGCAATAGCTCATTCAATAGAAAATTGTTTGGTCAGCAATGTTTAGTAATGCTTAAGAAAATGTTTTGATGACAGATACTGATTAATCTTTTGAAAAAAGTGAAAAAGTCGCAAAATTTATCTCATCAAATATCAGGTGAATAATGTACACCAGAGATTTGAAATAGATACCATTGTATTTTCCTTGCAATTCTCTGCAAGTTTCATATAAGTTTGAAGGCGTGTTTACTATCAAGAATCAAGTAATTTTAAGGTCGATAGATTTCGGAATGCCATGGATCATCATTCAGAACAACAGAAATTGAAGCTCCGTTGACCTTCCGCATCAGTACGCGACACATGTATGCATTTGACTGAGCATTTAAAAAATCGGAGCATACGAAAAGGGGCATATTAACTTGCTATTTTCAAATTATCTATGGATAGTTGACATGGTGGCAAATCTTGTTGTCAAAATTAGACAGTTGTAGCTTGTCTTGTTCGATTACAATAAATTTTCCAATTTGATACATGCATATTCCCCCGCTTAAAAATAGCATCTCCAATGTCGATTATCTCATAAAGTATGCATTTCCAATATAATGTTTTCACTAAGAAGTTGCTCCAATATCATTATTCTACAACATACTTAAGTTTGACGAGATTCTAATTTTTTTTTTTTTTACCTTTGAGGACCTGCTGGATGTACAAAATGTTTTTTGATTTTGAGGTTTTCAACGTTTGGACGATCGAAAATCGATTTTCCAAATATTGATGCTAGAGCCTTGAGACTAGCATGTTCCTATACTAGCTTTTTGCCCTTTAAACGATGGTGCAATTGAAACTTGCGTAGGTGGCATGGTTGTTAAGAAAAAGCTGATTTTAAAAAAAAGTTAATTTTGAAGAGATGCTTGTTATGCCAGAAGGGCTACAACTGTCTATAAAGACTAAGGTGTTCTTGATGGGTAGATATGTCTGTGTTGTGCAACAACATGGACAAGCTATGATAATTGAAGTGTATCTCAGCTATTTAAATACTGAGGTTCACCAGATGTGATAAGCCTTGTACAAAATAAATTGCTACGTTGGCATTCAGAACTTAGTATAAATAGAATAACTCTTGTCTTCATCAATAAATCTTTAGTTTTTATGTCTGATCTTATTCAAATAAGTCTTTTCTTGTTTTTATAATATCGAACATTTTTTATAAGCTACAAATAATAATCCTTTTATTCTTTGTGCTTAACAGAACCCATTCAGCGTGTTCTTGTATCTCGCTGCTTTAAAGAAGAGGGGCACTACATGATCGGGTGTGTCATGGGCTAGGCGGAGAGTGTTGGTCAGGAGCTGGTAGGTAAAGTCCGGGACCGAACCATTGTTTCCTTGAAGGAGCATCTTGATATAACGAAACTGAAGAGCATGCCGTTGAGCTCCAATGTCAATCAATCCTAGGCCGCCTTGATCTCGCGGTAGGAAAAATGAGTTTCCTTTCGGTGGCGGGAAGAGGCCAGACATCACGAATTGGTATATAATGGACTTCAGTTGCTTCGAGACATCCAGAGGTAGCGAATGACGTGCCATAATTTTGATAGAATCATTTTGTTGGCGATGTTGGCTTTACCGTACAGAGACACATTCCGTTGGCTATATATCGCCACCGCCGCTTTGACTTTACCAAGGAGTTCAGGCACATATACATCACGTTGATGGTTGGAGAACCAGATGGGGTACCCCAGATATTTGATATACCCGGGAGAGTGGCTGTCATACCATTTCATCTTGAGCCGGTTGATGATGTGATCTTGGACTCTGAGGCCTTCAGAGCCTTTCATGCTACCGCCGTGCAAGGGAAATGCTACTGACTTGTCATAGTTAATCTTGGCATTGGAGGCCCTGTTGTACGTCTTAAGTCTTCTTTGGAATTCAATTAGTTCTGAATGAGATTTTACAACATACGTGAGAGCATCATCCGCATAAGCTACTAAGACCTTGACGGGAGCAGGAGACACCCACGGGATCTGCACATTTTCGGGTAGTTTGGTGTGATGAAGACTATAGCTTAAGATTGCAGGGTTGTTGATGATGGATAATAGGAACGGTTCGATAGCTAGATTGAATAGGACAGGTGAGATGCTATCACCTTGCCGAATGCCTCGTTGTTGTGCGGCAGATTTCGTCAGAAAACCGTTGATGTTGACATGGATGGAGTTATCGAAAAACAGATTGAGGATGCAGGCGACGAATTGTGGTGGAAATCCAAACTTCCGCAGTATTTGTGAGAGATACTGGGGGTGGACTCTGTCATATGCTTTGGCGTTGTCCAGCATGATTCCAGTGTATTCGACAAAGTTGGTTGCATTTCGCCAGCTGGCGGATGAAGCGTTATCCATAATTACTTTGAGAGACATGCCGTGATCACCGATATATCGACCTGACAAGAAGCCGCATTGATACGGGTTGATGAGTTTGTTGGCTACTGGTATGACACGAGAGTTCATAATACAAGTAAAGACTTTGCAGTCGACCGCAATCAATGTGATGGGGCGATAATTGGCGAGATCGCTCCGGTCCCCTTTCTTAAACAGAAGGATGATACAAGATTCCTGCCATGATTTGGGGAACTTGGCGTGCTGGATAGCGTTATTGAATACCTGGTGCACGAGATCTCGGCAGCTAGGGTGAGATATAATGAGATATAAGATTTCATACCCAATACCATCTAATCCTGGGCTGCTTTCTTTGGGAGTTCGAGCAGACCCTAGCAGAATGTCGTCGTCGTCTATTAATGCGGTGATCTGGCTGGCATCGTCGGCTGACAGAGTGATGTCGATGTAGTTCAGCATTTTGTTCAGGCAGGTAGAGTCTATCCGTTCTTCGGTGTACAGTTTCTGGTAGAATCGTTCTGCGGCGTTCAGCTTAGAGGCAGTGTTGTCGAGATAGCCGACCCCAGTACGAGGGTGGTGGTGCTTCAAGTTGGGGATGGTTCGCTGATCAAGGCGTTGTTTACTGGTCTGCTTTATGTAGTATCCAGGCGACTTTTCACTATTTTCAAGCCATCGTTTTCCGGCCTTAAGAAGCTGAATATCCACGATTTCTTGTTGCAACTTGGCTAGCTCGCTCTCCACATCCTGCAACAGTAGCCTCAAGCAAGTAGTGTCATGTCTGTAGCGTCGTATCAAATTGTTCCTTTCACTTTGCAGTGTCTTGATTCTAGCCTTCCTCCAATGATCGTGTGTTATGGTGAACTGAATAGTAACCTGTTTGGCCTTCTTTTTAATAAGATCCCACTTTTCTTGAGCAGACAGAGAGCTGTCGAGTTTCACCGCAACAAATGTACCAGCTATCTAAATGCTGAGGTTCACCAGATGTGATAAGCGTTGTACAAGATAAATTGCTACTTTGACATTCAGAACTTAGTATAAATAGAATAACTCTTGTCTTCATCAACAAATCTTTAGTTTTTGTGTCTGATCTTTGTTATGTCAAAATACAATGTAAAATTGAATCTGCCAAAGAATTACACTTTTATTGAGAATGCATCCCAAGGATGCATTTATATACTTTTCATTATGCTAGGGTTTACAGCATGATGATGAACTATAATACAAATAGGTTTACTATCTACCTAACAATTGATTTGTAAATCATGATTAGCATGATTTACCCAAAGGACCTAAGAATAGCCTAAAACCTTTAGTGTGAGACCTTGCTATGACATTTGATATAACAATCTTATTCAAATAAGTCTTTTCTTGTTTTTATAATATCGAACCTTTTTTGTAATAAGCTACATATAGCAATCCTTTTATTCTTTGTGCTTAACAATGCTGTTAGTAAAACTTTTTAAACTATTATATAAATGTGAAATGTATATGTAGTAAAAGTTGTAGAGGAGGGTACCTTGGTTGAATAGTAGGGCATGTTTAAAGTGGGGCTATTGAGGGTGATATGGATGAGTAATGACGGAAAATGTTCCAAATCACTGATTTTCAAAGGGCCATACCGCTAGATTTTACTAAGTCAACAAGAGCTTCAAGCTTAATAACTTTTGTTTCTTTTTCAATTTTCTATACGATGGTATGGTTATTATAGATAAATATAAAAGAAATTGAATATTCCCTGCTTGTAGCTCATGAAATATAAGATTTTGAACGAATTCATAAAGGGAACATACATCCTGTACCTAAAACACTCATATAATAATGGATATAACGTAGAGCTATCGAACGGTCTTTGCTTTGTGCGAATCCAGTGAGTATTTGTCGAGATATGGTCAAAAAAAGAGTGTCATGCAAAATCACGAATTTTTCTTCAAAATCTGCCTGTGATAGCAAGCAAAAAATCTGGTGACGATTTTTTGGTCAGGACAAGATTGTCAATATTTCATGATAGAATTATGATAGAGCTTCCAGCAATAGCTCATTCAACAGAAAATTATTTGGTCAACAATGTTTAGTAATGCTTAACAAAATGTTTTGATGACAGATACTGATTAATCTTTTGAAAAAAGTGAAAAAATTGCAAAAACTATCCTATTAAAAAGCAGCTAGACAATATACACCGAACATATGATATGGGTATCATTGAATTCTCCTTTAAATTCTTCACAAGTTTCATATAAGTTTGAAAGAGTGGCTACTATCAAGAAACGCGTAATTTTAAGGTCGATAGATTTCGGAATGCCATGGATCTTCATTCAGAACAGCAGAAATTGAAGCTCCGTTGACCTTCCACATGTGTATACCTCGCATCTATGATTTTGAGAGAGCGTTTTTAAAATTGCAACGAACAAAAAGGACTATATTAATTAAGGATAAAAGAAGCAGATGGAATACTGCTACAATCCTTCTGTATTGACATTGAGAATGATCTGCAATAAAATGTACATTCTACGTCTCTATATATATCTTTTGGTTTATTATACCATCTCTTATCTTGCGGCAGCTTAGTGGCGAATGATTTCATTATTACGTTGTTGATCCGGTAGATCAAAAAGGTACTTTTATGTATGGTTTGTAAATCATGCGTGAACAGCAGCTTTTTTCGTTGAGATTTTTTTTTTCAAGGCTTGTTTACATTGCAAAACATTGGAATATACTTGGTATCTACTTTTTTATGGCCTATCTAAACACAGTTTACCATAATACTTACCAAGAGCCATTCAATGCGCGTTTTGATTCTGTGCAAAGTTACAATAGAATGGAAATGAAGATTAGTGAGTTAGTGCTTAGCAGATGATGCAAAAATTCACTGCAGCAAGGGAGTTTTCAGAACTCCTCTTGACAAAAAACCGATTTACCGAATGCAATGCAAACGTATACATGCAGTACAGCCTCTAACATTTGTTAACACTGAAGCAAAATCAAACGTTTTGAAGCAAATCAAATGTTTTAGATGGCAGGGGGAACTGTAAAATTTAGGAAAACTGTATTATTAGAGACCTTTAACCCACCAGCCATATGAAGAAAAGTAGGTATATCTGATCTACATAAAGTGGCATACAACCATATATTGATGGTTCTAATTTCACCCAGAAATCTAATGTGCATGAGTGTGCAAGGCAATCCATCCTGCAAAATCGGAAGCAGCATTATTGTATCAAATTAAAGTGTAAACATGTACAGAATAATACAATGTTTGTAATTATAGCACCCCTTGGGAAAGATGAATTTTATCTTTACTGTTTGAAAGCAAAGCTCGGTATTGGACAATTAATCTACATTCAGTGCTCCAGCATTGAGCACATTGACGCAGAGCCAAATATTGTTGGTATTAGAAGCTAGTCCGCTCAAAACTGAAAAGTGTTTTGTAGATGGGAATGATTATATCGTGCGTATTTGAAGAAAGGGCATTATCGGGGTGTCAGAAAAGCCTACGTTTTAACCGAACCATAGAATGGTATCGCTTCAGATCTAGATGATTCTAAATGCTACTGTTGTCCATTTCGCTAATGTTTCTAAACACAAGCAAACACATGCATTGAGAGCATTTAGAATTGAGCCCACTGGATTAAGTCTTATCCATCTTCTCTGATCAAAGCACCGCTGATTCACATTGAGAAAGTGTTGATTCATTGTGCTTGCCGACGGATTGCTTTTCCTTTCACTTAAAGCTTAACCTATAAATTAATGAACAGTGATACTGGAGCTATTGGAATAAGAGACTCTTAAGCTGATTTCAAGCAAATTGTGCAAAGTTCCCTTCGAGTATAGCACCTCAGCTACAGAGAGACCGTTGTGCCTAGAAAAAAAGCAACGGTAGAAAGCATTAAAGAAGCCCCTTGTGCGAACTCAAAAAGCTTAAAATTTTTTACAAAGTGCATCTTTTTTCCACGGCTGTAACTAGATGGCTTCTTGATTTGACATTGATAACTTGTGCGAGGTATCCCTCAGCGTTGCCTATTCATCACCTTTGTTGTAATGCCCATTTCTTTAAAGACATTCGTATCTTACAGCTCTTTTTTTTTTTTAAAAAAAAAATGGCTCATGCCTCTCATGTTAAGATGCAAGTTTGGGGTTTCTCTTCACATTTGCCAGAGGATTGTAACATTTAAAATTTAGCAATTTTTTTTTACTGGGGTCAAACATGTTATTGTAATTTTATTTATAAGGCGAAAGAGTAAAAGGTAGCACTGTGCATTCGAGTTAACCTTAAAAAATTACCGGCGTGTCTTACCACCGTCTGATGGTACCACCAGCTCATTTTCGCAAGTGCTACTTGGCATACATGAATATGAAAATCAATTGCCAGTTTTTTTTTTTTTTTTTTTTTTTTTTTTTCTCGGCATGAGGCTAATCTTTTAGACTAAACATTACACTAAACAGACGCATTTCATTAGAGGATAGATCCGCCCATACAGTGATAACATGTCCACACCATAAAAAAGTTGCTATTATTATACATCTTGTTGAACAAAGACATTCTAAAGTCTGACATAGGAGTATATATCTGGGATTAGCAGATTTCCCCTTTGGAATGTTGGATTGTATATGTACTTTTACAGATGAACTGATATGGACGACCACGAGGCAAATCATTGTGAGGAGGAAAAAAGGAGAATTATCGCTCTCTATTGTTCATAGTTCCAAACTCTAGTTACTATAAACGTGGCGCAACATCAAACAAACATCCATGGATCTTACATAATCGGATTGCTCTTGTAGAGTTGCAAACCTGTCTGATATTATTATAGATTTTCTCATTTATTCTCGGTATAGAAGCAACCGGATACTGAGAAATCATTGCCATTGGTAACGTTGTGAGATATGTTTGCTGCGAAATTATAGCCATCATCTATAATGTACATGAATCAAGACGAGTGTAGCATTTGTTGGTTAGACAAGATCAATAATTGAGTCTGGTAGACCCCGATCATACATGGATCTGTATTACTACATTGGCCGTTCTCTCAGCATTTGGCTCGATCTTGTCATGCGTATAGAATATTTTTAAGGAGGAATGATAAAAAAAGACATTTGTTTATCACCACTACATCACTATTACAATCGGGTAAATGAATATTTTGTCGAAATACTGCTTTGATCTTGACTTTTGTGGCGTTAGCAGAATTTTTGATTGGTTGTATCAGAGTAATACACTTTGTAGCTGTAAGGTACGGGAAAACGTATATAAAATCTTGTCTATATAAATAAAGCCTTGATTCAATCAGAAATCAAATCTCTTTTCTTTCTCTAGTCATCATTCACATATTTTGCATACATGGAAACAGTGACATTCACTTCTGCATCATCTGAAAGCTTTCCAAAACGCATCAGATCAGCATCTGCCCGCTTATTTTCTCTCAATCACAACAATAGCAACAGCAATAGCAAACGTATTTCATTCATGTCAAATTCCGAAAGCACGACAAACATATTAAGTCCAACAAAATGGTTTCCACGCATGCGATGTCGCTCAGCTTCATCTGCTGCCTCATCAACGAGCTCTGTCGTATTTTCATCTTCATCCACAACTACAGCATCACATCATACCATCCTAGATCATTTATTCCACAACCATCACCACAACCACCACCACCACCACCAACGTCATTCTGCCACAGCAATGGATCAACATATTGATCATGTAAACAATAGTTTAATATCACTTGAAACAGTATCTTCCGAGCTGGAAGATTTGTACAGAGATGCGCGTGAGGAGGTTAGATAATGTTACATAGGAGGTTTACAATACAAATGCTAATTTATATACAAAATCTTAGATTGAATATGCTATTGAATCGCAAGGATCTATTTATTACGAAGGAGATAAAGCGACCGCTCATGCAGCTTTTGAGCTATGTGAGACAAAGTATGATACAGTGATGCAGCAATTTGGTGACACTACCAACGCTATCAAGTTTAGATTTCGCTGGGAGACGGATCTCCATCAACTCCGTTCCATGTTGAGCAACCTTCCACCTATTACTCAGTCCATTTATGAGTGAATTTTGAAGCATTTTGCTCATGTATCCCTGTACCATAGTTGTATTATAGTATATATTTATATTAGAAATTAGAAATTTGCATATGTATCATTGTAGAGGCAAAGCAAAAGCCTCGTTTTCTGTTATTCCCCTTACTTTGTCACCTCATTATCACCTCATTTTCCAAAGCATTCTGTATGACAGCCACCTGTACTACAAATAAACTACTCTTTTCATTCATTTATCGATAACATAGTTGTATTGTCATGTGGAGCTGATCATGTTCGATTGGCATATATGGTTTAATTCCGGGGGTTCGGCCTTGGCAGGAGAGAGAAACTTCCGGCCATTTTCATCCAGGAACAGAAAGGTATAGGCATGCTCATCATGATGGCGACAGCAGAATCCGATAAGCCCCGCTGATTACATAAAGAGAAGGTGCCCCTTTCCAGATTTCCGGGCCACCCTCATCTATATCACATTGCACTTGTACTCGCAACAATGTATTAGTATTGATTTATAATCAAGCGCCATCAAAAAAGGTAAATGACGAAAGTTTAGTCAGATTGAGGGCCTTGTGTTAGACATGTCAGATGCTATTTCGTCCATTTACTCTGACCCTTAGCTACGATTTTCAATCACTGAATTTGCATAATTATAGTAGCATAAATGGCTAGCTTGCAGAAAATAGTGTTGAGCATGTAATACGATCTCAATGTTGGGATCCAAATTGTCCCTAGTAACTTTTATACTTGGAAGGTATATTTGACATAGATGCTATACACGCTGAGTTGATTTTATTTAGAGAATGAAAAAAGCTTATTTCTTGTAGTCATAGGTGGAATCGAGACGGCTACGCAAATGTTGGCCAGCAGTGACAATGTGATCTGGGTCAGCGATAGTTTGATCAACGTATTTGGAGGGAGCAGATACTAAGGGGACGCTATCGGTAGGATGAACAAAGTAGGGCATTGAATAACGATCCAAGTGATTATGTTCAGGTAAGAAAGTGACTCTATGCTTTGTAGATTTGAACAAGCCATTGGTCCACATTTCCATCTGATCTCCTACATTGACAATGATGGCACCGGGAATAAGAGGAGCCGAGATCCATTCAGTTCTGCTAGCTTGCACTTCCAAACCAGGAACATCCTTTTGGAACAACAGGGTGATGGATCCATAATCAGAGTGAGCACCAGCACGAACAGGCTCCTGGTATTCAGCTTCACCACCGCGAGGATACTTGAGGAAGCGCAGGATCTCGGCAGATCCCTCGTAACTATGACCGTTCTTGAAGAACTCCTTACCTCCCTTGTCTTCAGGAATTTCCAAAGCAATGGCAAATGCTTCCAAGATTTGAAGTGCAGTGGCGTGGCAGTTCTGTTTCAATGTTTAGTATTAATACCAACCATCAAATGCGCCACAATGCATGAAATATTACGTACTCGTGAGAATGTCTCCAAGAAAGCTTCCTCTTTATCAAACACCTCAGGGAGAGGAGCAAATGGCTTGCCATGATCAAAGTTTCTAAAGTTGAACCCCCTTTGTAGATTCACACAAGTCAGAAATCCATGGCACTCGTATACAACAGATGTGTTACTTACTCTTTATGGTCACCTTGTCTTTGATGTTCGGGATCCAATCTATTGACCAGCGATAGAAAATATGAGGGGTATATCACACAAGTGCTGCTGTATGATACTTACGTTTCGCTATACAAGCTGCTGTAGCCATGATTCTCCTCTCCAATCATATACTTTTCCTTTTCCTCGCGAGGCAAATCAAAGAATTGCTTGCTCTGTTGCAATCTCTTAGCAATAGAACCGACATTGACCCATTGTGATGTACAAAACTTACCAATGCAAAAGCCTTGTCAATGTCTTGCTCGGAGAGGTCATGGTTAATCATGTAAAAGAAGCCAATGGACTTGCAAGCATCAAAGACTTCCTGAGCGACCTTCTTGGGGTTGGTCTTGAAGTCGGCAAAGTCAACGATAGGGATAGATTCAACGGCCATTGTGATGCAGAATTGTGTGTGTGTGTGTGTGTGTGTGTGTGCAAATAATAAGAGAGGAAAAAGGAGAGAGAGAAAGATAGCATGCTTTAAAAAACAGGTGCTTTATATTCGCATTTCGAGCTTGCAAAAGGCGGGGAACTGACCAATGAATTCGTCCCCAGACAAAAGATAGAAAGATGGAAGATGTATATCGAAATTTATGAGTAATAGAGATGACATTGATTTGCTATTCCTATAATTTGAATCATGTCTATTTCTTGATTTCTTTATTTATTTTATGATAAAGCTGTACATGTAATCATAAATCAAGCAGGGATTTATTGAGTGTGAATAGAAGCGGTGTAGGCGTATGTGTTTTGTGTGTTTGTGATGATGTCTGTATCATTGATCTAGAAAGGCATGGAAGTCTTTTGCTTGGCAAGTTCCTTCAATTTATCCTGCAATAAACACATGTCAATATCCATAGCGTCATACTATCCAGAACGGCAACACTCACCTCCTTCCAAGCTTGGATTGTTTGAGGCATCTTCTCTAGGTTACGTTGAATATTAGCTTGTCTTTCAGCACGCATACGTTCATGCTTCTCCAATTTGTTGGGCTTGTATTTAAGAGGCTTGTGAGGAGCAGGTGCAGCTAAGCCGATGGATGTAGGTTCGATGCCACATTGAAGACATGCTTTTCTTAAATCATTTTGAGTGCGCTTTGAAATTTGAGCTGGTCTCCAGAATGATTTTCCTTTCTCTGCATTGAAAACAAGTTGAGATTTGATATCTCCTTCAACAAGCTTGGCGCCGTTCAACTTGCTCAAGAATTTGAGTGAAAAATTACGATATGTTGCCATGTTTTGATGTATTGAATGGAAAAAAAGGCTAAACACATGGGGATCCCATCCCCCTTTCAGTCAGACAAAGAGCCTGTTGAAAGGTTTTACACTGTCACAAACCTCATCCGTCAAATTTACAAGGCCGAGGTTGGCATTAACAGAGACCAGAATATGCAAATGCTGGTATGATCCAAAGAAGGTATATAGCTAATGATGAGAACCATGTCTTACGGGACATGGGGGGGGGGGTTCATTCACAAATGATGTTCTTGTCAATTGTAGGTGATTGTTCGAAAAATCGCTATTGGGATGTGATTCAAAAACGAGCCATCACGGTCTATACAATTCCTCATGACTAAAATATGAGTAACTCGAGAAATTTTGCTAGAAGATATTCAAGGCATGTGCAGTGCTTCTTTTTCTCAATTACGATGGGGGAAAAGTGCCTTTTGTGTTATGTACATGTGGGGGGGGGCATTCAGCTAAGCATCAAAGATGTATATTTGACACTACATGTGGACACATCCGAGCAATTGCTATTATAATTTGCCTGCTTGGAGAGCAGCATCCGCATAATAATATCACTCATATAATCAACTCATGATGACAATACTTGCTCATAAAGCAAACATGTAGACAGGCATTTTCATGTCCATGATTCTCTGAATAGCTTGTAATGGCCAAATGTCGAACATCATACAATGTCCGCATGACAATCGCCGGACAACCACTCCTTAGAAGTGAGAGAGTTACAGTAGGCGGGGGAACAAAGGCAGAGGAGGAGGAGTGAGGATATTGGCAGAGAGCTGGGAGGAGCAACAAAGTAGAGAAGCTTACTAGATATTTTTTGTTTTTCCCTTCTCTTTGCATCCATCCATTAGTTCCGAGAGTAAGTTTAGTTTCCAAACAGCATCCATCCATCCTTTTTCCAGTCAGCAGATGCAGCATCGACGTTCAGAGAGGATACACACCAATACCTGGATCACCCAATGTACATGATAGTTCGACATCATTTCCCAGATGAGGACAGACACAGACACTGACAGTAGAGAAACGAGGGGTTTGGACACATTGGAAGAAGGATGGAGGACTGATATGACAGTAAAAGAACGCTCTGAAGCCTAACCATCATTCATTTCATAAAGTAAACAATGGTCACTCCTGTTGTCAAGCATAACATCGTCAAGAAGCGTACCGCTACCTTCAAGCGTCACCAATCTAACCGTTTCATGCGTGTTGGTGTAAGTATCATATACAAGATTTCAGTCAACAGCAGCAGCAGACTAAATATGATTTGGCATTGTATAGGAATCATGGAGAAAGCCCAAGGGTATTGATTGTAACATGCGTAGACGTTTCAAGGGTCAAGCCCCTATGCCCAAGATTGGTTACGGTTCTGCCAAGAAGACCCGTGATCTCTTGCCCAACGGTTTCCGCAAGTTCACCGTCTCCAACGTTCGTGAGCTCAACCTTTTGTTGATGCACAACCGTTCTTATGCTGCTGAGATTGCCCACAACGTTTCCTCCAAGAAGCGTGTTGCTCTCCTCGAACGTGCTGCTCAATTGAACGTCAAGGTTATCAACGCCGGTGCTCGTCTCAGATCTCAGGAGTAAATTTATAAACTTGTCTAGTTATTTCTCTCTTTTTTTTTTATGATTATTATCTCTGTCAATAACTAAAAAAAAAAAAGTATCAAGCAAGTTCCTGAAATCAACATTATTTCTAAAAAAAATATATACATATATACAGTTTTTTCAAAATATTCATTTAATTGGACATGAGGATGAGATGGAAGAATTTTGATAAAAGTACAAATAACGAGAAGGAGGAGGGGGAGATCAAGATACAATGTCGTCGTTGTCAGATAAAACGAGATTCTCCACTATAATGAACAAGTGTGTGTTAGGGAGAGAGCCAGAAGATGACAAGAGAAAAAAAAAAAAAGGAGGGAGGACACAAGAAACATCTTGTTGCCATTTACTTACAATGTACATGCGAGATATCATCAACTTTGTCTATAGTGAAATCTTTTTATACACAGAAAATGAGTGAGTTGTGTGTGTGTGTTTAGCAAGGACAATGACACTTACTAGCTGAGGATGAAGGTATATTACGAGTGTTGTTCTCGATTTGTTGGCTTTTCAGCATTTGAACAACCTGTTTGGAAAACGTACATTAATTAAAGACATAAACACACACACGCGAGTAAACTATACCTCATCGGTATCAATCGCCACATTAGCATTTAAATCAGCATACGACCGACATAAAGGACAATTGAATCCGGGATAATTCTGCAATAAAGGATAACAGCATTTAAAATGAAATGAGTGTGAACAGGGAGCAACAAATAACGCTTGAAATGGTGCAATAGCGTACAAGCAGATGCAGCATTCATCCACCGTATCAGGCCCATTTGCTGCGTTGGATATGTTTCTCAGCGATTTGAAGGAATTCAATCTACAAAATCAGGTTATCAGTCCATTAGGTCAAACTTCCATGTTGTTCTGCTCCATACCCAAATGCTGATGGGCTTTTGCCAAACGCAGGTTGGTTGATCTCTATCTTCATCTTGACGCAACGGTAGATTTCTTCAACGCCGCCTTGATAATCAACACCCAACTGAATAATGTCCCCATTGTGTAGTTGGTAAGGCTTTGATTCATGACTAGGTGGGCTAAGCCTTGCTCTGTTGACAAAGGTACCAGAAGAAGACTTGGTGTCTTTAATGTAAAACTATTGTTGTGTCAGTTATCTTGTATTTTACGTAACGCTGCGATTGTGTAATTACTTTATCATTCTCAACCCAAATCTCAGCATGTCCTCTACTGACTACTTTGCTTTTGAATGTGATCCGATCCATATTGAAGAATCTATCGGTAAATCTACCAATCTTCAAGACAGTATTGCTCAGTAAATCACGCTCTATAATATCAAACACAAGCGAATGTGAGGTATCGAGGTGTGGCACAATGCGAAGATGATGTTTCTTAAAAGACATGGGAATAGGTGAAATCAAACAAAGAATAATAAAAGAGAAAGAGAGAAAAAGAAACAAGGAAAGAACGAGAAGCTCCCTTTATGTACGCCCCCCTCTTCCCCTTTATCTTGAACGACTCCTCTTTGTTGTAGACGCTGTTGTTGTCAATTTGCGTCATTTTTCTCAAATGGAATCATGAGGCATTAAAAATTTTAAATAGGTCACTCCACCTAATCCAATGTCCCATGCGCTCATCACTGCCTTTTACTGCTCTTTTAACCTTTGCTCACACGGGTCTATTGGTAAGTTTGACATTGCATGAGTGGCAAAAAGAGAAAAGAGTATGTATAAGGTTCTTGATTGTAATATGTCGTGTCATGCATGAAATTATTTATAACTTTACAAAACATGTGCCTTGGATCAACGAGCCATTCTGATTTGTGCAGATCAACAATGAGCCCATTTTTCAACTAATCAAACGATTTAATAGAATGAGAATATAGATTCCCACAATGAATACATTGAATAGATACAAGAAAGTAACGTTCCAATTAATCTTTCAAGGACGAACCATCAGATCATAATAACAATAATTTCAAAATCGCTATGATGGTTCATTGATAACTGCGATTCACATTTACTTACTATATTTGGACATTTATTTTTTTTGGTACCTGAATTTTTTTATCGGCTTTCTCAGATCTCTATTACGGTTACTATGCACGGATGTTATGCAGAGATAATGTGAAAATCCATATAAATAGCCTATCCTATCGGCTGCTAAGGTACGTGAGCGTACTTCACTTGGCAGAGCCATTGTGATTGGTTACAGTTTTCCGTTTGCTGGTCGCTTTGATCATATTGTCGCGGAAATATGTAGTAGCTTCTCTTCGCTGCATGTTTGAAAAAAACATAAAGTCTAAACGTAATCTACAGAGATCAACAGGACATTGAATAAAATTGTTCAACTATAACGACCATCCGCATAGAAGCCTAACCTCTGATCAATTCATTGGGTGTCTCGAAAACTAGGAGAGGTGGTCTAAAGAGCTGGCTGTGTTCTATACCAATCAGATCTTGATAAAGTACTCTTTTATAGAATCGATATTAAGCATTTAGGAAGCAAAAATGCCGTGCAATGTGATATTCTGGATTTTGAAGGTGGAAATGTTTCTGCAGCTATTGAAAGCATAGTGTCCTACTATTACAACCTAAATTTTAGCACTTTAAACCTTCCGGATCACGCTTCAACCCTTTATGAGCTACTTGTGAGCGTTGATTTGACTCTTCTACTATGCCCCAGGTTTGTATCAGTGAAATCAATACATATACAGGCCGCTCAGCGTACTTGCATTACCACGTAATACTCATTACTATGCAAATCACAGCCAAATTAAGATGCGTTTGAGCAGTGATTTCTCGTGTTAGAAGCTGTTTTAGACCACCGGAATAGCTCCAAATAGTTGTCCTCAGCAAGCACGAACTCTTTGACACCTTTGCTCAACTTTTTTTGGGATTGTCGAAAATCGACTCCAAACCATGAGGTATCCCTCATGGTTTTGAACAAAAATCAAACAATCGCCTTTTTGGCCCCAAAGATGAAGACTTTTGTTATGGTACGTATTATATCAAAATGATTCTCTCGATTCAAAACAACCTCTGAAACTTTGTCTCTGAAACTTTTGTATACAAAATCTCAACATTTTGGCTAAAAACCTCATTTCATGTTTTCTGATTTTTTTCAATGAGCTTAGTCAAAACTCTTTCTGTAATTAGTACCATCGGATGCGCATTGAACAGTACTCCAGAAAACCTTAAGCGAGTAGAGGACTATCATGACACGTTACATAGTCGAATCTCGCAAAATAGGTCGAATTAGGTCCTAAAAGTTCGAAAATGAACAAATCAGGACAAAATGTCGAGAGCGGAGATTCAACCGGCTTGAGGCGGCTTGCTGGCACAGGTAATGATGAAAGCAGGGAATTGATGCTATTATAAAGCTAAAGGCGGTTTTGGCGCACTGTATAGAATCCAGGACCTTGCTGCTTATAACTAAGCTGACTATTACGAGGGGCGTGTTTGAGACGAGGCCGTTTATATAATTAAGCTGAATAAACTTTAGTGCACTCTTGAATGCAAATGGTTATATCACTTTGTAGTTACTGATAAATGCTGCCAAAGCTGAAACTCATTGAATAGGTGCGACGGGCCTATCAATCAATATGTTTATGTGTAATGTGCGATTAAGGACGCTCAATTTCGTTGTCATGAAAGGTGAATAGACGGACGCTTGAAAGTATATATATGGCTCTCTTGATATGTATAGCAACTCTTCAAGGGTCCCAACAATGAGCTGAAACGACGAACGGATAATAATTGCCAAGGATCAGGTACTCACATCATGTGTTTATGCGAGTGATTAGTGCTTGTGCGTCCAACAATGCTTGTAATGATTGGAGAAGCTTAATTCCCGCATTGCTTACGCGACCAGCATTTAAAACCAAACTTTGAACGCAAGCTGTCTCTCCATCTCTTTTTCTTTCATACTTAGTAACTATCCCAAGAAACAAAAACTGCCATGGAAGATCATTCAGGACACGATATGCCTATGCCAGCTACATGCAAGATGAATGCAAGTACTCGTGATTCATCTTGGTGAAAGATAGTAGAGTAACATGTTATATAGATGCTGTTCAACTGGCAAGTAGAGAATACCTGTGTCGTATTCAGGTGGTGGCACATTTCAGGCCCCATTAGTATGATTTTATCGTGCATTGCCATCTTCTTGATAGCTGCTGGCTATGAATGGATTCGAGCTTACTCCAAAGTCATTGAAGACAGATGGAAAGAAGCCGAGGTTTTGCTCGAGAGAAATGGCCAAATTGGTCATGATGACGATGAAGAAGAGCAAGAACATGGCGTAGGACAACAGCGCTCGCTTGTCCATGCTTACCAGCAACACACAAGGTAAAATACATGCAGATGATTGGCATTTTATTCGATGGATAGCATTTAATTGCATGCATGATAGACTTTCAAAGCAGAGAGAATTTGTTCGATCAAGTATATATGCGGGACTAGTTGCCATTAGTTTTTGGTTGATGCTGGTCTTTATGACATACAATGGATATCTCATGATTGCCACTGTCTTGGGAGCAGGATTTGGACATTTTATTTTTGGGGATGGTAGATTAACTGGCGATAAATCTATTCAGTGTCACTAGCAGAGTGGGTGGAATGCGTATGACGTTGTCTGACACGAGAAGCGATAGTAGAGTCCTCGTCATTCAAATATTCTGCCTTCAATTTTGCTAAAACTTCCTCTGCGTCCTCTTCTTCAATCTCCTTTTCATCCTCCTCATCTACCTTGTTCTCATTGTGTGCCATTCCTTCAGCTTTTCGTTCAGTGCTTTGGGGTGTTCTCTCTTGGTCTGTCTGCTTGTGTTGTGGTTGTTGCTCTTGTTGAGGGATAACCATTTGCTTTGACTTGCGAGATGGATTGAATTGCTTGCACACAGGACAAATGTATTCTAAATTCACAAATCACATCAATAAAGGGTTATTCCCCTCCCTCCCCCCTCCCTCCTTTTCGTTCCATTCATCCAAACACTTACGAATAGTATCAAATTCCTCTTTTAAAACCAATCCATTATGATGGTAGCAATGGTTACAGATCAAGGCGTATTTTGTTTCAGGTCCAGCATCACCAACCAAGGCATCCACAATTTTATCGTACCACTGAGGCTCAGAGCGAGCTGGTGGTAAAATAGGCTGTTGTTGTTGTTGTTGATTTTGTTGTTGTTGACCGAATGATGGTAATGGCTGACCAGGTACGGGACCTGCATTGGGGAATCGTTGAGGTTGTTGAAGGTGTCTAGGTGGCATTGAAACTGGCTTTCTTTGCTGTTGCTGTTGCTGCTGTTGCAATCTTTGCTGTTCCTCCTTTTTCTTCTTCATCAATGCATCGTCGTATCGTTCTAATAAGGATTGTGTGGTATAGTAGCTCGTTTTTTTCTTCAAATCTTCCAACTTGTCCTTTTGCTCTTTGCGAAGTTTGGCCAAATTGGTCTCCTCCTTCTTTTGTCTTTGATCATACCACCACACCAATAGCTTTCTTACATGGTAAATTCTACAAGGGAAGATGAAAAATTATAAGCATTATGACGTCCGTATTACCATTGTTAGTTTGCTTTTTTTTAAAAAAAAAAACCTTACCCTACTGGCATTAACACGACAGGCGTTGTGGCCAATGCAATATCTTGAGTAGTGCTTTCACGATTGGCAAACTGAAAGAAGAGATAAAAGGCACATAGAATCCAAATAACAAGCGAGTAGATTATCCACATGAAACTCGCTTTTCTTTGTTTGATTTTAATCTCGGACAATCGCCCTTCTACTTTCTGAATGTCGATGTCGAGTTTGCTGAGAACTTGTTCATAGTCCTTTGAATCACTCTGCCATACTTGATATAAGTATCACAATCCCATCTCTGCTAGACGTAACCTTACCTTTTCTCTCGAGAATAATATACCCATGATGTATGCTTTAAAGATGGGAGAGAAGAAAAGAAAAAAGAAGCCAAAGAAAATGAAATACAAAGTAAAATTATTAAACAAAATCCCCCCTTGACACGTGGTTCGTAGCAAGAGGAAAAATAGTGCTGCTATCCCCTTTGCTTCAGCTGCTTAAATTTATTTGGGACAAACGGTTTCAATCTTATTCACATGTTTATTACAATCTCTTTTTATTATTTATTTATATGCAAAAGTATATTAAGATGAAGGTGGTGGTGGTGGTGGTGCAGCTAATGGTGCTCCTCCTCCACCGGGAGGAGGTGGTCCACCGGGAAACATGCCAGGCCTTTGCATTGGTAAAGATCCTGGTGGGCCCATCATAGGCGGTGGTCTGAACCCTGGTGGAGGCATGAAGCCAGGTGGTGGTGGTGGAGGAAATCCAGGTCTAGCCATCATATGAGGTGGAGGTGGGAAACCTCCAGGAGGGACTAAAGGGAGAGGGATTTAGTCATTTGGTTCAGTTCTAATCTACAGAGCATCATGCTTACATTGTCCATAAGGAGGTTGGGGGTAGCCAGCGTATTGTGCAGGCAAGACTATAAACAAATCAGTCAGCAAACTAGCATGTCAAAAGTATACAAGCCAACATGTATTTACCTGCTTCTGCTACATCATATGCTCTTGTAATTTCATCAATGATGGCCTGTGCTTTGTCATGACTGATCTCTATACAAGATGTTAGGTCATTCAGGCCATTTGGCAGGCTCTCTTCTTACCAGCATAGTAATTTCTAACGTTTAAAATGTGATTTTTTCCTGCATTGTGAGCCTTTCTAACAGAAGCTACAATTATAACGACGTGTTTAGTAACATTTCAACATTTAGATGACACTACACTACTTACAACTATCGTGCGTCAAGAAAATGTCGCAATATTCTATCAGATAGCAAGCATTCAGTCAGCAAGTATTCCTAAATGTCCTTTTTGTTCACACTTACCACAGTAATATTTTGGCATATTCGTCTACAAATGAGTTCAACAAGGGAAACATCCACATTTCTAATTGAAAATAATTTCAATGGCCATAGATTTTTTGTGACGCCTGATCACACACCTTCCACACCACCTCATCTGTTTACAAACACACCCAAATGTCAGTATCCATTGGTCCAAGCAGAAAATCTCTGCTGGCTCTTCATTTCATGTCTGTTTCCTAGCAATAAAGATTATGCGCACCATCGACTTGAGCGATAAGATCCCGGGACTAGTCCTGATAGAAGATGCAGTTACTATATCAGAAGAAGCAGGCCTGATTGAGTCTGTGAATAAAGAGACATGGTCGGGTTTAGGCATTGGGTAGGTTTGCTGTTTTAGTTCTCGAGATGTTCAGTCTAGTTGACAGCAAAAAAATTAGCCCAAATCCTGAATTGAAAAGACGCACACAACAATATGGACATTTATTTAGCTATCGCTATAGGTAAGTAGATGAAGGATGATACTGTCAAGGCAGCCATTGATATTTTGAATACAAGAAAGGTACTGGAAGAATATGGCCCCTTACCTGACTTTACCGACTTTTTGGTTGATCGTATCATGGAAAACAAATGGATGCCTCATAGGCCCAATCACTTGCTTGTGAATGAATATAACCCAGGACAAGGCATTATGCCACATGTAGGTAAATGCCAAAGGAAATAATTTAGTATTCATGAATACAAGACTGATCTTACCTTGCTGTTGACAGACGCTCCTGCTCTATTTGGGCCTGCCATTTTGTCGCTCTCTCTACTATCAGAATGCATCATGAAATTCACCTGTGATAACCAGAACATTGATATCATACTTCGTAAGCACCAGAAACATAGCATTTTTGCACAAAATGTTTGCTAACACGCTCATGCTAGCTCGCCGATCTTTGGCAATTTTGACAGGTGATGCAAGATACAAGTTTAAGCATGGAATTTCAAAGGATCTGATAGAGACAACCGATTCTGGCATTGTTATTGAAAGAGACAAGCGTATCTCTTTTACATTCAGAGAAATTATCGCTTGGGAGGTTGCTGAAAATGCAACCTGTGCTGGCAACAAACAATAGCTATAGATTTGCACATCCTTCATCATTGTATACCTATCAATGCACGCAAAATAAAGAGCAGTTTTTCATGTACTGCAATGTGCATTCTTGTGATGGCCATGAGAAATAAAATTGAGTATATAGTGCAGCTCCTCATGCCATACACTTGAAATTAGAATAGTTTTCAAGCTATTTGATCTCCTTAAGTCTTTCTGAAAGTCGAAACTTTTGCAACATTCAAAGACACATAAGAAGGCATTTAGGTCAGCCAACAACAAGCCGCCACCAAAATCAATTCAAAACTCAGCTTATTTTTTTCTGTTCAAGACTGGACGGATTGTGTCTATTTTCGACTTCTTTAATTTATTTTGTGATATTCGACTATATGAAATGTGGTTTTCAGACGATGCATCCTAATACATTCTTGGAACATTTTTCAAGGCGCTTCCAATGGTGCTAATTGTAATAGGTGTTTTGAATGAACCTAGTGAGCAATTCTAAAAAAAATACGAAATAAGGTTTTCGGCCAAAATGTCAAAATTTGGCATATAAAGACCTCATGAAAGTGGTTTCAGAGGTTACTTTGGATCGAGAGAAACATTTTGATTTGATATACACCATAGTAAAAGTCTTCATTTTTGGTGTCAAAAACGCGATCGTTTGATTTTCGTAAAAAACCATGAGGTACCCCTCATGCTTTTTGGCCGATTTTTGGCCATGTTTTTTTTTGGCCCAAAACGTTGAGCAAAGATGTCAAAAAGTTACTGCTACTCGAGTACAATTGTTTGGCATCATTCCGGTGGCTCATAAAGGCCTACATGTCAAAATATCAAGGCTTGAAAACTGTCAAATTTGGTTATGTATTGCTTTATGGCTTTTATTTACACGGCATGAATCACATCTTTAGTAGCTGAAGTCTTCTGGAAGGGCAGTTCTGCAGTCTGTACAATTTTTAACTCGAACAGGAGGTATATTGATTTCGGTATAGCTGATTCATGCAAATTTTGATGCGATATGTTGCTGGTAAGCTTATTAATAACAATGGAAATGAAAAACCGGATTTGCTGCTTGAATACTACGGTTTTACACCTTTGCTTGGCTACGGTAAAACCCACTCAGACTAATATTACCAAATGCTAAATTATTAGATGCAATCATATATATATATATATATATATAGTCAAGATATTCTTTGGCATTTATTGTGTGTATACATATATAGAGGCCATATAAAATATAGATATTTAAAATCCAAATGCAGGCGAACCATTTGATACACTATTGTCATCGTCATCATCCTCAGAATCAGACACTTCACCATCTTCCATATCTTCATCTTCATCGCCATCTTCATCCACAGTGCTAGATGGCGTGCTCTTTTCGGATGGAGTCATTGCAGTCGTGGGTGTGGATGAAGCTGTATGGTTATGATGGTTGGTATAAGCAAAAGTAGATGAAGATGAAGAAGTAGCTTGTTGATGCTGATGAGGATGGTGTTGTGGGGGGTATTTAAAACCTTGTGGTTTGACAGGTGTGTGTGCTACTACAGGATGGTGATGGCGGCTAAGATGGTGTTGCTGGTGCTTTTGCTGTTGCTGTTGCAACTGACGCTGCTGCTGCTGCTGTTGTTGTTGTAATTGCATCTGTTGTTGCATGCGCTGTTGCTCTTGTAGTTGTTTTTGTTGCTGCTGCTGTTGGTACAGTTGATAACGAGCACGCTTTTGTCTAATTTCCTCTTGTTCTTCCTCATCCTCCTCATCCTCGTAGTCGTCTTCGTCGCTAGTGGTAGCTACATCACTAAGGTATCTACGGTTGGCTACGTGAGGTGGAGGAGCAATGGCTGCTGCAATCTCGGGTGGAATAGTTTTACCGCCTGTTTTAGATGGACGGTAACCAGATTGTGATGAGGATGAGGATGGTGGTAACAGTGGAGTAGCAGTGGGAGGAAGAGGAACTTCTGCTGGATGCGGTGTGGTATTAGCCGTCGTTGTGGAGGAGGAAGGCTCTTCCGTAGTAGTGTTGCTAGGGGCAGGCGATTTGCGCTTGCGACTACGAATTTGTCGTTTCTGAGGTTTGGGCTTGAGAATCAACTCGCACAAGGCATCGATACGTCTTGCAATTACTAGCTCTTTAGGCCATGAGATGCGGCTCAAGATGTTGGGAATGGATTCTGATTCAGCCTCTTCGGGGTCGACACCTGCCATGGCATCCTTGACGACTTGATGGAAGGGCAATTCTTGATCTGTCACCATGAGATCATGTCTACCAATACCATGCTTGCAAATGCCGTGCAACAAGGCTCTATCATGCAAAGGCACCTCCCACCAGCTATACACACGCATAAAGAAAATCAGTGTCCCATTCAAAAGCACTTTCATCAACTACTTACGTTGGTAAACCTGAAGTCTTTCTAGCTCTTTCCAACGAATTTTCAAACTCGGGGTCAACCACTACTAACTCACGAATCTTTTTCATCTGATCCACACGCTTCAGGGCACGTCTCGCTTTGTCATAAGGAATCTGATCTGCCAACTCCACTTCCTCTGCTGTAGCCCCACCAGCTTCTTCACTGGATTCTCGGCTCTTTTGATCCTCGTCCTCTGTCTTTTGCTGCTGTCTCTTCATGACCTCCTTGCAAGCTGCTATAAATTTGACATAGTAAGCATCCAGCGAGGCATCGGTGCGTTTCTCCAAGCCTGAAATTTCTCTAAATCTATCCCATTTAATGTTTGGATCGCCAGCTACCGTTTCCACACCAAAAGAGAGGATCGTGCGCAGAAAATCACTGCGGTTCTTTTTTTGCCATCGATTACCAGAATCACCTGCTCTTGAGCGTTGACGCGATGAGCGACTAGATCCACCCGCTCCTCCTCCTCCAGTAACAGCAGCAGGGGATTCTCCTTCAACAGAGCCGTCTGCAAGAGCACGACGCCTCTTTTCAAGGCCTTGTTCACGTAGAAAGGCGGCAATGATACGACGAAGACGCATACCAATATCTGCTTTGGATGGCCATACATACACGGTGGCATCTGCGTCAGAAAAGCCTCCAAAATCAGATCCATCGTCTTGATGCTTGTCCTGTTCATCGTCGTCTTCTTGCAGTGTCCCAGCTTTACTATCGTCATACTTTTTACCAAAAAAGCAAAACTCCTTGTCTTTACGCATCGTTAGATACTGTTGGTAGCCATGTTTGCAGATACCAAGCAACAGGTCACGGTCCTCCGATTCGCCCCACCAGTCGCACGGCAGCGAGCCTGTCACCTTGGGAATAGGCAATCGCTTGGCCTCCTCCCAGTCTTTGGGCACGATACGGTCTCTGACCATGTGCAGCATTTGAATACGAAGCAAAAAGTTGCGGCCCTTTCTCTCAATGTGTTCAATGTAGTCTTGAGGTGCTTCGATCAAAAAGGATTTAAATTCTGCAGTTTGTCTCTTGTTGGCTCCAATGTAAGGCACGTTTTCGTCGCGTGATTCATCGTCTGCTTCACTCTGCAAGATAGTTTCAATGTCTTGAATCAGCTTACGGTCTTCTTCCGAGTTGACTTCAATGACATGCTTCACTTTACGCATCAAACACTTGGTGGCAGCCTTGAGATCCTTCTCCGTGCGACGAGGGAAATGCGCTTGCATCTGCTTCCAGGGACCGTAACCGTAGATCATAAGCTTGCGTTCATATTTGGTCTTTTCAGACAGTGTCCAGGGTCGAATGGCATCTCGTTTCCTGTTCCTTTCCGTCTCATCTTCATACGCATCCGAGTCATCTGCATTATCGGCGGACTCATAAGCACCGTCTACAGAACGAATACCGAATCGCTGGACTTGACGACGACGACGTGGCTCATAGACAATCAGTTCATTTTCATCTTGCACATCATTGACATCTAAATTGGCCTTGGTGGCCCATTTCTCCCAGAAATCAGGATCATCCAATTCGACATCTTGACCCGCGGAAGACGAGAAGGTGGCCTTGGAGAAAATACTGCCCTTTTCATTTCCCTCATGCCGAATCACAGTAGTGCGTCTTTCCAAAATCTGATCAATGTCTTCCTCGCAAAACTGCTTGCTCTCCTCATCGTCCATGACAGCACCATAAGCACCCTTCTTTAGCAGATCTTCAATCTCCCTTCTGTTCAGTTCGTTTTTGGAGATGTGTGCCGATTCTTCGTCAGGGCTGGGCGTGTTGTTGCTGGCACCGTTGTTCATGCGCTGCATTACGGCTTTGTCCAGGCCCAACTTCATACCAGCGCGATCAAACATGTCCTTTTCGTACGTGTTGCGACAGATCAAGCGATATACTTGCACGGGTTTGGTTTGTCCAATGCGGTGACAACGCGCTTGTGCTTGTAGATCATTTTGAGGGTTCCAATCACTGTCAAAGATAATACAGGTGTCTGCTGCTGTCAAGTTGATGCCCACACCACCTGCTCGCGTACACAGGAGAAACACAAACGATTGGTTGATGGGCAAGGTGGAGAAACGATCAATAGAGGCCTGCCTTTGCTCACCGGGAATACTGCCGTCAATGCGTTCGTGTGGGTATTGGCGCCCACGAAGATAATCAGACAAAATATCGAGACAACTATGAGGTAAAGCGCGCGCATCAGATATACTGTCCTACTCTTCTTTCTCTCTCTCTCATCACGTTACCTTGTAAATTGAGAAAAGATCAAAACCTTGTGGTTGCCTTCAAACAACTTGCGCAGCAGCTTGTCAATTAACACTAGTTTACCTGAAGAATCAATCAAGCACTTGAACTGATCTTGAATGTTTCTAGCACCACTGTCGTTGACAATCATCTCTTCAGCACCGTCTAATAAATAGGGGTGGATGCAGCACTTTCGCAACTGCATCACGATGTTACGTAGCTGAGGCATCTCCTTGTTGGCTGTTTTTAAAAGTGTTATTTATCTTTTCAGGCCACAACTTCTAGGTGCAACTTACACTTGGCTCCTTTGCGAAGAAAGCTGAAATTCTTCTCCAAAATAGCACGATACCATTTCTTTTGAGAGTTGGTTAATTCTACTTCAATGACAGTTTCTTCCTTGACGGGGATGCTCTTTTCCACATCTTCCTTGAAACGACGCAACATGATGGGCTTCAACAGAGCTTGAAGTTTCTCTACCTCTGCTGCTGTTTGCAAGTTGCCGTATTCTGCAAAGAAGGCTCTCTCATTGTTAAAGACTTCGGGCTGCATGAAATTCAAAAGACTGTAGAGCTCGTCTAGATTGTTTTGCAGTGGTGTTCCAGTCAGCAGCAGTTTGTGATCAATCGAAAATGTCTTGAGGATCTCTCCTACTTTGGATTGCTTTCAAAGGTGTACTTGTTAGTAGCGTGTTCCATTAGATGGAGGAAAAGACTCACTTTGTTTTTCAAACGATGCGCCTCATCAAATACAGCACATTTCCATGGAATATCCTTGATATGAGGTGATCCCGCAGACGCCATTTCATACGTAGTAATAAGCACATCGAACTTGTATCGATTGGGAATACGCTTGCTTTGCACATCCTTGTAGTAAAACTCGGTTTCCACAATTAAATCACGGGCAAACGTGTTTCCACGGTAATCGATGACATTCAGGTCGGTCCAAGCGCGCACAGCTCTCTCCCAGTGCGGAATCGCTAATACATACGATCAATCACTAGACACTCTCTGGTCGCTAAACATGCAACTTACTGGATAATGGTGCCACAATCAAAAAGGGTCCTCTGACATTCAATTTGTAATACACATCATTCAAAAAGGTGACCGACTGCACTGTTTTACCAAGACCCATTTCATCAGCCAAAATACACGAACGATAGTTGTAGTAGCAAAATCGAATCCAGTTGAGGCCCTCCAGTTGATACGGTCTTAATTCATTGCCAAATTTATACTTGGCACCCGCTTCATATTTGACAAATTGCGTGTAGTCAGGTCGTCTGGGTGGATTGGGTAGCTTTTCCTGAGGAATAATGCGGTTTTTTTGGTATTCGGCAATTTTGGACGTGTCCATCTAAACGTGTATGTGTAAGCGTATGTATATCATTGCACATTACCCCCACTTGCTTTTACCTGCTGTACATCCTCTTCACTCTCCCACGTACAAGCATCATAGAGCTGTCCATTCCATTTCACCAAATAATAGATACTAGGCTCTCCTGTCACGGGATCCACCAACTCGCCTTCATCAATCACACGATCCACCTTCAGATACTCGTTGAAATCCTCACCACGTTGTCCTTCTTGATTCCACTTGGTGAGAAACTTTTTGACACGGTGTTTACCCAAATGCTCAGCTTCGATCTTTTCCTTGGGCACCCACTCAACATGGCGATAGCTTGAATGCTGCAAGAATTCGATGTGTGTGTGTGTATGTGTGTGTGTGTTAATCCGTAAGTGGTGTGTTATTGTGATCCTTCAATTTTTGTTTTCTTTACCTTATATTTCACTAAAAGCTCAGGTTGGCCATTGACAGGACTCAATCGATAATCCAACATCTTTTCAAATATCTTGGTGGGCATAGGCACCATGACAGGAGGTGCTTCAGCCAAGGGAGCTGCTGGCAGATGGGCAGCAGCTGCCGATTTCGATTTGCTGGTTGATGGTCCATTGGGATTGATGTCGAAATCACTGTCATCCGATTGCTCGGCCACTTCGTCCATCTCGTCGTCGGCTCCCAATACATCGTCTAGATTGTCATCTTCGTCGGATGATTCCTCATACTTGACCTTTCTTTTCGTAGTGGCTCTATTGGATCGTTTGGGTGCAGCAGCAGCAGCACTCGTAGACTTGGAAGAGGGAATAGGCGAGTGCTGCTGAGGTTGCTGTTGGAACATGATTTGCTGTTGATAAGGTTGTTGTGGGCGATATTGTTGAGATGGTTGCTTTATTTGATGATGTACATGACGTTGCTGTTGTTGGTGGTGCTGTAGTGGTGGTGGTGGCAGAGAGGCCTGTTGACGAGGAGCGTTACCATGAGGCATTTGCTGCTGTTGTTGTTGTTGTTGTTGTTGTTGTTGTTGTTGCTGTCTTTGCTGTTGCTGCTGTTGCATTTGTCTCTGTTGCAACTGTTGATGTTGTTGTTGCTGCTGTCTTTGTTGCTGCTGCAATTGCATCTGTTGTTGTCTCTGTAACATCAACTGCTGTTGCTGCTGCTGCTGCTGCTGCTGCTGCTGTTGCAATTGCTTTTGATACTGCACATTGGGATCCATATGTTGCATATTGTTACCATACTGCGACTGAGGTTGGGCTTGAGGTTGAGCAGAAGATATTTGAGCTTGTTGATGCATATAAGTAGGTGAGAAATTCTGCAATTGATTGGCCATGGCATACATTCGAGATGGTTGATTGGGACCAGAGATTGGGACCCCGTCAAAACTGCCCTGAAGCTGTTGTTGAGCAGCAGCAGCGGCAGCAGCAGCGGCAACAGCGGAAGAATGATAAGAGTATGACTCTTGTTGCTGTGGTGGTGGTGGTGGTGGCTGTGGTTGTGGTTGATTAAAGTGCATTAAATTCACAAACTGCTGCTGACTAGGCTGTGGTTGTTGTTGAGATTGCGGTATAAAATGGCTGGGATACTGTGGACTATTGCCATAGAAAGCAGTATTTGCAGCTGTAGCAGTAGTAAAATCAATACCATCAGATGGAGTATCTACAAAAAGTTGCTGATTAAAATCTGCTGTGCCATTTGTTCCCAAGTAATCAGAGAACAAATCATCCTGATCAAGTCCAATGCCTGGATGATGCGAGTGATACGGTTGACCCATCACAATACCAGCGGTTGGTTGTTGTGAATGTTGTTGTTGCTGCTGTTGCGAATGATGTCCCTGATGTGCCATCTCGTTGCTTCTAGTGGGTTGCAAAGTTGTGTTGGATGTACATACGCGCGTAACTTGTTTCACAGGTTCATACTTACGAATTGAAGGAGAGCAGGGATGGGCAAATGTATACAAGAAACTATGCAAAAGCAATGAACCTAATTCTTTGTCACTAGTAGTAGAAGCTTTCTTTTCTCTCTTTTGGTTTTTCCCTTGTTCTACTAAGGTGAAGCGAGAGAGAGAGAGAGAGAGAGAGAGAGAGAGAGAGATTGAGGTTTCCCTTGAAGGTTTTCTGCTGTTTGGCTTGCTTGATTTGATAAGAACCGGGTTTCTTTTTGTTCTACCTTGATTTTTCAGTGAGTATTCAATACAAAAACAAACGAAAAAAGATGGCCAAGGAGTAGAGAAAACAACTGGAAAAAAAAGCGAAAGAAAAGAGAGAACGAATATTTTTAAATTCTCTTTCACTCTAATAACCCACCCACTTTTTTGCTGCCTATACAATACAAATCCTTTCAACATTCAAATAAATGTAAGCCAATCAAAGATGACAGTCCAAAACATAGGTTTCAAATCATGAATAATCAGACTGGATGAATGAATTGATGATCAATTATGAGTATGCGTAGTGTTATGCCTGATGAACTCAAGATATCAAGAAAGACAGAGACGGGCTCTCTATAGAAAGCATCTCGCTTGAAAGGCGTTGGAACCTCTGCATGCTACATAGCAATGGCTCTTTCGTTCCACATGTGTGCTGGCATTGCTTTCGAAGAGATGTTATGTACGGTCCATGCCGAGGCCTCTAAAAGCTCAAGTTTACATGTTGATATAACTATGGTCTAATCAGCTCAACCACAGCACCTTGTATAGTAAAAGTGTATAGAAATGGTAACCCATGATTCTCTTCCTCATGAATAAAGTAACTGGATGATGCGTGGGATGTTGAAGGAGTCACTCTTGTTCATCCTAGATTTTCCATACTGGATATCAACTGCATTGCCTGGGAACTTTATTCTATATTTTGAATACGGTGTGCATTGCTGAATGAGAACAATGAATACCGAAATTATTGCTTGCTTCTTACATGCCCTGAATACATTACGCTTCGAATGGCTATGATGCTGTTGTCCGTCTTTCTCCCAAATGCTGTCCCTGGCATCATCAGTAAGATCTCGTGGCCAACATGTTTTTAACTTTTCATGATCTGCAACACCTTCTTTGCCGAGATATGCATATAGCATGATGTTTGACAAAGGGTTACAATGTGGCCCTGAAGATTGAAATCAATTTTTGTGGGACATTTTCATTATACTAGCAGCATTGAATTCCCGCTGTATCCTCTCGATTTAGCGGCAAATCCTAATGAGCTTTTAAACACCTTAAACATAGCATAATGTACCAAGATACGATAACAAACCTCGATGCCCTGCTCATTGTATATACAGCTTACTATATGCATGTCCTTATACAGCGATTTTTTTGCTGTGTGTTTTCAAATGTCATTGTGACCTACCTCATGCGATGAATTTTCGCCTTCCCGGAAGTACTGTAATCTATCGGGAGCATTCTAGTCGTTTCCTTGTTAGCACGAAATTGGATCCGGGCTCAAGTAACAAGGCATACAAGCTATGATTTCATTCCAATAGAAGGTTTATTTGTAGAATTAGAACACTAGCATAGAGAGACCAGGACGCTGCATAGACACATACTCTAATCAAAACTGATTGTACCATGACAACAACCAGTGCAACCATCTACATGGCTTTGAGAAACACTCGCACTGTTCAATAAACATGATTAGAGATTGTTGGATGCAGTGTTTGTTTATCATTGATTTAGAATGATATACAATGATTTTATGAGGTGATGTACATTTGGAAAAATCAAAGTGGACGCTGCAACAAATATAAACGTTTCAACACAATATAGAATGTTGTCAAATTTAGTTTAGCATAAAGAGTATCATGGATCAATCGTGATAAAGAAGATTGCTAGGCAACTGATCAACCAATGATATCCATATAAACAAGACTCTTTCTACACACAAAAAATGAGAATGGTACACAACCGCACACACCAAGAAACACAAACAATTACCAAATACCTCATTCAACCCCTATAAGATATACCACACAACCCCAGTGAAAAAGTTCTTCTTTTCTTCTTTTTCTCTTTCTCGTCGCAGCTTTACCATTATGGCTTTTCAGTATATAGAACCTTATTACCCTCATCCTCCTCCTCCTCCTCATCCTGGACAACACCGACGACAACCTCTGCATTTAATGGACGATGACTATCATTATTTTCCACTGCCTCCTCGAGCAAGAGGAAGAGGCCCACCTCAGCCTCATCAGCATCATCCATCTCATCTATATCCTTCGGCTTCGCTGCATGACCATATCTACGGACAACCACCACCAGCACCAGCGCCATATCAACTGTATCCACAACACGATCATCATCGCATCTATCCAGATTGTTATGAATCTCTACCAAAGCATCGTAAGCGCCGACATAAATTAGCACGATCTTCATCGACGGGCCATCTTTATGGAGAATATGAATCAGGAGATGACGACAAAGTAAGCTGTCTTGTTTCTTACAAATGTTATATACACAATGCTGACTTTTTTGAAAGCAGGATTATAGCTGGTACTATGAAGAGCCAGAACAACACGTGCCCCAGTATTATGATCATCGTAATGGTCGCCGTCGTCGTTGTCGTAGCAATAGTAACAACAGTGCTACAAAATTTCACAATCGACCTCTGGATGCTGAAACCGCCATTGATCTGAATAGTTATACGCATATTGATGGAGAGCCTATGAATGAGCTGGAGGTGCTAGCGGCAAAGAATGCAGCTATCAATGAAAGAAAGAGTCGCATTATTTACCAAGAAGAAGACTACGATCAGCCAGAAGAACAAGCACAACCATTGAAAGAGACGATTGAAGTAGCAGCGCCAACAGCAGCGGCATCCACAACAGCAGTGGCTACATCTCCAGAGACAGCGAAAGAAACAACCACAACAGAAGCATTGTCAAATGAAGCAACATTGATAGACGATCAAAATCTATCAAACATGTTAGAAGCACTCACAATGACAGAATCGAATGCATCCACCGTCGTTGAACCTATAGCAGTTGGGAGTAAAGAACCATCACCACAACCCATCAAAAAGAAACGATGGCCATTTGCCTATTTATTCAAAAAACCAACAGCTATTACCACAGCATCAGCAACAACAGACCGAGGCAAGATTGAGCCCACCAAGAGCCATAGCACACCACCTACACCTGTACTTACACCCGACACTTTTACCAACTCTAACATTTCATCAACCAACACTTCTGCCACCATATCTCCTCAGCATCAAATTTCATCTCATGGGTTTTGGGCTTTTCGAGTTCCCATGACACAAGTCTGGTATCGATTTGATAATGAAAACCAAACCAAGATTCTCGAACACGTGAGTCATCCCAATGGTATTCTACAGGTAACAGATTCACACATGGGTCGTGGCCAAGTACCCATTGTAGTATTACCGTTCCAAAAAATCTGCTATTATCCTACAGACGCAAGCTTGCATCAATTAGCCTGTTTGGAATTAAGCTTCATGCCTGCTGCGATTGGTGGGACATTATATTAAAAGTGGATTGTTATGGTGAACGTTTTGACATGAATCCACATCAACTAAAAATCTGCATATCCATCTACATCTATGATAACATACACTGCTCAATCCAAATTTACTGTACATTCTGTAAACCAATGCTTACATTCTGAAAAAAAAAAGGAATCAAAATAAAATTAGTATTCTTGGCTATAGAGTTTTCAGGAGTTAGATATATTACGCCATGTGTGAATTTCGGTTACATTATGTTCACGATGCTTGGAACTACCCAATTTGTTATATAGCAAAATATCAAATTCGTTTAACCTCTCTATTGCTTCCAAGGCATCTTGGGCTTTCTATTTCTGCTTATATGCTTAGTAATAACAATGGTTCTGCTCTTGGTTTGAGTGATTTGGGAATCAAGGGGCAACATCAATGCAAAAGTAGCTGAGCTTGAATCTTCAAATTATCAGAGCTTCAGATCTGATCAATTCGACATTTTCTGAAATTTCTTTCACCTTTCAAGAGTTTTTTTTTTTTTTTTTAGGTACAATACGAATACTAAACATTCAATTAGCTATTAATAAATCAAGTAAAAGTCAAGCTGCTCTATCTTGTGAAATTTTTCATCTCTTATTTGGATCCATTCTGCGCTCACAATTCTCGAAAATGTGCTATTTTGACCTTTTCACGCTAAATCCATTTTTTCAATCAAAACATGCCAAATAAACACATTCAGTGTGTAGATGGTATCTTTTTTTTTTAGTTATAAACTCAGTAAACACCATAGTATAAAGTTTTGTTTTGGATGTGAAAAATTGCTTTTCATGAAATTTGAGATTTTGGATGCACAAATCATAAGGCCAAATCATCGAATTTTTCGATATCGGAAAAAAATTGAGAAAAGATGGCAGAAAGTATCCACAAATTGAGAGCATTCGTTTGGTGTATGTCTGAGTGCCAGAGATCGCTTAGATCTTGTAAAACAGAGCTTTAAAAATGTCACCTTTCCACTGAATTGGCCACATTATCAGATCCAGTGGCTTCTTAATCCTAAGGATGGAACATTTAATTATCCCGAACGGAGCATTATGATCTTCCCCCTTCAATCTCACAATGTTTCCAAGTATTCCTACAAAAGCAGATGTGATACACAACTCTAAAATGCCGTTTAAATATGTGTCATTTGAGCATTTCATTGAATGAGATGCACAAATAATGGAGCCAAATTGGCTCAACGTCAATGAATGCTAAAAAAAAAAAAAACAGATGAGATAAGAACCCAATGACAGAGCCAGCACCATTTTAGGCTTCTCACTCTTTTTCGCTCTCCTCATTTTCCTGTCAGTGGAGATATCAGCATGGTAAATCGATACTTGGTGGAGCAAGTTTTTAGCTACCTTGGATTAGTCTTTTGGTCTCTGCAATTAGCACCACAAGGTAAATGAAAGACAGCATGCGTTCATGCAGACACTCATCACTCATTCATCTACAACCCAACAGCTTACAAAACATACAGACGAGGCACCTCAACAGGTGTGTCGGCTTGGACCATGCTGATTTGGACATCTGCAGGTGTTTTTATGGGCGTTTACAATATTGGTCTAGGTGTTGCAATCGCATTGTGGATCCAACCGCAAATTTTTAGTTTTATTGCATGTATTTGTCTATTTCAAGAATTCAGATATCAACACAAGTGGTCGCAAAAGAGGACATGTGTAGGTTTTGTGTTGAGTTGCGTGTTCTTTTCAGGGTTGGAGGTGGGCTTGGTGTTTGCATTCAGGGTAAGCAATAAAGAAATCGATCGTGTGTATGCTGTCAGATAGTAATGCAAGCCTGTAGAAAGCGGAACAAGTAGAAAATCAAGGGGCAATCCGCTTTTTTGGCATTCTACCTGTTGTTACTATCCTGGGAGGTTTTCTACCTCAGTACTATGAGATCTTTCGTAAGATGAGCTCAAGAACTATCTTACGGTATGATGGATCTAACCTAATCTGCATAATTAGGTGACAAAAGGGCGGTTGGTATATCTCATCTGTTTCTCACCATGGACTTTCTCGGATCTATCTTCTCAACGATCAGTCTCGGTATGTCATTTCATCCAGCAGCTAGTAACACAAGTAATGATTCTGATACACAGCCGCACAGCATTTCGAGATGAGATTGATGCTCTTGACCTAGCTAATTACATTGCTATCGCATGCTTTGATGTGGGTATTCTTGTATTATATTACGTTTTTGAATGGCATCTTAAAAGAAAGAGTACTACAAACAACAGTGATGGTGAAACTCGGGACTCGAAGGAGTAGTCTCATGATTGTGAAACAGCCTCTGAGATCAAAGCTGTGCCAACTGGCGACAAGCTTCATCTGGAGCTTTAGACGTGTTGCTACACTTCTTTTTTCAAAATCACAGTAAATAATTCAGTCTTAATATAGACATCACAGCCGGCTATTGACTACAGGTATAATGCAATAAAACTTTAATCATCTCTTCAAACCCCTGATTGATCGTCTTTTTTAGTAGCAGCCTCATTTTCTAAATACTTTTCATATTGACCAGCTACATATGCAGCGTATGCCTATGCAGATGAATAGTCAGACTTTTGCGTCAAGATACACACCTCTCTGCCTTACCATGTGTGCAAAGCAAGTACCCATGAATGCACCAAATGCAACAAACACATATTTACTGTACTCCTCTTTCATCGAAGCTATGAATGATTCCCAACTTGCATTCTTTTCGTCGAGTATCTTTCTAACTCCCCAATAGCTGTATAATAGTGATTGGCCTACCACGAGAGGTGTACAAACCAACTCATAGTAACAATATCTTTTGTGGTATTTGATGAGTTTTTTTGATTTCTATGAATGACAAGCAGAGTTGGCAAAATCCATCAAGACCCTCTTGGACTGAATACAAACCTTGTAGCATCCCCATAAGCCAACAGCATTCATCGCAAATGATACTACAAGAAAAGTATCAAATGTAGACTCAATACCTGGTACTCGAAAATGGAAATATCTCGAGACAAAATCATCGGATGAAGAAGCTATAGCACATATGTTTAGTCAACTGGCAGTAAGGCGGCAGGAATCAGCTTACAAGCGGGAATAAGAGGTGTAAGAAGCTTGGAAGGAATCATGTTAGTAGAGGTATATTAGCAGTAGATCAGCACAAAGGGGCATACCACCGATCCACAGGCATTCAGAAAGACGCCTCCTCGTAGCGTGAGAAAGCCATAGCTTTTGTTCACAATCTTGTTATCTGTGTTAGGTTTCATGGTTGATATTGACAATGCAAATGAAGAAAACCCCAGGAAATGTCTGTTTATATACATACATGCTGAGCTCGGGTTAATTTTTATGAGTCAAAATCAAGGTTAAATGAATTTGGCTTACAAGTTACCCTCGCAATTGTGGCAGAGCAACTTGAGTCATATTATTTCCTGTCCTCAGCGCAGTAAATGTATGCAAGAATGACCAAAACAGTCAAGTGTTCGGTTTATCTATTCCATGTTCAGAGGTAAAATGTATCTTTTATCAAGTTGTCAATGCAATAGAAGAAACTGAAAGAGCGAGTGAGTGAGAATGGAACAAGTAGTAATAGTAAGTAAGAATGGGGAATATTGAGAGAACAACTGTTTACAGTGTGATTCTATGGCTATGAAGATGCTCATAGCACCAAACCTTTAGCTTGTGCGGCATCATCCAGGACCACATTTTAAAGGCTACCAAACAAAAGAACCGCCATTGTAACAGCAATGTACCGATAGCCACAATCATGATTGTATATACCACAAGCTCAGCAAAGAAAAATGCTACGTAATAATACCATGTTCCACCTAACACCTCATCATTAAGTATTCAAGCGCAACCCTCCTTCCGAAAACACATGCATACTTACCAGGACAACCCAACAGTTTCAAAACTGAACTCGTAACATGGACACTGGATGAGCCTGTAACGCCAAATATACAGAATCTCCAAAACCACACACAGTAGTACTTCCAGTCCTTTCTGTGGCTGCCTTGATATGTGCTGTCATGTGTTGTAGTAGGAAGTAGCGTTGTTGTCTCTTCCAAACATTGATGTTGTTCTTCCTCTCGATCACTCATGGTCAGATGGCAAAGGAAGCAAGAAAGGATGAATGAAATGAATCTCGATAAGGAGAAATAAATCTCATGCTTGAGTTCGAATTGCTGTCGAGGAGCGATTCTGGATGGCTCTATCAACCGGTGAATTTGTTGGTGATGACTGAAATGGGAAGACCATTAAAACGAGTTTCTTTCGATTGCCGAGTATTCACACGCTGAGACAGGCATGCTTCTTTACTAGATACGCTTTGGAAAGGAAGTTCTGCTTATACTGTATGCATGTTGCATGTTGCATTCGCTATTTTGCGGGATGTACCCGGTCAACATTAAAGCTATATAAATGAATGCAGCTAATAAAAGCATTGTTTCACAAGGCTACACAATTCAGTGGTTATGGAACAACATGACGGTTCGTTACTGATATATTGAAGGTTTTATTCGACATTTATATGATTGTATTGCTATGTAGTGTGTGTATATGTATGTGTGTATGTATTGCTTAAGCGCAGCTGCGAGAGACAAGAGCGGGGCAGACAGCATCAAATTGCTCGAGGATAACAGGGTTACACTCCTTGGCATTGGTCAAGGTGAGTTGGGCATCATTAACCAAATGGCTATCAGAGACCTTGTTGATATACTTGATATCTCTGGTTTGGCAGTCCAAGGCATCAGCATTGGTAGCAAAGTTGATTTCATAGACAGCAGCCTTGACAGCCATGGCAGAGAAAAGACCAGCGATGATAACAGAGAACTTCATTTTTGTTTAGTAAGGATTAGGAGGAGATGAAGATGGGATGCAAGCAGTAAATGCATGCCAGTATTTATACTTTTTTTGACCTGCTCCTTTCAAAATGAATAAGGGCAGATGTATAGGCAAAAACGAATGAAACGGGTTACACTGCTCACACATTCCTGTCTTTGGTTTGCATTAAATCACGTTAAATTTAGTAAAACTCTATTGCATTTAGTAAAATGTATTTTTAACTTTTTTGCTGCAAGAAATAGCTAAATTGTGCGTAGTACATGACAATTACAAGGAAACTAAAAGGCGCTTTTACAGTCTCCCTGAAGTACCTGTAGAGAAGGGTCTTGGATCAAGATGGGGAAGGAGGGACAAACAGATACTGCGCATTTGAGGTAATTCAGAGTATAAAGAGGTATGCAACGAACTAATAATGAATACTTAAGTCATACTTGTAGGTCCTTGATGAACACAGTATACATCATAGACGTGTCGGCATTGCATACTCTTATATGAGACTTGATATGATGGTGGTCTTTGACCTCAAGCAAGCTGATGCCTTGCATCCTTGACTCTACACAGTCGCTTTAATGAGAGGTTTTTCCGTGCGTATTTATAAAGAAACAATCATTAATACCCTAAAAACAGTACTATCACATAGGTGTAGTATAATGCCTAATGTCTCAAAAAAAAAAATGCTCAAAACAGATCGAACTCTACAACATCCGCATTCAGTGGTAAGGAGAAGCTACCAGCGACTACAACAAATGAAATGTTCCACAAGACAACACATGTACAAGATAAAATTAAACCAACACAGTGATTCGATCACTTTTCCATAGTAGGGTGTGTTTATTAATTGAATACTGACGCAATGGCAGTTATACTTGAAAGCCTAATGCTTAGAAACAGCTTCTGGATACAAGAGTAGGGCAAACAGCATCAAATTGCTCGAGAATAACAGGATCACAGACATCGGAATCAATCAAGATGAGCTTGCGACCAAAGATTTTGTGGCTATCAGAGACCTTGTTGATATAGAGAATATCCTTGGTTTGACATGCAACAGCATCGCTATGGCTGGCAAAGTTGATTTCGTAGATGGTAGCCTTGACAGCGACAGCAGAGAAGAGACCAGCGATAAGAATAGAGAGTTTCATTTTGTATTGAATAGAGAGCAAAAGATGAATTGATTGAGTCGAAGTGAAGCAGTATTTATACACCTTCAGACGTACAACACAAGGATACTAACGTTCACTTATAAAACGTGTTACACTGTTCACACCATCGTATTGGAGCCGCATTGAAATTTAGTTGTAACGCGTGATACATAAAGTAGATTGTATATTTATAGAGAGAAAATGACCTTATGTGTAAATGGTACAAGCTTTTCCACAAAGTAAATACGCTTGATTGAAGCAATATCTTACTGTTGTTTCGGTTGGTTAGTGCATGGAGATAAGCTTCTACATCATGAACGTATTCTCTTTAGTGATAAGGGTCTGTATACTGCAGGAAAAGGACATCTTTTGGATAACCAAGGTACTGAGCCTCATTTTCTTGCCAACTTTCAATCACCAACATAATTTTAGCAAGAGTATACATATATGGGACAAATGTTACATTGTCTACAACCATCTGAAAGGGTGTTAGCTCGCTCAGTTGCAGAGAGGTTTGGATGGTATATTATATTCAATAGAGTAAGTGACTAATTAATAATGCCGCAAATCCACCATGAACAATTAAGGTGATAGACATCAGCAGAGTGTATGGCATTCTGTGCTAGCAACTCACCCTTGATATAGGCACTGGCCTTTTCCTTTGATTTAGACCCGTATATGGGTATATTTTCTATTGATAGACATAGCAAATGCTTCAATTACATTGTAGCATTACGTAAGTATGCCTGAATCACATAGAACCGCGACAGTATGATATTTGGTGTTGTTCTGCGCATGCCCAAGTATGTCCCAACGAAATTGGATCAAAATAGCATCCAGTGCGTCCAGTCAGCAGATATTTCTGCAATCAAATAGTAGGCTGTAGACTACTACAATGAGGTAGGCTCCATTTTAGCATGCTCGGCATTCGGATAAACACAAACCAGACCCTGTATCATGTAAATCATGGAGACAAATCCTAGCGTCTTTACATACAAGTAAGACATAGCAGAACGAAATGGCTGATGGCATTGAAACCAAAGAATCAATTCAGCTCATTAGTTTAATAGAAACTGTACAAGAATTCCTAAATTAGCCTAGATACAATGGAGATGTTTGGCATGAAGGACTGCAGATCATTCAAAGGCAAAGACTAGTGCGATTCTACGCTCATCCTACCAAGATCTTGCTAGTGTATCATCGCTTCCGGCAAAAAAAAAAAAAAAAAAAAAAAAAAAAAAAAAATCAGGTGCTTCCTTCTTAGTAGTGGAGGTAGATACAACTCCCAACAGACACAGTACCAGGAAGTATTTCAATATAAATGGTCTATGTTATTGCCATTTTAATTGCTTTCCAAAATGATGATTTAATATCGTAAAACGTCAGTTTAAGCGTCTGCTATGATTTTAATGATGGACCTGACTGCAATCCATGATATCGCTACGAGCTCCCTATGCCATCAACCGCTGATTTGCTCCTTATCTCACTATTGCAACATGTAGCGCCAAGAACCATCTTTCAAGTCACTGCTTCGTTTCAGACGACTCGACAGCATTCTAGACATTTTCAACCAAACAAGTCAAGTTATATATATATATAGACAATCATTTCATTCGCTCGTTCAAATCTCTTAATGAGTCAATTCCCCGGACATTGCATTACAAGCGGGTCCCTTCAATGGAACAAATACACACACTCGCACATTGAGGCATCAAGCCAATCATGGCATATCCAGTATAGTAAAATTCTGGGGTAATCAGCCAATCAGTCCAATTTGGCTTAATTCACATTGTGAAAAAGGGTGACGTTTCTCGCTGTATTTTCCCTTTATTTAGGAGAACGAGACCCTCGGTTCATTTCTCTTTTCTCTTTTTTTTTTTCTTTTTTAAATTATTTAAGCTTTTTTTTTTTTTTTTTTTTTTTTTATAAATAATAATGATGCTCAAGGTACACAATCAGAAAAAAACGATGAACATGTCATATGAAAACTAATCTTAAATTACTTGGAAAGAACACACTCACAACCACATTCAAAAACACAAATGCTCGCAATGTGCTTGTTTCAGTGCGATACATGTCATTAGAGACCAACAACTACTCCAACAACGAGATGCCACTTCCTCCTTCCATGCAGAAAAAGACGGCCCAAGAAACCAAACCCATCAAGAAGGAACAGCTATTCTCGGATGAGACTCGTGTCAAGCTCGAACGTCTTCGTCAGCACCATTTTCATCCAACAAATATTCCGGATTCTCCTGACTTTGGTACAAATCAGTACATGAACATCAATGAGGAGCTGAAGCAGCAATTAAAGGACGTTGTATCGCAGTTCAATGCGCCTGTGAGATATGCTATTGCCTATGGTAGCGGTGTGTTTCGCCAGTCTGGCTACGATGAGAAGGTAAGTTATGCATCTGTGAAAGCAGCACACCGATGTTTACATCACATGTTGCTAATGCTTAAATAGAAAAAGCCTATGGTGGATTTCATTTTTGGTGTTAGTCACCCAGGCCATTGGCATGACTTGAATATGCAGCAAAACCCTCATCACTATTCAGGCATTCGTGCGCTTGGCTCAGGAGCCGTTACTCTCTTGCAAGAAAAAGTAGGTGCAGGCGTCTATTTCAACCCCTACGTTCAGGTCAACGGCATGAATATCAAGTATGGCGTGGTGTCTATCGACAAGCTGTGCAAAGATTTGATTGATTGGGAAACTCTTTATTTGGCAGGACGTATGCATAAACCTGTAAAGATTCTCCGTGATGATTCTCGAGTTCGCCTAGCAAACCAAGTCAACCTGACTGAAGCTGTCCGTGTCGCTCTTTTATCCTTGCCTGAGAACTTTACCGAGGAACAATTGTTTGACCGCATTGCTGGAATCAGTTACAAGGGCGATTTTAGAATGATTGTAGGCGAGAATCCCAACAAGGTCAAGAACATTGTCAGCACGCAAATGGACAACTTTCATCGACTCTACTATAGCCTATTGGACGATTTGCCAAATGTGTCTGTGTTGAATGACGGCAAATTGCAACAGAGTTACAACCCAAGATTCCGTGGTTTGATGGTCAAGAAGTTGCCTAAAACACTCTATGATAAAGTCATTAAACAGCACATGCAATATGCCAGCAGAAACAACATTGATATTCCTGAAGACAAGCTTGCTTTGTATGAACAAGTCGCTCAATCTGAGGCTTTAAATACTTATCTTGATACAGGTTAGTTGGTGGAGTGGACTGAGTGATCTACATCTGGATACTAAAAGCTTGATTGTATCCATGTAGGTCTTACAGAGATTATTGCTGGCACGGCCATCACTCAAAGCATCAAGGGCATCTTTACTGCAGGTGCCATCAAGACAGGCCGTTATGCTGGCGAAAAACTAAGTAAATGGTGGGCAGCAAAGAAGTAGAAATCCCCATCTCTTGCAATTTCCAATCTTGATTTTTTTTTTTTTGTATTATAATTTAAATTTTTTACATACCCCTCCCTTCTTTGACGCTTCTTACTATTACAAACGCTACCCTTATCCTACTTTCCTTGTCAAACAACCTTTAGAATAAAAAAAAAATATTATTAAAAAAAAAAAAAAAAAACCCTTAAATTTCTTCATATATGGCCATGAGAGACTACAAGGTCAATCTCTAGATATCTTGCCAATTTTGCAATGACGACCCTTCGTCTGCATCCAAAGGTTTCATCGGTTTTAATTTAGTAAACAGGCCACTCTTCTTCTTCTTCTTCAAGTGATGTTCATTGGTTGGTAGGTGCCAAATAAACGTGGGTGAAAAATGAAGAACTAAAATAGCCTTCTTTACATTTCCGCTTACAAAAGCGATGACACATATTTATAGTAATGCGTACACAATGGGTGCTTGTTTTGAAATCCCAACAGGCTAGTGGCGCCAATCAGCTTAATAGATTGGATGTAGCCACTATGGATGATTGACTCGATGGCAGCTATCATATACAGTAGCAATGGCTGCAAGATGAATGTAGACTTTGGTTCCAAACAAGGTTTTATTACTTGCTTTTAATCATATTATAGATAGTTTGTGTATAAGATTGTGTTTCTCCGTGATCAAGAGTTGCCAAAGAAGATGTCCAAAGTTCTCGCTGCGTCATCAAATAAACCACCGCCTTCATTGCTGCTAGCATCTTGCTCTTGAGTGTTGCCAACGCAACGATTGCTGTCAAGGTCTTGCCCTTGACCGTTGCCATCGTAACGATAATGATGAACAGCGGCTAACGAATTTCCAAAGTGCAAGCCAAAAGAGTGAGACCAAGAATAATTTTGAGTTGCATCTAATTTTTGAATAGAAAAGTTGCTTTTTATCCTTGGAGAGAAGAGTATTCGCCCTTTTATACAGCCTCTTGAGAAAAGAGTTGTAGCATATAGCGTGTGCCATTATGCAGCTCTTGATTACTGATCATCAATAGGAGTATATAGCTAGCTGAACAATGTACAGGCAAGTATGCCTAAAAATGTAAAGACGAACATCATCGAATACCCTGTGACAGCAAACAATGCAATTTCACCCCGAGCGATCTAACGCAGGTATGAAGCCTGCATACTGTAGATCCTTAGATTGTTGCAGTATTCTTAACAGATATCTACTTGACATCAAGCGTTACCCATCCAAGTTGCACAACTCATACATACAATATATATATATATATATACTCTATAACAGATTGAGAATGGAGGAATTTTATAAATACAATGAAATCTTTCAAAGAAAACACCATGATATTTTTCTTGGGCAATTTTGGTATCTACAGAAGCGAGAATAAAATGAAATATGTGCATAGGGAAAAGGAGGAATCAGCTGTAAACAAACAAAGAGAGAGAGAGAGAGAGAGAGAGAGCAAGCCTAGCTTTCCAAAGCAAGAATCGTCAACGAAGGAGCCTGGGCCAGATGTGTTTATTTATTTGCTATGGTTTGCTACCAGTTTGATAATCGCAGGCCGGAGAATAGCAGACAATACTTGTAGAGGAGAAGTCTCAGTAGAAGCAACACGGCGAGCTCTTTGTTGGACTGATGTCTTGTTGTGTTCCTTCTTCAGTGCATGTGTAGTATGTACAGTATCTGCCAAGCAATTCTATAAGCAACTGCATATTAGTATCAAGCATATTGAATTCCATGTTTCTTGTGAGGATATAGGTGTGCTTACTAAGTTATCTGAAGGGGCCGAGTAAAACCGAGCCTATCTGATACTGTGTCTTGATATTTCTTGCCATAGCCTTGGTGCTTTTATTTAAATGCTGCAGATACCGTAGTTGAATCAAGTTTTAGATAGAGGCTAATGGAGTGGTGAATAAAAGCCATACTTTTGGTCTGTACAAAATATAACTTGAGCTTGGAGAATGGTGAGAGCGATGCATAACAACAGTTTTGGACAGCTGTAGCTATACTTCACGAAAGCGTTCCAAATCAAGATATGCGTACTCTCCTCGCTTAGCAATGCCATCTGCAATGTCGATCATCTCATCATTGGAAATACGAGTACCTCTCTGTAGGGTTGCTCTACTGACTGTGCGAGATGTCGCTCGTATGTGAATTCAAATCTATAGAGAAAATATATTAGGGGGGGGGCTCCATTGGTATTATACCGTTAGCACTTCTGCTACTCACGCTGCGATTGCAATGGCTTGAATCAGCGCCAACCTTTTCAAGTAGTTTGTGTCGGTGCAGTATTAAATCAATAATGATCATCAACCATTGTTGTGAACTACAGGGTTTTACAATGCCACACATATGGCCAATGTAAGATCCGAGACCCTCGATAAGATCAGGGATGTGGTTGACATCTAATTCCAAGAGATGGCCCTTTTGTTTCTTCATAAGCCATCATCAGGTAGATTGAGGTGCATCATCCCGTGCCCAAGACAAACGTCTCTATGGCGCTCACAGCCTTAAAAGATGATGCAAGTACAGTCGATTTGCTTTGAGAAGAGATCGCCCTCATGGTTTGGAGTCAAAGTGCTAATTGAGAGGTTCAAAACCGCTTGTAACACGATTCAAATGCACCCAAGTTTAGCTGTATTCAGCCTGATTCTGAGCATCAAGAGCAGCTTCCTTAAAGAGTACTTTGCATTGAATTTATTGCTTCTTTTCATGATTTGCAAAATGTGCATGGTTCGGATTGGAGTACGCAGGAGGCGGTGCCTCAGCAAAGTATTCTTGCTTTTCTGAATCCAAACCACCACTGCCGCTTAGATGAGAAGAAGGGATATCGAATTGATTCTGAAAGTCTGCATAAGAGCGATAGTGCTGGATGGATGTATGCTTTTGCTCGGACTTTTTGTTTTGATAGAGACGGTGGTAATAATCTGTCGTTTGGCTATCAGAAGCTGCTGCCGATTTCGTGCTGGGATCAAGCGTGTGTGCAATGTCAGGGCTCTTGTTGCATAATGTAGCATTGCTTGTTGGGGTTACTGCAGGTAAATTCAAAGCGTCGATACATGTTCCTTGTTGCCCTTGTGATTGCAAGGGATCACTAGTCGCTGTGGGAGCTGGTTTCTTTTCCTGCTGCTGGTCCTTCTTTTTGATTTGCATCCCGTTTGTTGTGAGCAACAAAGCGTCCTCCTCGTCATCTTCATGTTGGAATATCACATCTTCCTCTGTGAGCGTCACTCTCTCGTCCTTTGGTTTCCACGCATCCACCGTCAGCAATGCATCCTTGAGGATCATGTCACAGTTACTGCTGGCATGATTCTGAGCATCCAACAAATCCACAATGTATTTACCGTATCCTGCAACAATGGCCGTTTTTTCAGCGTATTCTTGCAACGCATTAAACCTCAAATAAAACGCCTCCTTCATGATGAATCGCTTGTACTCGTGTGCCTCTGCTTCCTTTGCGCAGGTTTGAAGTTGCTCTAATTCTTTTTGCAGTTCTGGGATCTTTTTGGAATTGGAATTCGACTTGGAAAGGTGGCTGATGCGGTCTTGAATGGATTGCTTCCTTTCTCGCAAATCTGCCAACTCGACCTCCTTTTCACGCATTGATTTAATCGCGCGTCTGTAAAGCTTGTATCGCTCGGTGTATTGTTTCTCAAGCTCCACTTGCTTGTCCAGCAACAGAGCCAAAGTAGATCCAATGTCCTTTAAATCCAGCATCAGTGAACGTAATATATTGTTATTTGCCAATGCCCTTAGTACCTCTATATCCTGGCTGTAGTGTTCATGCAGCTTGTTTTTCGCGAGCTCATCCTTGATCCACTCCAAAAAGGCCTTGTTTGTTTCAGCATGGTGATAAGCGGTCGTCCTCATGAAGGAAAGATCGTTTCTCTCTTCAAATAACCAAAGATTGAGTGAGCGTGTATCGTGGTTCTGCAGCGGATTGTTTCTTGCCACTTGAGATTTTACGTTGGTCGTTAGTTTGCCAATATTGAATTGCAAGTCTTTAAAATTCATGGTTTAATAGTGTTATGGAAAAGAAGAAAGAGAGTGTATGCGTTAAAAGGATACACAAAAAAAGGCTATATATTTATTTACACAAACGACATACACACACACACACACACACACACGGACACTTGTTTTTCTTTACAAATCATCATAATCATCCTCTTCCATCCAGCGCTCTTGCACATCGCTCACGTCTTCATGGTAACCAGCCTTCATGGCCGTCAACATGATGGACTCGTTGCCCTCCGTCAGACCACCAAATACGAAACCACCTGCTTTATCAATCACTTGCTGCAATTTTGTCATGGAGTCTTTATCCTCTACGCACAATGTATAAAATCCAACCAACGAAAAATCTTGAATCAAATCACACAAGGCTTCATTCAGTTTCTTGTACTTGGAGCCAAACGGGTCTTGGTTGAGTGAGTCCAATAAATAGGACAGATCCATCACATCTGTGTAATACTGTAGATTGAAGCGAAGCTTTCCATACGATTCGATCAAATCCACCTTGGACAATACATTGATATGTGGTAGTTCCAGTTGTATCATGGTTTTGAGTGCGAGCAAGAGAACTGAAATGTATTTGGCTGGATCTGTGCAGTAGTGAGCGTCCACCATATTGACTGCGACAAGTCGATAGTCTGCCTTTTCCAATCCATGCAAGATGTCCTTGACAGCTGAATGATGCGTAAAGAGTTCGACCTGCCCAGGAAAGTCAAACAGGATGTAATGATCGTCTCCAAGTTCTTTTAGCTTGTCTGTCAGCCAATCCATGTTCTTGAGTAGATACTCAATGCAAAACATGATGCCGCCGTTGGGTCCCAATGATAACTCATTCATGGTGTCTTCTAATGTGATCAAGTCTGCAAGATTGATAGCGCAGGGATAGGGTATATTGTCGTTTGCAGGGTCCAGATTCACAATGGCTACTTTTCTACGGTGATTTGGATCTGTGCGTGAGATGCCTGGTCTCCAGCACACGTTTCTTCCTGCTTCTTCTTCTTACCTCCCAATTGCAGTCAAATACTGATAAGCACCCCAACAGTAAGTGGTCTTTCCTGATCCAGGGGGACCTACAATAACCTAATTCAAACCTCTCGTCAGCATGCGAATAGACAGGTGCGTGTGTATGTGATGATTACTTTACTTGTCCAAAAGGCATGATGTATGAAAATGTTTTGTAAGCGAAAAAGAACAAGATGGAATGAATTTGACGAAAAAAAAAAAAAAAAAAAAAAAAAATTGCCTATTTAAAGCTCCATTAAGCTCTGAAGCAGCTGAGCATTCACTTGTTTGCTATGTCAAGAAGTGGTATCATTCGATCCATATCTGGTATCATTCATTGACTTGATTCAATCCAAACTAAATTACATGTGGGTTGGTAAAAATGGGATTTTATTTTTATTAATTTTGGTTGTGTAAAGATATGTAAAAATGAAAGGGATGCGATTATATTTTTAGCAGTAGTAAATTAAGAATATGTTACAATGTATATATACAACTAAGAAAGAGATGGACGCTATTTATGATTCATGTAAATTGACAACGACATGCATCCACTCATGATGATGTGTAGAGAAGTGTGTACTGATCCATTTATACACAAATGAGCCATTGATTCTGACGAGCAATCGCTGTTCACAGATGGGGCATGATCTGTATGAGAATTTGCTATTGTTGTTGTTGTTGTTGTTGTTGCTGGATGCAGCATTGAATTGATAATGAGAAAACGCTGCGGATGTTACAGTAGTAGCAGTAGTTGACATGTGTTTCTTGTTCTTGTTGTCTGTTAATGATTGATGAATGGCAAAGCGGTTTGTAGTAGCAGAGGATCCCACAGACATGTAAAATGATAAAATGAATGTATTGAAAGAATGAATGAGCAGAAAAGCCAAGCCAAGCATCTATTTTAGCTTGCCTTTATATACATTTCGAAGCAGTTGCACCAAATTACAAATACAAATCGAACAGCATGATCTTGCTTTCCCCTGATCAATTCAGGATACACAGATACAAGATCATCACCCCAAATGAAAAAAAAAAAAAAAAAAAATTCCCCTTGGCTCTCTATAGACTACGCCTTTTTGCTCATTCTTGGGCATATGTTGTTGTTACATCAATGCTGCGACAAGTATATTGACTAAATGGGGCCAAGAAGAGGTGGGGGAGGGGGGCGTTGCTTTGTACACTGTAATTCACACACACACACACACATGGAACACATGTACACTACGCTTTCTCTCAACCGCACTGACCAATGCTCCTATTGTAGCTTCTCCTCTCTTAATTATACATTGCGTTTTGCCCACATCATGCCTTAGAGGAGGAGAAGGAATATGCCATGTATATACCTTTCCTGAGTGTTATGCATTGCTTTATTCAGCCAGGATGCCTCAGAAATCGATCTTCCTACTCAATAGGTGCATTTTGCACTAAATCCAACATTGGATGCTCCTCCTCAGCAAGTAGCCCGTAACAATTCATTTATTAAATTCACCTGATACATAACGCACTAAAAAAAAAAAAAGCTGTGTTCTACACATAGCTCCCAACACAATAGATGTGCCACTTGGTTTAGTCATAGGGATCCTCGTCATCGAAACTAAAAGAACAGTGTAACGCCCGCAGACCATTTCCTCTTTCTCTCCAAATGCTCTTGTGTTGCCATCCACTTTACATATCAGGTATAATGTGGCCCACTACTGGATACTTTTTTGTAAAGTAGGAAAGCCATTGTTCAAGTGTAACCATGTCTGCATTATTCAGTGTGCTGTAATCTGCAACGCAATCATCTACATTTAAGGAAGAGAGGCCAAGTGCCTGTTTTCGCATTAGATGGGTACAGTAAAACTAATTTATATGGTGCAGTACTTGCCTTGGATGCATCTCTGCCTGCAAAGCAATTGTAGCTGGAATTCTTGCCATAAGCACTAGGATTGGAAGACACATCAAAGATGACACCCTTTATAGCTACGTAGATTGGCAGCAGTGGATCTGATCCATCGTAGGTCGATAGTTGTAGTAAGGTGAGTGCGTGCGGTGGATTCCTAGCATGTACATTTAGAGCAACTGCCCTTTTGTGTTTCATGTCTGTATATATAAAACTTACAGTGGCATTGCACAGAGAAAGAGATGTGGTTGCCTTCTACAGCCCTACAGCTCACAGTCTATATTCAGGCCTAACTCCGTGTTGAAACAGGTTTTATCCTAATCCGTACTTGTGGATCAAGAGGCACAAGCTTTTCTTTTTGTAGAAGGCCTCTAATTGTATCAGGTTAATTTTAGTCTGCATTATCATCTCTGTTCTCATTCGCATGTTTACAACACTAGATCAGAGAAACCAGAGAAAACAAAGGGACACTCATAATGTGTGTATGTGTGTATGTGTGTGTGTATGTGTGTATGTGTGTGTGTGTATGTGTGTGTGTGTGTGTGTGTGTGTATGTGTCTATATGCTGGCTATCTATCCGTCCTGGTTTCTCTTTCTATATCAGATGATTTTAGTTGCATGTTGGGACGGTTGATGCTGTTGCTGCAATCTCGATCTGATATCATAGCGTAGTACTATAAAACCAAGAAAAATGAAAATAATCCATGTGTCGAGTGCATAATCACTCAGCATCACCTGTATGCTTTTAGCGTCAAATTGACGCCATCCATTCTATATAGATGCATGAAATCGAATCCCTTGGTTCGTTTGCATTGTTTTTAGGAACAGTGGAATGACTCGATCATAGAACGAATTTTGCCTAAAGCAGCATGTATGCACTGATGTGCCATCGAATGGTCCATTTGATCACTTTTACTGACACTGCCTCCACAAGTGTCTAGAGAAGCATGCCGAACTGTATCGAAGGAAAATCTGAGCCCACATGCCACAATCTCTGCTGCATGTCTCTCTGGTCAAGACTACTAAAAATAAGCCGCATATCAGGTGTATAGCGAGAACCTGACATGCATCAACATGTAGACATGGAATGTTTTTATTAGTGAGTGGATTTGACGCCGCTCAATTGATCAAGGTAATTCGCATTTGTTGTAGTGCAATTCAATGGTTCCTTGGATGTCGAGTACAGCTTTTCACTCACTTTCTCAGCTTGGAGCGACTAGATATATCAACACATGATGCATGTCAGTCTTTTTGTTGCCATGTGTTCAAGTGATGTCGATGCGCAACTTACGTTTTCATCATAATAGACAATGGGTTGCCAATCTTCCTCTTCTGCGTTACGAACAGCCATTGAGTACAGGTTTTTGCGCATGCTACCCTCACGCTCTGTGTTCTTTACAGACACTTGAACTGTTTGTGCTGTACTGGGATCTGTTCCACGCTTCTTTTCCTCCAGTTTCTCGACATCTTGAATTCGCTTATTAGCAGCTTTCCATTTCTCGTCAATCTTGTCAATGTATTTGAACCCAGGTCTTAGCTGAATGGTTGTGTTGATAGGTGTCAAGTGCAATTCCTCTACATGTCACTCGCATGAGTTTCTTTGCATCCATTGTCATCCCTCGTATTCCTTACCATCACGGATAACACCAATGACATACTTTGTTTGTGAAGGCACATCGACTGAAGTCAAGGTCATCTTGTCTAGTAATTCCTCCTCCTTCTTGGGTGCTTTGTAATTGTGTCCCATGGTCAATTCCTCCTCATGCTCTTCCATACGTCTATCATAGGCAGTCTTGATGGTTTTGTCATTCAAACCCATTGCAAAATCTTCACCACGTTCTGTGCTATAGTTGGTGGAACGGGTATCTAGTGGCAAATCCAACTCAACCTTCTTGGACTTGGGCTTTAAACGAGCTGCACTGGGCCCAGTCTTGCTGGTGAAAGGTGTTGAACGCATAGGATATTGAAACATGTAGAGGTATTTACTGAGCTCGTTGGTGAGATAGATGGGATATTCAGCCAAGATTTCATCTTGCTCTTCCTCCTCTCTCGAAGCGTATGCATTGTTGTTATCGAATTCAGACATGGTGTATGTGCAGTTGTTGATAGACTTTGAAAGTGTGTTTGATAATTTTTTTTTTTTTTTCCCTCAATAGATCAGGAAGAAAGCTTTCGTCGTGACCTTCATAAGTGACTTGTTGACAGATGCACATCCCTTCTTGATCTGAGCATTGCTGGTCTAGAGAGGCATGTCATGGGGATGTACATTAACAAGTGCAATGAGAGCCACATGCCAACGGCTACCAGCATCTGGATTTGGGTGGGCATCAGGTTGATGTCTTGATACAGATCGACAGAAGCGATCGCATTAGGTAACATTGACAGGTGTGATTTGAAGTGCAGATGAGAGAGACCTGTCAAGCACAAGCAGTGATTTCTACTGAATACCATCGGGATTTAGCCAAGAAACACAGAAAATACACTAGGCTTGCAAATTCAAACCAACTGAAGAATAAAAGAGTTCACATTGACATTCTAATTGTGGGTGCCTTTACCGTTACTCTTCCTGTATGCGTCAATGCTATTAGACATTGCAAAGGCTAAATAATTGATCCCTGTAGCCGCTCTCTTTTCCGTGTGATGAGGGCTATAGAACATATTCCTTTCTGTCGCATGGAGTTCTTTTTCTATTGCTGTACTATCATAATATCATTGACCCAGTATCCAGTTCTCCCAGTTACACTATGACAACTTATACCTTTTCATACAGTTACAACGATGAAAATACAATGATCTTTGCATCTTTTCTGTTCACAAAAAAACAACCACATCGATTTAATGTCTATTGTTAAATTCTTATAGCCATGTTGCAACCACTACCTTGTCATGCAATAAACTCAAAAACCATGAACGATGTTGTGACCAACTGCAAGCATATAGATTTAGAACATTCAGCACAAAGCAAGACTTGAAAGACCTCTGTTCGCATTTACAAGTATGCTCATGAGATTCCGAGTAAAGAAAAAAAAAAAAAAAAAAAAAAAAAAAGGAACAACAAGCCTGGAATCACATATAGTTTAGTGGTGAGCCAGGCTGACTGGCGTTGTCAAATATGAACATGTCCAACAAAAGCAAAAATAAAGTGTTCAGGATAAGCAAGAGCCTTTTTTTTTTTTTTTTTTTTCAAATTGATCATCCCCATTTAATCAGCATCCTAATCATCATTATCATCATCATTAGAAAGACATTTTAGGCAGCCAGCAGCAGCACCGCCTCCACCACTATATATTCAAATCCAGATTTTTGCTGCTTCTCAAGATTGGCCAAATTGTGTATTGCTTCGACTTGATCAAACTATTTTTCCAGATTCGACTATATAAACCGTGAAGATCAACCGGTACTTCCTAATACATTCTTGAAGCACTATTCAAGGTGCATCCAACGGTGTTAATTGTAATAGGTGTTTTGAATGAACTTATTGAGCAATGTTTGAAGATGTGAAAAGCCGTTTATGGCGAAAGTGTCGAGATTTTACATGTAAAGAGCTTACAAAAGTGGTTTCAGGGGTTGCTTTGGATTTAGAGAAACGTTTTGATTTGATATACGCCGTAGTAAAAGTCTTTATTTTCAAGTTGAAAAACGCGATCGTTTGATTTTTGATGAAAAGCATGAGGTACCCCTCATGCTTTTTGGTCGATGTTTGGCCATTTTTTTTTTTGGTCCCCAAAAAGCTGAGCAAAGGTGTCAGAAAGCTAGTGCTAGATGAAAGCAATCGTTTGGCATCATTTCGGTGTCTCAGAAAGGTCTACATGTTGAGCTATAGAGGCTTAAAAGCTGTCGAATTTGGCTGTGTCTTATACATTTGCATGTCAATAGGCGCATTTTTGTTGCGATATAAAGGCGTAAAGACATTGTAATCGTTTATCTTGGTTTAGGTAGCGTACTGTTGCATCAATTCTCTCTCTACTGGGAGTGATGGCTAGCCACAATATCTGTATAACGGTTTCAGTGCATTCAACAATACCGAAACACAGGTATCTGATGCGTTGTGCTTTTGATGGTTTCTCGTGCAGGCGGTTGCAGAATGAGAGTGAGCGAACGTAAATAATGATAGGTTGCTTGCTGGACATGGCGTATTCAGCAGGATAATCCCAGGTCTTGCAAGCTCATCTGTATTGAGCAAAATCTCTGACATTGCCGACATGACCAAAGATACGCAAATGGACTCTAGATGGTAGCGAGCTTGCAAATGCGCAAATCAGGAGCAAAGACATGAAAGATCATGGTTGATTGAATAAGTTCAAATGTCATTGGGATCAAACTCCTTCTTGATGGCTCTCTCGTCGCTATGGTATTGACTCCATGTGTGTGTGTGTGTATAATGTACCAAAGGGATCCATGACACAAAGAACGCGTATATATATATATATATATATATATACAGTGGATATGATGGAGTGACATTTGCTTTAGTGTAGCTATTGTAGGGGACTAGTACATCATGATGTGTAGTTTGATCCATCGCCACTGAGAACACACTTCGTGACTAGAATAATCTGATAGCGTCTCTATTAGAAATTTTCCAAGCAAATGAAAAATGCCTTTCATTCATTCTTTTTTTTTTTCAACCGTTGTATCGTGTTGATACTACTCAAACATGTCGCAACCACCACAACATCCTAACGGACCACCACCACCTTTTCCAGGCGGCCCCCCTACACTTGGATTTCCCAGCGGCATGCCTCCACCACCTGCTGGCTTCCCCAACGGCCCCCCACCAGGATCAGCAGCGCCACCACCAGCAGGAGCACCAGGACAGTTCCCTCCTCCTCCTGGAGCCATGCCATTTACACCAGGCGTTCCAGTAGCTGCTGCTCCAGCTGCTCCTTCCGGTACAGTCAATGGTATTCCTATTGCTAAACAGCCTCTCAACACAACACCCAGCAGAACTGTGTACGTGAGCAACCTTAATGAAAAGGTCAAATTGGATGGTGAGCATGTCATATGTGTACAGCTAACAATGACGGCTAACAATCTAGATAGTATTGAAAAACTCTTTACGTACCTTGTTCAAGCAATTCGGCGATGTTTTGGATGTTGTAGCCCATCAAAATATTCGTATGCGTGGACAGGCCTTTGTCGCGTTTCCTGATGAAGAGAGCGCAGAAAAGGCCATCAAGGAATTGCAGCATTTCAGCTTGTACGATAAGCCCATGGTGTTGCAATTTGCTCGCAACAAGTCTGATGTGCACGCTAAATCAGATGGCGATTTTGAAACACACTACAAGCAACGTATGGCCAAGAAGGAAGAAGTATCCAAGTTGCCTCTTCCTGGATCTCATAAACCAACATTCAAGGCGAGCAGACCTCAGCAGAGTAAGTATATATATATATATATATATAGATTGGGAAGGGGGGGGAGAGAGAGAGAGAGAAAGAGAATAGACAATGGACTCATATGTCTGTATATAGAATCCACACACTTTAATCCTACAGCCAATATTCCAGACGAATACTTGCCTCCCAACAATATTCTCTTCTTGCAAAAGTTACCAGAGACCATTACACAACAGCAATTGGTGGATCTTTTCCAACGTTATCCTGGATTCAGAGAAGTGCGTATGATCCCCACCAAGAAATCCATTGCATTTGTCGAGTACGACAACGAACTTCAATCTGCCACTGCAAAGGCAGAACTCTCTGGCCATTCATTTGGTCCTGATCAGGAAATGAAGGTGACATTTGCAAGAAAGTAAACACTTTTTTTTTTTTAAAAAAAAAAAATCAAGGAACATTTGCATGGCGTTCTTCTTTTGCATCAGCAAAGCCTCCCCTTCCTCCATCGTGTATCATAGAAAATAAAACCAGTTGTTTCCTTTTTTTTTCAGATTATATTTTTGGTATGAAAGAGCAGGGTTCAGCCATCTTATCGCATCTAATACATACACAAAACACAGCAGTTGAAACAGGAGAGGGTATTTATATGTGACATGAAAGGTAAAATCAACAACAAAAGCAAATAGGACACTACAACGGTATACAGCAGCAACAGGCTCAAGCAAGGCCCATTTGCATCAAATCAGGTAAATCAGCGCCATAAATATTGAAGCAAGAGACATCGTTCTTTTGGGTTAGCACTCGGTACGTTCTCTTTTGGTACTTGTGTTTCTTTTTATGCAACACGTAACACCCATGTTCATCTTGACAAGTATTGTCTTGCTCGTCGTTGCTGGATTGAGACAGACGGCGAGAACGTTGCTGCTGCTGTTGTTGCTTCTTTTGACAGGCAGCAGCAGCAGAAGGGTGCCAATACAAATGATGTCTCTCCAGAGACACAGCGACTTGTAGCATCATGCGTTTGGTGATGGAGGATCCTTGCATGAGCTGCTGTAAATCTAGATTGCTCTCTGGTAGAAAACAAGCCAGATATTTGACCACTGCAGACTGTCGCTCTCGAATACGAGTAGCGTGTGGTTGCAATGGACGAGGACAAGCCATTTCCGACATGAGGATACGGACCAGAGCTTCACAGACTTGATCGGCCGTAGGTCTTGTTTGGTGTGTGGATAAACATTGCATGACAAGCGTGCTGTAGGCTGGGTCCATGTGTTTGATGGGGTCCATTGCGTAGACAGAAGGTGATACAGAGGTTGCACTGGGAAACAAAACACCAGTGCCCAACTGCCACAGTATCACGCCTAAAGAGAACAGGTTGCACTGTTGGTTTATGTGGGCATGATCGTGGCATATCTCAGGTGCAATGTAGGGATATCGTCCATAGCGTGATGACAGCGGTATACAGGGCCAGTCGTCAATCAAAGTCATGCTGTTTGGCTGAAACGTCATGATATTTCGAGGCTGTAGATTGGGGTGAATGCGGCCCTGTTGATGGAAATCTCTGACAGAAGAAGCAATCATCAGTGCTGTGCGGTACGTCTTTTGAAACGTCCATTGATCCACTTGGGGTATCAGTTGTTCCAAGGTAGCGTCTGCTGCAATGGAGACAAATGCCAGTCGACGGCGGTTCTGCTTGGACCTCGTGGCTGTGATACCAACCACTTGATGTGGACAGGTTTGAAGTTTGTTACCCTGTGATGATGATCAATAAAAAAGAGTCTTGCATCATTGCGTATCTATGAATAGCTTCTTACCTGACTTATCATACAAAGATTGATTTCTCTTACAATGAATCTAGTCTTTTTCCATGGTAATCTGCACTGAGAGAGGTACACTTGGCCCATGCGCCCTGATGGCAATGGTTGGCTATGCTCGAACCAGTGGGGTGGAAACCATTTCAGTGGCCGAGATTGCTGCAAAAGTCGAATGTGCCTCTCTGTTTCAACAGGATACTCAAAATAATGATGGAAGAGTTGCTCGTATAATGACTTGTATTGGTGTGAGATGGGTCTGAACCCTTTCATAAAGGTGGATGCATCGAGTGTTAGTAGCTCAGACCAATACTGCTCAATGCTGTCATACTAACGTATATGTCATTTAGTACATGGACCAAGCCAGGATTCAGCATGACAGATTACCTGATCAACAACAGGCGCTTCTTTTGATCTGATGGTATTGAGAAACTCGCATGAATTTCGTTTAATGTATGCATGCACAAGCCTAGTAACTGAGCGGCCGATTATAATCCAACATCTCCAGCAATGCCATGCGCTATTTACCATGATGTGTATTGGAATGGGCATCGCTACCAAAGAGACTAGTCAACATGATTTGCTATGAGGGAAGGAAACAGGAAAAGAGTAGATTCAAGAAAACCAGGCCATATTTATTCACACACACACAATGCACCCTGTTTGTTGGTTCCTCTTCCTAACCTTAATTCGGTTATGAAACAATCATTTCATCAACCAAGTAGCTTTATGGAAGTTTCCTTCATGTATCCATAGCGTCACATCTCTTGCTTTTATATATATATATATATTTGCTTTATATTAGACATGTCGGTTTCAATCATCATGCAATGCTGGCATCATCATCTATCTCTATTTCATATAAATTAATGGGAATGCTTATCAAGGTTTAGAGAGCAATGATTGGATCCTCGCATCTATGCAAAGCATCACACAGAACACAGAGGGATGCTCTCGGATTGCTTTGTTTGGTAGTGTGTGTGGATGTGTGCTTTGGTTGTTACAGCCAACCTGTGTGGTGTGCCTGGTTGCCATGGAAATGTCCTCGTTGCCATGGCATTCTTCTTGATGATTCATCTACAGAGAACATGCCTGATTTATTACATCCATCCTATCTACACGGATCTACTCCAAACAAACCTTAGTCACATTCAAAAAGAGAAGCGAAATCAAATCATCCTACTGTAAAACATGCAACGGCAACTCAAAAAATTATAGCAGTTAGAATTGTATACATTTAACCAAAAAAAACACGATTCATTTTTTTTTCTTTTTTTTTTTTTTTTTTTTTTTTTTTTTTTTTCATTCTCTCTCGTTTACTGTATATACCTATACCAACACCATGTCAACAGCGTTATCTTTTTCTCAAACAGATCCTGTATCAATACCCAACAACAATAGCAGCAACAATGATGATGATGAGCAAGCCTACAAAGATATGATTAAACAATTGGCTGCACAAGCACCTGAACCCTATGGCGCTATTCCTCCATTAACGAGACGCAAAGATAAAGACAAGAGTAAGCGAAAGAAGAAGAAGAAGAAGAAGCGAAGCAGCAGCAAAGATAAAAAGACACCTATCAGAAGAATGTCGCATGTAGAAAATTGGCTTGCTGTAGACAGTAAAGAAAGTATACCAGATGAAGAAGATTTGGTAAGGCATCAACCTTGTTTGTTTTGCACAGTTGTTGGTTGGGGGGGGGGAAGATGAGGCATTTAACAGACTCTATTCTACATATAGAAACATTCATCCCCGTTTCGCAACTTCCTGTCAACGGATTTTTTGGTGTTACCTTTACATATGCCACCGCCATCTCTTAGTGCGACAGTGCCAGAGGAAGAAATGACAAGACCTACATCTTTATCATCAACATCAGCCACAGTAATGGCTAAAAAGGACTTGAGACCTGTCTTGTTTCCAATTAAACAGCCACCTATTCAAGTGATACCCATAACAGACAGTCGACTAATTGATGTAGAGGACGAAGACGAGGACGAAGAGGAGGGGGAGGAGGACGAAGAGGAGGGGGAAGAAGACGATGAAGACGAGGAGGAAGAGGAGGACGATGATGAGACTACAGAAAAGATGCTGAATAGAAAGAGATCCATCCCATCATTCTCCAAATCACAGCAGCCATCTACATCCATGACGAAATCTTACGCCATGTCGACTTCACCGCCGTCTTCCTCCTCTACAGCTGCCCTGTCCACATCAGCATCATCCACAGAGCAAGAGCCTTCCAAGAGTCGATGGCTAGAGACAATTGCTCAGCTACGCCGATCATTGACCTTATCCAATTCTCGCCAACAGCAACAACAACAACAACAACAACAACAACAACAACAACAGCGGCAGCAGCAGCAGCAAGCACAAGATTCTTCTGATACCAATCCACCATCATCTACCAGGAAAACCAATTTCATCCCAATGCCACTCCCTCCCAAGCGCAACGTGCGTAAAAAGAGACGATCCGAAGCAACCACACAACCTAGATTTAACCCAGAAACCAATACGTACACACGAGATACCCGATCAAACCCGGATCATCTACGCATGATTTCTGCTGAATTAAACATGATGCGACATCGAAAACTATCGAGTCCATTGAAACCAAGAGGCTTTTTACCCAGAAGAACAGATGCGTTTATACGAGGTCCACAAAGGAAACTGTCTGCTTTAAAAAATGAGTTGTGAATCTGAATAAAGACGTATAACGAAGCATACCATTTTTGTATGAAACTTGCTAAATTAAAATCTTTTTTTTTTTTATATGTATGTAATTGAATTTCTCCTTGTGCGCAAAAAAAAAGGAGGGGGGAAATGGCATGAGGTATATAGATAGAATCTGAGGCGCTTTAGAATGGGGGTTCCAGGTCGTTTGATATACGTACGTATGTGTGGCATTCAAAAGCACACGAGAGGATACGACTTGCGGTGTAACTGAATGTGTGCAGTATTGAAGATCAGCAATTAATATTGATGCACAAGAGCATGCACATACAATAGGATGGCACGCATTTTGTTGCCTGTTTTGTTGCTGTCATTACTGGAAAGCAGAAATTTAGGCATCCCGCAGCCATGCACGTAGTCTGGATCCACGCAAGAAATTCTGTCATGTACCAAGTGCGCAGACAATGGCATCTGTAGTAGCTCAAAACAAGTTCAGTGTCAATCAGTTAAAATGTAGGGCACATTGAATGAGTTGCAGCCACGGATAGATTTGAAACTGTATCAGCAAATAGCTGAATTGGCTTTTATTACTCTTGTTGATTTTTTATGATTTCACAATTGATAAATGGTTCTTATAGAGTGAGCTGAATGACTTGACATAAAGAAAGGAATGTCAGTGGCGATGTGGATTGAAATGAACGTGCTGGTATAAGATGTCTGGTTTCTTGTAGATGATATATCTAATATCAAAATAATGAGTGTGAAGGGGTGGAGAATTGTTAACTTGCTTTTGCTTGTGTGTGTATATAGATTTAGATGTATATCACAAAATAAAGGGATATAAGGCTACTCGTTGAGTGTCTACAACTAGAAGGAACTGATAGGTGGGCTACCTGTCCACCAATTCTCACAAGCTGGCATCACGGAACGAGTGGAAGACCAAGTCGATACAGGCACAAGGTCCAAAGTCGAAATACTGCTGTCAGATGACAATCGAATCTCATCCAACCAAGTTTCTGTAGACCATTCCTTATCGTGAATGTAGGTTGAACGAATCTTTTTGTTGGCCTTTTGTATAAAACCCGCAACAGCATGAAACGCACTTGACAAGGAGCGTTTGGACCGCATAGGACCACCACCATTGTGGATCGCTGTAGCAGTAGCTGCGTCACTCTAGCGTCAATCAAATGGCTCAATGCAAACATGCTGTATACAATCGACTCACCTTTGAATGATTTTTGCTGCTGTTTGGACAGATTAGGATTGGATTGACAACGACGGGGTGTCAAGACAACATCATGTCTGATGGAGTTTCTTTTGGATGATTTCTTGTTGTTGCAAGATTTAGTCAAACGCAATAATTTACCACCCGTGTTCTCCATGACAGTGGATGGGCTTGCAGTAGCAGTGGTAGCGGTGGTATTGAATAAATGCTCCAATGATTCCAGCAATGGTAGCTCGGGTAGAGTCAGCATACGGGTCTCGTATTGATTTGATACGGGATCATAGGCAGAAAGTCGCATGATACCTTTATCAAATTGTATTTGTCGAGTATGTATCATTGATTTGAATGAAAAAAAAAAAAAAAAAAAAAAAAGAGTGGCTATGTGTGTGTGTGTGTGTGTGTTTTGAAAAGGATGGTGTATTGATGTGGTTTTAAAGAAAGAAAGAAAGAGTGTAGGTGAGAGATAAAGCAAGTTTTTGCTTTTAGTTTTTTCATTATGTACATAAAACCTATTTTTACTCCTTAAAATCATTTAAACTCTGGGAACTCTGCTCGGTGAACGGGGTCTCTGTCTAGTTCTAGTTCTATTCTATCTATCAGGGCTGGACATTTTAACGGTAAATGTCCATTTCAGGTACAACGTCCTGCTTAGCGCAAAGGTGTATTTGTGTATCCGCTATGGCTGTGTGCATCATTTCGAGTCTACAGCACCTCAAACGATTAGGAATCAGTGTGGCAAAAAGCATCAGTACATGCACATATTACTGCTGCGTCAAATTGGAAATGATGAAGATCAAGGAGGTCAAGATTATTTATAAAAAAAGAGCCGTTAGATGATACAGTAAGAATGAAAAAAAAAAAAAAAGAAACCGGGAGTGCTACAGACAGAGCTTTCTTGTTCCTGAACAGACTCGATCAGGTTTGATTTATAGCATAGTAACAACACGTTTAAATGCTCAAGGAGGAATTACACAAACATTGCTAAGCAAATTGTTGCTTGGCACATTTAGAAACCCTGTTTTTGAAATCCATCCTTCTTGTTTTTAATTCTTTCCATGATAACGTATGCTCCCGGCTATGAAAAGGTCAAGCAGGCTATTTAGTGCTTATCTATCTGTGTGTTATACTTTTATTAGTGACCAAAGCACGCTGCAACCCTCCATTTGATGTGAACATCATTGAAATTCGTAGTTTGAATGTAATTGATCCGCACATCCACCTAAAACGCTCACTCGTTCAAACATGACCAACCCATACAAACACTACAAATTAAAACAGGACTTTTTTTCTGTTTTTTCTATTATTTCCCTCGTTTCTTTTCTCTTTCAACACAAAACACCTTGAATCAGCAATTTTAAGCATGGGATTCTTTTCGAATTTGTTTGGAAAGGGCAACACCAACAAAACCTATACAAGGCTTCCCAGTCCTTCAACGTTCATTAGACCAAAACGCTGGAGAATCATCACCGTCATCAAACATGCTATTCTGATCATTGCGATAGTGGTTATTTCATTCTTTGCCATATGTCAGCTACAGGTCAATGTGCGTGTGTATCTTCGTGATTGGATTTCTCATGCAGACGAAGAGTACTATAAGCCTTTGGCTGGTTGTTTCGATAGCTTGCCCGAGAACAGTCCTTACTTGAACGGTGTGAATCAATATGCATACGACGTTGCGCCTGGTATCAGCCTCATGGAGGATTACGATTGCTACGATTTCGCTGCTACAATCAAATCTGAACCTTTGAAATACCCCATCTCCAAGGAAAAGACAGTCTATCATGCTTACTGGCGCTCTGATCTGGCTCCTGTAGGCCCAAAACAACTGGCTGCACTGCGCTCTTTCTTTGCAACACAAAACCCTGATAATTCAGTGCTCTACTTGTGGTCTAATGGCGACTTGTCTCTCTCTCCTGTCATTCAACAAATCAAGGAACATGTTGGCGACCGTCTAGTGACCAAAATATACAGCCCTCATGAATTAGCCAAGGGTTCACCAATGGAAGGCTCAGCTCATTTAGATTTCAAAGACGATAGCGGCTATTTGGATGGTGATTTAATTCGCTTGTTAGCTATTTATCGCTATGGTGGTATGTGGTTTGATATGGATAGCTTGTTCATTAGAGATATGGCTCCTCTTTTAGAGCATGAATGGTTGTCTCAGTGGGATTGTTTCTTGCCGAATGGATTTCCATTCAACGGCGCCTTTATGCGATTCCATAAGAAATCACCCTATTTATGTGAAATGCTGTCTGAACTAGCTTCAGGTCCATTACCAAGGCCAGATACCATCGATTGGGGAGGATACATGTACTATAGAATCTACCGTCGTCTATTACATCACGGCATTCGTCCCTGGGCTGTACTACCTTGGTGCTTTACTGATTCCATGGTGTGTTCTCCCAAAAACTCTATGCCAAATGCCTTTATTGAAGCTGAATTTGACGAGGAAAGATTGCTGCAGACGTTTGCTTATCATTGGCATAATCAATGGAAGAAAGAACCTGGATCTTTGTTCAAGTTTCTGGAGGACAGACACAAAAACGTTACTGGATGGTAACTGACGATATTACATGTAAATTTACTTTTTCTTATTTGTTTGCAGTTTATAACTGCTTTACTACAATTTATTCCCTTTCTCTTTTCCTTGTTAATTAATAAAAAAAAAACTCTTGAAAAAGATAATTGCATTGCTATGGGCTTCATGAATGCTTGTTGTGATCATAATTTAGTGAATACAGACTATCTGCATTGGGAAAGGCTTGTATCACATTGTTATATCATGGATTTAAGGTTTAGATATGGCGCTTCCTAGTTGACAACGTTAAGCCTTGTGGTGTTTTTTTTTTTTTACAGGTAGAGAAACTTGAATAAACACTCCACTTTGTGATTAGCACATGGCTATAACCTGTGGTTGGGACAACAGTGTTGCTACATACTTGATAAAAACGTTTGTTTTTAATACAATTCTTGCCCTTTGATCAAGGCTTTGACAAGACTCATGGTGTCGACTACATCTCTGCTTTGTTGTTGAATTGTCATGGCACTCCAGGCCCTTCCGACGCTCTCGATTTTCTTCCAAGTATGACAGAATACTTGTTTATTTAATAGACGAGTGATTCACTGGCATACATCGTTCAACTTGACCTACAGGAGACTTACCGAGTGCTTGATATAGACATGTACTAGTTTCCCAAGCTCTTAGTCCTTCAAGAGCCAAAACCGGAGCCGTGGATAACTTTCAAATGATAAATAATAATTGCTGTCATAGCGTTCACATTTTGCTAGCATATTATTCACGATAGTGCTGCTTTGAAATACATATTTTTTTGGCAAGAAAAAGTAATGTTACTTGATGGAATCATTGCCATCAGATTCTAAATCATCTTTTATAAACTTGTATATGATGTCCATTCCACGCCGCGAGCATAATATCGACCATGTTCAATATGAATCGTTCATGCTCGATATGGATTGTTCATGCTCGATATGGATTGTTCAGACCAGCATTCTGGAGCTGTCGCTGGCTCAGTCTGCTATTCGCGAACTCATACTACAAAGTGTAATGCCAAATGCCAAATGCCAAATTAAATATACAGAAATAGTCCATATCCTCACTATCGTTTACTTTTATTTAGAGGTAGAATGTATCGAATGGTGTGTCATTTAGTATTCATTGTTATACACTGATAAATGAACCCCAAAGCCCCCCCCCCCTGATCTTACTACAACCTTTCACAACAATTCCTCTGATCCGTATCTTTAATGCCACGTTCACTTTTTTTTTTTTTGCAAGTGTTGGACTCCGCCTATTCGATATATATATTTATATATATAAAAACACGACAGCATCTCCCTGAATACTTTTCAACACTTTCTTACATATAAATATATCATGTATAATTTACAGCAAAGAGCAAATGTAATGCAATCACCAGTATCAAGCAAGAGTTAAATGACTGACTGGTTTGATTTCTTCGATAGAATGTTTTCTCTTTTGCTATTACTGTCATCGGTACAGTTTTAGCAGTGGTTGCAGTTATTTCTGCTATTGCTGGATACGGCACCATCAATGATACCCTTCAAGTAGACGCAAAGAACATTAAAATGTACCGATTATTATTTAAAAGGAGCAGATTGGGCCACTGACACATACTCTATAGTATAACTCGTAGATACGGACCAGAAGACACAGATTATCGTGATAGAAACAGCGAATTTGCTCGATTGACATTTGATATTGATGCTGGTAAAGTAAACACACACACACACACACACACACGTTGATACTGAATTCGCCATTCAAATGCTCTTCTGTCGACTAGATTTCACGCCACTTTTCAATTGGAATACAAAGCAAGTGTTTGTTACAGTGGTCGCTCAGTATGAAAACGAGAAATTTGTAGGTTTAAAAAGAGGTGCATTTTCCAAACATTTGGTTTTAACCAATAGCAAATAGGAACGAAATCAAGTTGTGCTCTGGGATAAGGTCATTACCAATCAAGACAAGAAGCATTTAAAATTGCGTAATGTACGTAACAAGTATGCAATGATTGATGTGGGTCAGAGATGGAAGTAAGTTGATTCAGGATGTTTGATTGGGTTTCAGTCCATGCTTAACGCCTCAAAACTACAGTTTCCAGAATGCAAGTTTGACTCTGTTATGGGATGTTACACCTTATGTTGGCATTCTTCAAGCTGGCCAGTCCAACAAGAAGGCATCTCCATTCGTATTACCTTCATTTGCATCACAACAGCAGCAAAAATAAATTTAAATCATGATGTTTTATTTACAAGAGTAACTTTTTTTTCTTCCTCAAAATATATATACAATTTAGTCCTCCTTGATAGTAACTGATTCCTTGGACATGGTGTTCTTGGCGTCAGTGCCAGTAGTACCAGCCTTGGCAAAAGCAGCTCTGGACTTGGTGTAGGTGTCTTGAGCAGCAGTGGTAGCAGCGTTTTGAGCCTTTTCAATACCGTTTTGAATCAAGGTCTGACCCTTGTGGATTTGAGCATCAACGACATCCTTGTTGCTAATGTAGAGACGAGGGAAGATGAATGCAGAGATAACGACGGCCAATACAATATCCATGGTAGAAACATGAGCTGAAACCTTCCAAATGACAAAGAAGATACTCATCCACTTGATGCTGGTAGCGGTATTTTCAACAAACACAATGCGAGTCAATGCACGGATCAAAGTTTCAGAGACTTCAGTCAAGACGGTAGAGTAGTGGCGGACGCTCTGCTTGTCAATCATGGTGTGCTTCTCATTGTGAATGACATTGTTGTAAGGATGAGAGGCATCTTGGTTGGAGGAGACCAGCTTTTGACCTTGCATGATAAAGTTGACATAGATCAAGTTGACGCCAATAGCAATAGTAAGCAGAGAGGAGCCGATTTGCAACAAAGAGTACCAACGAGTCAAGATGATGGAGCCCACAATCAAGGCAAAGATGGAGCCAGAGCGAACGGGGTTCTTCCATTTCAAAATGTTGAGCACCTCATTTTCAATGCGATGAGTAGTATCATTGCGACCACTACCATACTTGGAAGAAGACAAAGAATCCGAGGACAAATAGTTGGTGTTGGAAGCAGACGAGGGAGCACTAGCTGATCTGATGTCATTGAAGGGATCATCCAGTCTTTGAGCACGTCTGGTACTTTGGCTGGGAATATCACTCAAGATGGAGGGTTTGTTGAGGTCCTCTTGATGAGACGAGATGAATGGATTAGCACTAGCGGCAGTAGCACTGGGAACACTGGGAGCAGTAGAGACAGGAGGCATAGCAGAGGTAGTGTTTAGCTTGGATAGATGAGAGAGATCACTCAAGGAAGATTCCTCGCCTTGTCTTTCGAATGGCATTTGACCCTTGTTCTGAATGTCCCCCATAACGGGCACCTGTGCTTTGTTACGATCATTGGGAGGAGTGATGGGTCTTTGTTGGTGAATAGCGTATGAGTCCATGTTGATAAACAAAAAAAAAAGTAGTTTGAATAAAGAATATACCACGTAGCGAGGCCATGGGCACTCTTTTTATACCATGGACAAATTTCATGCATTGCTTCATTTTCTGTTGCATAACCATGATGTCACAAGAATCCAATAATCACTTAAAATAGACCCCAACGGTCACATTCGTCATGATGATTTTGAAAATTTTTCTTTTGGTGATAGCGTGAAACCTTAATACCTGATATTCACCCTTTTTACACCACTCAAACATCAAAAAAAAACAATGGCAGCTACATCAACTGAAAACAACATGAAGATTGAGCAAGTCAAGACGGCTCCTCATGAGAAGCGCGTCGCTACCCACTCCCACATCAAGGGCCTCGGTCTGCGTGCGGATGGTACTGCTGAGCCCATTCAATCTGGTTTCGTGGGTCAAGAAAATGCACGCGAAGTATGTAACATTCGTCATTCACAAAAAAAAACACTCTTTTTTTTTAACCCATCTGTCTAGGCCAGTGGTATTGTTGTAGAGATGATCAAGAGCAAGAGCATGGCTGGTCGTGCGTTGCTCTTTGCTGGTGCTCCTGGCACTGGTAAGACTGCCATTGCCCTTGCCATTGCCCAAGAATTAGGACCCAAAGTACCCTTCCGTCCCATTGTCGGCTCAGAAGTGTATTCCAGCGAAATCAAAAAGACAGAAGTGCTCATGGAGAATTTCAGACGATCGATTGGATTGCGTATGAAGGAGACAAAGGAAGTGTACGAAGGTGAAGTGACCGAATTGACTCCTGAAGAGACTGAGAATCCTTTGGGCGGCTATGGAAAGACCATCTCGCATGTCATTATTGGACTCAAGACCATCAAGGGCACAAAGCAGCTAAAGCTGGACCCTAGCATTTACGAATCCATTCAAAAGGAGAAGGTGACAGTAGGCGATGTGATTTACATTGAAGCCAACACAGGTGCATGCAAAAGAGTCGGCCGTTCAGATGCGTACGCCACAGAGTTTGATTTGGAAGCAGAGGAATACGTGCCTTTGCCCAAGGGCGATGTGCACAAGAAGAAGGAGGTGATTCAAGATGTCACTCTGCACGATCTGGATGTCGCCAACGCAAAGCCTGAAGGTGGACAAGACATCATGTCCATGATGGGTCAACTATTAAAGCCCAAGAAGACGGAGATCACTGAAAAGCTTAGACAGGAAATCAACAAGATTGTCAACAAATACATTGAGCAAGGCATTGCAGAGCTAGTACCTGGTGTTCTTTTCATTGACGAAGTGCACATGCTGGATATCGAATGCTTCACCTACTTGAACAGAGCCTTAGAATCGCCCTTATCACCCATTGTCATTTTCGCCACCAACCGAGGCATGTGCACTATTCGCGGCACCGACGACATCATCTCACCCCACGGCATCCCAGTTGACTTGTTGGATCGTCTTTTAATCATTCGCACTCTCCCCTACACAATCGATGAGATCAAGGTCATCATCACCATTAGAGCCAAGATTGAAGGTTTGACGATAGACGATGCAGCCATTGAACACATTGCCACGTCTGGCATCAACACATCATTAAGATACGCTGTTCAATTATTGACACCCTCCAGCATCTTATCAGAAATCAACGGCCATTCGTCAATTACATTGGACGATGTCAAGGAGGTCGATGATTTGTTTTTCGACTCTAAAAAGTCTGCTAAACATTTATTGGAACAAGAATCAAAATTCCTTGTTTAAAAAAAAAAAAAAAAAAAAAAAAAAAAAGCTAATAAATACTGTACAAAATATAAAATAAACAACATTTAAAACTTAACCACCTTCTTCTTTTGGGGCAATTGGCTGCTGCTGGTGGTAGCAGCAGAGGCAAGTTGCTTCTTGATCATCTTTTCCTTCTTTTGTTCATCTGCAATCTTTTGCTTGGTCTCTGCAAAAATGTGGTAATCGTCGTCATCCGCACCTTGATCCAGGTTGATCATACCCACTGCTGTGGTGCCAGCTTGCTCTTTTGTCACAGGACAGTCTTTGGCATAATGATCCACCTGTTGACAGATGGCACAGCTACCGCCGTTGGGGTATAAACCTCTTTCATTCTTGGGGCATTGGCCGGATAAGTGGCCCTCTTGATTACAGACATAACATTTAGCGTAAGGGAGTTCATCTACCAATAGCAAAATGAGTGCGTGTGATTATACAGTGTGCCAAGGTAACTTACTGCCTTTTCTGGGTCGTTTACAGTCCTTCAAACTATGCTCAGTAGTACCGCAATTGTAACAAATGTTGGCATGTTCTTTATTCTGAGGACATCGATTCACTGAATGACCAGGCTTTCTGCAAGCAAAACAGACATCGCCGGTTCTTCTCTTGTTGGATCCTCCCTCTATATACAACATGGCAACATGTCAGCATACAGAAAATTATGCGCTCATATCATCCATTCACAGAAACATACCAAAGTCGTCGTCTCTGCCTCTCTTGAATCCACCTCGATCTCCTCCTCCTCCTCCTCTACCACCACGGAATCCACCACGGCCACCACCTCTGCCGCCTCTGTCTCCACCTCTTCCTCTTCCACTTCCACCTCTGCCTCCACGGAATCCACCTCTGCTAGAGCCATCCCCTTGTTGTTGCTGTTGTTGACTACGAGGTAATAAAGGTGTTACTTTGAAGCTGCCATCCGACTTTTCAAAAGTCTTTTTGCCTCCCATCTTTGTGTATCTGGTCATATTTGGTTTATAGAGTCGTTTTGTAGTTGTGTCGAGTATTTTTTTAAAAAAAAAAAAAAAAAAAAAAAAGAAAAAAAAAATATTTTATTTAAACATTTTGTGTGCTTGATTTAGAGTAAATGCAGTGGCTTAGGATTGGTTCGTACGACGCCCGTAGCATAAATGTCCCTGTGATGCTTCACCAAGCTGATTGCAGAGGAATTTGCTGCAACCATAAATTGCTCTTTATGCAACTGACATGCGAATAAACAACTGATAAAGTCATATAATAATAAGCGTTTTATTTCCAAAAAGGGGTATTATTTCATTTTTGATGAAGAAGGGCTATTTTGGCTTTTTATATTTCTATATGCAAACAACATGTCAATGTACTGTTACTATCACTCTTAAAAAAAAAAAAAAAAAAAACGAGCCAAACAACTTACATCTTCACTCTGCAATCTCATCACTGGATCAATTGAATTCCTCAGTCCTGTCAATATGCTTTGAAATGCGCCTGTCAATCCTATCATGGGCTTGATAACTGCTACCGGTACAGCACGAATGACAGCTTTGGCATTGCTACTACTCCCTCTGCTACTATTGCTACCATGACTAGTGCCGTATTCATAATACTCATCGCCGCCATGCGTATCCTCTGATTGAATCTCTGTCGGTACGGCAAAGATGGTCTGTGCTGCAGATCCCAAGTTTCTACTGATATTATGGTAGGCATGCTGTAGACCCTCTGCAAGATCGCTTGGACTACCGCCACTACTGCTGATGCTTCTGCGATACTTTTCTTTGCCCTTGTTGGAGCCAGTAGGTATAGCCGCTGGTACAGCTGGAGATGACATGGCTGCCCTGACAGGTGAAATGTCATCATCGATGGCACTGAGTTCTGCACCATGAACATCTGTGTATACGAAATGTTGTTGGTGCTGATCATGCAATTGCTGCAAGTGCGTTGAAGAATACGAGGAGGGTGAAGACGATGTTGCTGGAGGTGCCGGTGTCGTAGGTGAGAAGAAGCCGTCTGCGTGTTCCAAGATAACTTGTGTGCCAGTAGCGACTCGAGAGCTCAACTTGATCGCCTCAATAGCCGTGGCTCTAGCAAACGAAGATGTGCCTCGTTGAATACCCTTCATCAGTCGACCATCTTTGCGGTATTGTTGTAGAGGGAGCAATACGAGGTCAGCCACGCCTGTGCTCAAGTTGACAATGGAGCGCACAGGGGACACACCAGAGACCATGTTGCCCTTTTGTGTGTTGAGAATGTGCGGTAGCCATTCTTTGCCAAGCTTGTCCCCGAGCCCATCCATGCCCTTGATGCCTGTGAGTTTGATATGGCTCAGTTGCATTTCTGCAGCATCCAGGCGAAACAGGTTCATCAGTTCAATCACTTGTCCTTCTCTAAAGTTGCCTAGATTAAAGACCTTGGGCTTGTAATCCACCTTGAGTGTAATGGGGTATATGTCGACATATTCTATACAAGTGGGTGAATAGGGCATACACACATGATAACACTGCTGAACTTACGGAAAAACATGCCTGGCCCATCCTCGCTTCCATCGTCGGATTGTCCGCTGCTCTCTCCCTCTTCACCTTGCTCTTTTTCTTGATCGCACTCACTCGATGACGATGAGGAGGAGGAGGAGGAGGAGGAGGAGAAGAAATCATCCGCGTGCTTTACAGGAATTGATAAATTAGCAGCATGCGTTGACCTCAAATACGATTTGTCAAACAAAAAGTATTTCTGCAAGAATGTCATGGCATCTTGGTCCACATACAGTCGAATAGGCAACAGTATAGCTTTCAACCGGTATTCCTGCTGAGGATCGTCTTTGACAGGTCTTAAACTAATGAGCTCCAGATTGACCATGCAATCATCCAATTCACGTTGATCTACACCGGACCGCATGTAGCCCAAAAACTTTTTCCAATCAGAGGTTCTGATATTGTCAATGATTTCCACATCCTTGATCCGCAAATGAAACCAAAAAGCTGTTTCGTCTTTTTCAGGCATCATGTCGAATTCGATAGCAATGCTGTCCAGCCTAAACTCAATGTGAGCATCTCCCGTACGCTTCTTTTTGGATTTTGTTGGCTTCTTTATGAAATCCTGACCGAATCCAGTTTGCTGTTGGTGGTCTCGATCCTCTGACCTTGTTGGGACACCAGCAGCCGCTGAATCCCTAGCTGCCATATCCTCCTTGACATAGGCCCATTCGTAACCGTCATAGAGTTTCCAAATGACATTGACATTGGCAACACGCAAGGACAGGCTTGCTTTGGTAATGTCTACTACTGATTTGGGCGCTGCTGCCTTCTTTTCCACACTGAAATAATCTTCAATCACCTCAAACTGAAGTCGTTCATCCATGTCTTCCATGGGCGTCAAGATACGGATGATATCCTCCGTGGTAGCGCTTCTCTTATGGCGATGCTGTTTGCGACGAGGTTTGGTGGGCGGCACCAGGATTGGCTTTTTGTTCGTGACCCGGTTTTCTGGATCATCACTGGTTTGATAAAACTCTTCTACAAGACTGAATTCCTCCATATCAGGTGCGTCAATGATGGTGGGTGGCGATATCTTTTGCGGAGTTGCTTTAAACGCAGTTTCATCAATACTGGCCAGCATGTCTTCCTTTTGAATGGTGGCATGTACTTTTGAACCAGCATGACTTGAACGACGACGACGACGACGACGACGGCCAGAGTGACTATGCCCTTGTGATGGACGCGTGTACTGTTGTGTGCGTCTCTTGGCTGCAGCGATAGCATTTGCAGGTATAGTTGCATCTCCGTTGTTGGTGACAAATGTAATCAAATTCAGCAATGTTTGGAACGAATCTGCATTGGAATCAATGCAAATATCCGTACTGACCAATGAAACGTCGGTCTGCGGAGCGGCTACATGGTCATCCAGCTTGATCTTTACTGCGAGTTCAATGTTTTGAATCGACAATGCATTGGCAAATCCCAGCGTGGTCCAATAGTTGCGTGCATCACTGGTTTTCCCTTCCAGTCGCTTTTCTGCAGCCATATCAAGCTCTTGCTTATCGTCAATCAAGTACAGTTCGATGCTTTGGATGAATGTCTTGACCTCGATCAAGGGCTGGCCTGCTAGAATATTGGTAATGATTTCAATGCCGTCCCAGATGACCACGGCACGTGTAGGACTGTAGATGGGTTCGTAGTCGAAACATGTCTCCAAAATGTGAGCGAATACCTTGATGTACTGTGTTGGTGGGTCGATAAAGACCATTTCCTCAGGCACCTTTTGAAATTCGACAATTTGATCCACAAACGAGACGTCGGCAGATGCTTTCCAGCATATATTGCATGCCACCACACTGGTGACCTTGTTGATGCGATTTGATTCGGGAAACGAGTTGAGTTTTGAGATCAATGATACCATGGAGGTGTTTCGTTTGAGCTATTTACAGAAACTGAGTATACGTTATGGCATTAAAAAAAAAAAAAAAAAAAAAAAGTAAGAATACATACATGAATCTTTTTTGGGATCGTCTTGTATAGTATTTTTACAGGCTTAGTTGCATCTGACATATCGGTAACATCCAGGTCTTCAATGTCAAGCGTAGTGACATTCTCATTCTCTCCCAAGTGTTTGATCGCAGCAAAATACTTGAATTCAGAAAACTGCAGTCGATAAGTGTGTGTTTCCGATGTGCAGATGTCCCAAACACCATTGCTCATCACTGCTACAATGGAAAACAAGCTCTGCTTTTGAAGAGGCTGTTCAGTCACTGGTGGAAAATAGCCCATGGACGATGGTTGTTGCTGCTGATAATGGAGTGGCCGTAATCTTTCATAGCTTTGGCTCATAACACTAGAGGTAGATTTGACATCAGAGAAAAAGTTGTGATAATCCATCGAGTGCAAAGATGACACATCATCGAGACTCTGCGCTTGTTGTTGTTGCTGTTGTTGCTGCATAGTAATGAATCTCGGCTGCCACAGTAACAGGTCATTTTGAATGATCTGCACCGTATCCCAGACTTGCTTTGTCAAGTTCATGTCTGCTTGAGGCAGATGGCAATTGATGACAAATGTCTACATCCACTAATACTTAGCACAACAAACATTATCTATCTACGACAGACAGAACGTACCGATGTTTCAATGGTTCTCTGCTTGAATATCAAGGCAGATTCTGCTTGCTCGTCCATAGGCATGTGCACTTTTTGCTCGCTATGAAAGCTTTCATTCTTTTCCAGAAACTGGAACAATGTCTCGACAATGTTGGCGCCCGAGCCAAAGAACCCTGATCGATTGCCAGCACCAGCAGCAGTATCAGCAGCAGACAGTGGTTGTGCTTCTTGAATCGTAATTTCAACGGAAGGTGATACTGTGCCATCTGTGGTCAGGATTTTGCTGCTTTCTTGCATGGTCTTTGCAGTAAACCAACATCGTGCAAATTCATCATTTTTGAGATGCATGAATACATTGACATAGTTGAGATCAATGTTGAGCTTGTTGCTGTTGGTATTGTTGCTTGTATGGATGTGAGTGTTGCTGCTGCTACTTCTGCTATTCTTGCTCGCCGTTGGACGATGATAGGGATGAGGATCTTGGCTGTCCGGTGCATCGTCAATGACTGTCGTGGTGGAGTTCCATGTGGCAATCAATGTCTTGATGTCGATGCTCAATTGGCTGTCATGGAAACGATCGTTGAATTCCTCTCGAGTGCTGATTTGGCTCATATCAGGAGCAAACAGTAAGATACGAATGAATGCACACTTGACACGCACTTTGCGCATTTGGATGTTTTCCTGAGACTGCAAGTCATCAAACACAGAGGGCCTGCATTTCATATAGTGTGTGAGTAACAGTGAGACGCTCTACACATACACATTCAAGTAAATACAAACCTAGGCTCTTCATGTGCCTTGCGCTGTGAAGTGAACGGACTATCTTGCCTCTTGTTTGATTCCTTCCTCTTGTTGTATGCGTCAATTGCGTGTATGTAGTTTTCTACCCTGTCAATGATACATGGATCAATCTGCAATTTGAAAGCAGGTATATCCACACTAATGTCCTCCTCAAATGAGATGCCTTCTTCTGCAAACCTCCCTCCTCCTGATTCTCGGCTCTGTTTCTTTTCAATGCGAATACGTATTACTTCAGATTGCTGTGCTGCTGATCTGCTGACTTGGTCTGATGGTATTGGTAGGTAGGCTGGAAAATGCTCCTCTGAGCGATAATCTTGCTTGATGCGATTATCAAATTGAAAGATGGGATTATAGACGTTGTACCTGGTGTGTGATCTTGAAGAGACAAACGGCGAGCTCTTGGCTTGTGGAGGCCGAACGATCCATTCATCTAGTATGACATTGGCGATACGCATTTCCAAGATGGAGAGCAGTTTCTGCTTTTGTTGTTGGTCTACTATTACTGCTGCTGCTGCCGCTGCTGTTGTTGTTGCTGCTGGAAATTGCTGTAACCGTAGATTCAGTTGTTGAATAGCAAATCGCATGTGATTTTTGTCGTGTGCTGGATCGGACCATTGACTCACAGGTTCATCGTTGCCCAGAAGGAATAGCTCTATGAGTGATATTTGCAATTTAACCTTACGTTCTGGTATAGCGGATGGCGTGGCGCTGGATAAAGATGGCTGAGACAATGGATTAGTAGCCATAGGAAAGGAAGAAGGAGGAGGTATCACGGGGCTGGTATGGTTGAATGTATCCAAGTCGTCTAGTAAATTCAACTCTGTAGTTTTGGTGCTGGCGGTGGATGGCGGTTTTGGTGTGAATGGCTTTTTGGATCTGATGTCTTGCTCTTCTTGATCCACAGTCGATGGTGTCATTGTATCTAATAGATCCATGAAAAAGGCCACTTGCTGTGGTGAGATGATGGCTCTCATGTGTGTAATCCAACAGTCGATTTGCTTTACTGAGATAAACGACACGCCATCAATGGATGGTCTCAGCTTGAGCCTGACCCAGTTCTTTTTATCCAATGTTGTAAATATCAAAGCTTCGTAGGGCTTGTAGTTGTTGAGGTTGGCTTTTGGTGTAATGGATCCACTCATTTTCCGATGGAACGATCTGTTGTACCGACTCTGGAATAAACTCGAGTTGCCCTGGTTTGCCTCAAAGAACTCTGTCTGATTCAGCATATCATCACTATCCCCATCCTCGCCATCGATGCTCCCAGTATCCTGTACATCTTGATTGATCGTTGTTTCACTGTTGGTTGGTATTGAATACAGACCTGCACTTGCTGTGTTACCTGTGGTCGACGTCGCAGTTGCAGTAGAAGCTGCTGATCTAAGCCAAATCTCTGGCGAGGCAAATGTAATAATCTTGATGGTTTCGTTTGCCACTGGGGGCATCAAGATGGAACTCTCCATGAGACCCGAGTGCGTGGATCCAGTAGCGGTCGCAGTAGCGGATGGTGAGGCATTGAACTCTGGCGTTTCATCAAAATACGAAATTCTCGGAATACAGATATCAAGGCGATATGCATTGTCAGGTGCATTTGCTAGAGGAACAGCTGATTGATGAATGATGCGTATCAACGTATCCATAATATCTATTTTGACTCGAGACATCATTTTATCGATGACTTTGGTCAACACTTGCAGTCCTTCCATGTCGATATCGTCATTGGTGGTTGCTGATGTGGTTGTCGATCCATGAAACGAATCTTGGATGGATTTGTGCAATTCATCAGCTTGCTCTTTTTCAATTTCGGTGCGCAAAAAGTCATCGGCGAAATGCAAGGAAGAAGAGAGTATAGGCTCTTCAGTGGGTGTAGATGGCTGATCAGCTATACCAGAAAGTAAGAATTCGAGACTCATGTTTTAAGGCACTCTGGACTACCTTTGTGTGATCTTGGTTTGTTCTTGACTGGACGTAGACATAGCTGTAATCCTTGGATCTTGAGTGAAATATCAGCTGTCAACAGCTTTGCCCAAGGTATAGAAGCACTGATACTGGACACACTTCCCTTTTCCAACACAAAAGGAGTATCGTCCAGCAGCTTGTTGATGAACTAGTAGTTGAATTTGTGTCAATCACTCCATAGGGCGAGATCTTCAAGCTGTATTCATTACCTGTAGGTTCAAATCTAAATCACGTAGCTCTAGATTGCCGTTCATCAATGCAATGTCAAAGTTCTCCAGGTCTAGTTCATTTTGCAGAAACTGCCCAATAGCCCTTCTCAGTACAAACTTGTATAATCGTTTTTGTATGTTCTTTGGTAGAGCGTAGCTCGTCCATTCAGATAAATAACTCCAAGCTTTCATGTTTGAGAAAGAAATAAGAAAAGAGGGGAGATGGTGAGAAGAGAGAAATGGGTATTTGTTAATCGAAAGAGAGAGAGAGAGAAAAAGAGAGAGAGTCAGAAGACTCTCTTTTTTTTTTTTTTTTTTTTTTTTTTTTCATGAACAATTAAAGCATCATGCACAGCCATTTTTCAGTGCCAGTCTTTTGAGGTATGTTAAGGGCACACACATTTCTGGATCAATCAAATGGCAGGCTGTGTCAGAGAGGCCCAAATATAGTAAATGTTGAGTGTTCGATCTCTCAGGAACCAGAGCATTCATCTTGAAGATCTTATTCTTATGCTGATGACAAGGTCTTGCCGTTTGCAACTTCAATGGAGATAGATGTCGATGCTACTCCTTGCTGGGCAGTCGCGATCCATGCCAAGCCGAGTGGAAAGATGTAGGCTCAAGCACACATCCTGAGGGGCTGCAATTGGTATTAAGATTGAAGGAATTTGACACTATATACATTGGTGTATAAGTGACACGTCGTATATAAAATGCAATGTCTGGAAACGTGAAAGGCATGTCATGCTTGGGTTCTCTTGTCACCGCTTGCATACCTTACCTAGTCTGTCTGACTATCCAGCGTAGTGCAGATTGAATGGTTAATTCTAGTCCATTAGATTTCGAGTACAAAGTGGCCTGCGGTGAGTGTCGCTTCCATTTACGGTGCAAAATGTTTTGATTTTCGCTGAACGTACTGGTTTTGCCCTTGGTATTCGCATTTCTATCATCACTGACATTTACTTTTTAGCTTTGAAAACAAAAGTGTATGAGATTTAGAATCATCAATATGACTTGATAGTATGGCAGCTGGTCCTCTCTGCTTGCATTAGCTTAACTAACCAATGAACAGCATGTATCTGTCAACTGCTTCCTGGCCTTCGAATAGATATTCAATATATTACTTATAGTACAGTAAGAGCCAGTCAACTATATCTCGCGAGAAAGCCTTGTTTTCATATAGCCGTTAGATGCAAAAATTCAAAAATAAGGTATATGAGTCAACTCATTCTATTATTGAATTGCACAATGTAACATTTGATACCTAGATCTCTGTTGATAATGCAGTCATACACAGAGGAGGAACCTGAAGAAAATGATCCCCAGGAATTCAAGACGTTTTTTTTTTTTCATCAACATTCTCATTCAAACTTATCAGAATATCAGCGCACAATGGCTAACGCAAACACCAGCGCAGAAAGAGCAGCAAAGAGAAAACTCGCCAACGAGAAGAGAAAGTAGAACAAGAAAAGAAATGCTGTCACCAAGGAGTACAGCTTGGGAGAGTTGCAAGATCTTGCTTTGCAACATACGCAACAGAAAGAAAAAGATGCACAACGTAGCTGCCAAAAAGGCTAGAAAACTCAATTTCACCATTGAAACTACTCAACCCTTCAATCCTGATCTCAATCAACCTATTTCCAGCCATGATGCTTTAATTAGCAATGACAGCCAGGGCAATGTCAAATAGAGCGATGGGGACAATGACTTCAGTGATGGGTGTTATAGTCCTCCTCATGTCGATCCACAGGCTCTCAGAGAATTCCTTTTGACTCTGCCTCCAATTGAAAAATGTCAAGAAGAGCCGCAGAGAATTCTGGAATGACAGCAGCGCCAATGTCAAGAAGTGGTATGCCAAATCTTTGGAGCTGAATGGTCACTCCAATCCCTGTCTTCTTGAGCCCAACACTGCGAACATTGCTTCTCATTACTGTAACTGTACAAATGGAAGGGATTTCAGGATATATTGCTATATGCTGCATCGCAAGAAACATGATGTCTACACATAGGCTGAATACTTTACTAAAGTCAATTTCTTAAAGATCATACATCGTTCACATTTAAATACTGCAATAATCGTCCAATTCTAAAGACCTTGATGCTTATGCAGTTGCTACCTAGTAGCACTGTATTTCCCAAAGTTGCGATTCATTTTTCAGTATTCGAGAAATTGATGTCATTGAAATTAAACGGTTATATATATATCGAACTATGCTTTTGTCAAATCGCAAAATGATGGCAACTTTTTTTTTTTACTCGCTAATTATGACACTACACAGGTAAGGCAATTGCAAGGCAAAATTGACTCAAACTAACAGCAAGTATATTGTCTACCAGTTCAAGCCATTCAAGCTTAGAACCGATTCAGCGGCAGTAGCGTTTATTCTCAAGCCTGACTCCCACAACTTTTTGAACAATGGACTGTTCATGAGGGGCACCTTATGGTTTTCACCAAAAATCTAATAATCAAGACTTTTTACAATAACACATAATAAATCTTTTGTATTTAAAGTTGGGGGGTTTTTTTTTATTGAGAATATGCCAGGAGACAGTGATGACATCTCGAGGGTGTTTGCATATTGAAGAAAGAAGCAATCAAATTGGAGCTATCAGAAAAGAAAAAGCAGCTCCCAGGAGTTCCAAGATGGAGATAGCCAGAGGAGAGCCTTCCTGGTCGTGGAGAATAGTCAACGCGATCCATATGGCATCATCCGCAAGGGACATGTCGCTGAGACCGAGGTAGGAGACAACCTCGAACCAGAAGAGGGACTTGATGTAGCAAAGGACTACTAGATGGTATTCATCTTCTGAGACTTCATTGTACAGCGCCCAGGAGGGATGTCTGAAAGATTTCATGGAATGCAGACGAGATTAAAAAGCTACAATTACATATAGTGTGGTGGCGAGCCAAGTTGACTACCGCTGTCATATATGAACATGCTCATCAAAAGTAAAAGAGAGTATTCAAGCTTTCAAATCCATGAAGCATTCCAACCATCATTGTCATCATCAGAAAGGCATTTTGGTCAGCTACCAGCAGCAATGCCACCACCAAAATAGTTCAAACTCAGACTATTTTTTTTGCTATTCAAGATTGGACAATTTTGTATTTCTTCGACTTGATTTAACTATTTTGCGATATTCGACTATATGAACTGTAATAATTAGCCCCTACTTCCTAATACATTCTTGGAGCACTATTCAAGGCGCATCCAACGGTGCTCATTATAGTGGGTGTTTTGAATGAACCTACTGAGCAATGCTTGAAAATATGAAAAGTCGTTTATGGTGAAAATGTCGAAATTTTACATACGAAGGCCTCACCAAAGTGGTCTCAAGGGTTGCTTTGGATTTAGAGAAACATTTTGATTCAATACATACCATAGTAAAAGTCTTTATTTTCAAATTGAAAAACGCGATCGTTTGATTTTTGATGAAAAGCATGAGGTATCCCTCATGGTTTGGAGTCGATTTTTGGCCATGTTTTTTGGGTTCCCAAAAAGTTGAGCAAAGGTGCCAGGGAACTAGTGCAATTGTTTGGGCGTTATTCCGGTGGCTTCAAAAGGTCTACATCTTGAGATATGAAGGCTTGAAAGCTGTCGAATTTGGCTGTGTTTTATAGATTTGCTTGTCAAAAGCCGCATTTTTGTTATGATACAAAGGCGTAAAGACATTGTATTTATTCATCTAGATTCAGAAAAGGCTGTCAGCATCCAAATAGTCAGTTGGAAATAGTAGGTTGAGTGGCACTGTCGCATCTCTGTATCATACCACAATGATACAACTTATCCGTAAGTTGATAGTGGCTGTAAGGCACGCTGGACATTTTAGATGCAATGGATAGTCGGCATCTAGCAACCCTATCTGTAAGATTAGTTGGACCATAGCTTGGTAGCTCAACTTGCTAGGTGGTCCCTATCGTATCCAAGAGAAGAACAGGTATGAACATTTATCACAGAATAAATGCAGTTTTTAAGTATTCAAATGAGGTCTATGCCGATATGTACTCTCTCTCAACTTGCTTTTGCATCAAAAGACACCCCCACCAATGTGTAGTATCGTAAAGGTTGCAACCATCTGTTTTCTAATGCCTTTAAGCATCAGCATGAACACTCGCAAGCTGATGTAGTCTTGATATCGGCTTCACATGCTAGCATCGGCATTGCAAAGCATGAAAGCAATGTCATGACCCAAGATTTACAACCGCTGAAATGTACCAGAGATACAATCCATGCGCAAATGCTATACAAGGATTACTCGCAACAGAAGCACTATCCTATTGTGCGAGTAGATGAGACATGTAATCTAGGAGCAATGTCGAACACAGCGTTTCGCATGTCAACCCACCAAACAACATTCAATATCAGATGAATCCAAATGCATTTAGCACTATTTTTATACCTCCCACATTCCTCCTATATTTCCTTGATCTCCCTTTTTTTTGCAATAGGACTAACCAGTCGATGCTCTCTCTTTCCATCATGGAGGCATGTACCATACATGCTGTCTCTTTGATGCGACACATACACTCGCTTACACACACACGACGTCACTGTCTTTAATTCTATGCCGCCTCAAAAGAATTACACAGTTGGTTTGTGTATCTAGATGAGTTTTTTCCCTTCTACTGTTTGTTTATATAATATATATATATACATATATATATCATGTCTTCTTATTTAGTTACCATTCGAGATACAATTTATGCATTGACATCATGTTGCTTTCCAAACCCCTCCATCTACATCAACAAGAAGAATTACAAGGTGATTTATCTGCTGGGCGAAGGGTAATTATTTGCAGCTATTTGAGCAAAAAAAGCAGCAGCAACTAAATCGAATCAACATCAATGACAGTGGCTATTCGTTTGTCTACCTCGTCAAGGAAGAGTCCAGCCATCGACTATTCGCTTTGAAAAAGATTCGCTGTCCTATAGGTGATAGAGCGTTATCAGATGCGATGCATGAAATCGACATGTATCAATTGTTTCAGAGCGAATACATCATTCGGGTGCTGGTAAGGCAAGTGTGCAGAGTTGAAGCGATGGATACTGATGGAGCCTATGTTAGGATACAAGCGTATTGACGGATCCAGATGGCACAAAGACAGTATACATCTTTTTGCCCTATTACAAAAGAGGTAATCTTCAAGACAATATTAATGCAAACAACATCAACAAGTCATTTTTCCCGGAAAAGGATTTATTGGAATTTTTCCTCAAGGTGTGCTATGCACTAAGAGTACTTCACAACCATCATGAGTTACCGCCAGCAACTGAAACGACAGCACTAGCAGCAGAACAGGATCATAATGAGGATGGTCATTTGGTACCTTATGGTAAGCATCTACTGGACGGTTGTTGCATCATTATGATTGTATTGACATTATGATACCATCACTATTACCAGCGCATCGTGATCTCAAGCCTAGCAACATTCTCATCTCAGATGATGGCAAAACACCTATTCTCATGGACTTTGGATCGGTCATGAAAGCGCGTATTCACATTCGATCTCGACAGGACGGGTTGTTACAACAGGACATTGCTGCTGAAAACTCAACGATTCCATACAGAGCACCTGAGCTGTACGACGTGCAAACAGGATCCACGCTGGATGAAAAGGTAGACATTTGGAGTCTGGGATGTACCATCTACGCAGCTGCGTATGGCCAGAATCCGTTTGAGGCGAGTGTCAATGAAATGGGTGGATCCATTGCATTAGCCATCTTGAATGGTCATTACAAGTTCCCGCTTGATAAAGAGCAAGATGATCCGTACAGTGACGAATTTAAGGCACTGATTCAATTCTTACTGGTGATCGATCCCAAAGAAAGACCCACTATTCATCAAGTAAGTTCTATTTTTACGTTATGGCATCATGTGTGCGTGTTGAGTAAAAACAGTTGGCTAATCCAATCATATACAGGTCATTGGAAAGTTGGAATCCATCTTACAATAAAACGTACTGCTCTCTCTCTATAAATATATATATAAAAGACCTAATTTCTAATCAGCCATTACTGCGCGTGCACTACGTGTAAAGAGCATCATTTGATGTGGTCCACACAGCCATAAAAATGTCTTTTTTTGTAACAAGAAATGCATGGATCAGCTGCACCACTACCAAGCTGTACATGCATTGTTTTCTATCTTATTGTTCTCGAATTTGTCGTCATGACATGCGTATGGGTTATTTTAGGAAATAATGTGGAATTGCAACATTTCATGCTAAATGCTGGTATCTACAGTGCTATAACGTGTTTATACATACATGGATCTAAAGGGGGGGGATACTCATATATTAAACGGTTCAGTGAACAAAGATGGCAACAAGGACTTTTTTACCGAAATTACTTGATTTAGACACAGTGTAAACAATGCTCATTGTTCAGCAGCTCTCAGAGAGATCAGCATAATTTTTTTTTTTTTTTACATGTTTCAGAATGAGTAGTTGATTAAAATCAAGGAGTTGTCTATACTATTCGTTTTTCAATAAATAACAAACATGTTTGTATGGCCTGTGCAGCAGTCATCTTACATGTAAGCAAACATTGAAGACCATTATAGCACACACATTTTTCTTGTATTACACTGTATTGCTTCTTCTCCAAGAAACAAGACCTCTTGGCGCAAGCGAAAAAAAAAATGAATAAAACGTATCATCATAAGGTACAACGCACACACACACACACAGCTCAACTCTGTGTTTGAAAGAGCATCAGATGACCCCAAAGGTCTCTTTGAGTGTACCTTAAATCTATATACAAGTTTGGTTGTACATTGTATAGTCATGGATGCGTACGTATATAAATTAGACGCAGTAATCCTATAAATCGCTTTTCTCTTTTTTCTTTCACTCTTTTTACTTTTTCTCAACTTTGTTCTCTTGTATCAGAAAATGGCAAATGGTTTCTTGGGTCGTTTATTTGGTGGAAACAAAGCAAAATCTACCACTAGCAAAAAGTTGACACCCTCTGCAAAGAAGCAGCAGCAGCAAAAGAGCGCACCTACCACCTCCACAAGCAGCAGCAACAGCAGCAAACCACCATCGCCAGCACCTTCGCTGCCTCCTCCGCAGCTGCCTAAACTGACATCCTCACCACCATCACCTTCACCCTCATTGCCTACACCATCACCACCCAGCACGCCTTCAATTGAGACGAAATCAAAGAATGACATGAATGACTTTTACAACATCCAAGGCACCAGCAACGACATGAATGCGCACTTGAGCCAATTCCATAGTCTGTTACAGCACAAGCACGAGCAACAAGATGAATATCTCACCATCGCCTCAGCGACTTCATCCCATCTATCGCTTCAAGATGCTTTATTCTCACACTTATCCACATCAGACACTCAATCAGAAATAACCCAATTTTCAGATTTTCCCAAAATAGCAGTTGGTACACAACCACAACAGGCGTTTGATCGTCCTGTTGGTGGTCGCCGTAACTCTGGCTTCAGCGTAGTGGATGTCGTGGACTCTGATCAGCATGTGGATGCTTATGAGGATGTTCATACAAAGCAACTGTACGAACTTTACATGGACGCTCTCCGCCATCTATCTCCGAAATCATCCCTTCGTCCTAGTCCAGCACAAGCATTTCGACTGTTTGAATACATAGCCAATCAACCCATCGAGGACGCTGCTGAAAGCACACGCTATTTGATCGCCTATGCTCAATACTATACAGGCCGCATGCTGTATGAAGCTACGTTGGAACACGACCAAGACGAATTTATAAAGCAACAAGGCCTCAAGTACCTGCTTGATGCTTCTAAAAATGGCATTGCTTGTGCCACCTTCATGTTGGGATATTATGCCGAGTGTGATGGCGATATTGAATATGCATGTAACCTCTATTACCAAGCAGCCCTGAAAGGCCAATTGCTCGCCAAAGTCTACTTTGGAAACACAGTACTCTTTAGAGACATCAAGGGCTATCTACCCCAAGATGCTGTTTGCCTGTTGAAGGAAGCCTCTCATCAGGTAACACAATTTTACTCCCTATTTTTTTTATTATTAATAATATGTTGTACCAACTACATCTCTAGGGCCATTCTATTGCGTCTCTGTCTTTAGCATTGTATTACGAAAAACAGAGTCAAATTGACCATGCCATCCAGTACGCAGCTCGAGCCAATTTACCTGCAAAACACCCCTACTTTTGCATCTCCAGCTACCAAATTGGCATCATCTATCTCAAGGCAGGCATCGAGTACGCAGACATTGCCTTCCGCTATCTGCTGGCATCAGCGAGCTCACATCATGGTGGAACCAAGTATGCACCAGCATTGCGCAAACTGGGCACGCTGTCTCTGATGGGCATTGGCACACCAAAGAACCCCTCAGCAGCCTTCAATTTGATCCAGGAAGCAGCTAAATTGGGCGACGAACCAGCCAACATCATATTAGGCCAAATGTACCAAAAAGGTCAAGGATGCGTTGCAGATCTGTTTCGTGCCATGCAAATATTCGAAAACTACCCAGACAACATTGCAGCTAAATTATCGCGCGGCCTGCTGGTCATGAAGGACAACCCACACCACGCCTACCACGAATTTGCCAGCATCATCACCCACTCACCTACTGCATTCGACTTGGAGCACTGGAACGTACAGTCCATCAAAAACGAAGCCAGTGTGCGCATCGCTGTCTGGGAGTACAATGGAATTGGTGGAACTGAAAAGAATCCTGAAAGAGCATTTCACACGTTGAAGAAGCTCTCAGATGACTGCAATTACAGTGGTGCTCATTTTTGGTTGGCAAACGCTTATCTGGATGGCGTCAAGCTGGACAATGGCACAGTCATTGTCCCCAAAAGCCAGGATCTAGCCTTTCGCTGCTTCCTCAGGGGCGCCCATCAGAACCAACCCAAATGCCAATACTACGCTGGCCTTATGCTGAAGGATGGCTACAGCTGTGCAGAGTACAACAAGTCGCATGCACTGGCTTTCTTCATGGACGCTGCCAACCAAAACCATGACATGGCGCTGACCCAAGTAGGCGCTTACTACTTTACCGGCAGCATTGGCACGCAAGGCCGTGATCTGGACAAGGCTTTCCGCTACTTTTCGGCTGCAGCCAAGCAAAACAATGCACTTGCTATTCAGTATTTGGCTGACTACATGATCAAGAACAATGCCAGTGGTCCCATTAACCACTATCAGATTTACACTGAGCTCAATCGATCAGCAGGTGCTGAGCAGGATCCCATAGCCTACCGAATGCTAGCATTGGTGGTGATTAACAGCAGCATTCATCCCAGCGAGACGTACGAGGACAAACAACATCCCGTATATCAGGACCTGGCCCGCATCTACAACAATGCCAAGGTGGATGCCATGATGAGCCAGTCTGACCTCAAGTTCAAGTTTGCCCTGCACTTACTCTGGAGAGCCATTGAGCTGAACGATCATGCCTCTGGACAGTATCTGTGTAACTTTTACAGTCGTATGAATGATGAAGATGTGACCAAGACGATTGAACTATTTGAAAAGGTGGAGATGGGCGTACCAAACAAGTAAGTCTGTTGACAAACAAGGCAATAACAGGCAACTAAATCAAGCAATGTGTGTCTTGTAGATTGACCATTGCCTTTGCTCGATTCTTAAAAGTGTCCAAAAATAGAGCAAGCGCTTTGACCAAGTTTATTGAGGTGGCATCCTGCAACGATATCACCACGAGCATTGGATGGACTGCACGTCTGGAGGCTGCCAAGCTGATCCTGCTGGAACACCAAGGCAAGGCGCGCACAAAAGCACTGGTCTTTGCTTGGCTCAACGACATGATCAAATTCAATGGCAAGAACCTGTTTGTTCCATTCATTCTCTTGGGTATGTTTGCTAATATGTGTGTGTGTGTGTGTGTGTGCACAAACATTGTCCTACAAATTGTAATAACCTTGTTTTTCTTTCTTTACTAGCAAAATGTCATGATGATGAGATTTGTGCTGGCTGCAAAAAGACGGCATCCACTTCGTTGTATGAAAGTGGTCTTTTGTGCAAACTAGACAATGCTGAACTGGAGCTGTTTGCTAGAATGAGGCTTATCGAGACTTATTACAAATCACACAATACCGCCATTACAAAGCAGCTGGATTTAGCTGAACCACTGCTTGATGCGATTACTGACTTGCAAGAGAGAAACTCCAAATCAGCAGACCTGTATTACTATCGAGGTATGTATTACGCACACAAACACATACTTGTACATCAGAGACAAAAATAGCTAATGAAACACACGTATTTGCCTCTTTAAGGATTACTATCGTTACATAATGGCACAATCTACAATTACAGAGAGAGAGCCCGATACTATCTCACAAAGGCTGATCAACTAGGTCATATGTACGCCTGTCTTGAATTGGGCTATCTTTATGGTACCACCCAGTCTCAGGAGGAGAAAGCAGATGCCTGCTTCCAAAAGGTAGATGCTAGCAAGCACACGCTGTTCTCTCTCAAGAGCAGAATCACTGAATCCATGGTCCAGTTCCGCACCAAAAACATCCATACGTCCAATGACTATCTGATCGAAATCAACAAGATGAAGCTGGCTGCTGGCATCACCTACAGTTACTACCACATGGAACGTCAAGCCCTGGACTGGTTGCAAGAAGTGTCTGATAACACATTAGCGCAAATCATGATCCTATACTACAAGATGAAGGAGGTGGACCAACGCACCTCGTACAATATCAAGCGTATCTCTGACCTGATGAACCCATTTGAGGCAACTCCGCAACTCGACTATTACAGCAGTATGGCGTTGAGCTACGGCCAGTTCCGTCTGGGCCAATGCTACGAAGATGGCAATTGTGTGCCTCAAGACGACAACAAGGTGCTTGACTACTATACCAAGGCCTGTGCGTATTTGCAAAACAACGAAACATACGAACGCCTGGCTGAGATCGCTAGCAAAAGTGGTGCGGATATCAATCTGTTCCCTACTCTGTGCAATGCAGCTCGCAACGATCCCACGGCCATCTACAAACTGGCTCAATACTACCACCACAAGGAACTGAACCCTGCTGATCCAGACGTCCCTTGCAAGAAGGCGGCTGATCAATACCTCAAAGCTGCTCAAGCTGGACACCCAGAAGCCTGTTACTATTACGCCAAGTACCGCATTGACCAGATGCGCCAATCCACACAACTGAACGCTGCTGTCAAATCCAAGAAGGCTGTCAACTATCTGCGCATGGCTGCCAACAAGAATCACGGCCCCTCCTTTTACGAATTAGGTAAATTGGAGCTCGCTGCTGGCTTGTATGAAGAAGGCCAAGAAGACTTGAAGGAAGCTGATTTCCTTGGATGCGGTGCTGCTAGTTTTGAACTTGGCGAGCTCTACAGAAAGGGCTTTACAGGCGTGATCTCTGACAAGGTGACTTTCCGCATCACACAAAACTTGAACACAGCACTGCAGTACTACAGACGCGCCATGGATTTTGGACATGTCTTGGCCATGGTGCGCATTGGCGACTTTTTGGAAACAGGCGCTTTGGGTGATCAGAGTACAAGTCAAGCCAAAGCATGGTACAAACGTGCGCTCAGTCAAGGCTGCCCTGACGGTGCTGCCGAATACGCGCTTGGGTGCTTGGAAGAAACCTGCATCAGTATTGCGCGTCCTACGGATCCTCTAGTGCTCCAAAAGCATCGCACCTCTGCATTCAAATGGTTCACCAAAGCCCTCAAGGCAAACAACAAGGCTGCGCAGTTCAAGATTGGCTGCTATCTGTTGCATGGCTGGGTCTCTCAAACATCCACCTCTAACGATGTTGATCGTGGTGTGCACATCTTGCAAGAAGAAAATGCCAATGGCAATGTCATGGCTATGAAAGAGTTGGCTCGTTACTATCAAGAGATGGGTAATGAAAAGCGTGCATTTAGCTACTGGCGAAATGCCGAACTCTTGAATGATCCTGAAGCGCTTGAATTCATTGCTCAATGCTTTGAGAAGGGTCTTTTGGGCCAAGCTGTCAATGGTGAGGCAGCATTGGCGTACCGCGCTCGTGCTTTGGAAGCTCGTAAGTACCTGTGTATGGTGGTGATTGAAACATGTATGCTGACCCTGTTCCATTAGGCAAACAAGCTGTCGAGACACAACGCAGTATGATGGGCTTCAAATCCGATTACTCTGATGAAAGAAACGATCGTTCCAAGTAAATCAAACAATTAGGCACACAAAACAAAACACCAACAAGTTGTAAATTATATTATCCCTCTATTATTATATCCCTTTCCACCTTACTTACTCGTTTATCACTGCTCGTTTCTCGTTATTCAATTCTTTAATATGTATAGATTGTCCCTTTTTTTGCTTTTTTCATTATTTATTTATTTATTTATTTATTTATATCACTGTATTCATGAAATTTTCTTCCTTTCTTTTACCATTCACTATGAAACTTATCTCGGTTCCAGCTTAATGTCCATTATAATAAATTCGTTTATTCCAGATATTCATTTCAAATCAAAGCCACCTCATTTGATATGAAAGAAAATGAAGGACATTTAGATGTTAATCATCGCAAAAGCCCACCACGTCCAAGATTTTGGAGCATGAGGAGGAGGCCTATATAAGGAACAAGCATTTACTTTTTTCATCTTTTCTACATTTCTTTATTGTACACATCCATGTAAAACTATCTACATTTCTTTACTATATACATCATCCATGCAAAACTGAAGCTGACTCTGGGGAATGGACAACGACAAGAAAGCGCGATGCCCTGAGATCCTTCGCCCGCGAAACTCTGGTAAGTAAATCTCACACAATCTATGTTTGTTATGGCTACTGACAGAGCCATAGGTGGTAGGGCTGATCGCAGAGATCAAGAACTTCTTGCCATTGCCGTCAAATTGGCAAGTGTGGTTAAAACGGTAGGAGAGTTCATCTTGCTTATACTAGATGTTTTCTTTTTGAAAACAGGCTGAAAAAAGTAAGTAGAGTGCATCCACAGATGGTTGATGTGTAGAGCCAATGTATTTACCTTGTTTCTTGTAGTGTTTAGCCATGGAGCTACTAATTCTCTTGGCTGGCCTCGAGCATCTTTTGCCTCCACATGTTGCCACTTTGACGGCCCGCGATATCTTTGATGAAGAAGCTATGGCCATGTTCCTTTCATGTCAGTTTCCCTCCAGTGGAACTGACAGTGACGATAGCTTTGATTTCAACAATCGAGCTATGCCCAGCGATACCAACGGCGTCCCTTCCTTTTCTATCTTTGAGGATTGGATTGCTGAAGGCCATCTGCAGGAAACTGGCTTCAACAACCATGTTTCTTTTGGTGAGCTTGCTCAACCGCAGCTACCATTGGGCTCTTCTGTTTTTGACATGTTTTTTTTTAAAGTCGTTTTCAATAAATATTTTTATAAATATTCACTTGTTAAAGCAATGAAGCTCTCTACGCAAAAACACTTATGTAGCGGTAATAAACGTCTATAGACCCCAATTGTACAATGGAGATAAAATGCACTTGGCTATCAGATCACTCTATGTGTTCAATCAGCCGTAAATGGCGGCTAAATGATGTACTCAAGTAAAAAGGTTAATGAAGGCGTTGGAAGGTTCCTTCAACCATGCTACTATTCCCCGCTGTCAGACAACATGCGTATATGTGGCCAGTCTTTGACTGCAAGGCTTCGCATCATGGTAACCTTATCGAAGGCATATACTCGTACTGAATAGGTGAAGGCTAGTCAGTGGGTACCGTTTACCATTGATGGCGACAACTAATAACAATCAATACATTAAGGGCCTGTAGCGCTTTGCTTCGGTTATTTATGTGGTTCATATCAAAACACAAACTATCATACAGTAAATCTTTTGCTTGAATTCATAAAACTCTATTTTTTATTACTACAGATTACTTATTTTTGATCCTCCTCCTCCTCTTCATCATCCTCATAGTCAGCCTCCAAATCCTCTTCAGAGGGAACAGCGTAAACACGAAGAATGGGTCTGTTGGGATCCTTCATCATGATATAAGTGCCTTCGGGCAATTGCAAGCACATATCCACAACAGCCTTGACAATACCCCAACCATTGGTCAAGGACAAGTTCATTTGAGAGGCAAAATCGCGAGGCTTGTAAGCTTGAGTACCCAAAATGACATGGCGTGAGTTTTCCTTGGGGTTGTAACGAGCAACATAACCCAACTTGAGTTGTTCGGCATCAGCCAAAAGAGCTTGAACAGCCCAACGAGCCAACTTGGCAGCATTGTTTCTCATTTCAGTAGCAACAACAGCACCACGTTGGGAATCCAGACTCTTCTTCCAAGGCAGAGCACCACCAGCGCCTTGAGCAGTGGGATCAAATTCGTTCAGAGCGCGAACAGTGACATAGTTGGTACCATTGGCAGTCTTGACAGCAGCATCCACTTCTGTACGAACAATCATTTGAATCTTATCGTCCTCCTCACCAGCATCAGCATTGCTTAAATCAAATTCTCTGTAACGGTAACCACAAGAAGCCAATTCGGCTTCAGTGTCAGCTGTAGCAAAGGGGTTGGGGTTTTCAAACTTCAATGCATCCTTCTCGAGCACTTGGCGAGAGAAGTTTTGGTTGATATAAGTAGCTTCGTTACAAAGAGCAGACCAGGAGTTGATGGTATCCTTGTCGCTTTCAGCAGGAGGATCGTAAGAGTTTTCATTGACAGTAACGAAATCAAAGACACCGCCAGGGCGCTTATCCAAGATCACCTTACCATCAGCAGTCTTCTTGACGACAATGTCCCAGGGATAGACGGTACGAGTAGCACACATCAAGAGAGAAAGAACAGCGTCAGTGGCAAAGACAGTAGCCTTGTTCTCTTGGATGTATTGTTGGATGATGGGATCTTCAGATGTAGTAGTATCGTATTTGATACGGTCAATGTGTGCAAGCATCTTTTCGTTCTTGGTGTTTACACGATCATAGGCTTTGTTGTAGACGTTGACTGAACCATAGGTGGCAATATCGGTAGCTTCAGGGATAGCAAAGTTCAACTTGCTCAAACGGCTGAATTCAATTTCATCCAACACCTTCCAATCGGCACCAATGTTGATGGAAGCATTGCGAACACGTTGAGGTTTATCGTAATCCTTGTAACCATATCTACGTCTGCTGTTTTGTTGTTGATAACGTCCTCCGCTGGGACGTTGACCGACAGTGCGATATCCGCCTTGCTTGTTGCTGGCTTGAACACGGCTGCTGCGAACATTACCGCCACCCACTGCCTTCATGGCTTGCTTCTTGGTACCTGCAGATCTATTATCGACAACAGAGAAGGATGACTCGTCTTCGTTGTGGGTGTAAGCGAATGCAGAAGCAAAAGAAGCACCGTAAGCTTGGTGTTGATCTATGATGTGTCAAGCGATCAGAATGTCATCTCATCCCATAGGGTCGAGCGCAAATTTGCTTACCTCTGTTGAAACGGTTAAATCCAGTTCTTTGGCGACCTTGAACCTCTCTGTTATCTTGCTTTTGGCCATCAGGATTGGACCAGTCAGCAACACGACCTAATTTATCAGCCTTGCTGTAGGGAGCATAAGGGATATCTTGGAATTGCTCAGGAATCACATCAATGGCAGGACCCCAGCCACCTTCACTGTCATGAATGGTAGGGAGGAAGAAATGAGGCTTGGTGGAATCAGTCATTGTATATAGTAATCTTTAATGCAGATTTGCTCGAGTTAATAAAAGGTGAATTGAACGGAATTGGTCGATACTAGAAGTAGATACCTTTATATTTTCAAAAAAAAATGTACCAACAAAAATATGTTTCGAGGACAAGAAGGAAGAAAAACTTTTTATCTCCTTTCTCTCCAATGTGACCACTGTAAAGATTCACAATAGACGGAGATTGTTTGAAGCTGGATGATGATTACATTTCATTCCCTCTTCCATATTCATGAGCGAACCATCGACACCCACAGAACAGCAACAACCGGGATTCAATGCTGTCTTGGGACCTGCCGTTTTGGAGATAGACCAAGCTATTCTGTCTGTACAAAAGAGTCAAGCAAATCTAGGCAAAGAGATTGAAAGATTAGTAGCAGGTACAGAGCCATTTTGAATGCGTAAAAATCATGCATCACACTTATCAAGCTGTAACAAACAAAAAAAAAATAAAAATAAAAAAAAAAAAATAAAAAGAATTAGAGCTATTCACGGATATCGCTGAACCACCAAAACTACAGCCATGCTTGGAGAAACTCTTTGATGCCAAGAATCGATTATCATCAACCAACAAATTGCTAGCAAGAACAAATGAAAGAGTGGAGAGAATACAATGTGAATTAAAGCAAATGCAGAAATAAAGCGTCTTTGGGTAAGGTGCGCTTGCATCAGATTTTAATACACGGACCTACTTTAGGATTGCGGCACTGGCTGTGTATGTTTGGAATGTCTTTTTTTATAGTTGGTGCTGATTAGATCATCCGTATATGAAAATGGAGCTGTAAGTTCATTTGTAATTTTTCAAGAGATCCGAGCGAATTGAAGTACGAGAGATGGAATAAAATACCATCCATAAGGTACAAGTGCTTTTTTTTTTTTGTGTGTGTGGAAGTCGGGTGATTCTCTTCATCATCTCTTCTTGGAATGTCCTTTTCAATAGATTCTGCTCCTCTTTTATAATCAAGCTTGATATGGACCATAAAATTCATATGAACTACCTATATGGCACTTGAACGCAATACTAGGTACATTAATTAGCACAAGACAGAATTCTGTACATTTATACTTGTCTCTTTCCATGACGACGCGAATGCTTGAGGCCTAGCTTGTCGTTGCTTTACACTGTTTGTATGTATATACAAGCATGCTTATGAGATCCTGAGTAAAGAAGAATGACAAGCCTAGAATCATAGCAACAAGGATGCTCGCATTTGAGTCCACCCTCGAATGAGATTAGGGTTCATTGTTGGTAAAGATAGGCGCACTCAGTATCTGCCAACTGTCAAGGAGATTGCAGCCATTGTTCCCAATGCATATGCTAATACAAATTTTAAATACATCTTCACCACATATTGAAATAGCTTCTCAGACAGTGGCAATAGTCTTTTTTTTGAACGAATCTAGGAAACGCATCCTACCTACACATCAAGGTTAAAAAGCTACGACTACGTATAGTTTGGCGGTGGGTCAAGCTGATTTCCGTTGTCAGATGTGAATATGCCCAGAAAAAGCAAAAGAGGGTATTCAGGCTTTCAAATCCATGAAGCATCCCCACCATCATTGTCATCATCAGAAAGGCATTTTGGTCAGCTACCAGCAGCAGACAGCACCGCATCCACCGCCGCCGCCAAAATAGTTCAAACTCAGACTTTTTTTTTTTTTTTTTTTTTGCTATTCAAGATTGGCCAGATTTTGTATTTCTTCGACTTGGTTTAACTATTTTGCGATATTCGACTATATGAACTGTAATAATCAGCCCGTACTTTCTAATACATTCTTGGAGCACTATTCAAGGCGCATCCAACGGTGCTCATTATAGTGGGTGTTTTGAATGAACCTATTGAGCAATGCTTGAAAATATGAAAAGTCGTTTATGGTGAAAATGACGAGATTTTACATATGAAGGCCGCACAAAAGTGGTTTCAGGGGTTGCTTTGGATTTAGAGAAACATTTTGATTCAATACATACCATAGTAAAAGTCTTCATTTTCAAGTTGAAAAACGCGATCGTTTGATTTTTGATGAAAAGCATGAGGTATCCCTCATGGTTTGGAGTCGATTTTTGGCCATGTTTTTTGGGTTCCCAAAAAGTTGAGCAAAGGTGTCAGAAAGTAACTGCCAGATGAAAGCAATCGTTTGGCAACATCTTGGCGGCTTCAAAAGGTCTACATATTGAGATATGGAGGCTTGCAAGCTGTCGAATTTGGCTGTGTTTTATAGATTTGCTTGTCAAAAGGCGTGTTTTTGTTATGCTACAAAGGCGTACATGCATTGTATTTATTGATCTAGGCTCAGAGTATGCAGTCATTATTCTAATGTTTGCTGGAAATAGTAGGTTGAGTGACACTATTGTATTGTTCTCTCATAGCATAATGATACTTCTTATTAATGAGATGATTGAGTCTGTAGGGCTGTGGCAGTTCAGGAACTCCGCGGTAGTCGGATCATGATTCACATGGCACTGTTCAGCAAGGAGTGAACCATACATAGTTAGCTATGAAATTCTGTGCTCATAAACGACAATGATGGGTTGACTCATTTAACAGTAAGATAGATAGATTGATTGATCCAGCTACCATGATTTCGTGTCAATAAGATTTGCTTGAATCAATAAATAAATCTTTAGTTTTTGTACCTGATTACTTTTGAAGCCTTTTCTTTATATCTCTCTTAATTTGTCAATTTTGCATTTGCAATCAAACAACTAGAAAATGATTTACAAGAAGACAGTGAAGAAAAAAACATGCAAACAAACAAACAAGTACGCTGAAGAAGATACTCAATTTATTAAGAGTACATGCGAACCTGGAAAAAAACAAAAACAGCAAGTATATCTTCGACAAAGGAAAAGCAGAGGACTTGTTCAAGTCCTATAAACCATTTGATAGCTTGAAATCTATGCAGTATCAAATTGAATAGTTTCTTTTCAGATAGGATACAGGCCACCTACTAGTTTGAGCCGCCGGGCTATGGACCCTGCCCCCCTATACTCTTTGTAGTATGGTTTTCATAAATGAGCGATTTTAGTAAATAGCTGCTTACTATTGGCAAAACAACATTTCTGTAGATACAAATAAATAATATAAAGCAACGACAAGCTAGACCTCAAGCATTCGCGTCGTCATGGAAAGAGACAAGTATAAATGTACAGAATTCTGTCTTGTACGAATCAATATACCTAATATTGCGCTTCAGTGCCATCAATATGGAATCAATAGATGATTCATAAGAATTCTATGGTGATCCGTGTCAAGCCTGCAGATATATCTCAGTTCTACTTTATGCTCGCTTAGAGCTTGATATACAATTAGCTGTTCCGTAACTGCGATGAAAGGTGTAATAACGATCAAATCAAGTGCGTGCCACTTTCCTGACTTGACATACGGTGTCAATGATTTCATTCAAAAGCTGAACGGCATCGCGTTTTTATATCTTGGCCGATACTATTAGCTGCAAAAGATCATACAAAACAACTGAAAACATCACACGTCGTGTTGAAATATATACAGAAAGTTTTATTTAGTAAAATTGACCTTGATGATGGTCAAGCATAGTAGTATTCTTGGAGTTATTGGGAGAGGCAGCTGTATTTTGGCTAAACACCAACTCATTTGGCATTAAAGGTGATGTCTTGCTGCTGTTGTTATTGACGTTCATTGTTTGAGCCTGATAGTTAGCAGCAGATGCAATCAATGGTAATAACTCGGGTGGCAAGTTGTTCAATTGCACGCCAATGTTTTCAAGCAATGAATACACATCGCCTTGTGTTTGAGGTGGTTGCTGTTGAGCAGGCGTAGCAGTAGAATTGGTATTAGCTTGACCCAAACTAGCAAGTGATGAGTTGGAAGAAGAGTAATGTAATGCGGGAGGAGGAGGAGGAGGTGAAGATGACATGTAATTAAAGTAAGAGGTAGAAGTGCTGGTCATAGGATTAGGTGTAGGAAGAGAGGTACCAAGGAAGCTGACATCGTTGCTATCGTAATGGTTTGGCAGTGAGCTTGATAAAATGGATTGCTGTTGCAAATGGGAGGGCGTAGTAGGAAGTTGAGATGTTGGCGTGGTTGGACGAGGTTGCTTTTGATAGCTGCGACGTTGACGCTTGATTTGAGAAGGACGAGTAGGAATGGCTTGGATTCTGCTTGTGGTGGGTAATGAGCTTGATAAAGGTACTTCCTTTCTAGCGTGTGTTGAGGTAGAAGCGGTAATAGCAGTGGGAGCAGTGGAAGCAGAAGCATTGGCATTGGCAGTGGATCCAGCAGCACCTCTGTTTCTCTTCTTGATCACATCCGTCTTGAGACTCAATGGCCGTACGACACCGTGAAGCTTCAAAAATAGACCACAGGCATTGCAGAGAGGGTTTCCACTGGGATCTCTACGCCAGAGCGGTGTAGTTCTAGTAGAGCAATTGTGGCATTGGGTTTGGGCATTTTGTTGAGGCTTTTGATGGTGTGTTTGTGGGTGAGGCTCTTCTTCAACAGATGAAACAGACGGAGATGGCGAATGGGCGTAATCCAAATGATGGCTTATAGGAGCAGGTGCGATGTCGATGGAATCAGTAGCAGTTGTATTCATATCTGTGAATTGACCAGCATTTGTAACAGGATTATAATACAAGTTGAGCATGTCTTCAAAGCTCACAGCGCCCATATTCAAAGATGTCGTAGTGGCAGAAGCAGAAGCAGCAACAGAGAGAGCACTGGTAGCAGGAGGATCATTACCGAAAAAGAAGGTAGATGATGATGTGGGCGAATGATATGGCTCACTAAAACTCACAATAGGGTCTTCGTTATAATTTACAGGGATATTGATGCTATCAGTTTTCTAATAATACATGTTAGCCATCTGACTGGATTGTGATGAGTAAATAAACATCTATAATATACCATTGGTGGTGATTTAGAAACCATAGGCTTATTTTCATTCAATTCAGGAGCCGAAGTAGTATCCAAGTGTTCCGAGGATGAGGATGTTGATGGGGATTGAGCAGCATCTTGCTTCTTCAAAGTCATTGCCATCATACGCCATGTCAGGTTTTCTAGTCTGGATCCGTTGGGAAGCGTATCTTTAGCCTTGGTATACATTCTCCATACTTGGCTGGAGAGAGGATCCTTCTTCTTTTCTTCTTGGTCTACTTGGTCATCTCCCATACCTTGGTCCTCTTCAGGAAATAAATTACAGGCTAATACTTGATCAGCCATGCGGGTTGTCATTGATGTATTGGATTTCTTTCCATTCATTTGAGGCATGCTGTTTTAATATGTACTAGGATTAAATATATATACAGAAAAAAAAAGGTAAAAGAGAGAGAAAGAGGTAAAATTTAAGCAGCATTTACCACATCTTTATAAACAAACTTAAAACTCTACTAAAGCACCCTGAACTGCGTTCAACGGCCGATCTCTAGAGAATTACTCATTTTGGCAATCTCTTTCTGTATGAAATAATGTCACTGGTGCAAAATGTGTGCAAAGGTGTGTTCATCATTGTGGGTTTATATGATAGAAGTGAACCTGTTTCGCCTGACTATTTTGAGAAAGAGCTCCTATGGCGCTCCTCATTCACTCACTCATGCACTCTTGGATGTTAAAAAAGTCCATGTCGACATACGATTGTTTGCTTTAGTTTAGTGGTTTTTATATATATAATTTACTAATTTCATGTGGCAGATAACATGTTTACGGAGAAATTAAGCTACAAAGGTCGCACACATTGGATAATTCCCGCTTCCTCCTTTTGGCTCACTATCATACAAAATTGTGTAGTACCCAAATAAAATGACTGGCTTGTATCATAGGGAATCCTGCCATGCAATTGGAGGTCATTCTATTCTACTGTGTGATCCCTCAAAATTTGAAAGAACACCTTGTCATTATTTATATGGACAATCAACAGCTCGATAAAGGTCGGTTTCCTTATCTGAAACAGACATCATAAATGAACAGTTAAAAAATATGGCCCTCTTCTTGTATAAATCATATAGGATCAGCAAGCAGATGATGATGAGATCAAACCACGCTAGCCCATCCTTTATCTTATCCAACGACAAAACGGAGGAGGGCCCTTGATTCAGCATGTGTTACCATGCAGTAGCCCTTGTCTTCTGTCACCATGGTAGCTTTTTATCCACAGATCTCGCTCTTCTCTCAGGGCAACATCCATTACAACGTTTGCTGCTCTCCAAAACCATGTTGCCGAGGAATGAATTGGGGTCGTGTGATCAACTCAACTTTAAAACATTTGGTTACGGTTTATCCCGTTGGAATTGCGTGTGTGTATATGTGTGTGTGTCACAGTAATGGAGATCGTCATGTACTAGTGGGTTTATCGTTATCTCTTTATTGCTGGATATGGCTAATCGCACTTTATTGCCTTTTGTAAAGTATTTATTTGGATTATGTAATGTAAATAATTATTTATATATAAATTGTAGCAATTAAGCATCTGCGCTCGCTGTTAGAATGCGGATAGCACGCTTACGACCCTCGCCAGAGATATTAATAACATTTTGGTCTTGTAACGACTTGAGAACTTCTTCAAAAGTTTTATTATCCACGGGCTATGTGCGAGAAAATGAGACATTTTTCTAGTATACATTCCATGCTCACTTACCACTTGGCTTTGCTCATTAAAGTCCTTGAATAACTTGGCATAATCAACACGTCCATTGGAATAAGATGATAATTTAGAGAGTAATGCTTCCTTGATGCTGTTTTGAAGGTTGCGCTCATGTGATGCTGTGCCCGATAAAATGAGATCCATATCAATGCGGCCGGTTTTTGGATCAGTTGCGTACTCCTTGATGGCTTCACGCAAGAGTCGAGATGCCTCATTGACATCTTCCACATCCACAGTTGCAGACATTCTCATTCTAGCATGTGCTTCGGACATACGAATCATGGACTCCAATTGACGCGTAGTTGCTGTAACACGCTTTTCAGATCCACCGCGATCTTGGCCTTGTCTACGAAGCTCGACATAATGATCCACTAACCGAGATCCTGCTTCTTCACTCAACACGGGTTGCACCTTTTCTCTTGCGTAAGTAATGTATTTCGTCAGCAACTCTACACTGACAATGTCACTACCGCCTGTCAATGGGTTGTCTTCCATGTACAAGGCGACCAAGTGTTTGGCGAGACGACGATCCGAATCCTCATCAACACGATCCAGAATTAAATAGAGCAAATCGAATCTAGACAAAAGGGGTGGCGGTAAATCGAGATTAGCGGGCACAGACAAGTTTTTGTTCCATCTTGATCCGATAGGATTGGCTGAAGCACAGATGGAGGTTCTGGCATTGAGTGTCGTAATGATGCCAGCCTTAGCCACCGAAATAGTCTGCTGTTCCATCACTTCATGCAACACAGATCGTGTAGCGTCAGACATCTTATCAAACTCATCGATACAGCAAATACCGCCATCACTGAGTACAAGTGCACCACTCTCCAATACCAATTGACGAGAATCAGGGTCTCTTGTAATGTAGGCTGTTAAACCAACTGCAGAGGAGCCCTTACCAGATGTGTAGACACCACGGGGTGCAATTTTGTGTACATATTGAAGCAGTTGAGATTTACTGGTACCTGGATCACCCACCAGCAACACATTGATATCACCTCTGAAATGAGGAGCACCTGACTTTTTGAACGTCTTGTGAGCACCACCAAACAATTGCAGCAAAATACCCTTCTTGACATCATCCAACTCGTAGATACTAGGTGCCAGTGATCGAGCTAAACAGTCGTACAAGTTGTTGCGTCGACTCAGAGCCAGAATTTCTTGCTCGTCATTGTTGGAGACGACTTGAATTTCATCACTTTCCTCATAACTAGTCTTACGCGTTAGCTTATCAAACAAGCACGCACATTTGCTTGCAATCTGTACTTACACTTCAGCGCCAAATTCAGAACGGAAACTCTTGTCGATTTGCATACGCTTCTTGTCTGTGCGCTTGATATGAACCACGTCCAAATACGTTCTAAAGAGAGAACGAATGGTTCTTTGCTTGGGGTTGACTCTGACAGGAACACCACGGAAGATACCTGTTACCTCCAATCTGTCACCTGGCTTACCAACATCCACCAAATCGTCATACAAGCACATGGTCACTGTCTGAGGTGTTTGGCCATCAGGAACCACATCTGGTGTCTCTTGGATTCTAGCTACTTGCTTGTCAGAGAACAGACAACGGTTGTGTACCAAAGTCATTGAGTTTTGTGAATCACAGGACTCTCTGCCACAACGCGTGGGTTCCAGAATTCTTCCACGGTCCACATTGACTGTAACAGTGTAATCACAGATCAAACAACGGAAAAAGGCCTCCTTCATGTCTGGAATGATGGGTGAAGCACGAATCATCAAGCCCTTGATGGTGATCAGCTGATCGACATCTATTTCGCACCGTATCAGTCTATGATGACCATGCCAATGCGAGCAAACAAACTTACTTTGAGGGTCCAATTCTCTCATATTCACACTGTCTTCCAAGTTGTAGGGACGAATCTATACACTTGTTTAATCCCATGCGTCCACTTTCCATCCACCAAACAAACACAAACCTTCAATTGAAGTCTACCGAAATCAACGTCGGGAAACAAGCCCATGTAGAATTCAGTGATGGTGTGATCCATCAATGGGATAATTTCTTGAGGATACTTGACGAGTTGATCATACAGTTTGCGTGTGTCGTTATAAGCTCTTAAATTGCGGCAATCCAAGTTAACATTGGTGCTGTTTGTTTCGTAAACGTGTTGCAAAAGTAATTGGTAAAAGGGTCGATGGTCCTCGTCAGTAATAGCTTCGAAATCCTTGCGTTTACGGTGAGCCAGAGTAAAATTGTTGAGAAAGTTACGGAAGCTGGTCATGGCTTCATGGATATTGACAGTAGTACCCCAAATGAGTCTAACAGAGAGAGAAGGGTCGCTTTCTTGCGTGTCCATGTTTTGCAATGAAGATAAGGGACGAGCACCAGGTGTGTTGGGCACAAAGGGTGTATTGCGCTGATAAGTAGCATTGCTACGAGGAGTGCGAGGTGAGTCGTAGCTTGAACGCAATGGAGTAGAGGGGTAGGCTAAGGGCGAGGTAGCTCCAATATCATCGCCTAGCAATGTAGATGATAGTTCAGAGCGTCTGTGTCTGTTACGAGCTGACGGTGAGCCAGGTGTGCGAGCATAGAATCCAGGAGAACTAGGTTCGATTTGAGATGAGAGCATATCAGTACGACGACCGTAATAACGTCCTGGTGTATCAGGGATGTTGTCTGATGGTAATTGATTGTGGCTACTCATGCTTCTTTTCTTTTCGTTTATACAATAGCAGAAAAAAAAAAGGGATTGAAAATTGTTTTGCAAGCGCGTCAACGTGTTTTCTGAAATCATTCAGGTGGTGGCTTGTCTTCTCAACCGAAGGCTCCAGTTCCAGCTTTGATTGGATTTGATTCAACGGTGGAATACTGCCTCCAGTACGCGATGAATGCACCGTCTATAATCAAAAAGAGAAATATATACGGTAGATGAGATGGTGTCAGTTAGAACCAACAGGTGCAAAAGCTACAATCGGATACGACCCCTGGATAGACATGTAATATGGGATCGCTCTTAATCGCTCACTGATCTCGAACTTTAGCATGCCAACGTATATCCTCCCCTGATTTACTACGATACACGAGGAGGGGACGTGTCCCAGACACTACGCTTTCTAATTGCTATACACTGGAAGGCACACGTTATTTTGAATATCATGTAATGTACTCAAATACTACAAAAGAAATGTCGCTGTGATCAATCAGAGCCATGTAAAATGCAAAGCATTGAGCAATGGACAAGGCTCAAAAAACCTTTACTCGCATTTACAAACATGCTCTTAAAATTCTGAGTAACGAAAAAGAAGGATGGCAATTCTAAAATTTTATCAACGAGGATGCTCATATTCGAGTCAACCCTAGGAGCTCATGGATGGTGAAAATAGGCGCACTCAGTATCTGGCAACTGTCTTCGAGATTGCAGCCATCATTCTCAATGCATATTCTGATACAAGCTTAATAAAGATATCTTCACTGCATACTGAAATAGCCTTTCAAACAGTAGCAATAGACTCTTTTGAATGAATCAATGAAATGCATCCTGCCTACATGCCATGTTGAAACGCTGCAAATCATGATTAAAAAGCTGCGATTACATATAGTTTGGTGGTAAGCCAAGCTTATTGCCGTTGTATGATATGAATACGCCCAGAAAAAGCAAAAGAGGATATTCAGGCTTTCAAATCCATGAAGCATCCCCACCATCATTGCCATCATCAGAAAGGCATTTTGGTCAGCTACCAGCAGCAGACAGCACCGCATCCACCGCCGCCGCCAAAATAGTTCAAACTCAGGATATTTTTTTTGCTATTCAAGATTGGCCAGATTTTGTATTTCTTCGACTTGATTTAACTATTTTGCGATATTCGACTATATAAACTGTAATAATCAGCCCCTACTTCCTAATACATTCTTGGAGCACTATTCAAGGCGCATCCAACGGTGCTCGTTATAGTGGGTGTTTTGAATGAACCTATTGAGCAATGCTTGAAAATAAGAAAAGTCGTTTATGATGAAAATGACGAGATTTTACATATGAAGGCCTCACCAAAGTGGTTTCAGGGGTTGCTTTGGATTTAGAGAAACATTTTGATTCAATACATACCATAGTAAAAGTCTTTATTTTCAAGGTGAAAAATGCGATCGTTTAATTTTCGATAAAAAGCATGAGATACCCCTCATGCTTTTGGTCGATTTCGGTCGATATTTTTTTGGTCCCTAAAAAGTTGAGCAAAGGTATCAAGAAGCAACTGTGAGTTGAAAGCAATTGTTTGGTGTTGTTCTGGCTGCTCAAAACTGCATCTCACTTGAGGAATCACTGTTCGAATAGATCAAAGTTTCACAGCGTGTTGCGTATTTTTTTTTTTGAGTAATATACGTAAGAGGTGATGCTACTCGTTTTATATATTGAACTATACTCTTTAGATGCACCGTTTACAAACAGCTTAATTGAAAACCTCAGTGCAACGTCTGGTAGACTGTACCCTAACTTGCATTGCTAACAAAACTCAAGACTTTAAGCCAAAACCGCAACATCCAGCAATACCTACACTACGTATCAACAAGGCGCTCATACACTTATGCGGGAAAACTCCATAAAGTAATGTTATATAATTTTTTCTATACATTGTTTATTAATTACATTTTGAAAGGAAACTGAGTTTTTGGTTTATAATATGAAATTTGACAAGGATATTAAATGACTTATTTAGCAGCGTTTTCCTTCATCAAGTTGAGAGCAGAACCAGCCTTGAACCAAGCGATTTGGCCTTCGTTGAAAGTGTGGTTGGCAACGATATCAGTGGTTTGACCATCCTTCTTGGTGAGACGAACAGTCAAAGGCTTACCGGGTTGGAAATCGCTCAAACCGAGGATGGAGACCTTATCATCAGCATCAACCTTGTCATAGTCGGCAGGGTCGGCAAAAGTCAAAGGAAGCATACCTTGCTTCTTCAAGTTGGTTTCGTGAATACGAGCAAAGGACTTGACAATGACGGCAGCACCGTTGAGGAAACGAGGTTCCAAGGCAGCGTGTTCACGAGAAGAACCTTCACCGTAGTTCTCATCACCAAAGACGACCCATTGGACACCCTTGGCCTTGTAATCACGAGCGGTATCTGGAACGCCCTTATATTCACCAGTGAATTGATTCTTGACACTGTTGACCTTGTCTTCGCTGGAGGTAGCACCAATCAAGAAGTTGTTGGAGATGTTGTCCAAGTGACCACGGTACTTCAACCAAGGACCGGCCATAGAGATGTGATCAGTGGTACACTTACCCTTAGCCTTGATAAGGATTGGTACGTTCTCGATATCCTTACCATCCCACTTCTTGAAGGGTTCCAAAAGTTGAAGACGGTTAGACTTGGGGTCGACGGCAACACTGACGCTGGAGCGGTCAGTGGGAGGTTCTTGGTAAGTGTTCTCACCAGCATCGTAACCGTTGGGAGGGAGTTCGTAACCCTTGGGGGCTTCGAGCTTGTAGGGCTTACCATCAGCACCGATGAGAGAATCAGTCATGGGGTTGAAGTGCATATCACCAGCAATGGTCAAGGCAGTGACAATCTCAGGAGAGGCAACGAAAGCGTGAGTTTGAGGGTTGGCGTCGTTACGACCAGTGAAGTTACGGTTATAAGAGGTAATGATAGAGTTCTTGTCACCCTTCTTGATGTCTTGACGATCCCATTGACCAATACAAGGACCACAGGCGTTAGCGAGAACAACACCACCAGCGTTGGTGAGAGTATCCATGATACCGTCGCGCTCGATAGTAGCACGAATTTGTTCAGAACCAGGGGTGATGGTATACTTGGCCTTGACCTTGACACCGTGATCAGTGGCTTGTTGGACGAGAGAGGCGGAACGGGCCATGTCTTCATAAGAAGAGTTGGTACAAGAACCGATCAAACCGACCTTGAGCTCTTGAGGCCAGTCGTTCTTGATGGCAGTTTCCTTGAACTTGGAGAGGGGAGTGGCAAGATCAGGAGTGAAAGGACCGTTGATATGGGGTTCGAGGTTATCGAGGTCGATTTCGATCATTTCATCGTATTCAGCACCTTCATCAGCTCTGAGGTTGTGAGAGAATTGCTTAGCATAGTCGGCAATAGCACTACGGTTGGTAGCGCGAAGGTAGTCACCCATACGTTCGTTGTAAGGGAACATGGAGGTAGTAGCACCAATTTCAGCACCCATGTTACAGATGGTAGCCATACCAGTACAAGAGAAGGTGTTGACACCCTCACCGAGATATTCGACGATGGAACCAGTACCACCCTTGACGGTCAAGATACCAGCGACCTTGAGGATAATATCCTTAGGAGAAGCCCAAGGGTTGAGTTTACCAGTGAGCTTGACACCGATAGCCTTAGGACACTTGAGTTCCCAAGGAATATCAGCCATGACATCAACGGCATCAGCACCACCAACACCGATAGCAACCATACCGAGACCACCAGCATTAGGAGTGTGAGAATCAGTACCGATCATAAGACCACCAGGGAAAGCATAGTTTTCCAAGATGATTTGATGGATAATACCAGATCCAGGCTTCCAGAAACCAAGACCAAACTTAGCGGTAGCAGTAGCCAAGAAATCGTAGACTTCCTTGTTGATGTCAATAGCACGGGCCAAATCCTTAGCACCACCAACTTGAGCTTCAATCAAGTGATCACAGTGGACAGTGGAAGGGACAGCGACGGTGGGGAGACCGGCAGACATGAATTGCAAAAGAGCCATTTGAGCAGTGGCATCTTGACAAGCAACACGATCAGGACGGAGCTTGAGGTAAGATTGACCACGAGCAATGTCTTGGTTCTCGGGATCATCCAAGTGACCATAGACGACCTTCTCAGAGAGAGTCAAAGGACGGTTCAATCTAGATTATATTAAAATTTTAGTATGCTGTATAGTTATAATCCGTATTGTTGTGATGGACCCCCTTTTCCACTAAGCGGTAAGGGTACCCCCACCCCTCCTCACACTCCTATTTTTTTTTTTGCCTCCACATCTTCTCTATACTCCGAAAAAATAGATGAAATCATTACCTCTTGCGAACAATAGCGAGGTTATCCTCAATTCTTTGGTAGTTGATGAACTTGTCAGTCTCGAGGTTGGACATGGCAACCTTTTGAGCGGCCCAGTTGGTACCAGCTTGAGCGTAGGTGCGAGAAGGAACATGAGTTCTGACGGCGGGAGCAACAGCCTGCAATGTTGGGATTATGTTAGTACCAAATGTTGAATGCCATGTGCCTCCAATGCCATGATGTTACCTTTGCGGCTCTGATAAAGTTATTTGATGACAGCATGATTATATTCCTTAGTGCAAGCTCTGTCTAAGCAAATATAAAATCAAGGTAAAAAAAAATTAAATAAGAGAGGGGGGGAAGTTGGTTAAAAGAAATACGAAAAGAAGAAAGCAAATGGTTTTAACAGAAGGAATTAAATAAACCAAAGGTTTTTTGCTGTCACTCGACTAAATCAGGTATGGCTACACAGAAAGAAAAAAATTATCCATTTCCAATGAAACATGTGGAAGCTGGGGTCAACTTATTTCACATGAATCTGGGAAAAATACATGTATAATACACTATAAAGTTTATTATGACGATTCAGGCATCGTCCAAGCTGTAGATGCCCCTTTATTTTGTATACAAACTGCCTCTTTATTTGTTGTTGAAGCATAAAATTACAAGATAATCCCTTGCAATTAGAGCTCAAATCGTAGCATAACATGGTCATCATCCAGGCATGTTGTAAGACCTTGGTTGAACTGATATATGATGAGATAAGCAATAATCATTTGTTATTACGTTTAAAGTAACAGGGCCAGGTAAAATGCAAAAAACACCGTCCGGGCCATGAAAAAATGATGGCATTCCGCCCACGTTGGATCATCATTTAGCCCAATCATCGTCGCAATTCACTCTCCTTTTTCACGTAAATACAATCTGAAGATCACTTCCAACAAGGATTTCAGGCCGTCTTTTGTAGGCATTTGTTGCACGTCGATAAATACGCATGCAATGTTGGCTGTCCTGTTTTGAAATCACAAATTACCCCTGGATTACATTCTGATTTTTTGATCGCGTTTGGAACGCCGCTCATGTAAACATCCTTTGGAACACAATCGAATCGCATTCCCGAATCAAGGAACTTCCCCGCATCCTTTGATAAATTTTTTTTTTGCTTAGTTGCAATATGAAATGCATTATTCAAAGAAGCAGCGTATATAAAAGAACAGGATGGAATTCTGAAATCTCTTTTCTGTAAGATCTTGCCTCTCTCTCTTTTTTTTTCCCTTTTTCTTTCGCTCCTTTAGTTGTAGATCAATTCCATGTCTAATGTAAGAAAATGCATGATTTTAAGTGGAAGGGAAATGACCTCCTCTTTCTCATATCACAGAATGTCATGCATAGTAAGTGAATATCATGATTGCACGGCCCATTACGTAGAGTTTTACATGGCCCTTTCTAAGAATGCGATATTGTAATCCAAGATGTATGGTTTACATGGCCCCTATTGTGCAGATATCATTTTAGGTAATGTTGATGTTTATTTTGCACGGCCCAGCAAGATGATTTTGCATGGCCCTTCAGCCTCTATATATATATATTTATACATATATCAACTTAATTCTAATTTCACGAGACGTCCAAATTAATCATGACAAACGATCAGCCCAACATTTGAAGTATGTGAGTGAAATTTCTGAGTGCAATGATATAAAATGCAAGCTGTAACACATAAAGCTTCTCGTTATCTTATCTTGTTCCAAATAGAATTGTCATACCAAAGCCTGAAAATTTTATTTAATTTGGGCTGCACAACATCTTGTGTAAAAAACCACTCTCAGTCCGTGTTTTTTACATGGCCCTCTCTGGTTCGTGCAACCTTGGTCAGCGTCATTCTACTCTTTCGCCTCAATGATAAACCGATTGTTGTACAGAGGGCAGGTGTGTTGAATATCACCAATCATATTTTAGCTGTAAAATACATCTATGAAAATGTGGAGAAGACTTAAACCATTTAAATTGTTCTGTTTATTACACAAATCTCTCTCCAATTCGGTAATTGAGTTAAATAAGATGACAATCATGAGGCTTATAGTGAGTATAAAAATAATACTAGCTTGAATGTTATTCATTTCGTATAGTGATAATTCAATTTATACATGTAACATGGAAGAGTTAGCACAAAAACTGTCTTTCAAATCCTTGATTGCTCTACAATAGATTTTCCATCAAATGAACGCGGAACAATCTCATTACACTATCAAATCTTAGTTTTAAAAGCACAGCAGTTTATCCTAAACCTGCCATGTCGCTCATCAGTCAATTGGTTGAGTTATGTGGTGTATTACTAGTTGAATAACAACCATGTTGACAGGAATTACAAAAGAGCCGCTTGAAAGAAATGTAACTGCCTTGTTACACTTCCAGGGAGGGTTTTTTCAGGGCTAGTGTTCCCGTTGTCGGCATGTTTAGCTAATTCACATTTTAGACATTTTGTCCCGCATGCCAGGATCTTTATTCAAAGCTCATTATAGTGTACTATATACACTAGCCGATCTTACTCGCTATGCTCGATGTCGGTGTCGCCATGCGGGCTCTCACCGAAGACATTTTAAATCAGATATTATAACATTTTGGTATATCAAGTAGATTATAAACAACCAATTATTAGTTAGTAAAAAAAAAAAAAAAAAAAAAAAAGGTTATATCAGAGCCTGGAGGAGGAGAGGAGGTATCTCCCTCAGCATCCTCCTTACTTACACTGATATCAAACAAAGCCTATTACTGGGACAATGCGAAAGAAAGTTCGAGTTTTATGCAGCATTTGTACACCACAATCTTCATTTTCTGATAGTATAATTGTAATACCATTCGTTGCTGCTTATGCTCTTAATAAGATGGTTACATAAAGCTGCTCATGCGCAAATACAGGACTTACGTAAGATATACAGCGACTTTTTTTGAGGTATTGTCATTGCAAAAGACACCTTCATAAGACAAAGCTCCCCCCAAAAAAATATTTGCGTTAAGCAATTGTCCTTTCAATTTCATGATGCCCATTGTCATCAACGGAAAGGCATTTAGGTCAGCCAGCAGCAATGCCGCCACCAAAATCAATTCAAACTCAGTTTATCTTTCTCTGTTCAAAATTGGGCCAAATTACGTCTTTTGTCGACTTGTTTAATCTGTTTTATGATATCCGACTATATAAATTGTGATGATCACCCTATGCACCTTAATACATTGTTGAAGTACTTTTCAAGGCGCCTCCAATGGTGCTAACTGTAATAAGTGTTTTGAATCAAATTACTGAGAAATTTGGTAAAATATGAAATGAGTTTTTTTTTAGCGAATATAACTATATTTTGCATATGAAAGCCTCATAAAAGTAGTTTCAGAGGTTGCTTTGGATTGAGAAGAGAAACATCCTCATTTAATATATACCATAGTAAAAGTCTTCGTTTCCAAGGTGAAAAACGCGATCGTTTGATTTTCGATGAAAACCATGAGAGGTACCTCATGGTTTTCAGTCGAATTTTGGCCATTTTTTTTTGGGTTTCCAAAAAGTTGAACAAAGGTGTCAGGAAGTTACTACTACTCAAGTACAATTTGGCGTTATTCTGGCGGCTCATAAAGATCTACATGTCAAGATATGAAGGCTTGAAAACTGTCCAATTTGGTTGTATTTTTGCTTTATGGCTTTTATTTACACGGCATAAATCACATCTTTGGTAGCTGCAATTTACTGGAAAGGCAGTTCTGTAGCTTGTGCAACTTTTAATTCGAACAGGAAGCATATTGATTCTGGTAAAGCTGATTCATGCAAATTTTGATGCGATATGCTGCTGGCAAGCTTATTAACAATGGAAATGAAAACCCAAATTTGCTGCTTGAACACTATGGTTTTACACCTTTGCTTCACTGCGATCAAACCCTCATATTATAGATCCATGCTACCAAGTATTGGATCAGACGCTTGAACTTTGCTTTTCTCAACTCATGTCAATTAGATTTTTTTGTAATGGGAGTGTTATTTTTCATTCCCTGAATAATCCTATATCCCTCCAAAGAGTGCTTGTATCTTGATCATTTCTGTAGAGGTCCGTTTGTCGAATTAGGGCACATCATCAAACTGAAATGTCGACTGGCCATTTAGATTTCAGATAGTATTGAATGGTTCGTTCAGCCCTGATATTCAAAAAGTCATTCAGAGATCAATGTTTCAATGCTTTGTAACACGGCCAATAAATTTTTAAAAAATTGCATAATGCATGAATGTCTGCTCCGAGTATCAACATGTTGTCATAGAGAAAACGTTCTCAAGTCCACTCGAAATTTTCCACTAATAGGATGGTTACCACTCGCAGATTTCATGCTACACGTACTCCCTTAATTACGATAGATGATACAGGCAGGTAGCAATGTACAACAACCTGATGTGCAATGCATTGCGCGGATTCTGAATGCTCCATGTAAAGAACCCCTGGATAAGCGTACAATGCAAGTCAAGTCCACTTGTTGGCATCAAATTAACGCAACAGTCGACGAAACTATCCAGCACTCAAATAGTTGACGATTTTTCTTATCTTGAATCCTATTATTAGGCAAGTTTCACCTATATTCTAAACGTTATCCATATAATTTATATTATTAAATTTATTAATTGAAAGTAATAAGTTGGGATTGGGAAAATCTATTAGAAATAAGATGACCTATATTAAATGAATCGTATATGTTAATGAATACATGGGAAAGGGAGGGGGGGGAATCGGAGCTACTTTTTTGAGCGATTATGGTGATCTGGCGTCTTTTTCTTTTTTTCGACAGCAGGCGTGTTAGTAGTAGAATCTTCTTCCTTTTTGGGGGCAGGTAAAACAATGATATTGCCACGTTCTATAATTTGCTTCGAGGGTTCAAAAAGTAGATGGTGAGGATGATTTTCAGCTGGCTGTTCAGGAGAGCAAGTCTCTATACTCTTCACCCATGAATCATCTAGCACATCCTCCAACAGACAACGCTTCTCAGGATCTGGAAGTAGAATCCGAGAAATGATAGGTCTTGCGTAACGAGGTAATAACTTGAACAGCTTCTCTGCACCGTTGTTATTTGGTTGCACAAAATTGCTGTATGATTGATCCTTTTCAGGACGAGGCAGTCTCCAAGGGAAGCGTCGAATTGTCATACAGATATAGATGATACCACAGGACCACAAGTCTGTTTTGCGAGCATCGTACTCCTTTTGTGTGTACTGTTCAGGCGCAATGTAAGGGTCAGAACCGCAAATGCCTTTGCTAAGATGGACATGGTCTTCAAATGGATACTTGATAACCGTAGCGCAACCAAAGTCGATGATTTTCACGATACCTCGTTCGTCCAATACCATGTTGTCCAGTTTGAGATCACGATGCGCTATACCCATGGATTGCAGATATTTGACACCGTTCAATAGTTGGCGCCAGCAACAAGAGATTTCATCTGGAGCCATTTTTCCACTCATGACAATGTTGAAGAGATCGTTGGGAGCATACTCCATGATTTCGTAAAACGATTGCCCTTCTTGAATAATGTCCAGTGCTTCAATCACATTGAAATTGTGCAGTGTAGAACCAATGCAAAACTCGGCTGTCACCTTCTTTACGTATTCCTTCTCGTTCTCACCAGGTGCTCTCTTTCTGAATTCCTTTACTGCAAATGTCTTTCCGTCTGTGTTACGACGAATGATTCTGACAGATCCACCTGATCCCTTGCCAACAAACTCGCCTAATGCAGCCCATTAGCGAGAGATCTCCTTTATGCTCATATCAACTTACCCCATTTGCCGTATCGTCCTTCCAGGTTCTTGTTGAATTCATTTGCAAAGGATAAATCACTTTGTCTGCTATAAACAGATGAACCACTACTACGAACACTCGATGCATCATCTAGCAGATGTTTCTTCTTCTTTTTATCCTGGTTCTTTCTGAAAATTCGCTTCAGATCGTGGAATATGGTATCCTTCTTTTCTAGATGATGAAAATGTGTGTGATGATAATGGCTATTATATTCTGGCTTTTTAAACACAAATTGAGCAGGTGTGTTTGTGCGAGAAATGGTAGCAGATCCGAGAGCTGAAGTGGGTCTTGTAGAGGAAGAAGTGTATTCTGTTGCACTGGATGCTTCAGTGGCAGGTTTGGAAGGCGGCTGAGAGGGTTTAGCGTTGGTGTGGTGGTGTTTATGGTGATGTTTATGGTGAGTTGCATCTTCACTGGACTCTGGAGACATGGAGCGAGGTGTGTGAGCTGATGAAGGCGAATGTTGGCTGCTTGGTGTATGAGCGCCTGATGAAGCAATGTTGTCTGCTGATTCATAGCCGAATCGTGCACTAGGCGCAATGGGAGGTGTGCCAGGCGTTGAGATGTCTGGAGTGACATTTTCAAATTGATGGAAGGCATGTTTGTTTTGAAAGATCTTGGCAGGTGACTCAAAGTCGACTTCACACAATCTGTCGCTCAGACTAGACATATTGTTTGTAGAGGAGTAATTACTGTCATTAGAGCGTATATCTGGCGTATATGCGTTGGCGTCAGCCGAGCGATGATGAGATGAGGCAGCTGAATGCTTGAGAGGTGAAGGCACTGCTACATCGTTTGTTGACATTTGAAGCGGTGAAGGGGTAAATGATCCAGGCTGACTAGTACGAATCTGTGTATTCATTTTATTTAACAAGTGAATTAGAGAAGAAAAGAGGAAAGGAATATCTCGTAATCGACTCAGAAATTAGTGGCCAAGATGGTTCTTCGCTATCGATTTGTTTGAAACACAGTTTTTTTTTTCTACCAGTGTGAGGTGCCTATTATAGAAAGTATCTCAAACCGCCGAGATACGACCTGTCAAAGCGCATTTCGTTGTTGACAGGTGAAGGTTGTACCATAAATCACTAGCACAAGACTTTGACCAAATTGTTTGTATATGAGGCTCTATTGCGAAAGAAGTCGTGTACAAAAGATAAAGCTACTGGTATGAATATATACAACAGATCAATCATTCAACTACTAAACACGGACGTTTTAGGTATGATTATGTGGGCAAAAGTAAGATCCGGCTGATCATCGGAAAAACATGCTACCGGTGAGCAAAATGGAATAAGCAAAAGTGTAGTGTCAATGCTTCTTTCATTGGTATCTTTCATCATTCTCTGCTTTAGACATGTCAACTGCCAGTGAATTTTGGCATCATTTGGGTTGTAATGAGGTGTTTGCATTATATTCTCGGCCAAAGATTATTACATGGATCCTATTATCAGCCATGCCCTTGGACATCTTGAATCCGGGAAAAACTAATTAATTCAATGCTTAAATATGCTTCCATAGCATTTGGTCTTTACTCCAAATGCAGAAAAGGCTAACCAACAAACAGCACCAATTGATCAACTATTATAGTTTAGGTTTGTTACTATTGTTCGTGAAAATGCCGTTTTTGTCAAGGGTCTTCTTTCTTCAGTGCCGATAATAGGAAAGGGGTAGTAGAGCGTTTCCTTGACCCAGAACATGAAAAGCCATTCAGCAATGCCTCCATAAATAGCAATGAATGACCCCTTTGTACATACACATATGTCTGTTCCATATTTCAAAATGATTTACATTGTCGCATTGCGGTAGATTTCGCATAGCACTACTATCAGATGTTGGCATTCATGTGATGGTAATTGAATGGCGTGCTACATTGCAAATGAATGTAATGTTGTGTACGCTCGTATAACAGATACCATGTTCCAATGCAAGGGGATAAATGATAAGGCGACTTACATGCCCTACAACTGGCTTTCAAACAGCATTAAGCGCTTTTCTTTCCGTGGATTCAGCCAAATACGCTCTTTTGTTATCATGTGCCAGCAGAGTCGAAACTGATTGTTGGGCTTACCCTACAAAGATAAAAATTCTGGATACATGTTGCATGATTAGCTCAGTTGATCTGCAATGTGAACCAGAGCTTGTAAATACCTCGGTATTAAGTCTAGCAGGCTGATAGAAAACTGCACAAAAACGTGAAAATAAGAGTACTGGAGCTGTGCAATATTGCTATTTAGTATGCAATCCCTTTTTCTATGAGCTGTCAAAAAGCATCAATTATTACCTGGATAATGAGAATGACGTGTATTGATATTATCAGCATCCACCACCACCAATATCGATCCATTCTCCGCTCAGCCTTCAGGTCCTGATTTGTTGATTTCAGAGCTTTTTGGTTCCACTTCGACCTATCTTGCCACATTCGACTATGTAAATTGTCACCATCATCTTTGGCTTCCTAATACTTTCTTGGAGTACTTTTCAAGACGCATTCAATGGCGCTAATCTTAAAGGATGTTTTGAATAAACTTATTGAGCAAAGTTGGAAAACATGAAATCAGGTTTCTGGCGAAAATATCGAGATTTTACATACAAATGCCTCATAAACAAAGGTTCAGGGGTTGCGTTGGATCGAGAGAAATGTTTTGATTTAATACATGCTATAGTAAAAGTCTTTGTTTTTGGTGTCAAAAACGCGATTGTTTGATTTTCGATGAAAATTATGAGGTATCCCTCATGGTTCTGGGGGCCGATTTTTGGTGATCCCAAAAAAGTCGAGTAAAAGTGCCAGTAAGCAATTCCCAGATGGCAGAAATTATTTGGTGCTATTGTGCAAGTCTAAAACAGCTTTTAACGCGAGAAAACACGGTTCAAGTGTGTCCAAGTTACGCTGTATTTTGTGAACTTTTGAGCAGTGGAAGGTAATGCTTGTGTGCTGATTGCCCACATTTGAATAGTTTTCACTGATGCATTGATAACAGAGACCTCGAGGCAAATCATTCAGTCATTGAAAGACGGGAAATCAGCGCTGTTGCGACTGTAATGAAACTGTTAAACATGTAGTCAAATTGCTAGTGAAAGTTTTTATCTGAAAGTAAATAGCGTTAATAATGTAGACAACGCGCCTTTTTTAGTCAGAACATTGCAGTCCAATGCAAGCAATGCAGGTTCAGTGGAAGAGCTCTATTTTGATAACTTTTTGTAGAATGAACTCTTACGCCGAGTTGTTGGCATTGCATCGAGATGGACATTTGCAAGAAGTCGGACAGATTGGTGCTCCTACACTGAACTGCTCTAAGCGTGGTACATTTAGCATGAATTACAATGATTTGCTGACTCAAGTGAAAAAATCTACAATAAGGGCTCTATATCACCCAAATCACTGATTAGATGCTCAAGTTTCAATCGCTTGTTCGATATCCAGTTCCAATCAGGAACGGGAATTTCTATGATTCAAATCAGTAGATTTCTCACTGATGACTACCCAATTTTAAAGACTAGTCCCTTTATCATATGCAGCTTCAACCCTGGCATTGCCTTGTTTTACGTGGATATTGAGAGTAGCAACTCAAAGCTGACCAGCCACAGTTACATAAACATCTAGACTACATTGCTCGAATTGACTATCAATTGTACTGCTTTATCATTTTTCAAATCAAAAGCAAATCATTCAAATCATAATGTTCACTCTTAACCCACAGACATATTGAACCATCATAAGGCTAGGAATAATAACACCATAGTCTTCTGTTGCTCCTCCAAGAATATGTGTATCCAGTTATCAAATAATTCATCAATTTAATGATGTATCGTACTTGTATTAATGTGATCAACGCAAAATCTCTTCTTTTATTATCATAAAAAAAAAGCTATACACTGTCTTACAATCTCGTTGTACTCAATTCAATCATTATCTTCAGCCTTTGAACCACTTCTCATAAACTCTGAATTAGAATTCGCCTCCTCTTTGATTTCTTTGTCCTCCTTCTCCTCCTTGACTTGTGGGTCAGATGTTTCGACATTGGCTGAAAGGTGAAATTCATTGATATTACTTTTTACCTTAAAGACTCTTTTTTCCTGAGGCAAGAAGACATAGAGAAGCGAGCAAAAGGCGTACAAGAACTTTACAATCTCCAATTGATGCTTTGACTTGGTAAAATGAGCTACCGTCTCGTCAGAAAGCGGCTTCTCCAAGAGTGTGTGATTAATTCTTTTCAATTTCAAGAATGCATGTAGACCAGGAAATGAATCAATGGATGTTCTCTTGTTGCCTTGTTTGTTTCCATGAATCAATGTGTTTACAAAGATCTTTCTACCAGAGAACACAAAGAAGGAACAGAATCGGAATGCAAAGTTCCAGCGAGCGTTTCTGGTGTGTGATGGCAAGGTGGAGTCTTGATAGATTAAATGCTGGAAATGGACTTCTTGACTATATCCATCTAATTCAATGGCTGCCTTGATTCTTTTCTTGAATGTTTGCTTTGATGGGAGTTGACTCAACTTGAAAGCCTTTTTAGGAGGTGGGAGAACTGTTTTTTGGAGCGGGAGTACTACGCTCTCAGGTGTATATGATGAGGCTGATGGAAATTCAACCTTGACAAGAGAGCCGCTTGTAATCGAGACGATTGATGTTGAAGGTGTTGGAGTTGCAGGCGCGTTATAAACTAAAGAAGGACTGACTGAAGTGGTTTCGGCCGAAGCAGCTCGTTTGTACTCTTCCAGTTGACGTTTTAGGCACTTGATCTGCTCGGCTTGTTCTAAAATTACCCGTTTAACAGCATTGCTGTCATTCAACAAGAAATAGGGAGGCATTATCAAGTAATAATAGATAGAGAAAGAAAACGAGTTTCTTTTTTTTTCTTCTCCAACCGGGATGGCACCTAAAAACCCTCTTGTTCAAAACTACTTTTCATAGCTATTGATATATCATCAGAGCCAAAGTAACGTTTAGTATAACAAATGTACGTTGAGAGTCGTGCATTGTAAAAAGCATGACCTGAATATGTATTTGAATTACATTTATGCCATGTAATCAAACACAAGTACCTACAAAAAGGAGTGGTTTATCTATCGCATTGGGCAGATCAAAGAAAACAAAAGACTGGAAACTTTTTCAAAGGGGCCAAGGAATACATTATACGTGCGTTTATTATTTAAAAACAAACCTAATTTTAATTAAACTTTTCCCTGTTTTCTAGTTGAATCCAACAATCTGGTTCTCTTTGTACTACAGCGATTGCAATGGATGAACATGGTAGTGGCATGATAAAGCTCAGCCACAGTAGCTCAATACAAAGGCAGATGATAGCTCGATGGTATAGGGTATCAGCCGAGAACGAGAGCAATTGTCTTGATGGGCACACATGTCATTACATATATGCATTAAGTTTGGCTGTTTCAATGCCTGTCGTTATTGCAATACATGCTCAAGCAGTAGCGTCATTTTCTTGGTAGCATTGGGCCTACACGTGCCACATACATCAGTCCAATATATCCCTGTTGAAGCATTTACATGAATAAAGCTGTTCAAGTCCTTCGTAGAAGGCCTTTCAGTGGAAATACGAGGAGCGATAAACAATTAAAAGGATCTATATTTGATAATTGTCATACGGAAGTGCCTGGAAGGGGTGCTATCGTAATGCGGAGCTTAAATTTGACCGGCAATGTTGATCTCTTGTTTCGAGGCATCAGTGAAACATTAATTTACAGCTAAAAAAAAAAAAAAAAAAAAAAACTTGTTTAGTTTGACCTGATGGATCAGCATGTATCTGTAACCTTCATTTTCATGTGATCATGTCATGTCCCAGTATCTTCAACTATAGTTGCAAGTGTTAAAAGGGGATCCTATGCTCTTCTTCTTCTCCCTTTCGATTTGAAACGTTCGCATGTGTACACTCAGAAGAAGGATAGATGGAAAGATCCACCAAGCAAGGGAGAGGGGTTAGATTTGTAATACTGGTAGTGATATTATATAGCACGGATTGATTAACAGCGTATATATTGGAAATAATGGGCGTCTCTGTGTGCTTAGCGTGTGCATGTCTATCACACTATATGCTATCATGCGTCATCAACTAGGCAATCGTCTGTTTGTACTTGAGTGATGTCTACATTAAGCAAATTAATATCATATGTATAAATTCGTGAGAGAGAAGAGGGGACTATACAGAGGAGAGTAGGGGAGGTCCAGGAAGGGGTTACTGGAGGAGAAAAAAAAGAACAAGAGGGAAGCATATTGCTCATGCAGCATCAAGCCTTATTTTTTTTCGCTATTTTTCTCTTTCTCTCTTTCTTTCGTTTTCTTTATTTTTTCTCACTCTCTTCCTTCTTTTCCCCTTTATATATTTACTATGACCAAAGAGTCTCCTCCGCCCAGGAGTAACTCTTGGAATCTTTTGGAACCAGATCCAGGTACACAAACCAACATGAGCCAACATCCACCTTTTGTTTAGGCATTAAATCACCCAGTAGGCACCTTCACCAAATTATGCGCTGAAATAGGTGCTGAATCAGTGCAAGTGAAGCAGATTAAACTACTTGACAAAGAAGCTATTCGCAATTTAAGGTAAGCAACTGCTGCCAATTTGCATGAAAAAACAAATATAAACATGCAGTGGATCATAGGCCTATTCATGGGCTCATCATCATCATCAAGCACAAGTTGGAGTCATTTATATCCAAAGATGATTCAACTACGAATACAAACAACCACATCTATTTCTCAAATCAAGTAATAATCGCGGTCGCCAATCATTTGTAGATATACTCACGACTATTCAACTAGGTGGTCCACGATGCCTATGCCATGCATGCTCTATTAAACGTTCTCTTGAACAACAGCGGCACCATCAACATTGGAAGAGAGCTACACCATTTTAAGCAATTTACAAACGACTTTACGTCCATGGTAACCTTGAATGAAAAGGCTTGACTTGGAAGATACAGATCTAACACGATACCAGCTGAAAGGCTTGACTTTAACCAACAGCCATGTATTTAGACAAGCTCACAACAGTCTCTCAGGGTAAGGCTACATGTTTTATGCGTATGCACTTTATTCATTTGTACAAGTATAGCCGTACGTCAAATAGTGAATCGACTGGCGAAATCTATCATTCGATTTCGTATATAAAATCTGATGGACATGTATGGGAATTAGATGGATTAAAAAGGGGTCCTTTAAAACTAGGTAAAACAAACAGATGCACATGCTTATATTGCATCATGTGTCCTAATGAGTGATTAAACAATAGGTGCTTGCAATGATAACAACTGGCTTGATGTAGCACATTATGAAATAGCAAAGCGATGTGAAATGTAAGGTGAATTTGTTATTTCCTTGCTGTATTTTGCTTGGCTACATGTTATTCACCGTGCTCTATTTGACAGGTACCAACGGCAGAATATCAAAGTGACATTATGGGCTGTGATAGAGGACAGGAAACTAGTATATCAACGAAAATTGATTGAAAAACTATACGTTAAACGCGAAATTGAATATTTCCTTGACACACAAGAGCCAGAATGGAGGGTTAGCATGAATATCCCTCAATGGGAAGAAGAATACAAACACACAATGACACACAATGACAGAAACAAACGCGGAAAAATAGCATTCAATCAACTACTTGGTTACTGTAAATCTTTTGAGCAACTACCATTGCAAGACCAAGACATGATCCATTCATTTTTGAAACAAAACGCGACAGAGAAAAGGCAAGATGTGATGGATACATGGTTACACATACAAGACGATGCTTTGAGGCTCTTTGAAAGTCTTGGTTTGGAATCAGAAAAACAAGAGATAGACGAGGTAATTGCATGGAATAACGGATAAGGCTACAGCTTGAGCTAAACTGAAAGTGTGTGCAGATAAATCACCTAAAACGGAAGCATGATTACATGCCGTTTATTCGATCATTCATTCAAGGGCTTTACGAAGAGGGTCATCTGCAGTCGATGACAGACATGTCTTGAGAAAAAAAAAACAAACAATCATTTATTTAATTACTATTATTACCACATTACCGCCACAAAGCAACACCACCTTACCTGAACAACTCAAACTATTCATCATCATCAACTACAAGTCAATATATAGGCCCTCGATTAATTTCAGCATTTTTTTTCCATCTAAACTTCCACTCAGATTATATATATGTATATATATATATATATATATATATACAGCCACACATTTATGCCCTTTTTTTCCTAAACAAAATTATACATACTTGATTCTATAGATAATACGCATCTTTTTCTTTAATATTAAATGTGATTCTTACCATAACCTTACGACTAGGCTTTGTTTGATGTCCTGCAAAAAGCACGAGACTTTTTAACAAATTGCCCCTTATGTTGATGCTACTGAAACCGGCCGACACCGGCAATATAAAATAGCATGATTTGCAGAGTAGCTTAAAGGCTAGCCATGCATAAACTATTAGAACGCTGAATTCATGGTTGTGGAATAAACTATTTTCAGCTATCTAACAAATACCCTTGATTAATCTCTTGAGATACAACTATAAAAGAAGGTAATATTTGTGCATTTCAAGCAACAATATCTTATAACAATCAAGCACATCAACAATCATGGGTAAAAAAAGCCACGCAAGCCATCACAAGGAGGTTACCGAGAGGGAGGACAAGCACAGACCCAAGACCAAGGCTGAAAAGAAGTTGGAGCAGCAACAGCACAAGCTTAAGAAGCAAGCCAAGGCTGCTGAAGCCAAGAAGGGGTTCGAATAAACATTCAAAGGTGTCTGGTTATTCCAATTTATGCAAATGCCATCCTCTCATTTCCTTCACATATAGCTGGTTCTTTTCATACAGTCTTCTTTCCCTCTCATAAATTGTAAATAAATCAACAATGTTCATTTCGAACGTAAGTCTTTTATAAATATATACATGTACAATGTGTTGCACTACAGACAAGCTATGTGATTAGTCCCAGTCGGGTATAAGCGAGAAATCGTATCCAGGATATTTGTAGTATGCATAATACGCAATGTACAAATGATAAGCACCTAGAGTTGACAGAGAAAATGATTAGCTACTGGAATGAGACTATTCAGACTGCACTCCAACCCACCTGGGATAAACATGATACTACCAAGAACAATAAATGCTGTTCCTCTTGCCAGCCATACCTATCCATGACTTGATCAGATATTCAAAATCTTACTATCATCCTGAAATTTGTACATACATCTGATGTGATGGTACCAATTTTGACCAGAATACCCAACGCTAACAAAATACCACCTACTGTGAACAGTAATGCAGCTAGCCCTATAGCATTCCATGGAACTATTGTATGGTATTTAATAATCAAGTTGTATACGTCTGAAATGAACATACTAGGTGTCTCGGGTGATTCAAATTGAGCAGCAGAAAAGCCTTGATCTTCTTGCAATTCAGCAAAGCGTCTTGCTTTGTTTTTCGGTTTAAGTGGATTACGCATTTTCATGTAGAGAAGGGCTTGAGAAAAAAGAGATAAAGAGATAATACAGTGCACGTTTTTTTTTTGCCACAAGCAGCATCATCTTCGGACTTGTCTTGTAGTCCAATCATTCCATCAAGGCATTGAAGAAATGCCGATGATGGCAAAGGTTTATCCTGTGGCTAGGTCTTGGAAAAAAAAGTCAAACAGATTACTAGCAGTAGTGAAGGCGCTCAAAGCAAACACGCATAGGCTATCACACTCAGCATATTATAGCGGATTTGCTGTAATCAGCTTAACAGTATTGCTTCCTTCGTTAGCTTCCGAGCAGCATTCGATCAGTAGGTGGGTTTTAGCGAAAGTTCAGCGTGCTTTTTCATAAAGGTGCAGTCTACGCTGAAGAGCAATTTCTTTTAAGCAATTTGTCCTAGTATATACTGACATTTCTCACTTTGGCCCCCTAACAATTACATGAGAACCTACTCAAATTAATCTGTAATTCTGAACCTGTCTCCTCTATAATGCTCAACATCTGTATCGATGGGAACAATTCATCTGCACGTAGCTCTCATACTTGTATTGCCTCTTTCTTCTCAAAATTATGCAAAGTACAGCGTAACTTGGACATATTTGAACCGTGTTTTCTCGTGTTAAAAGCTGTTTTAGACTTGCACAATAGCACCAAATAATTTCTGCCATCTGGGAGTTGCTTACTGGCACCTTTACTCAACTTTTTTGGGATCACCAAAAATCGGCCCCCAGAACCATGAGGGATACCTCATGATTTTCATCGAAAATCAAACAATCGCGTTTTTGACACCAAAAACAAAGACTTTTACTATAGCATGTATTAAATCAAAACATTTCTCTCGATCCAACGCAACCCCTGAACCTTTGTTTATGAGGCATTTGTATGTAAAATCTCGATATTTTCACCAGAAACCTGATTTCATGTTTTCCAACTTTGCTCAGTAAGTTTATTCAAAACATCCTTTAAGATTAGCGCCATTGAATGCGTCTTGAAAAGTACTCCAAGAAAGTATTAGGAAGCCATTTTTTTTTTTTTGTAGGGGAGTCGAGCTCCAGGTTTTATTTAAAGTCCTTAAAATGTCATGCTGAGGGAAAGAAAAGACTGTTGGTGGACCCAATGTCTGCAAAGAAGGGGAATAAGATATTTTGAACTAAGTTGGGAAAGAAATCTACTACTAATAAGGTGCGACTCCTAGAGCCAGTACAGTCTTGCGGAAATCGTCAAAATATAGATCATGGATAAGAGTACAAAAACACCAAACGAGGACATCAGTACTACGTCAAAAAATCAAACAACTTGCGTCCACCAGGATTTGAACCGGGATCCTCCCGTTGGCATACGGGAGTTTTACCACTTCGCCCTACCACCAGGGGCCAGTATTAGGAAGCCAAAGATGATGGTGACAATTTACATAGTCGAATGTGGCAAGATAGGTCGAAGTGGAACCAAAAAGCTCTGAAATCAACAAATCAGGACCTGAAGGCTGAGCGGAGAATGGATCGATATTGGTGGTGGTGGATGCTGATAATATCAATACACGTCATTCTCATTATCCAGGTAATAGTTGATGCTTTTTGACAGCTCATAGAAAACGAATTGCAAACCAAAATATACTGTAGCATTACTTGGCTACTGTCTCGGAATTATCATGCGTTGTTGTGTGCAAAGAATCTAATTGTTGCAAAATGCGGCTTCAAATACAATATGCGAAATGGCAGATGACACTTGAAATGTACAGCGTGGTAAACTGCTAAGAAGTAGCATGATGATGGAACATAAACTTATTTTGCAACCCGTCCACACAGTGGAGCATGGAACAATCTTGATCCCTGAGGGCATGATAACTCACTCACTCTAAAATGGCCGAGCTTGTCAAATGAACGAGCACAAAGGCTAACATGTAGATGTTTCATTCATGTGTGGCAAGCTAATTTTTATTTATAGTTTATACAAGCTTTTTTGCCATGAAGAAATTCTTAAAGTAATGCATTTGCCAGAAGCAAACAACACCAAGCACAATGAGCTGAGCAATTGTCCACCAAACAACACGAGAGTTTGTGAGTTCAGATTGATCACGGAAATCCTTCTCTCGTTCCTGTTATAAAATAACGCTCAATCATCCCCGTCTTTTTCACATTTTAGGTCAACAACTTACACGTTGAGCATTTTGTTCAATTTGGATATCTTCAACACGTTCGTTCAATTCATGGACTCTCTTTACCAAGTCTACAAAAAGCCATTTTGGTTGATATCTCGCTATTTTCATAAACTCCCCCACCTCCCAATTATCCACCTACCAGAAACACCTTCAGCGTTGTGATCGTGGTGATCAGTTGGGTCATCGAAATCCATATCAAGTGTGATTTTCTACAGGCATAAAATGTGTGCGTCAATGTTTCCACTTGTTTGATGTTGTATCGATGTCTGTTCTTACAGTTTTTGAGCTATCAAACCAAGAGTTGGAGGAAGCAGAAAGACAAATAGCATGATCTCCGGATTCAGTAGAAGTGAATGTAAAGCGACCAGATGATTTACTCTTGGTATCAACAATTTTATGACCCTGAGGGAGTTCCTGAAATCCACATTATTCATCGTCAGTCCAAACATCTCCCTTACTGTGTACACCATGCTATGATGGTATTTACCTCGACAGTGATTTCAATCTTTAAATCCTCGTTCTCAATCCATTGGTTTTGAGCAGCAGAAAACTGCTCAGACTTGTAGATACCTATCAAGTGCTGTTGAATACGAGGTAGTCGAGTCCATCTGTACACACATTGCTTTACCAATGACCATGGTTTCCTTTGGTAAATCTTCAATAAAACATTTTTTCTCGGAACCTTCCAGATAGAAATATAATGCTTGTGTCCCAGCCAAGTAAGCAACAAGTAGGACTAGTGTTGAAAGACGAAAAAAGGCCATCTCTGTATAAACGCGTTTTGTTGAAAGAAAGGAAAGGAAAACGGAGCTCATTCAGTTCATTTTAAATATAATCAGGATCAGCCAATGGGAGCAAACAGTGAAGCTACGGACTTGGAGTTGATTGATTTGCTCAAATTGCAGCAGCATATAGAGAAGATGATATGAATGCAATTGCGGCAGTTTCATCATGTGAAATCCACCTTCTTGGCTTCACAAAGGCACAATTGAAGTTTGTCCATTCTCTAGATAAGATTCAGCATGCATTAAGCTCTTTGTGCGCAGATGAGAAAACAATTTGACAATGTTTGAATGTCGCATATTGAAATCCAGGGATATCTTCAAAGTTTTTCTTGTGCACCTTTTTCCTCTTGTCCAACTCTTTTTTTTTAAATACTTCCAAATCAAAAAAAAATGAGCTCTGCCAGTGTATATAGTGAAGGTAAACGTTTGCTCTTTGTACAGTGATTAAAGAACAAGATGTTGATTTCGGTCTAGATATGGAAGATGTACATAGCAACCATGCCTCCATGAATATGGAGCATGAGGATGAAGAGCAGGACGACGACTTTCAAAAGACAGCAGAAGAAACCGTCTTGGAGGGAATAGATACTACAAACGTCGATGAGCTGCTGCAAAGGATATTTTTTGGATTTACACCGGGTAAGGCTACGAGGCAATCAAGGCAGCTTGTATATGTGTATTCATTCATTGCACTAGACAAACCCAAGACCTTTATCAAGCGAAAAGTACAAGAAATGAAAAAGATCCTTCCCGTCATCAAGAAGTTTGGGTTGCTGCCACCGTTATTCAATACAATCTTTGAGGTTGCAATGCAGCATAAACTGAGTAAGCCATCTCAAAACCAGCGAGTAGGATATGTGTATTGACATATAATAGCACATGGCGAACAGTTGGTGCTACTACAATGCTTACTGCCTAGAAAAAACATTTCCGAAGACTATGTTGTGCGTATCATTGCTTGCATCAACCGCAAAGACAAGAATCCAAGATATACTGTAGGTATACAGCAGCAGCAGCTATTTCGTCTGATGGGCATTGATCCATGTGTTGTAGGCTGATCTGCTGAACTGGGCAATCTCTGTGTATGATGCCATTAGCACAAAAGACAAGATTAGAAAGCTGTATAATGTGCTGTTTTACAGTTTATACCATGAATCCACCAGGTGAGTAGGGATCAAGAGCACAGAGCCAAAATCGCTGATCCAGTGCTTATAGAGCGGCTGCCTGTCATTTACTCTATTTCATCACCAAAAGAGAGCATGTCGTACCTCATAGAATTAGACGATTGAACGAGTTGATTGAAAGTGAACGAGATAATGCAGAATTGATTGGTTTGATGCTGGTTTATCAAACGTACGATTTTACAGTTATTGTGCCTCACAATGTTCGACTGGTAAACGCCTTTGTCTTTGAGGTAAAAAAAAAAAAAAAAAAAAAAAAAAAAAAAGCTGTTGGGTAGATCAATTGCAGTTGTGGACAGTAATTCTTATTTTTTTTTCTTTCTTCAAATCAGACACCTTACCCTGAAATGAAACATCAATTGACAAATATCAGGGCTCTATGGCAAAACAATGCGGATTTCTCTCTTGATTTACGAAAAGCTGAATTCCAGCTGCCTACCAAAACGAAAGCCAAAAGGTTGAAATTCACAGATGTTTCAGGGGTAAAGTCATAGATGCACCTAATCCATCTGTTCATGGATGCTCATTATAGCATAGGAACCCTTACGTGAATTGGATGCCATCGATATCACTCGCATTGCCAATAATGTCGAAAATTTAGATCTTGCAGAACAGTTGAGTGTCGTATTACAGAACCGCAAACTGCAACACCTTCTGCTATGTAAACGAGACAGTGTTGTGATTGAAAGACTCAGTTACTGGATTGTGCAAAAGATTATGGATTTGTCTCGGTGGGGCAATGAAGAGGATGTCATGAAATCAGAATTGCATGACATGTTGAAGTCATTGGTTAGATTTACTCGCTTTACAAAGGTAACATGTCATTGGCCTTCTTTGATCGCACGCTTACTGACTGATGTCGGCCACAATGTAGTCGCAGCTGCCCGTCATAGAATACTTTTTGTTCGAGTACCTGAAAACCTGGAATGGGTTCGAATTTGAAGACGAGATATTCGAGCTGATCACATACACTAAGCCAGCCGACTACAAGGACTTTTACAAATCGGTGCTGATGCGTCTCTATCGATTGTTTCTGGTATCAGATGTGCACTGGAAAGCCAAACTCATTCTCTGCTATACAAGTCTGCTCCAGAACTGGGCACTGCTTGATTGGAATCGCCATACACAACTGAGCAAAAAGGGAGACACCGATGTGGATGATATGTAAGTTGCAGCAAATCAAGGTTAGATTGTAACCTCACCCTAGTTCGCTTGCCGTAGCACAACTGCTTTTGGTGTTTTATCTTTTGATGTGCACTATTTTTCTACGATCCAAAAGCTTATCGAGCACATTGACCGCATGATTGTGATGGGATTACTGGCAGAGGATGATCACCCATTACTGCAACATGCTGGACTTACCTTTTTTGAGCTGGTATCTACCATCTCTGTACAAGACGATATACCAGATATCATCATACCCGCAGCCACATTTGTGCATCGTAACTTTTATTCCTCATCTGCAATGCCTGTAAGCAGAGTGTGTGGTATATTGTATCAGTACAAACTTGCATTCGAAGAAAACGACAACAAGACTGAAGACTGGATGTCCAAGCATACGCCTGCTTATCTGAATCATTTCAACACATATTTAACAGATGTGTGCAACTCGCTGTGGAGAAATCTGGGTCTCAGTAAGATGGAGTCAGAGGGAAATGCATTTTCGTTATCAAAGTAAGTAGACATTGCGCTTTGATTGTTTTGCGATATTCATTGTAACACTCCACTAGACAAAACATCCTTGATTTCCAAAAGATTTGCCAGGATAGGGACATGGAGGTTAACAAATTACTGTCCATCACACACTCCGCGTCGCTAGCAGCATTCTCAAAACGATTCATGACGGTAAAGTGGTCATATATCACATCAAGTGCATGAAAAGACTGATTCAACGTGCATCTTTATTTAGCTGCTGGAAAAGGAAGAGGAGTCAAGCATTACTCACGATCAGCCCATTTCATCCGCCTACCTGAGACAACTAGAAGAGGTAATTAGCACCATCCGACCACTCGCCCCCCCCCCCCCCCTTAATACCGTGTCTAATCTTGTTGTATATAGAACGAAGGAGTGTCAATAAGCTATCTCAATTACAGAGCCGAGTATCTCAACTACATGAACCGACTTGGATTTACAGGCATGCACGACCTTTTATACGCTTGTATGACATCCTTGATTCACCTGAAGGAAAAGGATGCTTCCATGATTAGTGAATCAAGTACATAATGTTGCACGATCTGCCTCGTCAACTCACACAAAACTGTCCAACTTCATTTACTATTGGTTGTCTACAGTAATGAATAAAAAGGAAGCTATACTCGTGCACCAAATTTTGTGCCCTGTAAATTTTAATTTTTTTCACGTTAAAAAGGTTAATTTCAATCTATCTCTTTTCCCTTTTTTTTTCTCTTCTCTTGTTTTATTACTTGGTAGACCTTTTTAGATTTAATTTTTTTTTACGCTTTTAATAATACAAGAAACTAATGTAAATAGCAACATTTCATCGTGTCTTGAGTACATGTAATATTAACCTAGAACCCCGCTTTTCTTTTTTCGAAATCACAGATATAATAATGAGAGAGATTATTCACGTTCAAGTTGGTAAGTAGTGGACTACCAAAGGAGGGGAAACACTGGGCTAATATACATGGCCGATACATGCGTGCTGTCGCCAGGGGAAGGAGGGGGGGAAGGGACCATTGTACGAGGGGAGGGAGGGAGAGATAGATAGATAGATAGAGGGAGAGGAGTTGGGTTGAAAAGAAAGCAGAACAACAAACCTTGAACAGAGAGCAAGAGCTTGAGACAAGAGTAATCCATGTGCAACAAATAATGAAACTAAATCGACTCTCATAGGTCAATGTGGTAACCAAATTGGTCAAAAATTCTGGGAAACCATCTCTCAAGAGCATGGTCTTGACACCAACGGTACTTACGCTGGTGACAATGATCTTCAATTGGAACGCATCAATGTCTTTTACAACGAAGGCTCTGGCGGTCAATATGTCCCTCGTTCCGTTTTGGTTGATCTCGAACCTGCTACCATGGACTCTGTTCGTTCCAGTCCTTATGGCAAGCTTTTCCGTCCTGATAACTTTATCTTTGGCCAAAATGGTGCTGGTAACTCTTGGGCCAGAGGTTACTATACAGAAGGTGCTGAATTAGTCGAGCAAGTTTTGGATGTTGTTCGCAAGGAAGCTGAACACACGGATTGCTTGCAAGGTTTCCAATTAGCCCACTCCCTTGGTGGTGGTACTGGTTCTGGTCTTGGCTCTCTCTTGCTCTCCAAGATTCGTGAAGAATACCCTGATCGTATGCTCTGTACTTACTCTGTTGTGCCTTCTCCCAAGGTCTCTGATACCGTTGTCGAGCCTTACAATGCTGTTTTGTCTGTCCATCAACTCGTTGAGAACTGTGATGCTACCTTCTGTATCGATAACGAAGCTCTTTATGATATCTGTTTCCGTACTCTCAAGTTGAACAACCCTGGCTACGGTCAACTTAACGAATTGGTCTCCACCGTCATGTCTGGTGTCTCTACCAGTTTGCGTTTCCCTGGTCAACTCAACAGTGATCTGCGCAAGTTGTTTGTCAACATGGTTCCCTTCCCTCGTCTTCATTTCTTCATGGTAGGCTTTGCTCCTCTCACTGCTTTCGGTTCTCAACAATACCGCAACTTGAGTGTCCCTGAATTGACCGCTCAAATGTTTGATGCTCGTAACATGATGGCTGCCTCTGATCCTCGCCATGGTCGCTACTTGACCGTTGCTACCATCTTCCGTGGTCGCTTGTCTACCAAGGAAGTTGAGAACCAAATGTTGGCTGTTCAACAAAAGAACTCTTCTTACTTTGTTGAATGGATTCCTAACGGTGTCAAGACCTCTCTTTGTGATATTCCTCCTGTTGGTCTCAAGATGTCTGGTACCTTCATCGGTAACAGTACCGCCATTCAAGAGTTATTTAAGCGTGTCAATGATCAATTCACTGCCATGTTCAGAAGAAAGGCTTTCTTGCATTGGTACACTGGCGAGGGCATGGATGAGATGGAATTCACTGAAGCTGAATCCAACATGAACGATTTAGTATCTGAATACCAACAATACCAAGAAGCCACTGCTGACGATGAGCTCATGGAAGATGAGGATTACCTTGAGGAAGACGAGATTCTCGAAGAAGAATAAAGAGCCGTCGAAAAAAAAAAGAACCCATCTTTACCAATACCTTAATTCATTCCTAAACAATAGTAATAACATACATTTTCAAAACCAAATCTTGAAGCATAAATTTCGACTGTTTTTTTAATTGACTAATCACAAGCATTTTGTGTGTGTGTGTGTGTGTGTGTTTGGAAGAGTAAAAAGTGCAATCTGGGCTGGTCTCTTTCTCTCTCTCTCTCTCTCTCTCTCTCTTTTTTTTTTTCTTTCTCTCTTTTATTTCAAAGACTATATAAAAAAAAATGAACACAACCTTTGATTCACAACATTCTGCATTAGAAGATTATGGTCAAGATATCCTTGAGGCAAATCCTTTTGCAGACGAAAGAGATGATACCGCTAAAGTTTCAACTATTTCATTCGACCCAGTTTTAAATAATGACGAGGTTGTAGAATCACCTATATCCAACCTAAACAAACAGCTGGATTCTATCGATTTAGACGGCTCAACACAAAATGTATCAGAGCAACAAGACGAGCAAGAGTACGAAATCAAACATCATCCGCAAGAGGAGCCGCATTCAGAATACACATCCTCCTCACATCAGGAAGAGACAGATACTCAAGTATGAGCATATTTCAGAGTCATGTATACATCTCTAAAGTACTCGCATTTTTCCAGTCAGAATCCTTACAGATACCCAAAAGTGGTTCTCGACCTTATTTTCAAGTTGCTATCGAGGATCCTCAAAAAGTTGGTGATGCTATCAATGCCCATATTATCTACAAAGTGAGAACAAAGGTAAGTATCGGTTTCAAGTTAGTCTATTTACCGGAAACAAGGATATTAACATCACAGCAGACAAATTCTCCCTCATATCGCTCATCAGAGTTTGTGGTAGCTAGACGTTACAGAGACTTTTTATGGCTTTACAATCAACTTACACTTGGTAATCCTGGTGTCATTGTACCACCTGTTCCTGAGAAGCATGCATTAGGTAAGCTGCATTCGGTTGAAACCTGCTAGACATGATCTGATGAACATTGCTGTTTTGGAAACGAAAAAGGACGATTTCAAGACGATTTTGTAGAATCGAGACGAGTGGCATTAGAGCGCTGTTTGCAAAAGATTGTAGCGCATCCCATGTTGTACGGAGATCCTGATTTAAAGGTGTTCTTGGAGAGTGAGTCTTTCAATGTGGAGGTATGACTAAGAGGCAATCAACTGGTGATGGCAACGGACTGACATTGGGTGGCTATAGAAACGACAACGAAGAGCTGAACCGGAAAATTCGAAAATGAGCTTTATGCGCTCGTTTGGAGAAACAATATCAAATGCAGCAACAAGTCCCTTTACGAAATTTGTGGAGGTAGATGAATGGTTTGATTCGAAAAAGAATCAGCTGGATGCTTTGGAATCACAATTAAAGGGCTTATTGAAGAGCGTCGAAGGGGTGGTGAAGCAAAGAAAAGGTATACACGAATCACAATGGGATGTAATATGGATGTTGATTTTGCTGTGGGGTTAGAGCTAGGAACTGCTACTTCAGATTTTGGTGAGAGCATGTTTCCTTTAGCATCTGCTGAATTGAATCGAAATTTATCAACGCATTTAATGGTACTGGGCGAAATTCAAAAGAAGATGAAAGATTTGCATGAACAACAAGCACAATACGACATTATCACACTGGAGAATACCATTGACGAGTACATCCGCATCATTGGATCCATTCGAGTGAGTGTGTTTGAGTACAATCATCCTATACATGGAAGAAACTCATCAGGGTATCATTTCAGATTGCTTTCAATGCTAGAATCAAAGCTTACCAAACTTACCAACAAGCCGAGTCAGAATACCAAAAGAAAGCGGCCATCATGGAAAAGTTGAAGCAACAACGCAAGCCAGAAAAGTTGGTGAGTTTACAGCAAGAGCTAAACGAGATGAAAGACAAGGTCGAAGAGTTACAGCAAGATTTCCAAGACATATCGAAACTGATCAAGAATGAATTGGATCGCTTTGATAAGGAAAAGGTGGACGATTTTCGAGATAGCGTAGAGCAATTTCTTCGTAGTATGATTGAACATCAAAAGCAGATAATTGCGCTTTGGGAAACTTACTTTGAGCAAACGGAGGGACTGAGCGATGAAGAGGATAACAACAGTGATGAGAATGAAGGTCAAGACTACAGCCACCAACAACACAGTGTGGAACTTGTAGAACAGCGCCAACAACAACAGATACCAAATATTGCACAATAAAAAAGAATGTGTTCAGTTGTCTATAAATTTGATTTGTATGCTAGTGCTCGCTTCTACTTTTGCCATGGTCTTTGCGCTTTTTTTTTCAGAATTACATGGAGGTTTAAAAAATTGATTGTAAATCAGAAAATCAGTAGCATGATAGTTTACATTATACTTGGTGTATTCTTTGAACGAAGAGCGATAAACTTCGAGGCTGAATTAGATCATTTCTTCTTGACAGCGTCGAGATTGTGGGTCGATGTCTTGAACAGCACGGACTGTTGTCAAGATAAGAACCATGTCAAGACATGCAGACAAACCACGATTCCACAATATGTAGACGGCGTCTTATGGTAAATTATGAGCTGGGTGGTTGTGATTTGTACAATGCTTCTAACAAGCAACGTCTCAGTCAATCAAAATCGATGTTGCTGGCCAATGAACAACGATATCCCAAGGCAATCAAAATTGACGTCAGCGCAGAGATGGGTTAACTAGTATAATGTGTGTCCTGATAGTATTTTTGAAAGTTGTATAAAAGTAGGCCATGAATGCATCTTAACCGAAGAGCATAAAACGACTGTTATCAATTTCATTGATGCTAATCCCTCTGCTACTGTTGCTGAAATGACTGAGCATTTATCGACGCAATTTCATGATCTTAAAGTCTCGCACAGCACTGTCTATAACTTTATAAGAAGCGAATGTAACCTTTCGTTGAAGAAAACAGATTTTCATTCTATTGAGAGAAACAATACAGCAAAGATTGTGTTTCTTGACGAGTCTGCGTTTGATATTAATATGAAACGCTCACGAGCTTGGTCCAAAAAAGGTTCTCGTGCCATTGTTACCAGACTCACTACAAGAGCAAATACAACGTCTATATTGGGCATTATCTCCGCTTCAGGTTTGATTGCAGTTGGCGTGAAAAAACCTAGACCTAATAAGAAGATGGATATTAAAGTTCAGGAACTGCCACAGGCCACTACATCAGTTTCTTAAAAACGACTCTCGATGAAATGGACAAGCATTTACATATGAAAGGCCATTATATAGGCATGGATAATGCACCCATTCGCACACACGAAAACATAAAGAAGTATATTGAATATCCAAGATACACATCTGTGTATCTTCCTACTTACTCTCTTGAGCTTAATCCAATAGAACAATTCTGGGGAGTGGCAAAGAGTATGGCTAAGGGCCATAGGTTTTTGCAGGAAGACACTATATCGAAAAGAATTACAGAAGCCTGCAAAAGTATGGAGAAAAGTCACTTCAAAGGCTTTGTTTCGCATTCTTACAAGTGCTGGGATAAATGTCGAAACAAGGAGCCGATGTAATGGCATCGACAACAACACAGCGATTTTAAAAAAAAAGGTTAACTACAATCAGATCAGCAACAAACAAGTTTAACTTTATTATATATTTTTTTTGTAGGTTATACCGCATTGGCAAATATTTTTAACAGAACCAAGTGTACGGCACTTCAAGAAAGATGTTGAACACTTCAAGAAAGATACTGGACACTTCAAGAAAGATACTGGACACTTCAAGAAAGATATTGGACACTTCAAGAAAGATGTTGGACACTTCAAGAAAGATACTGGACACTTGAGAAAGATACTGGACACTTCAAGAAAGATGTTGGACACTTCAAGAAAGATGTTGGACACTTGAGAAAGATGTTGGACACTTCAAGAAAGATACTGGACACTTCAAGAAAGATGTTGGACACTTGAGAAAGATACTGGACACTTGAGAAAGATGTTGGACACTTCAAGAAAGATGTTGGACACTTGAGAAAGATACTGGACACTTGAGAAAGATACTGGACACTTCAAGAAAGATGTTGGACACTTCAAGAAAGATACTGGACACTTGAGAAAGATACTGGACACTTGAGAAAGATGTTGGACACTTCAAGAAAGATGTTGGACACTTCAAGAAAGATACTGGACACTTCAAGAAAGATGTTGGACACTTCAAGAAAGATGTTGGACACTTCAAGAAAGATACTGGACACTTCAAGAAAGATGTTGGACACTTCAAGAAAGATACTGGACACTTCAAGAAAGATGTTGGACACTTCAAGAAAGATGTTGGACACTTCAAGAAAGATACTGGACACTTCAAGAAAGATACTGGACACTTCAAGAAAGATACTGGACACTTCAAGAAAGATGTTGGACACTTGAGAAAGATGTTGGACACTTCAAGAAAGATACTGGACACTTCAAGAAAGATACTGGACACTTCAAGAAAGATGTTGGACACTTGAGAAAGATACTGGACACTTGAGAAAGATGTTGGACACTTCAAGAAAGATGTTGGACACTTCAAGAAAGATACTGGACACTTCAAGAAAGATGTTGGACACTTCAAGAAAGATACTGGACACTTCAAGAAAGATGTTGGACACTTGAGAAAGATACTGGACACTTGAGAAAGATACTGGACACTTCAAGAAAGATACTGGACACTTCAAGAAAGATGTTGGACACTTCAAGAAAGATACTGGACACTTCAAGAAAGATGTTGGACACTTCAAGAAAGATACTGGACACTTCAAGAAAGATGTTGGACACTTGAGAAAGATACTGGACACTTGAGAAAGATACTGGACACTTCAAGAAAGATGTTGGACACTTCAAGAAAGATATTTGACACTTCAAGAATGATTTTGGACACTTGAGAAAGATGTTGGACACTTCAAGAAAGATGTTGGACACTTCAAGAAAGATACTGGACACTTCAAGAAAGATGTTGGACACTTCAAGAAAGATATTTGACACTTCAAGAATGATTTTGGACACTTGAGAAAGATACTGGACACTTGAGAAAGATGTTGGACACTTCAAGAAAGATGTTGGACACTTCAAGAAAGATACTGGACACTTCAAGAAAGATTTTGGACACTTGAGAAAGATACTGGACACTTGAGAAAGATGTTGGACACTTCAAGAAAGATGTTGGACACTTGAGAAAGATGTTGGACACTTCAAGAAAGATACTGGACACTTCAAGAAAGATGTTGGACACTTGAGAAAGATGTTGGACACTTCAAGAAAGATGTTGGACACTTCAAGAAAGATACTGGACACTTCAAGAAAGATGTTGGACACTTCAAGAAAGATACTGGACACTTCAAGAAAGATACTGGACACTTCAAGAAAGATGTTGGACACTTGAGAAAGATACTGGACACTTGAGAAAGATGTTGGACACTTCAAGAAAGATGTTGGACACTTCAAGAAAGATACTGGACACTTCAAGAAAGATGTTGGACACTTCAAGAAAGATGTTGGACACTTCAAGAAAGATACTGGACACTTCAAGAAAGATACTGGACACTTCAAGAAAGATACTGGACACTTCAAGAAAGATGTTGGACACTTGAGAAAGATACTGGACACTTGAGAAAGATGTTGGACACTTCAAGAAAGATGTTGGACACTTCAAGAAAGATGTTGGACACTTGAGAAAGATACTGGACACTTGAGAAAGATGTTGGACACTTCAAGAAAGATGTTGGACACTTCAAGAAAGATACTGGACACTTCAAGAAAGATGTTGGACACTTCAAGAAAGATACTGGACACTTCAAGAAAGATGTTGGACACTTCAAGAAAGATACTGGACACTTCAAGAAAGATACTGGACACTTCAAGAAAGATACTGGACACTTCAAGAAAGATACTGGACACTTGAGAAAGATGTTGGACACTTCAAGAAAGATGTTGGACACTTCAAGAAAGATACTGGACACTTCAAGAAAGATTTTGGACACTTGAGAAAGATACTGGACACTTGAGAAAGATGTTGGACACTTCAAGAAAGATGTTGGACACTTGAGAAAGATGTTGGACACTTCAAGAAAGATACTGGACACTTCAAGAAAGATACTGGACACTTCAAGAAAGATGTTGGACACTTGAGAAAGATGTTGGACACTTCAAGAAAGATACTGGACACTTCAAGAAAGATACTGGACACTTCAAGAAAGATGTTGGACACTTCAAGAAAGATACTGGACACTTCAAGAAAGATGTTGGACACTTGAGAAAGATACTGGACACTTGAGAAAGATGTTGGACACTTCAAGAAAGATACTGGACACTTCAAGAAAGATGTTGGACACTTCAAGAAAGATGTTGGACACCTCAAGAAAGATACTGGACACTTCAAGAATGATTTTGGACACTTGAGAAAGATGTTGGACACTTCAAGAATGATTTTGGACACTTCAAGAAAGATGTTGGACACTTCAAGAAAGATACTGGACACTTCAAGAAAGATGTTGGACACTTCAAGAAAGATGTTGGACACTTGAGAAAGATACTGGACACTTGAGAAAGATGTTGGACACTTCAAGAAAGATGTTGGACACTTCAAGAAAGATACTGGACACTTCAAGAAAGATGTTGGACACTTGAGAAAGATGTTGGACACTTCAAGAAAGATACTGGACACTTCAAGAAAGATACTGGACACTTCAAGAAAGATGTTGGACACTTGAGAAAGATACTGGACACTTGAGAAAGATGTTGGACACTTCAAGAAAGATGTTGGACACTTGAGAAAGATGTTGGACACTTCAAGAAAGATACTGGACACTTCAAGAAAGATGTTGGACACTTGAGAAAGATGTTGGACACTTCAAGAAAGATATTTGACACTTCAAGAAAGATACTGGACACTTCAAGAAAGATGTTGGACACTTCAAGAAAGATACTGGACACTTCAAGAAAGATATTTGACACTTCAAGAAAGATACTGGACACTTGAGAAAGATGTTGGACACTTCAAGAAAGATATTGGACACTTTAACTGCGCGCAAATGATAGGAGAAATCTGGCAGTTCTTGCTCATTGCATCGTAGACAGTTATCTTTTTTTGATTTTTAGCCAAGGCCTGCCTATAATAGCAAGGAAATGTTATTATCCCCACACTTTCATTCCTTGAACTTTTATATATTACTACCTCCCCCCCCCCTCTTATTTGTTTTTTGACCGAGATCAAATTCGATTGATACTACAGATAAATTTTTCATTATCTTCATATTTTTTCTGAATTCAATATAAAGAAGATTCTAACATAATAATATCTCTTGAAGTGTCCAGTATTTTTCTCAAGTGTCCAACATCTTTCTTGAAGTGTCCAGTATCTTTCTTGAAGTGTCCAACATCTTTCTTGAAGTGTCCAAAATCATTCTTGAAGTGTCCAACATCTTTCTCAAGTGTCCAAAATCATTCTTGAAGTGTCCAGTATCTTTCTTGAGGTGTCCAACATCTTTCTTGAAGTGTCCAACATCTTTCTTGAAGTGTCCAGTATCTTTCTTGAAGTGTCCAACATCTTTCTCAAGTGTCCAGTATCTTTCTCAAGTGTCCAACATCTTTCTTGAAGTGTCCAGTATCTTTCTTGAAGTGTCCAGTATCTTTCTTGAAGTGTCCAGTATCTTTCTTGAAGTGTCCAACATCTTTCTTGAAGTGTCCAACATCTTTCTCAAGTGTCCAGTATCTTTCTCAAGTGTCCAACATCTTTCTTGAAGTGTCCAGTATCTTTCTTGAAGTGTCCAACATCTTTCTCAAGTGTCCAACATCTTTCTTGAAGTGTCCAACATCTTTCTCAAGTGTCCAGTATCTTTCTCAAGTGTCCAACATCTTTCTTGAAGTGTCCAGTATCTTTCTTGAAGTGTCCAACATCTTTCTCAAGTGTCCAGTATCTTTCTCAAGTGTCCAACATCTTTCTTGAAGTGTCCAGTATCTTTCTTGAAGTGTCCAGTATCTTTCTTGAAGTGTCCAACATCTTTCTTGAAGTGTCCAGTATCTTTCTTGAAGTGTCCAACATCTTTCTTGAAGTGTCCAACATCTTTCTTGAAGTGTCCAGTATCTTTCTCAAGTGTCCAACATCTTTCTTGAAGTGTCCAGTATCTTTCTTGAAGTGTCCAACATCTTTCTTGAAGTGTCCAACATCTTTCTTGAAGTGTCCAGTATCTTTCTCAAGTGTCCAACATCTTTCTTGAAGTGTCCAGTATCTTTCTTGAAGTGTCCAACATCTTTCTTGAAGTGTCCAACATCTTTCTCAAGTGTCCAACATCTTTCTTGAAGTGTCCAGTATTTTTCCTATTTTGTTTTGAAATTCTTATGAGCGACCTAGAATTTTTTTTTTTTTTTTTTTTTTTTTTTTTTAGTAGTTAATATTGTGGTAACGGGATGTAAATTACCTGTGCTTTTCGTAAAGATTACGCTTATTCAACTATAAAGAATTTGGACACGTCAAGTAGTTATTACGATCAATACTACTTCTCTAGTGTACAAAATAAAGACTACACAGAAGAGCAAAACTGAAAAGGGGATTTTAGAACTATGTTTATTGATATGACATACGAGTGATATTTATATATAACGGCTTTGTTTACTTGCTTGCTTACTGATTTTGCTAACCTCCCAGATGTAGTCTCGATGCGGACATCACCGCTCACAACAATATTTTATTTTATTCAAATATTTTTTGGAGAGACACATCGCGGAGTGGTGGACTTCGAGCAACGGAATGGCTATCAATATTATGATTATGCGTTTGCAGGGAGCAGTTTATCAATGTGACAAACTGTTCTAGAGGAAAGGTGTTCGATAGATGCGGAGGAGAGTGGTGCCGGATTTTGGCTACCGTGAAGCCAATACAGATTCTACATTTACCAAAGGGTTGTAGAAATGACGGCAATTTATTTGGAGTGTGTTAAGCACAAAGAATAAAAGGATTATAATTTGTAGCTTATAAAAAATGTTTGATATTACAAAAACAAGAAAAGACTTATTAGAATAAGATCAGACACAAAAACTAAAGATTTATTGATGAAGACAAGAGTTATCCTATTTATACTAAATTCTGAATGCCAAAGTAGCAATTTATCTTGTTCAACGCTTATCACATCTGGTGAACCTCAGCATCTAGATAGCCGAGATGCACTTCAATTATCATAGCTTGTCCATGTTGTTGCACAACACAGACATATCTACCCATCAAGAATACCTTAGTCTTTATAGACATTTGTAGTCCTTCTGGCACAACAGAGTGATCTTTGGTAAAATGAGGAAGATGCAAGGAACGCACTGTGCCATAGATGATCTCGGAAGTCAAAGGATAGTTGGAGTAGTATTGTAAGAGCACGGATTGCCAAAGTTGCCATTTGACTGGACAGTCAACGAGGAAATGCCTCAATGTATCGATGCCTTAGGCACAGAAGGGACAGGTGGAGTTTTTCACAGAGCCAATTGTGCGGAGGTAGGATTTATGAGGGATGCATCTTGACAGTGCTCGATACAGAACCGTTCTTGCTGATGAATGCGCAGGAGATGACCATTGAATTGCTGAACCGATGTTCCGATGGAACCAGCTGTTGTTTCTGTTGACGATAGGTGATGGGACGGTACTGGGTCCATTGGTCTGTAATGCCCAGTTTGCCAAAGAAATCAACACTAGCCCAGTCCAAATTGGAGTTGGAGGGAGGGCGGAAGATGTGTGGCCACACACCAGGAACCAGTTGGACGGTTTTAAAAACCAGTATTTCCTGATACAGTGAGGCACAAAGACGAGAATAGATGGGACATGGCTTCCTCCCCTAAAGAACACAATGGCACCATTAAGGACCTGAAGTCATTTCAACAAACAAAAAAATTATGGTCTGCTGTCATAACTGGTGGCTCCAACATTAACTCGAGTGTTATGTCTGACTCGCCAACCCCTCAGTCCCAAGGTGAACCTGAACCCCTCACCTCCAGCGACGCTCTTACGTCTCAAGTCGATCATTTCTCGCACAAAGTTGCCCGAACATTTTTGAAAGGCACCGTACCTCACTCTGTCCTTATCGACATCACCCAAGTCTTAGACAGAAGGAGTTCATTGTTGCCCTGAACCTCTTCTGCGAAGCCAATACCCATTTATGGGCAGTCTCTGAACACATGCGTCGAGACAACAACCGCATCTTTGCTGAAATCTCGGTCTCACCCTCCATGTATCAACAGATACTTCAGCAGCCTGCACTTCAACTCGAAAATTTTGAGGAGCCTTTGATGACTTATCCAACTCTTTCGCCCTCCGCAAACATTGTCAAGCTGTCCCTGATTCGTTTGCCTGCTCAGTACGGTCGTAAAGATGGTGGCAATACCCAGCTGAAAGCTGACATGCACCACAACCTCGAGAAGTTTGGTCAACTGATCGACTGTAGTTATGTTACTGGCGGTAGCAGCGTCTACGCCGGGGGTGGTTATGCTGTTTTAGATGTCAATGCCACTCACGCCAAACTTGAACACTCGCTCAATTGGGCCTACCACCCCATTGACTACGTCTCTGGAGATTTGATGGAACAACGGGATCATGTCCTCTCGCTCGCCACGTAAGCTGCGATGCCATCTTATTGCAAGTACTGCCACTCTATGGATCATGCATTGATTCAATGTGCTACTCGTAAACAAAAGATCACTTGTGATCTTTATGGTACTGCTGGCCATTACAAACGAACTTGCCCTCGTCGCAATGAAGACCTTGACAACTCTACTGAGAAGCGCAAGGTCTCCAAGGCACCAGAGAAGCAATCAAACACTGTCACTTCCAAGTCTTATGCCGCTCCTAAGAGTGCTTCTGCCTCTCAGCTTGTCGCTGATGCTGAAGCCAAGGCCGCTGCTGAAGCCATAGCTGCTGCTGAAAAGGCTGCTACTAACAAAGCTGCTGCTGACAAAACCGCTGCTGATGCTCGCCACGCTGCCAACGCTCACACAGAGGTTAATGCCCGCATTGATGCGAATGCTCAGACTGCTGCTAACACTCTCCATGAGATAAATGTTAATACTTCTTCTCCTGAACACCAACACCGCACTCGCTCAACGACTGGTAGTTCTCCTCCAGAGGTACCTTCACTTCCACCTACCACCCAGCAATGCAAATCCTGTAAACGAACCGATCATAAGATCAAATCCAGCCATAAACGCCTGAGAAATCCCAATAATCCTAATTATATTCCTGAAACTGAGGAATTGATAGATCCTATGGACACTGAAAATGATGATGGTTCTGCTTCTATGCAGAATTAAACCTACCTTCCTTAAAAAAAACCCCCACACAAGGAAAATGAGTTTATTGAATCCTTATTCTAATATAGAGATAATTAATTCATCAATCAACACGGCTTATACAACACCAACAACTCTGAACCCCCCGGACTCCTCTTTTGCGACGCTACGAGTTGGCACGCTCAACTGACGAGGCCTCACCAAGACAGCTGCCTCCTCTACCCGTCAACACTTTATACGCTATTTACGAACATGCCCTCTTGATTTACTGGCACTTCAAGAGACGCATGCTTCCAGCACCACCACTCAAGATCAATTCCACCTCCAATTCCAGGCCAAATCTAGTATCTGGTCTCAACATTGCGGGTTGGTCACCTTTTCTTCTGACATTTCATTCTCGAACTCAATTGTCAGTATCTGTGGGCGGATCATATCAACCACGATATCTCATGCATTTGAGCCGTTTTCTATAAAGGTAGTGTATTTTCCTGCCTCCCGATCTGAACGTATTTGCTTTCTGTCTACCATTCTCACAGACTTTGCCTCTGTGTTTTCGTCGTCTCCATCACGATCTATCATTTTGGGTGATTTCAATTATAACTACTCCAATGCTTCTTCGTTTCGGAATCGACAGGCTCCTGCTTCTTGGTTACAGTACCTTGATGATCACTTTGTCAATGGTATCACGGCTCCAGGTGCCACTCCTTCTGTTACATTCCAACGTGGTACGTCTCAATCTTGTATTGACTACATCTTCTTGTCATCGGATTTGTTGCCTTCCATATAGTATGAGCACTGCCACACCTCGTACATACAACTCGCTTGGTCAGATCACTTTCTTCTTTCTAGCCAGCTTCGCTTGTATTCATCTGCGGATGCGTCGTCCGCCCTGTCTGTTGGCAAAGGCCTATGGCGTGCCCATCCTCTTCTTGCTTCTAATTCCACCTTTCGTCATCAGCTTCATCGTGCTCTTTGTGGTCGTGTCCCGACCCTTGATCCCACTTTGTCTGTCGCCCAGAAATGGAAAGAATTGAAGCGAACCACTGCTACTGTTGCCAAATCGTTCTCAAGGCGCAATGCTTATACTCTTAAGCGCGCTGAGGAGCTCCTTCATAAGAAACGAGCTGGTCTACAACAGCGCTTGAACTCGGATTCAATTCAACATTCGGTTCTCACTCCACATTTGACCATTGTCGAGGAACAACTTGCAGCCATTCAACAATACCATGTTGAAACCTTAGCTCTACGGTCTGGTGTGCGTTGGCGTGAACAAGGTGAGATGCCGCCCGGCTTCTTGAAGAAAACATCTTCTATTCGAGCTGCTCGGACCCTCATCCCTCCCTTGATTCACCCATCGTCGCATTCATTGTGTACCACCAAAGATGCCATGCTCGATGCCGCTGCTACTTACTACGGTGCTCTTTACACCCCAGATACCATCGATATGCATGCCGTGCATGACCTACTTGATGCGATCCCTGCTTCCACTCGTCTGTCAACCACAGCATCTCTGTCATCGATTGAGCCCATTTTTTTGAGGATCTCTGTGAAGCCTTTTCTCGTGCACCCACCACTTCCTCTCCTGGTATAGATGGTTTACCGTATCAGCTTGTCCACTTGATTGTCACCAACCCAACCTGCCGAAAAATCGCACTAGCCACCTTCAACAATGCTCTGTCTCACTCGGATCTCCCTCCTTCATGGCTGGAGTCCTGTGTCGTGCTTCTTCCAAAGAAAGGACCCCCCAGAACTTTTGCAAAACTGGCGTTCCATCTCCTTGATCAACACAGATGCAAAGTGTTCACTCGTATTCTCAGTGGTTACATGATTGACCAAGCTGCCCCCCTTATCAATCCCTTTCAAACGGGTTTCGTTAAAGGTCGGTTCATTGCAGACAATGGTCTTCTTATGAAGTTAATCATGGAACATGCGCGCGACTCCCAGTCCTCCAGTATTGGTCTGCTCCTTGATTAGGAAAAGGCGTACGACCGTGTCCATCCCGTATACCTTCGTGCCGTCCTCCTTCGTTTTGGCTTCCCCGCGGCTTTGGTTGATTGTATCTCTCACTTGTTCTTTGACAATCATCTCGTTGTCAATGTCAATGGTTTTCTTTCATCACGAGAACCACAACTACGAGGCCAGAAACAAGGGGACCTCATCAGTCCTATTTTGTTCAATTTGGCATTTGAACCGCTTCTTAGAAAGATTCTCCAGGACCCTCAACTACCAGGTTTCCAGTTGCCTTCACCTCTATCATTCAACGCTCCCTCTGCTGTCAAGATGATGGCGTACGCTGATGATATTGTTTGTCTGTTGACCTCTCCTGCAGATCTCAATCGCCTACATTCCCATCTACAAGTGTACTCTGCTGCATCCAACGCTCTCGAGAACTTCCACAAGACGGAGGCTATCTCTCTCAGTGGCTCAAGAAGCAACTTTGATTTGATTTGGCGAACTCCCCTTCTTCAACATCGCATCACTAGTTGGCACGACGCTACCTCGCCATCATCAATCCGCTATCTTGGTTTTTCCGCTGTATACATCAATTAAACAACGGGACTCGTTCCTGGATCAACTGCTAGACAAGATCCGTCTGGGCTGTCAAATTCACAAACAACGAGGGCTCTCAGTACGCGGTAGAGCCACTGTTCTCAACTCGCTTGTCCTCAGTAAACTGTGGCATGTGCTTCGTGTGGTGACAGTACCGGTCAAGTTCCTGGACAATATTCAGTTTGTGATCTCTCAGTTTGTCAATGTTAGAATCTCTCCAAAAATTGGTCATCCCACCTTCTTCTCTTCTCGTTCCCAGGGTGGTCTTGACATCCTCAATCCAAAGCTGCAACAAGGTGCGCTCCAACTACGTTGGCTGGAACCGCTGCTCAGCATGTCTACTACCCAAATGATGTCGCATTCTTCAATCGTGTTACCTCGGCTAGTTGGTTTTCTCGGAGACCATCTCTCCAAACGCCCTGACATCCCACCAGATCATCCGTCACAGCCACTTGATCATCGCATCAGTATGCTTTTTTCAGGATGCCGTCCATCCATTTGTCAACAACAAGAGAGTTTTTGGTCATTGCTGTTTAGAGCTCTGGATCGCATTCCAAAAGATTTCTCATCTACTATCATCAGTGCGGCCACCAGTTTAGAGATCCCTTTGGCCACGGTCCTTCTTTCCGTTTCACCTGGTACAAAGCTCTCCAAATCCTATGCCAAGCTGCCAACCTCCATCGCCTACACTTTGGATCCCACATTGGACAGTTGCCTTCGCCCAAAGACTTCCCGCGAGATTTCATCCCCACCCAAACTCGCAAATGGTTTCTTGCGGCTCGTCAGACAGGATCACATCAAGCTCGCTCCCTTCTTTGCCCGTACATTCATTCACAGAAGGTTTGCAGGCTTGGGTTGTTTTCCTTTCTTACCAGTTGAGGATCACCGCACTGTGGATGCCTCACCGTTCGTCCAAGCTATATTCTCCTCATTGTCACCGACACCTCTTGTTCGCCAGCATCGTCTGTCCACAAGATCATATCGAAAACTTTGCTCACAGCCATTAAAACCTGAATCTTTCCTACCTCCTCCTTACAACCCATCCATTCGCCCATCTTGGTCGACCTTTTGGTCTTTGCCACTATCACACTCATGTCGCACTGTTTGGTACCGTTTCCTTCATCATCGAATTCCTCACAGACTTCGCTTGCATGAATGGAAAAAGATCCCTTCACCGTCTTGTTCCATCTGTCAATATCCCACTGAATTGACCGACCATTTCATGTTCTCATGTCCTGTCAAACTGGCTGTCTGGCAGCAGGTTCACAACGAGCATTTGGGCGTAACAGTGTCCATCACTTCTCTCGACCTTCATCACCTTCTAACCACCTTTTGTTCTCCTTATGTTCGAACAACATCCGATCTTTGCATCATTGCTGCTACACTGGAATCTATCTGGTTATCACATTGGTCCTTTGTCTTCAATGATACCCCATTTACCACTGACATTGTTCTCGTTCGGGTCGCTCAAAAGATTCGCCTACACAAACAGGAGTCATTCATGGCGGCTGGCATTCCGCACTCACCTCCTCCTTTCTTCTCCGTCGATCCCGTCTAAGGTTGGGTTGATCTACCTTCTCCGCCTGTCGTTCTGCTTCTACTGCAATATGTCGACTCCTCAACCTCCAAAACACAACAATCAGCAACTTGAAATCAAAAAAAAATACAAAAACATTGCATAATTTCAAAAACCCAAAAAACTCGCCCTACCCCCTCCTCCTTTATAAAATAGAAAACCCCAAAAACATATATATGTGATCACTGTTCACTAATAAAACCGAGACCACCAGTCTCCATATAAACAAAAAAAAAAGAATAGATGGGATATTCTGACGCGACACCGTTGTTGAATGAGATCAAAAATCAAGAACTTCGCGGTTGGAAACTGGGGATGACGCCCGGAGCCAGTGATCATCGCTAAGCCCAGTGAGGAGCTTGTGCAAAGGCAATTGCATGATGATCTGGAGCGGGATGACATCCACCTGTTTAAGTCCATGGAAATCAACGTAATCATACAAGGCAAAGATAGAATGCCAGATGGAGAAATCCTTGTGTATCAGGGGGATTTGCGGCAATCAGCATCTAGGAAAGCCAGGTATGGGAAATCTGAAGACGATGGGGGGCAGTGATAAATGATAAATAAGGAAGGGCAGCAGGAAGAACGGATAATTATGCGATTCGACGAGGCAATTGAGCCAGCGTTTTTGGAGGATCAACTGTTGAAGAGAAGGATCGAGAACGGCAAGACCATCTCTAGACTTGGATAGGAAGACGAGGTCTTTGCGTAGTAACGGCCGCTTCTTCTGCCAGACGAACTGATAGACACAAGACTTGATTTTTTCTAAGAACCTCTCGGTGGGCTTCAACATGCGCAGACTGTACCACACCTTGGACAAGATCAAGCTGTTGACGATGGTGACTCGATCCAGGATGGACAGTTGGCGTTGGCCGTATATCTGGCATTGGGGCTTGACTGAGTTGATGAATAAGAGCGACAGAAAAGGAGAGGCCAAGCCATCACTGCCAGGAGCTGTGGCCTTCACTGAGCGGTTCGCCTGTTGCAACAGCTCATCCAGTGTAATAGGATCTATCAAGGATTGCTGCTCATCGGCGGTCATCGTTTTGTCAAAGGTCAAGTTGCATAGAAGAATTCTTCGCCCAGAGTAGCTGTCTACCAAGTGATGCTATGATGCGGTTTCGGGTAAGTGACATTAGGTAGTTGCTGGATAATTGCATATCCGGAGCCCATGAGCCATCCCGTGGACTGTTCATAATTAAGACCGAGGTCCAAAGACCCCTATGGCCGTGGATATTTCTTGTAACAATTGTTCTTGAGGGAGGAAGGAAATGTCCGTGAGAGAGATTTGGATCAATTTACCTTCTCCATCGACAGCTTTACAAAGGAAGAGCTGGATCTTGGCGTTTTCGGATTCGTACATGATACCTTCGGTAAGGAAACGGTCGGCGATGCCTTTGGTGGGATAAACTTCGATATATCGTTGAGTGGTCTTGCCCAAAAAGTTGATACCAATAAAGTTGCTCGCCTTGTATTGTTGATCAAGGATTTGCAAATGTTGCTGTTCAGGTGTATTAGCGATATTGGAGATGTCAAGAAAATAACCATCGTTGGTACGAGCATTCCGTGGTTTGTTGCAGGGGATGCAGAGTCGGTAGGCGCACCAGTGCGTTTAGTAATAACCTCTCCATGCAGGAGAGAGTGCGAGGTGGTGGTAATGCGAGGTCTGACTACGGCAGCATAACTTTTTTTAACGAGGTACTGGTGTACCAGTCGGTTTGTGTTTTTTTTTACTGGGAAGAGCCATGATTTCGACCTAGAATTGTCAATATCTTATGATAGAGCATGCCGGGGCTTTGAATCAGAGCTCATTCGGTAGGATCTTGTTTGCCCTACACTTTGACAAGTACTACAAGTAGAGCTTTGACGACAGAAACCTGGTAATCTGTCAAAAACAACCAAAAACCGCAAAAATATTCTTTCAAAAATCAGTCCAATAGCTTAGATTTATACACTTAAAAGTAGTATCACTAGATTCTCCTTTAAATTCTATCCTAAGTTTAATTAAGCTGGAAAGCAGTGTTATTATCAAAATCGCATGACTCGATGTTGAACGATTTCAGAAATCTATGAATCCTCATTTGAAGCAGTGAGTTTTGTTGTATCGGTAGATTCAATATTAACAAGTTAAGATAGAAATCAAAAGGAAGACCCGACTCGCTAGTTCAGTTACAATGATATGATTAGCAATCCCGGCATTGCTCTTCGCAAGCACAGACCATCATAACAAATTATATAAAAATAGCTTACTTTTATACGTATTAAACCTAACCTGTCAACATAGACAGCAAGGAATAATTGTAAATCATGATCCGACTATCGCTGAGTTACTGAATTTCCACAGCTTCTACAGACTCAACAAGTTTTTTTTTCTTTTATATACACGCCATGTGTTGTAAAACAGACCATTATTACTAACTTTACCACAACAAGTACACTCAATACTTCATCTGCCACAAATTACTACTCTGGAAATATTCATAACTACACTTTCTATAATTGCACAATTACACGAGCTCAAAGTCCTAATTCAATAAGGCACTGTAACCATGCACGGGAAAAACGACATTTATAGATGGTTATTGTTGAGGGCGTAAGCTTTACCAATTGTCTGTATTTAGTACTATTTCTTACGCTTGTTTAATAAAGTAACCTCTTTTTTCAGTCTTATTCAATACTATTGATTTTTTATACATTTTATAAGTACCCAAGCTTTTCGGTTACATCATCATGGATGAAACAATTGAAATTGATGTTATTGACCAATCAAAATTAATTTTGTTAGTTGCTTGAAAATAAGCAATTCGTGTGAGTTATTGTTTTCTCCCTTTTTTTTTTCTTTAGTTGTAACCCTCTTGCCCTGAAAATGTTAACTTTAGGCCAAGCTTCCTGCCTTGTCCTTGGATACAAACCCAATGATCCAGAAGAAAGAAAAAAGGCAAAAGAACATCTAGAAAAAAGTTGCTTAATTGCAGTACACGTACGTAATCAAGATCCTTTTCAACCGATGGCCATTGGTATTAGTGTACACGAGCGAGATCCCTTCAAATTCATAAGTTATCCCGATTCTCCAACAATGCCATCTACAAATTTACCTGATAACATTGATGATCTCGATGGCAACGACAGCAACGGCAATAACAACGATAGCAACAACAATGGCAGCGACGATAGCGACAACAACGGCAATAACAACGATAGCGACAACAACGGCAATAACAACGATAGCGACAACAACGGCAATAACAACGATAGCAACAACAACGGCAATAACAACGATAGCAACAACAACGGCAGCGACGATAGCAGTGATGATAGCAACAGCAGCATCTATGAAAATAATAATAGCAACAACAGTAACAAGGACAGGTCTAAAAAACGGAAGCTTAATGACACGGTTATACCATTCTGCAAGGATCGCCTGCTGAGCCTCATGAAAGAAATTGCCACCGATGAAAACCCTTTGAACAACAATTGTTATTTCAAACAATTCCTAACTGCAGAAGATCAATACCAACTAATGTCCAGAGTGTTCCCGCGTCTTAAAAATCATTGTAGCGTAAATCAACTTCAATATTGGATTGGGCAGGCAAAGATCTGGGGAAAATCAGAACGTTCACGAAAAAATCAGCGAAAATCTGGACGATACTTATGGGTGGTTGATGAACAGCTATGGGGTAAAATCACTTCACTAAAATTTGGATTTCCATATTTTAACAATCTATTCTGTAGCGTTTGTGACGGACACTTCCGACTCGGTCAAGGCATACTGGAAATATTTAAAACATGATACCAAATACATAACAATTGGATACGCACGTAAATCGCCAACTGATGAAACAAAAGAATCACGAATGCGTTTATTACAGTTAATGGTGAACAAACTTTACTCCCGCGGAAAGTGTGAAGAAGTATTCGTGAGCCCAATTTGCAAAGCAGATCAACCAATATTAGAAAGAGACTCGCCAAAGCAGGATGATTTACTGCTGCATTTAAAAGGATCCCATGGCGATATCTCTGGTATATCAAGATTCGGTATAAATATTATAATAACTGAAGATTTTCTATAGATTTAGTTGCACGCGTCCATTTCAGCCAAAAACCTTTCCGACTTGTCATCATTGACTATGCCGGGCTTTCAACGTCTCCAGATGATATTAGGACTTTTTTAAAGTAAGTCGAAAAGAATACTGATTGCAGCAAGGTTTTTCATGCTATTATAATTTGAATACTAGACAATGCAGCAATATCAAGGAAATTGTTGTAGACCATGGCTCTTCGTTTGAGATCTTATCACGTTTTGATCTTTTGAAAAATAATAATCTGGAAAAATTTAAATGTCGACGTGCGAACGTTCAACGATCAAGGTAAATATTTTTTTCTCTGCTAATGGCTTGTCTAATAAAAAAACGAAGTTTATTTTAAAAACTGAATGAGATATGCAGTAACGATAACATGGTTGAATTTATGTCAATGACCGTTTCGGGATATGTGTTATGTATATTTGTGAAACGGGTATCTGTAATTATATGTACGAAGTAAATGGTTTCTACGCATCACTATGAATCAAGAAAATAGGGCATTCAGTCTATGTCTGTTTATAAACTTAAAGGTTTATGTCAGCGCGTTGTCACTTGCAATGTGTGTATCGCATTGTACATGCAGTGGTTTGCTGACTAAATCATGCTGGTGTCGTATTGATCCTGAAAAATACTTTTCGATGGATAGATCTAGACTGACGCCTACAGATTTGGATTCTAGGCATAAATCGCGCATCCCCATCTCTTGCTCTACAACATGAGTAGTATAGCAAGGCTCTTCAGCTTCCAATAATCCGAGAAAATGTCAATGGCAGGCATTTTTTCTATTGGAAGGGAGATTCAAAAATGTCTTCAAAAATTAAGGGGTGGGGATTACAAATCAGGTCGGATATCTTATCGTTTCATTTCGTGGAAACCATCAACATGCTTTGGATTCTTCCATATAGATGTGAAAAAGTATCATAAAGAATGTTCCTCAATGACAGTAGATAAAAAGCAATGAACCCATAAAGTAGCTCGGCGATTCATAAAGCCTACTGATCGTTTGCTCTGAAAAAGTGCAACATTTTAATATGGATGCGCACACCTCAGCTTAACAGTTTGGATAAACCCATGTTTTGATAACAGCATAAATGGCACAGTGATTGATCATTGTTGAGCTCATTTTGAGAAAAATAAAGGGTCTGAGACATTTAGAAACAAATGTTTCCATGACATTTCCTTAAATGTCTGTTTATTCTTCCAGACTTATGAGGACTGGTTCTGTGTTTTGATAAAGAACACGCAAAGCAACAAAAAACATTTTCATTAGCGAACCATGTCAACTTTTAAAAAGCAAAAGAATTATAGAAAAAAGAAGATCGAATCTGATGATGAATTAGACACTGCTCAAGAGCCTACTCCAGACCTTGAACAAGTGAGGTAACTCTATACACGCATTGAACATGTATTTGGTTGATTAAACACCATTTGTAGTGCTACTATCGAGGAATTAACAGAACTGAGAAAACTTCGTCGCAAGCCAGTTGGTCTCGATGCTGACAAGCTCCTGAAAGGTGCTGAAAAGAAAAAGAAAAAGAAGAAGATAGAGGATCCTAATGCTTGGAGTTTGAAAAAGGGTGGATTGGTTGAACCTGACGCATATAGAGCATCGAAATTAGATGACGAAGAATCAGCCAACAAATCTAGAAAGCTTAAATTAGATGCGTTTGCTACGGCAACAAACACATTAGATGTAGATAAGCACATGTACTGTAAATCGTCTTGAACTTTGTTTTACATCCCCGTTTTACTGATGCTTTTCATAGGATGGAATACATTGAATCTGAAATGAAAAAGAGACGAGGTGGAGCAGCAAAGGACGATGATGAGGACGATGAAAAAGCCGTCGATCGTGGATTAGTTGACATCTATGAGGAGCTGTATCGCATTCCAGACAGACTAAAAGGAGAGCAAAAGCAACAGGAGTCAGAAGGCAATGTTCAACTATCAACTCAAATGTTGACAGCCATCCCCGAGGTCGATCTAGGCATTGATACTCGATTGCAGAACATTGAAGACACTGAACGAGCAAAACGCAAGCTGATTGACGATACTGAAAAAGAGGAGAGCGAGTCTGGCGGCCAACAGGGCGCAGCTGAACATGTACCTGCAAATTTTGAGAAGCAAATTCCCAAGCAATACAAGCCAAGATTAGATCATAAGCTCATGGCCACTGATGATCAAGCTGTAGCCAGATTCAAGAAGAGAATGAGAAAATAGAACATTGGAAGCTGGTTTTTTTTCTCTTTTCATTAAAAATGCTTAATCAGAACTTTTATTATGTAATGGGTGTGGGGCAGAAGAGACAAGGTTCAGCATTTGTGTGTTCAAATCTAAAGGGTATACATATATATATATATATATATAGCATGAAAATTATTTCGATGCCTAGGTTGAGCAAGAAGCTCGTTTCATAAATAATGATCTCTGTTTCCAGGATGTAGTAGAGCGACTAGCGGATGGCTGATAAAGTGAAGCTGAATAAGGTTTAGATGTGAGATTGGAGGAATTGGAGGAATTGGAGGAAATAGAGGAATTGGAGGAAGAGGCAGTTTGATTAGTCAAAGTCTTTGGTCCAACAAACATGTAGTTTGTAGCAGAGAGATAATCGACATCCTCATCATCTGAGGGAGTCAGTTTGTCAGAGGGGTCACCTTCGGGTAGAATTTGATTCTTCCATTTGCACTGATTGCATTCGTAGCGTACATTCATATTGTTTGGCAGAGCGACTCTTCGGTTGAATACAATCCATTCATTTTCATAGCGAGTCAATTGAACTGTATCTGGCTTCTTGCAGCGTGGACATGGATGTGTAGCATTTTCAAGCTTGATCTTGCGATCATTGCTACCTACTGAAGATTTCGAGTCAGCGTATAGGCTTCTAAGCATGATTAAGTAGTGCAAGCAACTCACATAGTACAAAATATTGTGACATTTGAAGAGTATACAGAATATAAAGAATACAAAGAATTGGAAATGTTCCTTTCCCTCCCTCGTTTTATATCAAATTGAGACAGACGGCCCCAGATTGAACATCAGGGTTTCGTTTTCAGATTACCAAATACTTCCTAGTGCCTAAATGGCACTGATCACCTCACTTAATAATTTTTTTTTTTTTTTTTCATAAAAAAAAAAAAATTACCATATAAAAAAGTGAACCCTGTTTCTGTTTAAAATATGTAAATTGTGTAACAAAAAAAAAAGTCGCTACAATATTATTTGCAAAGGTCAACCATGAGCATGTCACACAATTTTATTCGACTCATGTCTCAATGGCAATGTTCTGGATTGCACGAATTCCAAGTCATCTCAAATCAAGGCTGATGGTGAATTTTGTTAGACATTACGTAAATGAACCGATAAAATAACATTCTTTGAAAGCAGAAACCTACAAGCATGAATTAAATATATTTAAGATCACTGCCAATATTTTCACCTCTTCAGAGGACGTTTTCTGAATTCTATGAAACAGGAAATGCACTGGAACGAAATCCCCAATTAAATCCATTCTCATCTTGTCATTTATGATTATGCAATTGCTTACAGAACAAATAGAATAGCCATAAACCAACACAAACAGGAAAAATTTATCAGGGTATGGCGCGATATTACAAAAACGACATAACCTGTAGAATACAGCAAAATGCGTGTTATCAAGTCTGCTCATGAAATATTACCAATGTCATGGACATGCACCTCTCCTGAACTTGACATGGAGGAGTATATTCTCCATGTGAAGCAAGTTACGAACGGTGCCCTCCCAAAGTGGGGTTACTGAGAAAGTTATTCCATGATCTCTACAGAGTCTAGACGATCATTCTTCATCTTAAAGTGGCACCAGTTGATGCTGAAAGCGAAACACACTCCGTGCTTTGAAGTGAATAGTTTCAGTGATGATTCGATCATTGACCCCAATAAGAGTGCTATCCTAAGAAAAGAGGCTGTTTGCCTCAGGGAAATGCCTCCAATTACCGCTTATGAGCATTGCAGCAGCTACCATGGTGAACTGGCTCGACTCCACAATCGCCGCGGAAGACGCAGTAGTTTAATCTGTAAAACCGACAATAAAACACACTACTCACCTACTGAATTTGATTTATTGATGCTTTGTCTGATTACTACAAACATAGCATCGCTGAGATGCCATCATGCTATGCCAAATAGAGTGTGCACCTTTTGCTCGATTTAATTGATAAAAGTCCCACTATTTCCAAAGATGGTGCCATTGTAGGTAGATCTCAGTCCTAGTAGGTATAGTTAATATTACCACACTGTTTGATTTCATATATTCATGAACAACAAGGAACGCCAATCTAGTTTGGTGAGATCCTTGCATTGCCTCTTATTACTCAAAAATGCGCATTTTATAGTAAAAATTGGGTGCCTTCGAGCAGCGTTTTCTCGTGCTAGAAAACGTTTTAGACCGCCAGAATAGCAGCAAACAGTTGTTTTCGTCTGGCAGTTACTTATTGCCACTATTGCTCAACTTTTTGGAGACCAAAAAAAAACACTGACCAGAATTCGACCAAAAAAGCATGAGGTACCCCTCATGGTTTACATCAAAAATCAAACGATTGCGTTTTTTTACCTTGAAAATGAAGACTTTTACTATGGTATGTATTAAATCAAAATGTTCCTATCGATTTAACGTAGCCCCTGCAAGTATCTTGGTCGGGCCTCCATATGTAAAATCTCGACATTTTGGCAATAAACCTCTTTTCATGTTTTCATTCATTGCTCAGTCGTTTTGTTCTAAACACTATTTATAATTAGCACCATTGGATGCGCCTTCAAAAGTACTATAAGAAAGCTTAGGATGCATGAGAGAATGAGCACTACTTGAATAGTCGAATCTGGCAAAATAGTTCAAAACAAGTCGAAAGTTCATCAAAGATTTCTATTTCGAACAAAATGTTTGGCGGAGATTAAATCGGTTTTGGCTGCTGGGTTATTGGCAAGATCAATCATGTCATGCTAATTACAAAGGCAATCGATGTTTGTAAAAGTTAACAAAAACAGAAATGGGAATCTACAGTTTAGCTTGACTAATTTCATTTGCTTCTGTCCAGCATTTTCGATTTTTTTTTTTGGATTTAATGGCTACAAATAGCTCGTATCCGAATCATGATGCGACATGAAATATTGCTACCCTGTTTAAAATTGCATTTGTTGTAGACATCGAGCCGATTACTGTGTGTATAAAAGGCTTGCTATCATAGTACACATGGACACATACTTGAAAAAGCATGACAAACAACTACCGGCGTTCTTGAAGGGGGGGGCAACCAAAAAAGCAGGCCATACAAACAATTGTTGCTGGTAACAATATGCCGCTCATCAGCATGTAATTGGCATGTGAAATTTAGCTCAAAAAGCAAAAAAAAAAAAAAGAGAATCTTTTTGTTTGTCGTCTTTTTTTTTTTTTTTTTTTTTTTTTTTTTTTATCTTACATTAATATGATGGATAAAATCAGTGATAGCCTATCAAAAACTGCACGAGATCCATTGAAATACATAGTGGCGCCAATTATCTATTTTGCATACAGCTCAACGCTCTTTTTATATAGCTATTTACTACAGCCTTGGATGGTACACGCTATTTAAACTTTGTTCTCGATAATGAATTCGAAAATACTCATACAGCCTCCTGTTTGATCTAGAGAAAATGGGAGCAATACAAAGACAATAAGCCTGAAAATAGACTGCTCGTGCGATTGAACAAGGCAGCGACATTTGATGAATGGCAAGAGAGAGCTGCTGATTTGGACAGGTAAAAGGAGGGGGGAGGAGGAGGAAAGAGGGGTAGTTTAGGTTCCTGAAACACTCAATGCAATGACTCAACGACCTTTTTGAAAATAGATATTTGAGTAAATAACAACCTGCACAACAGTATGAACCAAAAAGTAACCATTTTGTTCATTAGAGAACGATAAATGGAGACAACAATCTGCTTCCAGAGTATACGATTCTAAACTCATTGCATCGAGATTGGAGCATTTGAAAAAAGCACATGAAAATGAAGATGTGGATAGCATGACTTATTTGTTGCGAGGCGTCTTGTTGAGGAACTTTGCTGGAATCTGTGATAGAAAGCTGTTTTCGCACTCTTACTTGGGGTACAGGGATTCGCCTCTCTCTCTCTAAGGATACGCACTAATAACCCTCTCTAATAGAACAAAGCATTTGATTGAGGATTACATGGAAGAAGTGGTTTCACAAATTGAATACATTGAAAAAACATCTGATTTCGATGCTCAAGCCAAAATCAAGTTCTTTAGTGATTCTAGACAGAGTTTTGGATGCTCGGCTCTTGTACTCCAAGGCGGCACTGCATTAGCATTATATCACATCGGCGTTGTCAAGGCTTTGAACGAGCAAGGTCTTTTGCCTCGTATCATCAGTGGTACAGCCATTGGTGCTATGATTGCTGCCTTGATTTGTATTCACACTGACGAAGAATTGCCGGTATGACTTTATATTTAAAAATAACAGGAGAGAGAGCTTACCAATGGACATGTTGATTTTAGAATATTTTACAGCCGGATGGCATTAACCTCAGTGCTTTTTCGAAAAAGGGGCAGACAGGGTAGCGTATGATGATAAATTGCTCGAGTCAAATTCACGTATTCATATCTCGTATGATAGACATTTCAAAAGACGTATCACACGATTCATGAAATATGGCAAGTACACACATTGTACATAAAAATCACATGAATATGGCGGTAATTGACAAATGACGAAATACACAGGCTATTTGATGGACATGAAGGTGTTACAAGAATGTGTTCGAGAAAACGTAGGGGATCTGACATTTGAAGAGGCCTACAAACTGTCAAAGCGAGTGCTCAACATCAGTGTGTCATCCAGTCGTACGCAGGAGGTGCCTCAACTACTCAACTATCTCACTGCGCCTAATGTCTTGATCTGGAGCGCTGCATGTTGTTCCACTGCATCTGTAGGACTATTCGGCAGCTGCAATCTGATGGCAAAAGACAAGAATGGCAATATTGTAAAGTGGATTTCTTCTGCTGTGAAATGGAATCATTGGTCAGAAACGTCTCCTGCTGAAAGCGAAGCTCCTTTGTATCGTCTCTCGGAGCTGTTCAATGTGAACCACTTTATTGTCTCTCAAGCAAGTATATATGCCATTCCTTTTATTGCAAAAGCACAAAACTTGCAACATGAAACGTTGCTGCATAAATTTGCTTATATTGTAGCCTCTGAATTCAAGCATCGATTATACCAGGTAAGTAGTGCTGGATCAAGATCAGAGACGCCCTTACTCATAGGAATGCTTAGCTCGATCAGTTGCATATTTTGCCACATATGCTTCGTGGTGTGATTGAAGAGAAAATGTCTGGCAATGTCAATGTGGTGCCTGACCTTGCCTTGTCTGTAAGTAAAAGCTTCTGGTATGGCACATGCACTTCTAACATTGGGCTGTAGGATTTCAACATTTTGTTTTCAAATCCTTCTCATCAATCACTGGCTTATTGGATTCTGCATGGAGAAAGATCAGTGTGGCCTTTGATAGCGTTTATTAAAACACGATGTATGATTGAGTTGGCGCTTGACAGAGGTAACATGCCATGGATTCTCTTTTCAGGAGGGGGCAGTTGGCTAACTACTTGTATAGCTGTATTGAGATTAAAGGCAATGAACGTTGAGAGAGAGCCAGTTGTTGTTCGCAGCAGATTCATTGAGAACAAAAAGAGGGCTAGATCAATGCATTAAACGCTGACAAGGATTGATATCATCTGTTGCCCTGTCTTTCCAAAATTCGATTCGTTTTAGTATCGCTTGATATGCTATTTTAGGCTTCAAATCATCTTGTCAACAAAGTATACAGTCAGTAACCTATTTCATACATGAAGAATAAACCAGTGATTACCCTCTGTAATTTGCTGACCCTTGACTGAATAATGCTTGGCTAAATAATCCCATGTATCTCTGGATATAATCATGACACTCTCTGATGAGCGCGACGGCAAGTAGGATGGGCTACTACTGCTATGACTACTACCTGAGCCTACAACCACTGAAGACGAGACCACAGACGACAGTAGATGGGTCTGATCGATCATCATCGATGGTGGGTCGGTTGTCCAGCCTTCGATGAACATTTCCCATTCAGACATCCAATTTGACGCGATGAAACAATAGCCTCGAGGGTTGTTCATAATGTAGTGAGGTGTATCCTTCCATCGCATATATCGCTCATATTGGCGAATTGGGCGAATGCGATTGATTTTCCTATCCAGATCAGGATCAAGGTAAATGTAATTGGACCACATGCTGGTTATGTTGGTCGCATGATATTGCTCTGCAGGGTCCGTTTCCTTTCCGCCAATCTATCAAGACATGTTTATGTAAGTATTTCAGTTGACTCGGTGACAGCAAGCAACACTTGACTCGGTGACAGCAAGCAACACTTGACTCGGTGGAATCGAGCACCTGGAAGCAGTATTTACCCAATCAACGCATATTTGACAGAATAGTTCCGCCATGTTTGGTTTGAAATACATGGCATGCTGCATTGTATGTAGTAATCGAGCATGATGTCTAGCATGTCTGTCGCAAACTATGGCACAAGTGTGAGTATGCGTAGAGTCCTGATACACACACAAGCACTTACTCAGTTGATGCTGGCATGAAGAGGACAAGCAGACAAACAGATTTTCAAAGCCAGTGACAAAGCATCGTTGACATTTGTCAAGTTTTGTCAACTGCTGCCTTTGTCGATCCTTCAAAATAATGGGCTGATCTAGGTATTGCTGCAGATGTTGGCATGGCAGTCTCCTGTTTTGCTTTGCAGCTTCAATGCACTGCAAATAAAGTTGTCTGAACGTTTGGTCTGGATGGTTGTAAGTAATGCAGAAATCATCATGACAGTACTGTTTCCAGAGCAGATCTACCCACTGCAACTGGTACATGAACTTGCTGCATTGCGATAAGGTGGCTAATTCTTTGCTAGTCAAGTATTCTGCTATGCAAATCAAAATGTCATAGCTCAAGCAAGTGATGGCAACCATGTGTTTAATGGAAAAAGGAATGTTGTATGTAAATTATCCGCATGTTGGTTGTGTATACATTTGTTTATTTGTTTTTTTCTGCTATAATGTGTATATACCATGTGTCACTACTGCTATTCAATGTCTCCATCCAGCATTCAACTGCATTAATGTGAGTACAGCGTCCATTGGAAATTCAGCATTGTTATTCAGTTGCAGTTGTTGCTGCTGTTGTTCGCCCTCTTGTTGATTTACAGTGGTATGTTGTGATGTCTCTGCAGAGGTAGACGATTGTGGTTGGTTTGCATCATGTTCGTCCTTCATACCTTGAGATGCTGCAGTAGCCGCTGCTTGTAATGTGGATGCTAGTAATGCAGCTAGTTTATCTTCTGGTCTATCTGACATGGCTGCATTGAACTGTTGTTGTAGTTGGAAATCTGTATTATCTGATGGAGCCGTATCTGCTGCCATGCCATGATGCTGGTCTGTTATTGCTGTGAGAGTAGGAGTGTGTGTAGCGGTAGTAGTAGTAGTGGTGGTGGTGGTGGTGGATTCAGTGTGGGTGGGTGGTGTTTGTTGAGGTTGGTATTGTTGTAGTTGTTGCAAGAGTTCAAGCAACTGGAATGGAAATGACTGTAGATTCTTATCGTCTTCCTCTTGCTGTCCCAGATTGCCTGTTGTTTGTGGTTCTTGCTTGATGATATCAGTATCGTGTAAACTGCTAGTACCAGCACTAGCATTGGATAATGTTTGTTGTTGATGAGACTCATCTGTCTGTTGTTGAGCAGCGGCAGCAGCAGCAGCAGCAGCATTATGAGTGCCAATGATACTACGAGCAGCTGCAGGAATACCCAAATTGTTACATAATAATGTTAAATAGTTGGCATCGGTCAGTGTGGAAAGTGATGGCTGTGGTTGCAAATGTTGAGCAAGTGCAGCTAAATCCAAAGCCCCATTAGCAGCAGCAGCAGCAGCAGCAGCGTTCAATTGTCCATCTGCTGAATGGTGATGATGATTATGGTGGTGTCCACCCAATGAATCATCTACTAATCCCTTTCGACGCTCCTTATCCTTTCTCTTTTGTTGGCGCTTCAAGAACTCTTCGTCAATCCATTTCTTCTTATGCTCACTATCCTCTTTACCGAATAACTTATGAGCTCTCTTGTTGACTCGACAGCGAAGATCGTTATCTTTGTCTAAAAAAGCAAAAGAATGAGTAACCCTCTCTTCCGTTGTGAGCATGTATTCCAAGTTCCTTACTTCTCTCTTCATTCTGTTGTCTCCAACGCTTCTTTCGTTCTCTGTTATCGGCTCGAACCTAACTCCACACATGTATGTTTAATATCACTGCTCTAGTCCCCTTTTCTCTTTCAACACACACACACACACACACACACACACACACACACACACACTACCTTTTGATTCATCAGCTCACGCTTCAATATTTCGGTAGGTAACTCATTCAAGCTATTGAGCTGTTGCTGCTGTTGGTGGTCTGACACTTCTTGTGATGGAAGGTTTGGACTGATGGATTGGAGATTTGGTGTAGCAGCACCTGTGTTGGTGGCAGTGGTCGTTGTCGTTGCAGTAGCAGTTGTATCTGGTGAGTTGGCTCCACTACCAGCAGTCGATGAACCTGCGGTGGTAGCATTGTTTGATGCAGCAGCAGCAGCAGCCATGACACTTGCAGCAATAGAATTTTCAAAATTTGTCAGGAATTGAAAATTGTTATCACCACTCAAACCAGCAGCAGCCGCTACCTGGGCCAATTGTGAATGAGCCTCACTCAATTGCTGCAATTGATTGAAGGCGTCTAAATCCTGTTGCTGCTGCTCGATTGTACTTGATGTGTTTGGCAAATCCGCATGCCCAAGAGTTGTTGACGATGTCAAATCGTTTGTAGTAGCAGTAGTAGGTGAGGCAATCTTCTCAGTAGTAGTGGTATTGTTCAGCTCTGACGATGCATGCGATGATTCAGGTGTTGATAATCTAGCCCTTTTACTAGCAGGTTCTTGAACATCTAGGGTAGTATCTATGGCTGGTGATGATGCTTGTTGTTGCTGTTGATCCATGCTTTGAATGATTCACTTGATAAAAGGAGGAGGGGGGGGGGGGCGAAGGAAGGGGTTGGTTTTCTTTCAAGGTCAATGATGGGCAATGATGCAAATGACACACGAATGAGATGCCCAAATGTATGTACGTTTATATGTATATATATATACCAATAAATCAACTCTTTTCGTCCAAATGAAACAAAAAGAAGAGATGGGCGAGTGAGATTGTGTATAGTATAAGAAACAAAAAAAAAAACAAAAACAAAAAAAAAAACTCAAGCTTTGCTTTTTCAGATGGAAATTTGTTCAAGCTATTGGTGATGGAAAGGAATCGCTGAAATAGAGATTTAGTCGAAAAAAAAACTTGTCTAAACCAGTCACCAAGTGTTGCAAAAGAACTTGAAACACACAGAAACCACTTCTCTAGTACAGAACATCCCAAGCATTAGGTGACATTGGAGAGGTTATTCGCATAGCGTAGCCTCGCAAAAGCTTTCTATGCACTCTCAGGTTGAAAACATGAAAGTGCTTCTTGATAGTACGATAAAGGATAGGTCTGTTCCTAGAATACATCCTGTAATTTAAAAAGATCGGCATTTGTCAACAGAACCAAATTGTCAATTGCAAATGATTTTCATATATTTGGCTTGCAGTTTGAGATGGTTTTTACTCACAATCAGAGCTCCTGTTGATGTCTCTGAATTACGCAGAATAAACAAGAGGCTTCTTGTTCATCTGCTTGAAGGTTCTTGATCGTTAGCTTACAATTTCAGGGCTGAATATATGCACTATTGTGTTATTACACAGCAGCAGCAAGAAAAACAAACATTTCGACGCAGTTGCTTATTGTATTTAATGACGTTCGATAATCTATAGCTTATTTCTTGTTGAAACGATGTTTTAATACATTACAGATACAAATGATCATATACATGATTATCGAGTACTGCACCAGGGCAATTTTCTCCATAAAGTCGAATAGATGATGGTGATTGCACTGCCTCCACATTGAGTTTGCCCGCCCATTCTCCTTTATTTCTTCACTTGAAACTCACCCTGACCTCACGCATATCATATATCCCACTTACATTACAGGTTTGAAAAGGATCTCAACATGGTGCTCTAATTGAAATATACATGCACTTACCAGGATTTTACTAAACTGTATACAGTGAATAAGCAATTGAATAATAGCGGCGAAATACTCCTATTTACGCAGCGTGTCCCTATTTACGTGGTACTTGTGATTATACATTTATGAATCTTTACTTTACATTAAAAAAAAAAAAAAAAAAAAAAAAAAAAAAAAAGTGAGAGAAGGGGTTGCTCTAGTGATATAATAGATGAATAATACAAGACACCCAGGAGAGCAAATTATGATTATTTCAGACTGATTCAGCAAGGAATAGGGGTTATATGAAAACAACTTTATTTTTGTCTTGAATTCGATATTCACATGTATGAAAGAAAGAAAGAAAGAAAGAGAGAGAGAGAGATCAATCCTATGTATTTATACATGTAAGAAATTTGTTGGCTTTATATACATAGATATACTCTATCAAACAAACTAGGTATAATATAGAGAACTAGATTGTATGTACATGCATAGTGAGTGCAATCAAATCTTCTCATTCTCCTCCTCGTCGTATTATACATCACATTTACATAAAATGAAATCAAGGGCTCTATCCGTAGGTGCTCTGCTTCAATATATATTTATGTACTCACTACATCACGACCCCCATGCAATAGCAGACAAGTAGATACATACATTACTTTTATATATTATGTAAAATATAGACTCGTACATATCAAATCACCAACTCGCTAGGTCTGCAGGAGCAGCATCAAAAGAGAGAACCATGTAACTACCTCCCTTATCTAAAAGAAACACTGTTACTGTATATATAAATCAATACATCTTGCTAGATTTATGTGAGATTTGCTTACTTTTTTCATTTTCTTCAACTATGGGGTTCTTGAGCTTCAGAAAGAAATCAAAGGCAAGCAAAGCCTTAAATTCAACTAGTTTACCTCCACCGCTTGTATTGACCGATAGCATTCGCACCTCAACATCAACAGATGCAGGCTCTGATTACCGCTCATTTATTGCTGATTCCTTCATGATGGTAGGAAACTCTATTGTGGATATGGCCCAGAGCAGCCTCTCTGAAGACATTTTCAAGGAACTAGTGCCACTCTCCATCAAGAGTGAATCAAGTATGAAATCAAAAGATACCATTCGGCATTCTCTCAGTCTGAAACCCAACAACAGTAGTGCCAGAAGCTCCATTTCGCCTCTCAAATTTAGCACAGCAATCCAGACGCACAATGATAATATTCAATCGCCCTTGACTGAATCCATCATTAGCAATGCGACAAGGTCATCAAAGCAAAGTGATTCTTCTGACTCCTCGTTCACGTCCTTGTCATCTACTGAAGAATTCGTACCTTTGCACCCAGTATCCAGATCAGACCCCCATCACTATGATGGTAAAAAACTTGGTGAACATGTGCCTTTGATGGATCTGCTGGATCGCTCACAAGCACACGAACAAATTGTTGCATCAAAAACGCCGTCTGCCGCTGCTATAAGTGTACCTGGATTGGCAATGGCAAGAATGAAAGAAAGACATCGACAAGAATACCGTCGATCTATGCAACGGCCACTTCCCACGCAACCGCTACCGAATATTTCTTCCTCTACTGCTGCCATAGTGGATTACCATCCTACTTGCTACAAAAAAACCAATTCGTTCACTAGTCAACGTATTCACCCGATGCAGCATCAATTGTCTCCTCCTTCCTCTCCATCATCAGCCTCATTGCTTGTCCATGCACGGACTCAAGTGCCTTTGGTCAATCAAATTAAGCCAGCGGTGGCTCCTATGCGATCCATGTCAAGTAGCACGCATACGTCCAAGCCTTTTGACAGAAGGCCCCTGATTGCAAATATACCATCACCAGTCAACTATCAGCTATCAAAGCCGGTAGTGCCTGTTTCTGATCATCGCCATTATTACTTGTTGAATCAAGCTCAGCACCCTCCTTTAACAGCAGCCGTGCAGCGTCCACATGAAATACCATGCAAGGCAAACCATAATTGCCACCCAAGACAGCGAATGGTAGGCATTACCGAATGTCATTATCAACAGCAGCTGCAGCAGGAGCCTCATGATGTGGGGCTGAGCTCATCATCCAAACTCAAAACGGATTACCGACGCATTGTCTACTCGAGAAAGCAGGATTATGTACCTGATTTAGTAGATTTATTAAATCATCAAGAGGAGCAGCAACAACAAGTTGATGAAAAGTCGTCTTTTTCTCGTTGCTCGCATCATCAGCCTCACCATACCTTGATCAAGCGTCAGTACAACAACACGATTGGCTGTCAACAGGCAAAGCAACAACAGCAGCATCACTATTCAACCACGCATCGCTGTAGTCATCATCATCACTATACGCGTTGTCATCATAGAAAACCAGCTACTTGCTGTAATACTTGCTGCTGAATTCCATATGTAGAGAAACTAAAATATTACCATCTAATAAATACATATTGAATTGATTGCTGTATCAAGTATTTCTGTCCGCGTGGCGTAAGAAAAAAAGGGGGGGCAGTGTCCATCCTAACAAAAGTGCCTTTTTTTTCCAAATGTCAATCTATGAGTAATGCATGTTGTCTGTTTGCTTACAGCCTAAACCGTTTTAATCTCCGATTGCCGTTTGCTCTAGATTGGACAGCTTTTGCTCATTTCCGACTTGTTCGATTTACTTTGAGTCCCTTCTAGAAGCAGATTACACTACATGATGCCTGCATTTTTCGAGTCCCACAATTGTCCTATCTGCTTGTCTCCCAATGAAACTGCCAGCCACCTGCTCTTTGACTGTCCATCCAAAGAAAAGGTATGGCAAGGCGTCATTTTTGATTTCCTATGGCCCACCACGTCCATCACTGACATCAAAGAGGCTCTTCTGTCCCTGGACTTTTCAGATATCTGGTACTCCCAAGTCAAAGGCATCCATCCATACAGAATCCTACTCATCACCCTGTCTCAAATATGGGTAGCCCATATGCGCTTTGTTTTTGACGACACTATCCTTGTCCCTGAGGCGATTCTGGTACATATCCACTCCACTGTCCGACAGACAGTGGATGAAGATCAAATCCATTCCCTCTTGTAATTTAGATAGTTAGATAGTTCCTTTTGTTAGTTTAGTTTAGTTTCCATTTATATTTATATTTTTTTTTTCATTTCTCAATTGCACCCCCCTCTTCACTCTGACCTATTACTCTTAGTGTACGCGGCTCAATCAATAAACACAATTTTTAAAAAAAAAGATTTACTTTGAGCAACTCGACTATGTAAATCGCCACGATCATCTTGTACTCCCTTATGCTTTTTAGGAGTACTCTTTGAGGCGCATCCAACAATGTGTATTATAATTAGTACTTTGAACAAACTTCTTGAGCAATCTACAAAAACAAAGATTGAGGTTTATGGCAAAAAAGTCGAAATTTTACATATTAAGGTCACACAAAAGTAATTTCAAAGGTTGCCCTGAATCCGTAGAAACATTTTGACTCCATATTTACCATAGTAAAAGTCTTCATTAGCAAGGTCAAAAACGCGGTCGTTTGATTTTCGATGAAAATCATGAGGGGTACCTCAGGCCTTTTGGTCGAATTTTGGCCATGTTTTTTTGGTCCTTAAAAAGTTGAGCAAAGGTGCCAGCAAGTAAATGCTAGATCAGAGCAACCGTTTGATGCTACTCTGGCAGCCTAAAACGGCTTCTATCGCCAGAAATCACTGCTCAAATGCATCCAAATTTCGCTTGTTTTGCATATGTGTGAGTAGTACGAGGTACTGCACGTATACTGTCTGGCCTTCCATGTCACAAGCTCATGCACGCAGACATGGAGCTCTCCAGAATGAGCCAGATCCACAGTTGAGAAGCAATTTTGCTTGAGGGTAGTTGATGAGATGTTTACATTGGTATAGGCAATCAGGTGATATTGGCTATTTCAATGAAATGAAAAAAAAAAGGCGGTCGTCAGTAAACTCTGCTCACCGAAGCGTACGAGAATCGAACCTCATGTCATTGAATGTGGCACTAGCTGTTTGTTACACTTGCCATGCAAAATTCGGTAGCACAAACGCACAGTCTCCAGAAGGACAGAATCGTCTCAACAAAGCGGGATTTCAGCCTCGAACATATATATATATATATATATATATATATTTATGGCGTTGTTGTGTGTATTAATGTTTACTACTTTGCTCCATTTGGGCAAGTATCCTGGTGTATTGAAACATTGGGTATTGACGAGCCGCTTCAAGTGTGCGGGTATATACAGATGAGATTGCCATGGCTGACATGTGTGATGGGATGTTGGAGGGGGGTGAGGGGGGATATGGCAGTAATGCTGTCCATGTCATACAGCCAAACAAAGTAAGGAACCGCCTCAGTCTATTATCCAAGGGTGTATCTCTGTCTATCCGGAGCCAACAAGAACCTGAATGATACAAAAGCTATTTTTAAACATGTCAACATGTTTTGCCAATGACAGAGGGTTGGTAACTATTTTTTTTTTCTGGTATATAAAACATGGTACATTGGACCTTTTATAGTTTTCAACTCTTTTCTTTCTTTCTTCTTTTTTTGATATCACCTTGATGCCCACATGTCGATGAATAGACGCTCATTGCATGCTCAACCACCAGCAACAACACCACGACCCAATGATGCCATCAATGACCTTTCCTCTGTAGACAACCTGACAGACAAGCAACTGACTGACATTCTATACCAAAAGTTCTTGAACTACAACGTCTACAGCGACATTGGCGCATGCCATCTTGTTGCAGTGAATCCGTTCAAAGAGCTTGCACAAAACGATGCACAGACCAGCGATGACTATGTCACCGCGTACAAGGACATGCCTGCTGCTGGTTCAACGACGCATCCCATCATCAGCAACAAGTTGAACCCTCACGTCTTTGAGCTTTTGAATCGTGCTTATTTCCACATGAGACGCACTGGCAATGACCAATCCATCTTTCTATGGTAAAGTATACATCAATACGCACACACACACACACACATTTGTGTTATTTATATATTCATTTTCCGTTGGTTTCACTTTTGTAGTGGTGAATCTGGCACTGGAAAAACAGAAATAAGCAACCTGGTCATTCAACATTTGATTCGACTCAGTGCCAACAAGAAGCGATCCAAGGTGCAAAATCACATTATCCATGGACAAAAAGTATTGAGAGCGTTTGGCTCGGCAAAGACGTGCTTCAACGACAATTTCGCATCTCGTTATGGCGTGTACATTGAAACCCACTACAATGAACGTGGTAAAATGGTCGGCGCCAAGACACTGCACTACTTTTTGGAGAAATCTCGACTCTGCCATGGCAGTAAATTGAGCGAAGGCAACTTTAACGTTTTTTATTGGCTTTTGGCCGGAACCGAACCCGATGAAAAGCAAGTGCTGCAACTCAAAGACGACCCCAAAGCCTATCTCTATCTGGCTAAATATGGACGCATGTTGCAATCGGGTGATGCGGATGAATACAACCAACTAAAGGATGTAATGCGAGCTGCTGGTTTTAGAGGCCAGCATTTCAACCACATCATTCAATTGCTGGCGGCTATCTTGCATTTGGGCAACATTGTGTTCACGGATCCTGCTGGTGGTGTGGGTGCTACTGAGGAGTCGGCGGCCATCAAGAACAGAGATACGCTGGAGATTGTTACTGAATTACTGGGCCTGGATACGCGGGCATTAGAGAGTGTCTTGTGCTTCAAGACAGCCATGGTTGGCAAGGATGTCACTACGTTGATTCTGAATGCGGAACAGGCAGCTGCGCAACGAGATGAACTAGCACAGACACTGTACTCGCTACTGTTCTCCTGGCTGGTGGAGCATATTAACCAAAAGACCTACACAGATCAGTTCAATAGCTTCATTGGTATCCTGGATTTCCCTGGCACACAGCCCTCTGGATTCGGGTCCGTTGGATTTGAGCAGTTTTGCATCGACTATGCCAATGAGAGAATATACAACTTTATCATGAACCGCACATTTGAACCAGACGATGCTGAATTCCAGGCAGAATCCATCCACGTACCCCAAGTCGACTTTACCAACAACACAGCCTGCATTGATTTGTACGAGAAGCCTACACGAGGCATCAATGCCATTCTCAACAAAATGTCAGAAAAGACCATCAGTGGAAAACGCCTCTTTACAGATGCCAATGCCATGGAGGCCATCACCAAATATAACAGCGACAACCCGTCATTTGCATGCAAGCTATCTGATACCAACGCACGCCAATTTGCCATTCAGCACTACTCTGGTCAAGTGACCTACGAGCCCACTGGTTTCATCACTAAAAACAACAACCAGCTGCTGGTGGACATCATTGCCTTGATCCGTGGCAATGCAGACATGCCTGCGTCCTGGAATAGCTTTGTGTTGGATCTCTTTTCAGATGAAAATCTAGCCATTGATAGCCATCCTTTAGGGGGCATGTCAGCCCTGGTCGCAGCACAGCAGTCAGCCAAGCCAACGCGATTGCCATCTATGAGGAAAAGTCAGCGCCGAGCAAATCAAGAGAAGCAAGAGGCCGCCTTTACGGCAACAGACACCAGTGGCAAGAAAACGGTGCTTGCTCAAGTGCAGTCTGCCATTGATGATCTGGTCAACTCGTTCCAAGAAGCCACCATGTGGTGTGTGTACTGCATTCGCCCCAATGCCACTGCCAGTACCACGCAGTTTGACAATCTGCTAGTGCAATCACAAGTCAAGACGTTCCATCTGGATAAGATAGCAGCCAAGATGCAGCATTTTTACATGATTTCTGTGCCGCACACAAGCTTCTTGTCGAGATATGCTGTGCCGTTTAGCAACATGGGGTTGGATCATAGTGGTAGTCCACAAGAGCAGTGTGGGTCTGTCAAGGAGATGCATCGTTGGACAGACAGAGATATGGCCATTGGCACAAGCAAGGTAATAATTTTTTTTTCCAAGCATTGAATGACTCGAGTTGCTGATGAGAGTGGGGAATGGATAGGTCTTTTTGAGCTACGCAAGCTGGCACACATTAGAGGAAATGTTGAGAGCACTGGAAAAGCAGGATCAAAGGAGTCTCAAGATGTTTGATCCCAATATTGGCATGCCTGCTCTACTGGACACTGAACAAGGCATGGACTTGCAGACCAGAGATATTCCACCCACTGCATCTACACCTCATGCTGCTCCTATGATGCAGCCAGAATTCGACAATGCCACATCAGACACATTGCCTCTACCTTCTGTCGCGGGCCACTCATTGTACTCGGACAACAACAGCCACTATGCCGAGTCCAGGTTTGGCAACAACTACTTTAACGGGGACAGCTACACAGTAACAGACGGCAGCTTCTCGCCACCGATGGCACCCCCTACAACAGACCTCGATGCGACGGATGAAAAAGAAGGCACCATGACACCCAGCAGAAAACGATGGCTATGGTTTGTGACCCTGATGACATGGTGGATTCCCAAGATACTTCTGGTGAAATTGGGCCGAATGAAGCGTAAGGATGTCCGTATTGCATGGCGAGAAAAGGTGGTACTTTGCATGATCATTACATGCATGTGCGGTTTCGTGATCTGGTTCCTGGTCTTTTTCGGCGAACTCATTTGTCCCTACCAAAACGTGTATTCTATCAATGAACTGTCGTCGCACAACTCGGAAAAAGATGGCTATGTTGCTATTCGTGGCGAGGTGTTTGACTTGGCTAGTTTTGCACCCCACCATTACCCCAGCATCGTGCCTACAAGTGCTGTCTTGAGCTATGCAGGTAAAGATGTCTCTGATTTATTCCCCATACAAGTCTCTGATCTTTGCGAGAACGTGTCACCCTACGTCTCCTTGGACTACAATCGAAACTATACCGATCCCAATGCCAAATATCACGATTTCAGGTTTGCTTCTGGCAATTACCGTCCCAACTGGTACTACAATCAAATGACCATGCTGCGACGCAACTACAAAAAGGGTGACATGAGTGTAGAGTGGAAAGGCATCCGCGATCAAGCGCAAGGTGCTTACAAGCTGAATGGTGTCACCACCACCCGTCAGTGGGGTGTCATCAACCAACGCATTTACGATTTGACGACATATCTTATGGGCGGTCGTTACTTGACTGCTCCCGACAATGGCACTGTACCCACCGATGTTAGTACCGACTTTCTGGATCCGCAGGTGGTGGAGTTGTTTCAAACCAATGCAGGTACTGATCTCACTGAAAAGTTCAATGCGCTCAGTCTGAGTGCGGACCAAAAGAACAGGGAACTGGCTTGCATTCGCAACCTGTACTTTGTCGGTATGGTGGATGAACGTAACTCGACCAAGTGTCAGTTCTCTACCTACTTTTTGCTGGCCGTTACTATCTGTCTGTGTATTGTGGTCTTTTTCAAATTCATTGCTGCTATTCGCATTGGCAGTGCGCGTGTGCCTGAAGAGTTGGACAAGTTTGTCATTTGTCAAGTCACTTGCTATACGGAAGACGAAGACTCGCTGCGCAAGACCATTGACTCGTTGGCGACATTGCGCTACGACGACAAGCGAAAGTTGATTGTGGTCATCTGTGATGGCATGATTATCGGTAGTGGTAATGACCGACCTACGCCTCGCATCGTGCTGGATATCTTTGGTGTGGATCCTCAAGTAGACCCTGAAGCCCTGTCGTTTATCTCTGTCGGTGAAGGCATGAAGCAACACAACCGAGCCAAAATCTACTCTGGTTTGTACGAGATTGGCGGCCATGTTGTGCCCTATCTTGTCATTGCTAAAGTCGGTGCTCCCAACGAACGTCAAAAGCCTGGTAATCGCGGTAAACGTGATTCTCAATTGGTCTTGATGCAGTTTCTGAACCGCGTTCAATACGACGCACCCATGAACCCAATGCAACTAGAGGTGTATCATCAGATGCGAAACGTGATTGGTGTCAGCCCTGAAATGTACGAATATGTGCTCATGGTGGATGCAGATACAGAGGTGATGCCCACGGGTCTAAACTACTTGGTGTCGAGTATGTCGCACGACGCCAAGATTATCGGTATCTGTGGTGAGACGACCTTGTCAAATGAAAAGGACACTTGGGTCACCATGATTCAGGTATACGAGTATTTTATCTCTCACCACATGATCAAGGCGTTTGAGTCGCTGTTCTCTACAGTCAGTTGTCTGCCAGGTTGCTTTACCATGTATCGTATTCGCACCGTGGATGGTAAGAGACCTCTGTTTGTCAGCAACGAGGTCATTCAAGACTACACGGTGAATGTAGTAGACACACTGCACAAGAAGAACCTGCTGTATCTTGGCGAAGATCGTTACCTCACCACCCTATTGCTCAAGCACCATCCCAACTACAAGACCAAGTTCAATGCAGACGCACAGTGCAAGACCAATGCACCTGACACATGGAGCGTTCTGATCTCTCAGCGTCGTCGTTGGATCAACTCGACTGTGCACAATCTAGGCGAGCTCATCTTTCTGCCCAAACTATGTGGTTTCTGCTGTTTCTCGATGCGTTTTGTAGTCATGCTGGACCTTATCAGTACACTGGTACAGCCTGCTTTGCTGGGCTACCTCGGTTTCTTGATTTACAAGCTGGTAGAGGCTAAAAACCAGATCCCATATATTACCATCATCACGCTGGGCTGTACGTACGGCTTACAAATCATCTTGTTCATCATGTATCGTCGCTGGGAGTACATTGCTTGGTTCTTTTTGTCTATCTTGGCATTGCCTGTGTTTTCGTTCTATATTCCCATCTACTCTTACTGGCACTTCGATGATTTCTCTTGGGGTAATACGCGTGTGGTAGTTGGTGAAAAAGGTAAACAAGTGGCTGTAGGGGATGAAGGTGAATTTGATCCCAAATCCATCCCGTTGATGTCTTGGTCTCAATATGAAAAGTTCATGTTGTCTGAAAATTACAGCGATGGGCTATCTCAGGGCAGTAGCTATCCTCCTCCACCTGCTCCCATGTCGGCTCATGGCGGTGTGTACCCCAATCACAGTGGTGCTAGTGTGGTCTATTCCAACTATGGTGGCAGTCTATATGGCAGTCGATACTCTGTCAATGGCTACGGCTACTCGGCACCTCCTGGTTCAGTCCACTCTTCATTTGCTGGTCGATCCATGGCAGACGAGCCCATTGCGCATGGCCATCCATCTGTAGCAAGTGGCATCAGTGGCTATGGAAGTCGAATGCGATACGGACCCACCATGATGCACGATGCCATGAGTGATACCATGTCTGCCTCCATGGTCAACAGTTATTACGCTCAAAATCAACAACACAATAGACAATAAATACCATTTTTTTTATTCATTTGTTCATTAGTAAGCTGCTGCAACACCCATTTTTCTGGGATCACTGGCTGCCTCCAAGGTACCGTCTGGCATACGTCTGACAGCCTGTACAGCAGAGATGGAAAAGTTTTTGGGCAATATAAATACATCATGCTTCTTGGTAGCTAATTCAGCTTGTTTGGATTTGGAATATCCATTTTCTACAATAGCAACATTGGGCAGCAATTGATGATGTACTCTAGGTGCTGCAATGGCTGTATAGAGATCTTGATTGTAATCTAAAACATTGACAATAGCCTAAAGGGGAGCTTGATGTTGAGTGACATGAGGTCTTCACAACCATGTATATACTTACATTGAGTGTGGCCGTAGGTATAATGGATCCACCAGAACCACCGATAGCCATCTCAAATCGAGCATCTTTCTCAATGATGGTGGGTGTAATGGACGATAAGGGTCTCTTGCGTGGACCTGCATAATTGTATTCGCTAGGATAGAGGCCAAACATGTTGGGAATGCTATTCAGATAAAAACGTGAGCATGATCAAGGCAACACAGCACATGAATGGAAGCCCTTACCCAGGAATAGAGAAATCATCCATTTCATCATTCAAGATGACACCTGTGCTAGGATCCATGATATGCGAGCCGAAAATCAAATTGACAGTCGATGTCAATGCCACAGCACCATCATGCTCATCCACTACTGACAAGTGCATGGTGCCATGTGATTCAACATGATCGAATTTTGGATTATAGTACAAGGGATCATGCGTGGTGTCGTCCTAAGACATTGATGAATACCACTACAGCGCACCATAGAAAAAAAAAAGACTTACTGTGATCCTTTGTCGGATATCAGCTGCGTAATCCTTTTGTACCATTTCGTCAATGCGAGGCTCGTTCTTGATATAATCAGGATCACCCAATTCAGTTCTAAACGCATACCCAAACTTGAACGCCTCGACCAAGCGATGCAGGTTGAGGCCTGTGAATCCCTCGACTTTGAATTGAAAACGCTCAATCAAGTTGAGCACACTGAGGATCACAGGGCCACTGGTAGGTTCTGAGCATGTGGTGATTTTGCGACCATTGTACCAAGTACTCAACGTGCGACGGATCACAGGACGATAGGCTTTGAAGTCCTCCAATGTCACTATGCCGCCAGCGGATTGAATGGTGGCCACAAGCTGCTTTGCAATGTCGCCCTCGTAAAATACATCTGCGCCTAACGTGGAGATGGTTTCCAAGGTGTCGGCCAATTGAGGTCGTTTGATCAAGTCACCTTGTTGAATGGGCTTGCCATCTCGATAGTATACATCGGACCATGCTGTGCTATTTTGCATCCATTCTGATTCAGTCTGTTTAGGCAGCAGGGAAATGAGTTTATAAACACGCCCTGCATGTTGCAAGAAAACTTACCGCCACACGCACAGCCAACAATTCAGTGGCCTTGAATCCATGTCGAGCTATGTGTATCGCAGGCGCAAACAAGTCGGACCATGAGAGTTTGCCGTGTCTGTAGCAGGTATCGTGCTTGAGTAACCAAACGTCATATGACGTACACAATGACTTACCTTTTATGGGCCATTTCTAAACCTCGTATCTCGCCACTGCAGGGAATTGTTCAGTATGTGTGTATGTGTGCAACATGAACTGGAGGAGAGACTCTACTTACGGTACAGCGATAGATAATGCACCTACTTTGGCCAAATCCGGGTTCTCCACAAACATGTCTCTGGTTGCTTTTTCAGGCGCTGTTTCTCGAAAATCAATAAACTCAAAGGTGCCGTTTGGTGATCGGATCAACATGAATCCACCGCTTCAAATTGGTTAACATGATGCAATAAACAAGTCTATTGTGTAATCTATCTTACCCTCCAATGCCTAGATGACACAGAGAGAGAAGAAAGTAAGTATGGTGTTGCACATTAAAGAGATTCAGATGCGAGGTCGCTTTACCTGTAGCAAAGCTGTCAATAACACCAATGCATAGTGTGGATGCGATGGCTGCATCCACCGCATTGCCACCTTGTTTCAAAACTATGTAAATAGAGAGAGAGTTAGAGGTTTATCCATAGAGAATGGCCCTAGACTTACTTTCCACACCAACGTTGGAGCACTCCTCTGCCTCTACTGCCACAGCACCTTTGGATCCTTTTACCAAATGGCCTTTGAAATCAACTGGACTCTCTAAAGCATCATCTATACAGAAAACATATTCAGCAATGCCTCTCTCTTCCCTCCTTTATGTACGATCATACTTTGATGAGGATGGCTTGATGCAGCCATTATGCAGCTCATGCCAATGGTCACCAATGCCACCAATGCCACTATACCAAGGCACTTTTTCTTGCTAGATCCATTTGTCGGCTTGTTGCTCCTTAGTAATGGTGCTGATTCAATGTCTATTGTTGCCATGTTGATTGTTTTGTATGAAAAAGAAAACAGCGTTTTTTTTTTTTAATTCCCCAGAATGGGTTTCTTTCAAGTCATAATGAGGGGAGAAGATGACTAAAGGAAAAGACTGCACAGACTCAGCGGAGCATCCGGCTAAATGCGGGTGTCAGTTACTCCAGGCAAATGTATTTGCTGAAAATGCACACACACGCACAATGTTAAACAGAACAAGAAAGGCTTTTATATATTTTTTTTACACAAAACTATTCAAATCAATATAGTTGTAAGCAGACTTGTTGTTCATGGTATGCAGCATGGCTAGAACCAAAGAGACATCTTGGCCTTGGTCGCCGAGGTGTTTGATGGTATCTATTAAAAAAAAAAAAAAAAAAAAAAAAAAAAACTCCAAGTCAGCCAAGTGCAATTTTGACATGATGGTGCGCACTCTATGTAAACTACCTTTAAACGAGGCAATTTGATCGTACAATTGGCCAGCTGAATACTATTCGTTTCAATGAAGCCATATGTCAACATCGTGTCGGCTCGATCCCACAAACATGTCACTATCTTACCTGACGGATCAATTTCCCCGGGCAATTCATTTGTAAGCAGCATACATCATCTACAGGGAATTGGTCCCTTGTTTCAAATCCACATGCTGACTCATTACACACATGAGGACTAGCATAGTACATTTGAATCAAGCGTCGAACAGCCACCAACGTTTGGCAATAGAGACTAGCTACGCTCAAGGATGCACCACATGCACATGTTAATCTGTTGGGTGGAAGTCGGCGATCACAAGCTGAGCATTTTAATGCAAGTCTCTTGCTACGATGTTGTCCCTTGATCTTGAAGACGTTGACTAGCATTGAGTTGGCACTGTTCTCTTTTTCTTCCTCTTCCTCTTCCTTTTCTTCTTCTTCTTCTTCTTCCTTGTTCTCGTCCTCCTCGCCAATCTCTTCTTCAATCACAGGCATTGAGTCGACTTGCATGGCATTGTCTGTGTTTGGTGGTGTTGGTGCTGGTGCTGGTGCTGGTGCTGATGGTTGTGGCGTATTGATTTGTAAATACTCTGTCAATTTGGTTCTATTTGTTCCTTCTAGTGGTATACAGATTCTAGCCACAGAAGGCAGCACTTGCTTCAACAAGTACCAGTCTTTGTCTATGACAATATGTACAGTTAGTTTTAATCGTGCCTTATTGATGAGCTTTTCTAGTGTGCCAACTTACCTATCACAGCTTTGTCGTTATATACATCATCTGGCATACGAGGTTCCCTCACCACTACACCATTGTTGAGTGTTTTGGTGCAGTAAATGTACGGAATGGTGTCACCCGATTTCACAGCAATACCAGATCTTCTCATATCCTTGGCCACAAGGACATGGGGGTTTCCTTTTGTAGTGCGATATTCTTCTGGTGATTTTGTGAGTTGCTAAATAAAGACTTTTTTTTAGCGGGGGTCGCTACAAAGAAGCTCAATTTCCAGTTTTTTTTTATTTACCTTTCGGATGATGTACGCATGCACAGGCACTTGTGAAGCACGCACTCTGTTTGCCACCATCTTTATGTACTGATGGATGTCATTGACAATGGTCTCTTGTGGTTGGCTTGAAAGAATGAGTTGCAAAACATGCCTATGGGGGGGAATGGTACATTATATAAAAAAGTGATTCAGTGACATTTGGCCTACCCATACTTACTCTGAAGTCTCACGCGAAAGATCACAGCCATCTCTACGAACAATGTCTAGGCCTTTGATTTCCAGCGCCTCCTTGTATGATCCGTTGGCCAGTTGAGTAACAACCTGAGCGGCATACTTTTTCTTTTTCAACAACAAGGTACGTCTAAACACGCCGTCGATGTCAATTTCAAGCATTGTGTACTTTGTGTTGACTAGATCTTTGAGCTGTTGACCAATCTTGTTGGCTCTTGAAAGCACCGTTTGATGCGTGTTGACCATGATGGAATCGGTATCGCCATAAATCACATCCACGCCGCTGGATCGTTCCGCAATTTGGACTGTATCACGGAGAATGTCACGACCTTTGCCAGTAATAAAGGCAGCCAAGGGCCTTGCAAAGAACCTGGAATAACTGGAGCCGAGACAACCATACATACTGTTGGCAGTAAGCTTGAGACCCATTTGTTCAATATGGTATTGGGCTCTGGCTGTGGCAGAGATGCTGGGATCGCTCATCAGTTGTTTGACGCGCTTGCGACGGTCCACAAACATTTTCACCAGTTCTGGCAAGATGCCCATCGTTGTCGTCTGTCGTGGCGCTTTGGTATCAATCGCATCTGCATTGACATCCATGGTCGTAAAGCAGACATTGAATTCTTGCATGATGGAAGGATACAAACTGTTGAAATCGAGCAACAACACGTACTTGTCATAGATGCCCGTTTTAGGGTCCAGCACCAACCCGCCTTCAAACGAAGGCGTCTCCTTGCCATTTGCGCCTAGTCGTCGTTTGGAAGCAGGCAGTTCCAGTTCTAATGCTTCATCGACGAATTCAAACGAATGCTTCTTGGGCCGCACAGGTTTATCAGGACAGAGATACCCCCTTTTGTAAAACGTATGCAACAGCAAGTACTCATTGCGCTCTGAGCGAGCACCATGAATACTGTGAGACCACAAGTTGCCAGATAAACGCGTCAATTGCTTTGTCAGGGGGAGGATTTGAAGCTTGGTCATGAGTGCAAACGTGATATAAGCATCCAACGAGCAGTGCTTGGCCAACGCCAACAGCTGATGTCCTGTCTTGAAATAAGAGTCCAACTGCTGTGGTTTGATGTCTGTGCGTACAATGTCCAATTGTGTCTTGGCGAGTTCAGAGAGATGGAACGATTTGCTCTTGATCAAGTCTTGTGATGCTTCAAATGTATCACACACAATACGACCACGCATATGTAAACGTTGGCGGGAGGTGCTGCTGATGGATCCTTCTGAATTACCTGATGTTTTGGACAGCATCTTGGACTTGAATCTTCCTAGCTTGTGCCAATGAGGGACACGCAGCTGCTTCATTCGAGTCAGCAAGGTGTCGAGGTCTCCACCGAAAAAGTTGTGTCCTGAAATGATGTCTGGGTCATAAACATGAATGGCAGCTGTAAAGCAGATGTTAGTATATATAGCCCATGCGACGCGCGTCATTGTACAAACCTAGTAGTCTACTCAGCAAAGCAAATTCAGTATTCTCAAGCGAAATAATATGCTGGGATGTGCTCTCTATGCTTTCATAAGCATCAGCTGGATACGACATGTTGGGTGGAAGACAAATGATTGTGCTTCGGTAGCCATTCAAGTCAGTGGTGTAATCCAACGTATCCACATTCACTATAGGTGATAAAAGAGACTGTGTCAGCATGGATGCAATCTATGGCTAAAATTTCTCTCTCCTTCCAACTTACCATCTTTGCATAAAAAGAGACTAACAGCCACCACTTGATTTGACTGAGCCCCTAAACGACTCATTTGTGTCTGCAAACTCAACGACATGACATTAAGAGGAGGCGCTTCTCCCTCTTCTTGCAGCACGGAGCAGCATTGAGGGTCCTCCAAGCCAATGTTCAACGCACACCATGATAAATCATTGTCTAACTTGGTGCACTGAACCAGGTCCAACCAACAGGGGCCCATAATATCATGTTGAATTAGAAAGTGTTCCAAAGGGCTGGTATTTGCACCAAAGATATGACTGAACGTCTTGCCACTCTGTGTTGTAGGAAATTCGTAATCTGTTGAAAGCGAAAGGAATGGAGGGGGGGGTCAGTACTGTGTCATTGAGTCAGATTGTGGGGCTTCTGCTGACATACCTTTATAACTGTACTGTAATTTGATGTATGTTGCTTTTCTAGGTATATCCGTGCCACTAAAGACATATTGCTTTTCACAGGTGGTCATTCGGTAGTTTGATATTCTTTTGTGTTCTAGCAAGACTTTCAGCTCCTGCTGTACATCGTTCAAGTGGACCCTGATATGAGTCGGGTTGCCTTCATCTAGTAAGAAAGAGTCCATTGAGCAAGCCATACTCTTCATAGCTGACCAAGACCTTACCATCTATCTGGAACTGTCTTGGGAGAATATACAATTCTCTGACTACATTCTTGATGCGTACACAGCAACTGACATACTTGTCTTGCTGATCATCAAATACCTATGTGTGTGTGTGTGTGTGTATCAGTAAGCCAGATTCATGTCAATAAATGCTTCCATAACCCACTTTTCCAAAGAGATACACAATGCCCTTTTGATTGGAATCATGCGCATCATACCACCACATGGACACATTAGCATAGGGAGGTAAATCCATGTTGCATACAATTCTGCCACCCATGGCATCCATGTCAGCCTTCAGACAAGACAAAGGCACATCGTCCAAAGCAACGGCTACGGGTTCTTGTGTTTGAATATCTTGCTTCTCACTCTCTTCTTCTAAAACAGCATCCGCCGTCAAGTCATTTTCATCCTCGCCATCACCGTCCATAGGGCCCATATCAATGAATTCCATATCGCACACACCTTTATCCGCTTCTTCTGAATCGTTTGTGAGATCGAAAAAGGTGCGCTGCGCAGTAGCAGTGGCAGTAGGATTCGATTCAGTCTTCACTACGACATCTGGTTCCTGAGTATCTTCTACTAGTTCATCAAACTCCTCCAGCTCATATTCCTCCAATTCCTCAGCCTGTTGACTGAATGGGGTTTGACTCTGAATCAGATCCAGGGCAAAACTATCTCGTACGGTAGCAATATCCTGTATTGAATCATCGATCGCCGATGCCACTTGAGATTGAGACTCTGAAAGAATGGCTTTTGGCTCTAATTCCACAATAGCGTCTAGCATCACCACATCAACGCTGTCGCCAGCAACAGTCGTGGAGGTGTGGTTGTCCTGGTTTTGCGCTGGTAAGGGTGGTGTGGGCTTATTTTCAACGGCGAATCCCTGCTGCTGCTCTTCTGCTTCTTCAGAATCTTCTTGTAGTATCTCTTGAATTTCTTCAAGTAAAAACGAGTGTACTTGATCACATTGGAGTAATTGAGATCCGGTGGTATTTGTAGGGTCACCATTGATGACTTGTTGATCGCTTTCATTCGTATCGTCATCCAGTTGAACTTGTTGATCATGTTCAGGGCTATCTGCATGTGTGGTATTCACTGCTGCTGAGGGTGGTTCATCTTGCTGATTCAGTATTGAAGCTTCTGGCAGAGTAGTGAATGTTGCCTCTTCTTCTAAAGGTTCATTTAACGCCATTTGTTCATCTTGATGATCCATCAGTAAATGAACTTCTTCAATATCAATCAGTTGCTCGTCTTCCATGCCAACCATGCCAAATGATGGCAGCTGATCATTTTGATTCAATGGTTCACTCTGATTAAGTTGTTCGTCTTGCATAGAAGGTGGTGCCACTGCTTGATCATCGACGACTGCAACTGGGTCGCTGTGCTCCACAGAAAATTCTGTTTCTTCATTTCCACTAGGCTGCTGCTGCTGCTGCTGCTGCTGCACATCATTACCCGGTTTGTCTGATTGTAATTCGACTACATCAACTGTTGCAGCTTCAATGACGTTAGGTTGTCTATCATGCTCGTTCGAATCATCATCCACTCTATCTAGCAGAGATTCATTGTTTGTGTCCAGGTCTCCATCTTCAAGCACATTGGATGGATCACCGTCTACCATTACTGACTGACCTGATTCATTGGCATCTGATTCCTGAGTTGATGCCACATCAAGCGATTCCCCTTCTTGTAAAATTTCCACCAGTTTTCTCGTTTTATCTAGCCCTTGTTCGCTCTCATGTGCTTCAACATCATTAGCTTGCATTAGTGCATCATCAATTACTTGTGCAATATCACCAAGTTGTTCAGTGTCCTCCACTTGCGCAACATGACCTTCCTCGGTTAGTTGATCTGCCTCTTCCTCCTCCTCTTGGTCAAGCTCATCTTTGTTGTCGGCAAGCTCTTCCTCCTGATCCATATTTTCATCCTCCTCGGCGACATCAATCGCTCCTGGTCCAGATTGTTCATCACCATTGTCCTCCACGTCAGTAGCCTGCACAGCTTCCACTGCGGTCTCAAAAACATTCATTATGGCTAAAGTGGTATCATCTTGCAATTGTCTATTCGCTTCTTCTTCGGCGATAGTAGGCGTTGTTGTCCTGGATACAGTCGCACTGAATACTTCTTTTACATCGTAAAATTCGTCGCTGGATTGCGATAACTCGTCTTCCTCAGCTTCTACATCAATCAAGATTTCGCTTGTATCGACAAATTCGTCTTGGTCATTATCAATATCTTCGTATAGTTCCAGGCTGTGGTAACTAGTGGTTTTGTTCAATGAGGCTCCTGATGACTGGTGTTGAGTAATGGTAGGAGTAGCTGACGCAATAGCAATAGATGCTTGGTGATCAAGTTCGTCTGCTACTACAGACACTTTGATTCTATCTGGATTCTGATTTGTATTCTCCATCTCTTCATTATCTTGGCCAATTGACATGTTAGAAGTGTTATCATCATTACTGACATGGATGATATGTGTGTTGTTGTTATTGCTGGTGTCCAAAGATTGGCTATGGCCAGTGACATCTGCAACAGTAGAGGTTGCTAAATTTTGAGTATCGCTTGTACGAGGCTTGGATACATTGGATGTGCCAGAGTCCAAAACAATTGCATTGTATTCAGTTTTAGTAGTGGTGATCTGGTTTGACCTTGACTCCTGTGTATCAAGACTGATTTGGATACTCGCAAAGTCGGCTGGTGGTGTGTGATATAAAGTATCTGTCTCTGCAACCGCTTTTTCTTGTGTTATTTGAAGTTGTGATCTCTTTTGGGGTATTGTGCTGCTGTCACTGGTTGATGCAGATGTGGAAGCAGCAGCTGGAGATGTCGTTCTCAGCAAGTTTGTTTGAACCAAATCGAAAAGACTAGGTGCATTGTCATATCTTGATGATGATGATGATGATGCATTATAGGATTCTCTTGCTACTGACGATGGTGGTGCCTCGATGCATTTTCTGCTATTGAAAGATTGCAAACCTAATTTGCATGTGAGATCAATGGCAAAATGCTAGTTTTTGGCAGAAACACACATACTTTGCCAAAGTGGCTCAAGAAAGAAATCTAAAGCAGAATTGTCTGCTATCTATAATCAAAGAGTGTGAGTTAAATGATGTTTTATAGATTACTTTTCTACGCTACGTGTTTTGTTTTCGATTTCTTGTTGGGAGACTCTTCAGGGTGTTTCTTTGCATTGGTCATATCGAATGTCTAGTTGTATTATCTGTTACCAATGAAGCAGAAGTGGATATAATACGATGAACAGTATAATATTATAATGATAAATCAACTCTTTTTTTTTAAAAAAAATATATATTATCACTGTTTATTGTGAATATGAAGAGAGAGTGGGTGAAAGAAAAATGGATGGATTAATTAAACATGAATTGGATTGTCTCAAACAGGTAAGCAATTAAAAATGCCCAAACTCTGCGCTTGTGACTCCTGCTAAGAGCCGCCTTATACAGTTGTTTCATCTGATATCAATGCTTGTATGCCAGTAGCATAATCCGGGGACACAAACTCGAGTATTTCCTTGTTGGTCAACCAAGCAAAATCAATAATCTCATGGCCATCAGGTTGGCATTGTCCACTGGCCCATTTTGCTCGGACGAATTGAACCTACATGTCATGCTGAATGATTTACACATACATTACCACATCCTATGTACTCTACTACCTTGGCGCCAGCATATTGCTTCTTCTTCTTTTTTGATTTGATGAATTCTGGTGGAAAAGGATATTGATAGATACAAAACGGAGCATCTGCATCGATCAAATCTACTGCTAGATCACTGCCACATTCTTCAGACAGCTCTCTCAGTGCTCCCTGAACAACAGACTCATTGCACTTCTTTTTCAATCCGCCTTGAGGAAATTGCCAGCTGTGATCAACTCTGGGCTTTTTCACCAGCAAATATACTCTTTGTCCAGGCTCCCGATAGATGTTGTGCAAATCGTTGCTAGCGTCTTGTTGCGTTTCTTGCGATATTGGATCACGATAGACAGCGATGCCTGCGACAGACCGGTATTCAGTCATTTTGGTTTTGGATACGCGTTGTATAGAAAGGTGGAAAGGAAACGCAATGCCGCATCTGAAAGAGCTACAATTTTGTTTGTTTCACAGTGTGTGATTGAGGTTAAATGCTTGCCTAATGTGTTGTGCAAAGACAATCACTCAGGTTCAACTTGTCCCATCATCAACATGTGCATCTGGTTACATGTGCTTGACTCCATTTACCCAGTAGCAGTGGCAGAACCAAAGAATGACAGACGCTCTGTTGTCATGCATCAATTTTAATGATATGCCACTAGATCATCGTTGACATTTTGGATGCAAATACTGCATTGGTGCTTGCATGTCATCTAAAGATGAGCTTTAGCAACTAAATAGGACACCTGGTATGACTGAATCAAAGACTGCATTTGTCATTTTCTTTAGAAATTGCTCTATCGATCTGATAGGAAATCTTAATGTAGATCATATCACGAGAAAAAAAAACAGGGGAACTACATGTTGATAGTAAGATGTAATCAGGTCAATCTAAATAGTAAATGAGAGGAGTCTGATCTACCAAAATTCGAAGTTGTCTTTTTTGTTGATATCAACATATGTCAATGACCAAAGCATATTTCTAGTAGAACAGCACATCTACACTGTGGAAAAAGCCTCCTGAATTGACATGAATGTGCTTGCCCGGTATACAGATCGTGCAATTGGTTTTATTGCAATAATTCACCGACTAAGCGGGTGTCCTCACATTGCCAGTCTGGCGTGCAAAGACATGTGAATAAGTAGGGGATAAGACGTACCTATAAAAAAGTAAGAGGTCAAAAAATCTGCTGATAGATCCCAGTGAAAAGGCCAACTTACTTATCAGGATTTTGAACTCGACTGAAAGGAGGCAACACCTTGTTGTCAAGTGAGACCAGTGCCGAAAAACCAATGAGGGCAATGTTACTCGCTCCTTGCTCATCACGATTCATGGTAGTTTGTTTAACCAGCCTTTTTGGACACTCAGGGTTAAAGCATGTAACGGCACCGAGGTTCCTCTTCATTCTATTATCCTCATCACCCACCAGTTGTTTCTGTGTCTCCTTGAAACAAGAGCAGTAGAATTGTATTCGTCCACCAATCTGACTGTGCTTCTTGTGGACAGCGTTGACATGTACGGCTTCATACTTCGAGTGCTGTGGCCACGGAGGTACTGAGTATTGCGATGCCAGTTTCCTATGAAGGAAACCATCTTTGGCTTGTTGAAGGTGGACATGATTGCAGCAGATCTGGCTTCACTGGCTACCAAATGTTGTTGAAGTTTCTTCAAGCGGATTCGTCCAGTTTCCCTTCCTTTCTGTAGCTTCTTGACTGACGATTTCTTCCTCTTCTTTCGCCTATTGGAGAGGACAGCATTATCGACTTTGTTGGCTGTCATTTCATACCTGACGAATGTGTCTTCGTTTCCAAGAGAGGTTGCAGTGTCAGAATAATCTTGCAGCATTTGAAACCGATTGATCGACTCAAAAAGAGTGAGAGAAGCCACTAGAAACGAATAATTCCTAAACACTGGCACTGATGTCGTCAATAATTGCAATGGGCTTGACACTCTTGCTCAAACCACAATCAAATAAATCAACAGCTTTGATGTCAAAGAAAGACATCTTTTTCTGTGTCGCATGTTGACCAGCCAAGACCAAATCGACCAGCATGCCAACAGCCTTCGACAAGCCGCGAATGCATGAGTGGCAATTAGCTTGGAAATCCGTAATCACTCCAAGAAAGACTCCGTAATCAAAACGAGGATGGATTATGGCCTTCAGAGAATGAGATACACTTCGAAGCTCTATGGTTGGATCAACCATCGCTCCGCCAGTTGCCTCACCAGCTCCAGCACCATCAGTTCCAGCACCACCTGCTTCTGATCCAGTGGGTTTGTCATCATCAACTTCAGGTTCATCGTTCTTAGATTCACCAGCACTTGATGAGATAACAATGCTGCGAATTTTCTAGTGGCACCGTCCCTTTCCACAGGCTTGATAATTGTTGGCTTCTTTCTTGTCGAGAACAGAAACACAGTACAATTGAAGCACTCGGCAAAGCAATACAGCAGCAGTAATCCTTTTGGAGATACCTGGTGCGAGTGTTGTTTGGTTCCAATGCGCACATCATGTTCAAGGACATCGTTCATGATACTACACAAGTCTGAGCCGTTCTCATTTACGCAAATACCACTTTTCCATAAAAACTTGATGGTATATTGCAGACTTTCTTTGAATCCACAAACACTCCAGTTGGTATTAGCCGAAATCATGGTATCATAAAAGGCTAGATCGGTGCTTGCTTCCAACTTAGTAGGTGATGTGCATGCAATGCCTTTGTATCTTTCAATTGACATGTTAGTTATCCGTAGTTTTGCATTTCATATGATTCAAACTTACTACGGACTGTAGAGAGTTTCTTTGACTCTAACTCTGCGTCTGATGTGTTATCAAAGAGGTGCATGTTAGTTTCTTTGATATTGTTCAAGCATTATTCAAGAGATTACCATCAGAATGTACTGTCTTTGCCATATTGATAAAGACAATGTTTGGTGTAAAAGAAAAAAGGAAAATGAATTAGCAACATGCAATGTTATATCTAGAGCTGATGTATTGTTGATTTGATCAGGACATCTATGCTATCATTCAAAAAGTTCTTGTATCTGCGTATACTGGTACTTAATTTGGCGATTTTGATACTTTCTCATATCGAAATTACCAAAATTCAATATCGTCTATATTAAAATCGTGTAGCTGCTATGCCTTTATGTATTGTAGAAATTATTGCTCTTCGAGCTGTTTGGCTATTATGCTACCAGTATACTAGGGAGCTCGTTGATCAATGCTATGCCCTATTATGCTGTGTTTTGTTGTGCAATGCACTTTGATCTCCAAATCAATCTTGAGATGTGTATGCAAAGTACTAAAGATCAAGCTGGCATTGATGAGGATAACATTACCATCTCTGAGATTGGACATATAGCGGAATACCGTATAGGCAATGTATTATTGTGTATATCATTCTACCACAGCTCAGGTTTCGTATGAAACCTTGTTAAAGAGTATGGTACTTGAATCCATAAGCACAGTACTTGATGATGGCTATTCGATATTGACAAGGCCCATGTATTTTGCTTGCCTGAACATTTACACGAGGCACGTTTCATGATTATTGAATAGTGCATGCCTCTTTTTTTTTTTTTAGCTTAAGAGATCTCGCAGCTTTTTTCAGGCACCAAATCAACATTAAGTTGTGCGAGGACACAAATTGTGTCCTAGCAGTGTCCTTCGCCCCGTGCAATTAGACTTGACAAGGCAGGATAAACAGTCGTCAGGAGCGCCACCTTTCAATCAGTGTTTGCATTTTTTTTTTTCCCTAGAGCAAAGTCCACAAAAAGTTTTTTTTATTGAATTTGACGTTTCTCTTTTATAACCTCACTTTTTTATTGTAAAAATGGTAATATCTTGACAAGAGTATAGTGTTTGTATCATGAAAGCTGACCTTGCTACTGCTATCATTAGGCCACCAACTACGTCTTATTCGAGACTGCATCAGGTTACTCTCTTTTTGAACGTTTGCAATCAGAGGAGATCGGTTCCAAGTTGGAGTCTGTTCAAAACTCTATTGCTGATCTTTCCAAGTTCAGTAAGATGTTGAAGCTCAAGTCATTTGCTCCTTTCAAGAATGCTGCTGATGCTTTAGAGAACGCCAACGATGTTTCTGAAGGTATGTATATATAGATCAAGCGTTGTGTTGTGTGTGTGTAGAGTGTGGCATTGACATGTACGCTGGTTAGGTATTGTCAACCCTTCTTTAAAGGCCTTTTTGGAAATGAACCTTCCCAAGTCTGACAAAAAGTCCAAGGTGTGCCTCGGTGTTACCGAAAAGAACTTGGCTGGTGCCATCAAGAGTGAATTGAGCATTGATTGTGCCTCTGATGAAATGGTCCAAGAACTCATCCGCGGTATCCGTTTGTGGGCTGACAAGCTCCTTGGTCAACTCAAGGCTGGTGATTTAGAAAGAGCCCAACTCGGTCTTGGTCACTCTTACTCTCGTGCCAAGGTCAAGTTCAATGTCAACCGTGCTGATAACATGATCATTCAAGCCATTGCTCTTTTGGATCAAATGGATAAGGATGTCAACACATTTGCCATGCGCGTCAAGGAATGGTACTCTTGGCACTTCCCTGAAATGGTCAAGATTGTCAACGACAACTACAAATACGCCAAGCTCATCAAGGTTGTCAAGAACAAGGCCGAACTCTCTGAATCTGATTTAGAGGCTATTGCCGAGATCTGTGATGGTGATGAGACCATTGCTCAACAAATTTTGGACGCTGCTCGTGCCTCCATGGGTACCGATATCTCTCCTGTCGATATGATCAACATTCAAAACTTTGCTGACCGTGTCATCTCTCTTGCTGAATACCGCAAGAAGCTCCATGGCTATTTAGTCACCAAGATGAGCTATGTTGCTCCCAACTTGGCTGCTCTCATTGGTGAAGTTGTAGGTGCTCGTTTGATCTCCCAAGCTGGTTCCTTGACCAACTTGTCCAAATATCCTGCTTCCACTTTGCAAATCTTGGGTGCTGAAAAGGCCCTCTTCAGAGCCTTAAAGACCAAGGGTAACACTCCCAAGTACGGTTTGATCTACCACTCCTCTTTCATTGGCCGTGCTGGTCAAAAGAACAAGGGTCGTATCTCTCGTTATTTGGCCAACAAGTGTACCATTGCTTCCCGTATCGATTGTTTCTCTGATAGCCCTACTGACAAGTTTGGTCAAGCCTTGAAGAAGCAAGTTGAAGAACGTCTTGAATTTTTCGATAGCGGTGCTCTTCCCGAGAAGAACATTGATGTCATGAAGAAGGTCATGAACGATTTGGACTTGGATATGGATGAAGTTGCTGAACCTGCTGTTGTCTCCGGTAAGAAGAGAACAGCCGACGATGTTTCTGACGCAGAGGAGGAGAAGCCTGCTAAAAAGTCCAAGAAGGACAAGAAGGAAAAGAAGGATAAGAAGGAGAAGAAGGAAAAGAGCAAGGAGAAGAAGAGCAAGAAGGAGAAGAAGAGCAAGGACTAAGTCTTGATCTTGAAAAAAAAACGAACGTAGAACTATTCATTTATATATATATATAACACACAAAGTACATAAAAAAAAGTCAAAATCATTGAAACTTGAGTATCTTTGGCACCTGTTCCACCACCACCACCACCTCCTCCTCCCTTCCCCCCCCCTCCCCCTTTATTTGTATTCTTCAGTAACATAACCTTTTACGCGCACTCACTCACTCTTTTTGATTTCTTTTTTTCCCGCATTTTCATTAATACAATCAATCAATAAAATTTGCCTTTTTTAATAAGCCACTTGATATTGTCTAAATTGCACCTGAATCATAAAATGGAAACAGCTAGTTGAGTAGCTGTGATGAATAGCTCTAAACATGACATGCACTATTCGTACTTTGTCTATTGAATCGGTAGAGGAGCATCTCATAATACAAGCTTCATGATGATCAATGACCTTATTTTATGATTTGGAGCATTTGGTGATTTGAGCTGAATCTTGATCCCTATCACCATTGTCTTTTTACTATTAATTGATCCAATCAGGGCAGTGGCCATGGCAATGCGTATGATATGAAGGTTGAGCTTGCTTAAAGTATTCCCTCTGCAAAAGATATGGTGCCCTTTATAAGTTATATACAAGATGAGTAGTAATTTCGTTTGTAATCAATCAAGATGAAATGTGCCATGCTTGCTGTCAGATGTCTTAATATAGCCATCCATGTTGTGTAAGCATTTAGACAGCTATTTTGCCCAACATCACGTACGCGCAACATAACCCTCTATACTAAGAACAATTATCATCTCATCAAGAAAATGACAGCTGTCAGAATGGAACACATTTGTTGAACCCTTTGACATCTATTTAAACATCCGCATACCCACCGAGCATTTTCGTCGAGCCAGAGCGAGCGAGCGGGCTTGAGGCAGGCGAAAGGGGGGGGGGTGTGTGAGTGAGTTTTGATTAAAAAATACTGGCAGTGATGTGAATTGATACAACCTTCTCTTTATAACAACGTAAGAAATCCAACACTCAATGTAACAATCCATCCATCCATCCATCCATCTAACATACAGTTGATAGTATAAAATGCCTCCCAAGTTCGATCCCTCTGAGGTTAAGATTATCTACCTCCGTGCTACTGGGTAAATATAGTGGATCCAAATGTGTATAGAGAGATGGGCGAGAGAGAGAGAGATCGAGCGATATAGCTACAGCGAAAATGAGAAATTATGGATCATTAACACACCTTATTGTTATTATTACAACCATCTAGTGGTGAAGTTGGTGCTTCTTCTGCTCTTGGTAAATATCAACGACATACACTCTCCGTGTCGACATTACAGCAAAACTGACACAACCCATCATTTTTACTCTAGCTCCCAAGATTGGTCCTCTTGGTTTGTCCCCCAAGAAGGTTGGTGAAGATATCGCCAAGGGTACCAAGGACTGGAAGGGTCTCCGTGTCACTGTTCAATTGACCATTCAAAACCGTCAAGCTCAAGTTTCCGTTGTTCCCTCTGCTTCCTCTTTGGTCATCAAGGCTCTTAAGGAACCTCTCCGTGATCGTAAGAAGGAGAAGAACAGTAAGTTGTTTTTGCGGGTTGTTGTGTTGTCGGTATATACATGTAGATTGACATTGTGTTATGATTTTAGTCAAGCACAGTGGTAACGTTTCTCTTGAGGACATTATCGAGATTGCCCGTACCATGCGCTTCAAGTCTTTGGCTCGTGAGCTCTCTGGTACCGTCAAGGAAATTCTTGGTACCGCTTTCTCTGTCGGTTGTACTGTCGACGGTCAAAACCCCAAGGATCTCTGCGCTGCTATCGATGCTGGTGAGGTTGAGATTCCCGTAAGTTGATCATGCCGTTGTTGTTTGGATGTATGTGTATCTCATACATGTTTTGTAGGAGAAATAAATTACTTTTTTTTTTCTTGTGGGATTTGATCATTTAAAAAAAACAAAAAAGAAACACCAACATGATACTATAATAAACTGTTGTATACATTATATGTTTTATTTGCCAGTGTTGAATTTGAGTGCTACTATTGACGCTTTGGATGTTTCTGCGAGGTGGCATGTGATGTGTTTATGTTCTTGCGTTTAGTGCCTCTATTGCTACTGTTATTATGTGTGCTATTATTCTCGAGATTTTTCCATTGATTTAGTCTTTCATGAAATATGTCTGCTCGTTTACTTGTTGCGAATTCAAATGGCTAAGTGTAAATATCAAATTGAATTCTCTATACCACATGTGTGTCATCAAGTCAATACCTTTACTTCCTTGCGTTTTCGTGCTGTTGTGGTGGTGGTGGTGGTAGATGTTGTTGTCGATTTATTGGTTGGGAGCTCTCTTTGCTTGATAGAGGATGAGGATGTCTGTCTCAGGTATCTAGGCATGCCATCAGAAGTAGAAGCTTCGCTGCTTTGAGAAGAGGTACGACGATAAGTATTAGCAGTGGGTGTGCCTGATTGTCGAGAACTGTTGACAGAGGGTGTTGGAGAGCTGCTATTGACAGAGTTGCTTCTATGATACTTTGGTGTCTGTTTTGATGATGGACATGTAGGGAGACTCTTGGTTAGCACACATGATGTTACACATAATCAAACGAAGCACAACAAGCACACTTACAATAGGAGCAGGCTTGTTGGAGGCGTTGCCAAGTCCCTTTTCAAATAACTTTATACGTGCAGCCATGGGTACATAGACATCGTCCGGTGCCATTTCAGATCGAATATCATCCACAGCATTGATACTAGTAGTTGATCTATAACGTGGTATCTTGGAGGTGCTCACTCGTTTCTAGTAAGAGGGTAAATCAACATGAAAAACAAGGATGGTGCTAAACAATCCAACTTACAGAAATGCCACCTTTGGTACGAGGTCTCAATAGATTGTCTGCTTGGCGTTCTTCCTTTTTAGCATTGATTTTCTCGTAAAATGAAGAGGTAGCTTGCATGTAATGAGGCACATCTCGAGATCTGCTGCTAGTATGGCGGTATCCTTGTGGCTGTTGTTCCTGAACAGGTGCAGTTGTTTTGGACAAAGTAGCTGGAGAAGAGGAAGGTTGAGCAGCAGATGGAGGAGAAGATTTGACGATTGGTTTTGCCTCATGAGAAGGCTTTGGAGAAGGGCTTTCTTGATGACCTGCGGAAAGAGCAGATGTCTTTGAGTCAACCTCGTTCTTGATACCATCACCAAACTCCTTCTTCATTACAACTGATTCCTTTACTACACTGCCGCCGCCAAATTCTTTCTTCACATACACCTCTCCCATTTTTGCTACATTGACCTCTCTCCACTCACCACGATCTCTATTGGGCACTTCAAAACTGGTGTACTTTTCGCCTTCAAATCTCTTGTGTTGTGGAGAGCCTTGTTGTGTCGTAGTCTTTAGAGGGCTACTTTTGGCTGTGAAGGAGAAAGAGGATGAGGATGCTAGCTCACGCGGTGGCGACTCGAGTGCAGCATTGTATCTTTCGTTCAATCGACTCTGGAATCTGGATGGGCTTTCTTTGACAAAGGTTTGCTCTGAGCTTGTACGAAGTGGTGAACTAGACATTTTGTTTGCAAAAAAAAATATAAAAAAAGAAGAGAGAGAGAGAGAGAGAGAAAAAGAAATTGAGTTTCATATTTCGCCATTGGAGCTTGGATTTTCACCAACAAGCCCCACCCCCTTTTTGCTACAACTTTACCCCTCTCCCCCCTCCCCCCCCCCCATTAAATACACGCGTATTGTGAGGACAAATGTAAATTTACAGAGAAAGGTACGCGAAGATCAAGCTTCACGTGAATACGCAAAAGAGGGATTAGGCCTATTCTGCTCTCGTTGTTTAGTTAGTGGAGTTTCCTTTATTATACAGGAGGCAGATATTCTGTCTACTGTCGTCTTTTCAATTGGAACTTGCCGTTCTGTACAGATTTGACATGATTGGCACTTTTGGAATCATTGATGGGACTAATAGCTCAATGTTTATTGATAGAACATATGGCACAAGCTTCTGATGGCCATTCACAGCAGTGAAGCACGCAGTGTATTATTGCAAGCAACCAGTGCACCTCAATCCAATCATACGGCGTAAGAATGACTTAATGTCATCTGGATTGCTTCTTCTAACTGTTCACTTCTAAAACGCATTTACAAGAGCATGTGGTAAAGCTCTTGATGTATACAGACTGCTATAGACCAAAGCCCTTTGATTTAAGCATAAGGGAAAAATCTGTCAAATGTTTGATTCAATCACCGAGCAATTCAAAAGGGCCTGTTCTACAGCCCCTCCCTGATTAGTTCACCTTTCTTCTGCTACAACCTTTTTCTTACCATGCTGAGAAACTTACGTTGCTTTTCGTTTTTTATTCCACAAGGTCGACACATCAGCCGCTACAACCGAATTGGACAAGGTCATGCTATTGTACGCACTTTATCCACAGCAACTGCTGCTGCAGAAGAAGATATCCATCGTATACCCCCCAAACTCGACCTGGCCTACTATGCAAACAATACAGAGGCCATTGCAACCAACATGCGCCTTCGAAACTATGAGTCAGACAGTGTCTATCAAGTGAAAGAGCTCTATACAAAGCTTGCAGCACTGGAGACTCAAGCACACAAGTTGCGAGATGAGCGCGATCAAGTGAATCAATTGATTCGCTCTGCTCCCACTCCTGAGAAGCGCAAAGAGTACATCAATCAAGCTAAACAATGGAAAGACCAATTGCGTCAAATGGAAACACAGATCAGTGCTATGGAAAACGAGCTCACAACACAGGCACTCCAAATCCCAAACGACACGCACCCCGAGACACCTGTGGGACCTGAGGAAAATGCCAAGATCCTAAAGATTGTTGGAGAGCCTCGTCAAGGCGGTAAAGACATTAAGGATCACGTTGCTATAGCAGAAAAGCTGGATATGATTGATTTTGAGCAGGCGTCCCTCGTCACAGGATCCAAGTTTTACTATCTCAAGAATTATGGAGCCTGGCTTGAATTTGCATTGATTCAATATGCCATGCACAAAGCAGCCGCCCGAGGATTCTCTCCTGTATTAGCACCTGACATGGTGCGCACCTCGATTGCTTATGGATGTGGATTTCAGCCTCGCAAAAAGGAAGCCTCTCAGATTTACGATGTGACAACAGCAAGCACTGTCAATACAACAGCACCTAAATTATGTCTTGTTGGCACAGCAGAGATCCCATTAGCCGGGCTATCAGCCACCAAACTGTTTGCAGAGGAAGAGCTGCCAAAGAAAATTGTGGGATTTAGCCATGCATTTAGAGCTGAAGCAGGACATGGATCAGCAGAGGAGCGAGGACTCTATCGAGTGCATCAGTTTTCCAAGGTGGAGCTCTTTTGTGTCACTACGCCAGAACAAAGTGAGGCCATGTTGGCTGAATTAAGAACACTTCAAGAAGACATGTTTGCTGAACTGGGACTCTGCTTTAGAGTCTTGGACATGCCAACAGAGGAATTGGGTGCGAGCGCTTTTAGAAAATACGATATGGAAGCATGGATGCCTGGCAAGAATGGATGGGGAGAGGTGAGTTTCTTTGTTGCAGAGAGCATACACAGGATACTGATGCAGTAGCATTCTAGATTTCATCCACCTCCAACTGTACAGATTATCAAACCCGTAGACTAGACATTAGATATCTATCAAAAGAATTCAAGGAACATGCTGGATCAAAGGATGTTCGCGTGCCTTGGAGCGTCAAGGAGAAGTGGGTCAACTATTGTCATACTTTGAATGGCACAGCAATGGCGGTTCCAAGAGTGATTATCGCTTTATTAGAAACACATCAAAGACCAGATGGTAGTGTCAATGTACCTCTAGCTCTTCGCAAATGGATTCCTGGTGAACCCAGTGTTTTGAAATAAAATTAAAAACGAGATAGAATATGAATGAGATGAGGGGTATTATGTTTCTTTAATTATGCAGTGGTGGTAGAGCTCGTATTGGATGTGGATGCTTCGTGTTGCTGTTGTTGCTGCTTTTGTTGGTGTCTGATCAGTTTATCTTTTGATTTGCGTCTCTTGATGGCAGCATTTCTCAGCTCCTGCCTATGCCATTGATGCAAACTGATGGTACTCGTCATAGAGACAATGATGAATGACCCCAACAGGGTATAGAATCCAGGCAGTTCATGGAATATAATGACGCCAAAAAGAAAGGCGAATACGACATCAATGGATCGAAGCAATGTAACCAAGCCAATGGGCGCCAGCTTCAAACTACGAAATCATGCATTGTTAGCATATGTCAAAAAAATGTGGTTGTACTCTCGCTATACGTATTTACCCAATGTTGATGAAATATTGGCCCAAGAATGCCAATCCACCGATGGATACAAAATAGGCAGCATCCTCCTTTGCAGGCATGACGAATGCTTGTAAATTCAACAGCAAGAGAGGTATACAGAGCAAAACAGACACCAATCCAAAATAAACCACATGAACCATGACGTGCTGTTGACCTACTCTACGCACAGTGATATAAGCCATTGCTGACATCAGTGCGCCCGCCAAAGCACATGCAATAGCAAAAGATCTGCCATCATCGATATGCTGTTGCATCTCATAGAAAAGAAATCGAGGCTTCACCACAAACAAGAATCCAACAAAGCAGAGAATCGAGTAAAATACATCAGAGACTGAGAAGGTGTCGTTCATTACTATACATCCAATCATCACTTTAAACAAAGGGCCCAAGAAAAAGATGACTATATGAATGCGTGAGCATGCTACAACAACACCAACAAGAGTTTCTCGCTAGGAACAAACCTGTGGCGTCCATCAATGATAATTTGGTTAAACTGTAAAAGAACAAAAGGAGTGCGATGGAGCTTGCAAGCGCTCTAAAAAAGAGCCATCGTCTTACACCTTGTTTTCCAAAAGGATTGACACCCACGATACAGCATCCAATGATCCCTAATGGCAGTTGTACACAAGCGCGAGCCAGTACAATCTCGACAGACGGATAGCCATTCACACCAAGCCAGCGTACCATCACAGAGACACCAGCAAACAAGAGCGAGGAAGCAGCCAACAACAGCAAGCCCTTGAGCTCTTTGACCCGCACTTGATCTTCCTGGCTCAACGACATGCAGGAGGAAAGTGTTACATTCTCTGCTGCATGACGACTGCCTGCCAAATGTTGTTCTTGAGACAGCAATGGTGTAGCCTCGTTGACAATAATCACGCTGGAAGGAATAGGATGCACTCGGCTATCATCCTCAGTCGATATGTTGGACATGATGTAAAATGATATATATATATATATATATATATGTATATATACAAAGTTTAGATAGAGAGAAAAAGAGATATTGATGATGTTTTCGGAACAAGAATGAAATTATACGTCTTTCATTTGTGTGTGTGATGTATGGTGTCCTCATCGGCCGTTCATTTCAAAAGAGATGTTCCGGCGGTGAGGTGTTCACCAACACACAAAGAATGCTACTGTGCGAAAGTTTTGATACTTTGCTTTTAATCTCTACACCTTCATGATAGGACCAACCAGCATGAACATAAGCATTCTGCTATTTGAATTCAGTTGATAGCATCAGTTGAGAATGGGCATTTTTGATCAACATGTGGTACTGCTGACATGAGATAGGCAGCGGACAATTGTACCATACCATGGATGATCTCATATGGGCCAGTTGGGCATTATTATGAAAAACCTTAAAGGTCTCTGTAGCCGCACTGATTCTGTGCAAAATTAAGGTACGAGAAATGAAAACAAGTTTTTTTTTTTAAAAAAAAAAAAAATCTTTAAGACGATGGACCGAAATGGTCCACAAGATGTCAAAATGCAATGCAATGTCTTGGGAGAATCAATCCTGCAATGGACAAGTGCTTCAAGCTGGCTGTAGCAGCAGCAGCAATGGTCCTGGAAATAGCCTTGTCAGCAGATGCTGAGGAAGCAATTAATGTGATTGCGGCAATAGCCAAGATGTGCAATGCATTGCTTTATGAATGAGAGCATAGGGCTAAAATGAGTGTATCAAGAGGTGTTGTTAGAAATGAGCAAAAGAGAGAGAAGGGAATGATATTTCTCACTCTGGACGATAAATCCAGGTGTATTTATACAATCATTATTTTTTTTTTGTCTTGAGAAATAGAAACTCTGGTTGAACGTCGATCCATTCAACAATAGCTATTTTGATATTGAGTGTAGCGCACAGCAATATAATCACATCACTTATGAAGGTTACTGGAATTTATTTTTGGAGTACATGGAAAGAAAGAGATTCTACCATTTCATAGTATCAGGGTGGGTCTTAAACTCTTGGTAGTCTGCCATGTTGAAAAAGGACAATTCGGTTTCATTTTCTGTACAAAGTAGCATGAATATCAAGCCAGTGTCAATCAATGTAGAAAACAGCACTTACCAAGACCTTGCCATGCTAAAACGGCATCTTCATCAGCGAGGATTAGCTTGTCATCGTCTTCGACATTGATGATCAGATTCATAGTCTAATTGCAACGTTATTTAGTTCACATTTACATTTAGCTCTCCAATTCAAATTTACCTTATGACCATGAGCAACTGTATAAACCTTGAGGGTATCTATTTATAAAGCATTAGATCTAATCCTCACCTTTCTTCTTCTCCTCTTTCACATTGAATTTACCAAATTTAACGTTCAAATAAGGCTTCCATCCAGGTTGTGAGTGGATTTCTAATGCAGTGAGAAATATAGTAAGCATCTCTCTCTCTCTCTCTCTCTCTCCTCATGTGCTTGTTTGATAAAAGTAGTTATCTTACTTTCTAAAACTAACTTTTTTAAGTCGCCCACTGTGCTTGTTTCCAAGTTGACATGTTGAAGCACAAGGTTTTTGCAGGTACGATATTCAAAGTTCTTGATGCAACGCACTGTCAAAGTTGCATCTGAAGTTGGTTTAGCGAGATTGGTAAGATCTTCTACGTCAGCCATTGTCGAACAAAAGTAAAGAGAAAAATTTTCCCTCTACTACACAGCAGAGGGAGAAATATACACTGTTTTCAAATCATCGGCGATCCAATCAAACAAAATATCTTGTCCCTGGAAAGCATCCGTTATTAGATCTGCACTTTTGTTGGTATGAGAAATCTTTCATAAATCCTTACAACATCTGCCCATGATGCTGTTTTGGCACAAACAAATCCGCTGGGAAAACTAATGGGCGTTGCGTGGGATGGTATTTTTGCATGCAAAAGATTTGATTTTGAAATTCAATCAATTCATTTGGATTGTGTGTAGTGAGCAACGTTCATCAATCACATCAGGGGATCCTGTAGAGTTGAAACAACTGTCATCAAAGTATGCAGGAATGCTCGTCTTGGTTGGCCTACTGTCTTGGCGCTTTAGATTCTCGTTCAAATCATCTATACAATGACCATGATTTATGGACTTCAATATCATGATACACAATACATATATTTGCAGTAAACCTGTTTCGATAATGAATAATAATTTCAGTTTAGTATTTGATTTCAATAGTAGCAAAATTTGTTCGAATTTGTGTAACATGAATCAAAAACACGACATCAACTTTTATTTCGTGATTCTCTTCTTACAAACGTCAAAAGCATCGTTTGCTTTCATAATTTAGAGAGGCATTGGCTTTGTCAGCCAGCCAATAATATTTAAACTCCCGTACGCTACTTTCATCCTTTATTTGTTCATTTTCAAACTTTTTGAACACGATTCGACCTATTCTGGTAGATTCGACTATGTAAATTGCGATGATCGTCCTGTACTTCCTAATGCATTGTTAGAGTACTTTTCAAGGCACAACCGATGGTGTCAGCCAAAAGAGATGTTTATAATATATTCATTGAAGAATACTCAAAAATATAAAATGACGTTTTCTGCCAAAATGTCGAAATTTCTCATACCAAGGTCCCGCAAAAAGACGTTCAGGGGTAACCTTGAATTGATAGAAAAATTTTGATTTAATGTATACCATAGTAAAAGTCTTCGTTTTTTGAGTCAAAAACGTGATCGTTCAATTTTTGATAAAAACCATGAGGGGGTACCTCATGGTTTGGAATTGATTTTTGGAGGTTTTTTTTTTTTTTTGTCCCAAAAAAGTTGAGCAAAGGTGCTAGGAAGTAAGTGCTAGTTGAGAGTGATTGTTTGGCGCTATTCCTGCGATCTAAAACGGCTTGTAACACGCGAAATCATTGCTCAAGTTCATCCAAAACTCGCTGTATCTGCACTATTTTGAGTAGTAAGGGGGTAGTGTAGGTATGTTGTATGCTCGTATATGATTTACTTTCATTGATACAAACGTGGGACTTTGTACAAGACTCAGATCCATAACTTCACGGCGCTTGTGCATGGTTTTTACGCGGTAGTTGCCAGGTAAAAGAAAATGGTAGTTTACATTAATGGAATTTCATACAAAAATAACGATCGCCACAACAACCAGCCTTGGCTGTGCTACTTGCCATTTTTAAAAAGTGCTCATCATTGTAAATTATCCCTTTTTTTGCTATATTCCACTGATGATACTAAGTCGATGTATGAGTCACATACAAGTTACTTGGAAACTTCATGTATGCACGTAGTTGAGCACACAAGCAAACTGTAATACTGTCATATTAACTCAAAGAACGAAAATAGTACTAATGAAAGCATTCATGTGATTATCCATGTCTTGTCGAACTTCTTGAGCCTTCACGCACACAAAATCATTCAATTACATTATGATTCGATTTTTTGTTTCCTGATACTAATGAACGCTAGATCTAATTATGAACCCGCATCTGTGCAACTTTGGGCCAGATCAGCGTCTTTTTGATTGTTGACAAAAATACACATGAATCCGCAGCTATCAAGTACTACATCTAACTTTGATTACCAGTTGTGATACAAATCATTTCGCTGCAACTTTACAAAGCTGTTTTGATATTATTATAGTAGCTATCAAGTACATACTCATCAAGCGCACATCACGTTGTCTATGGCAAAACATTTACATGTGAGGCTAATCTCTTTGCATCAACGGATCAGCATCATTGATAATAAGGAGTTGATAATCTGCGGTATCAAGTTAGACAAGGTTTTATATATATTATTGTGACAATCTAGGTACACAGTTAAATCTACAAGACAGTAACCACTTGGTGGTTAAACAAAGAGAGCAGATGAATGAGGTACCCAGTTTCTGTGATGCCTTATAATGGGTTGGCTTTTTACTTTGCCACTGATCGAAATGGTTTGTTTGTCAAACATACCAAACAGAGTTTAACTTTTGTGATGCAAACTACACAGCCTCTTTATCATCTTGAATTAATTCAATAAAGTGAACCTTTCACTGAGCTACTCATCATTTTTCTCATGTGTGTAATGTATCGATTCAGGTACAACATTATATTTTTTGTCTGTTTCTTTTAGAAAGAAATAGTATAAATGCAAGCTGTTTTTTCTTTGTTTTCCGTTGGATCCATCACATATTGACCATTTGATCAATCATTGTAAGTAGTCGTTATCAGCTTCAATGTTTCTCACTTTGACATTGGCATTCACTGGATGACACCATTAGATCTCAAAATGCGTGGTGTTTATGTTTACTTATTGGCAATCTTATACTTTGTTACTTTGGTAGCAGCCAAAGGATCAAGTGGCAGTGGTAGTAGTGGTAGCAGCAATAGTGGTAGCAGCGGTAGTAGCTCAGCCGGATCCGAAGATCACAGCAACTCAAGTAGTAGCTCCAGTAGTAGTTCCAATGGCGGCTCTCATGCTGGCGGTGCTCCTTCTGATAATTCTACGACTAGTGATGGAGCATTGGGATACACTATCCGCCCAATTGTTATGTCAGGCGTTATTGCCTCTACATTTTACATGATTTTTTAAATAAATGAAACTTGTCAAATCATTACTATACGAGTGATCTTATTTCACCCAAGCAAAGTGTCAGAATGATAATAAACCATCAACCTTATATATTCCCTTGACATATGGAGGGACGACAGATAGCCCAAGAAGCACTGCATTGCGGCGCACCCGCAATCAGTCAAATCACTCGATCTACAGGAAGCCTCTTGAATTGTCTTGTACCATGCCGCTTATTAAAGACTGGTGTCTACACAGCTGAAATGTACTTCAATGAGCTTTGTAGGATTGAAACAATTTGAAATAAATAATTCATGCTTATCCTGGTCTATTGCAGCAAGCCTTTCTTCCCGCCATCCGCCAGTAGATATGGTGATGAGTACCTCTTTCAAATGATACATTGCCAAGTCTAGGTCAAAGTGTTAATTCACTTTTTGCCTCTGTCGAGGTGTGTAAACAAGTCTTGCAAATAAGTGTAATGCTTTGCGAATGATTCCCGTCTATTTTCATCAAACAAATAGCTTGAAATGCTGTAAATCAATCATTGCTTTATACAAGCATGGCCAAATCCCAAGTATTTATTGGTATTACAAAGATAATTGGATATCATTGGAGCAAAGAAAAACTAGATCAAATAAAGCGAGCTAACCCCTTACTTTCACCCCCCCCCCCTGCCATATGGAAAAATAGACTACAATCACAAAGATCTTCGAGGTGTGTTACCTGGTGCACAAAAACTCAAAATTACTACCTTTTTTTTTTCCTTTTTGCATACATATGACAACAACAACAACCACAGCTTCTGACATTTACGCCAACTCATTTGGAGAGAAAATATCCTTAAAGATTCAAAAAAGCTACTAATGACAAAGACACTATCGTCAATTGGTTCATTTTAGTGTTGATTTCTACAACATGAGTCTCCGATATATCTCCAATATAAACTTGTATTGGTATAACTATTTTTAACAGGCTTCTCTATTCTGATTCAACTCAATAATTCGTTCCTTTATTTCTTTTCTCTATCTCTCTTTTCTTTCTCTTTTTTTTTCGTTTTATTTCGTTTCGATTCTATAGAGAAAACACAATATGGATCCAGAGAATCACAGATATATGAATCAAAATTACAGCCAAGAGCCTAATCATCCTATGAATAGACAACACAGGTAAATAGACGAAAGGAAATGTGGGGAGATGGGTTTCTGTTTCTGGTTGTCATGGCAACCTATAAAAAGAATCGTCTAGGGGCTGCAAAATGTATTCCATCATTTTGTAACTTTTGATTCATATCATCCTTGATATACAAATACAAATCTCAAAATGATTTTATTTGACATCAGCAAAAATTTATTAATGAAGCCCAGGGCTTTGTTAGTGGGGGAGAGAAGAGGGGGACCTGAAAAAAAAAAGTGGAGAAAATTTCTTTTTCCTTCTTTCATCTACTCATCACTTTTCTCAATATTTATAGTTTTCACCAACCTGAGACTACTCACCAATATCATCACCACCAAGCACATCATCAACAAAACCAGGCTCTGATGCCAATGCAACAACAACAATCGCCTTATAACAACGCCACGGCTAATGCTGCTCCAGTGAAATCAGAATCATCTCCGCAAAGGTAACATTTCATTTGTGTTCGTTTCACCCTCTTTTTGACACTTCTTTTCTTTTTCATAGCAGAGTTATCATGTCATCTCAGCCTACTACTCCTCAGCCAACTGCCAGTAATACCGAGCACAATGATTCGATCAAGAATGATGAATTAGATGAATCGAATTTGCAATATCCATCTTCACCACCATTGCCCCTGGAAGCTCAGAAATACAGTAGCTCGGCGACGCCAGGCACACCCTCCTCTTCTTCCAACTACCATCCTCATGTCAGCAATAACCCGACTTCAAGAGATCGTAAAGAGTCACTCATTAGCGAGACATGCCCTTCATTTGGCCCTACTGAATACGCCCATAACATTGTATCATTAGACAGACATACAACGTAGGTTTTATGTTTGGGCTGTGTACCGTGTGACGATAACTAAAGCTTCGTTTTTTCTTATCTAGTATTGATGTTCGTCTCCATACAAAGGTGGATCGTGGCTTCTTTTTGGCTGATAATGACTGGACATGTTATCGTCGCAATTACTTTCAAGTAAGTGGATCCTTCTCTTTGGAAGGTGTGGGCATTTTGTACGAGGGACAAGATTTCCCTTGCTTGGCAAAGGATCACAACGGATCACTGGAGGAGATTCACTGCTTCATGCTTGGTGTCAGTGCTCGCTTATCTGATTGTGATAAATCGATTCAGTTGATTCAACACACCCCCAAACGTGATAAAGGTCCTCAAACAACACCTACCCCAAAGTTGATCCGCCCTGGAGGTAATATCGGTTTTAGTGCTGTTGGTTCTAGTCAATCTATTGTCACCTTTGAACGTCTTCAGTTCAAAACTGCAACCGCAAACAATGGCAAGAGACGTGCTGCTCAACAATACTATGTCATTGTCGTTGAACTATTAGCAAAATTACGTAATGGAAATACGATCACTGTGGCTACTGCCAAATCATCCTCGCTTGTTGTCCGTGGTAGAAGTCCTGGCCATTACGCTGAAACTGACTCTGGTGCTCATAGCTCTAGTAAGCGTACTAGCAGTGGAGGTGGCCCTACTTCCAGTGTCATTCAACATAGTAACTCAGCTGCACATGTTCCATATGGACGTCCTACTGCCTATGCTGGTGCGAGTGCTCATCTCTTCCAGCCTACAGAATACATGCCCTATGATTACCACGGTGTAGCCTATACAAACTATAGTCACATGCCTCCACCTCCACCCATGTCTCACTCTCACTCATATCCTGGATTACAGCAACAACAGCAACAACCACAGACTTACACTAGTGTCCATGACCGTGTTCATTCAAATGCATCTCCTGAGGCGCCTTATTCTGCAAATAATCACCACCATCAACCTCAGCAACACCACTCCAACGAACAACCCGACTATTCCTCTGTCAAGGACGATTCGACAAGTTCACCTTACTACTGGCAAAGACAGCAGGGCGAGCGTCAGGAGGATGCTCACCATCAACAGCACCAGCAACAACACCCTCAGGATTGGAGCAGAATCAGAATGGCTTCTAATAACAGTGCGTCAAGCGTTGATAACTCCCAACATGGATCACCTTACATGAATCATCATCAACAACACCAACAAGCGCCAGATCATTACTACTCTCACCCTCATTCTCACGCACCTCCACCACCTCCACCTCAAACACAAAGTCAATATGGTCATCATCCATCTTATGGCCATCATCACCCCTTAACTCAGAGGTAAAATTATCTGTAGCGTTTGTATAAGCTGAGCCATATACTGATTTGTATTGAATAGTTTGCCACCACCACCCTCCTCTGCTGCTACTACTGTTGCTGGATCTGAGCACTATCCTACCTATCAGCCACCTCAACAACAGCAACACTATGAATGGCGTCCAACCAACAACAAAATACCAATGTACACTTATGACACTGACAATAACCGTAAGGAATATGAAAGACCTCAAACAGGAGGCACACCCCCGCCCTCCTCTTCTTCGCCCATAGCAGGCAGAGAAGCTACTATTGTAAAATAATTTTTATATTCTATTTATTTATTTGATTCTTGATCCGAGTAAATACAACTGATCTACTGAAAAGCAATGTAACCTAATATAAATAAACTGGCTTTTTTCTTGCTGAACACAATGGTTAGCATGGATGCGATTTTTGAGCGTTTTGTAGTATTGCACTTTTTCGCCGTGCTGAGTGATTTGGATGTGTTTTGTTTTCTGATGAGTGTCTGTCTGCTGTTGCTGCAAGACTTGTGGTTGGTGCAGATTTACGAATTCGAGTTGATGGTGTGGCATTGCCAAATCAACATGAAAGTCCAAGAAATGACAGTTCACCAGAGACAGGTGGGTCAGCCGTGGACATGCGCACAGGAGATCATTGAGCGTTGTATTGGATAATGTGACATGACTGAATGAAACGTGGGCAATTCGAGTTTTAGACATGGTTTTTGATGGTTGTGATAATGAAAGATGATCCAATTTAAGCTGGTGTAGCCGAGTGTTCTCCAATAGTATATCCATTGCGACGTTGAGCCACTCATCCTTCATATAAATACCGGACAGATACAGCCTTGTCAGATTTACTGAGTGCCTGAAATCAAATGTTTGAAGTACATGACATGGCCAAAACGACAAGTCAGTCAGCGTTGCCTGGTGTTTGTGAAGCAGACTTGTCAGTGGTACGGGATAACCAGGCGAATAGATTTTGAGCCTTTCTAACAAGGTTGTGCATTGTAAAAGTGTCTTGTAGAACTTCATATTCAAGGGAAATCCAAACAGAGAAATGCGGTTAAGATGAGGACAACACTCAACAACAGTTTCCCATTTAACAGTTGTGTCAGTCTGCATATCAGAGTCCATGTGGCCGTTTTCAATTTCCAGGGTCTCCAAGTTTGGATATCTGTAGCAAATGTATCTAACCCAGGCCTTGACAATGCCTTGACGAGGATGGATGAGGTGGATCAATTTGAGCGATTTGAGGTTGAATGCCGGTACTATGTCTGTTATGTTTTCCAAATGATGGATATCAGGCCTACTACTACTACTACTACTACTACTACTACTACCAAATACACATAGAAACCGCAGCTTTGGACAAGCTCGGTGAATGGCCTCTAGTTGAGGTGGCGCCAATGGAACTTGGCTGTCATGGCCAATGTGGAGTGTCAGTGATTCAATCCTAGAAATCCCAATAAGCCAAGAGAAATTGCAGTGTGAATCGATGAATAAAGATAACTCTGTTAATGAATGCTGATTGTGCAAAATTTGAGTGCCTAGCTCTGTTGTCGGATTGAATATGGAGATGGCTATCAAGTTCAATGATCCCAGAGCATACGTTAATTGCTGAATTTGTTGAGGATACACAAACAATTTATCCCACGCATTAAAATGTAATGTATGGAGGTTAGGGCAAAGTTTACACAGGGCCACCAATTCACTGTCTTTAACGATACTCGAGTGATAAAAGGGTTGCTGTATATCGACTATATTGACCAAATGACCTTGATGTTGCAATTGCAAGTAAAAGCGCTTGAATTGGTGTCTATTGTTGATTTGCGCATAGTGAAACAGTGATCTTTGAAATAGGGCACTCCATTTTGAACAGACTTCCACGCAAGTGATACGGTCATTGACAGAGCTCAAAAAGCGGTCTACAAGCACCAATATTTCCGTTGGTAAAGCATTAATGGTGGTCATTTCAAAAGAATTAGTAAAGTAAAGAAAAAATAATGGGATTCAGAAGCCATGTCAATCTAATTAACCAAATGAATGTAATACAAGAAAATAGCTAATCAGGAAGGAGGTAATGGAACAAGGGGAAATATAATTCTGGTGGCCACGGTTTGAATTAGGTACACGAGAATTAGGTTAAGCAAGCTAGGTCAAGTTTTGTTTAGAGTTGTTGCCTTTTGTCAAGCATTGATTGTTGAATTTCTGCCATGCATAATTCAATTGATTGCACTTCACAACGATACCACAGAATTGCAAAGATTCTCTGTATACTTGACAAAAGGGTATTGTTCCTGTGTGAAGTGTTGGTTTGCTTTTCTTTACATTTTATGTACGTTTGCCTCAGTAGACATAAGTTGTATTCGATCACGTTATCATTTGTAGCAAAAAGTTTGGGAAGCACCTACCAAATGACGCAGTAGCTTTAATATAGCTTTGTATATGTGTCAATATTGATCTGGCTATGGCTACCGTCAGACAATTAATGGTTTAATGTACCCTTTTTCCCAAAATGATTGGGACACTTTGCGAAAACGTAAGGGACAGGATTAAAAAACAGATGGGACAATTCTCAGATTTGTTTGGCACAAAAAATAAAAGTTGTCTTGAGACACCTGAAAAAATGAAATGAGACAAATTACAAATGTGACAGAAGGCCCATCTCCACTCAAAGCAAAGAAACTTCCCTGAAAGTATACAAAATCGCTACGAATGGGTTAAGAAATGGGAGCAAACGGATATGGACTACATGTCTAACTGCGTCTTCCTTGATGAATCTGCTTTCCATATCAACCTGAAGCGAACAATGGCTTGGTCTGAGAGGGGAACTCGCGCTGAGGTAATTGTTCCTGTAACGAGGGCCAAAACCACAGCTATTCTCGGTGCAGTAAGTGTTTGGGGCATTATCAATGTTCAAGTAAGAATACCAGGTGCCTCTTTTAAGAAAAGTGTTGTGCCAGAAGGGCTACAACTGTCTATAAAGATTAAGGTATTCTTGATGGGTAGATATGTCTGTGTTGTGCAACAACATGGACAAGCTATGATAAGTGAAGTGCATCTCAGCTATCTAAATACTGAGGTTCACCAGATGTGATAAGCGTTGTACAAGATAAATTGCTACTTTGGCATTCAGAACTTAGTATAAATAGAATAACTCTTGTCTTCATCAATAAATCTTTAGTTTTTGTGTCTGATCTTATTCAAATAAGTCTTTTCTTGTTTTTATAATATTGAACATTTTTTATAAGCTACAAATAATAATCCTTTTATTCTTTGTGCTTAACAAAAAGAAAGATAGGTGGAGGCTCTGGTAAAGTAGGACCTGGGGGGGTACCGTAACAGGGCATTATTTCAATTTCGTGGCTAAGACACTGGATGTTTTGGATAAGGATGATAGGTTCAAAGGCTTCTATATCGTAATGGATAATGCGCCTATTCATACGGTCGATGACATTGAAAGATATATCATTCAGCAAGGCTATAGATGTGTATATCTTCCTCCATACTCTCCTGAGCTAAACCCTATTGAACAATTTTGGCATGTCGTAAAAAGCAAGCTGAAAAGAGAAAGGTCATTGTCAGACGAGAACCTCACTAGTAGAATAGCTGATGCATGTAACAGTGTTTTGTATAGCGATCTTGAGGGATCTGCTCGTTATTCTGTCAACGAATTTGAGGCATGCTTGAATAAACAGCCTTTGTAGTAAATGGGACACTCGAACCTCTGAGTTTGTCTCATTTCATTTTTTCAGGTGTCTCAAGACAACTTTTATTTTTTGTAATCTCTTTCAACCAGCACTTACTTACTAACACGTTTGCTCAACTTTTTGGAGACCAACATGTCTTCCGCTGAAGAAACTCTCTATAACATCCGCTCTGCCATTGCCAGCATCGATTCCTCCATCGGTGCCCAAAGTAGCATTAATCAAGCTACCGAGCAGCGTTTAGATGCCGTTGATCAACGATTTGATGCTATTGACCAACGCTTTACGAACGTCGAAACTTCCTTTAAGGAAATTCTTAACTTCTTCAAGTCCCAAACTACCCAGAACCCCTCTCGTCCTTCTGACAACCATCCTTCAGTAAGCCCTGAAGCTCAACCACCTCGCCCTGCCTCCAAATCTGACGGACCTCAAACCAAACCCTCTTGGGCCTCTATCGCTAGCAAGCCCCCTGCTCCACTTACGGACCGCAAGCGACAGGCCTTACACCGTGCATTCAATCCACCTGTTCACGATCCCACTCAAAATGGGTCTTACACCTTTGTCTATCTCCCTCGCTCCCGCCGTATGAATCGTGCCCAAATTAGATCGAAATTTCGCCAAATTTCGATTGACAACCTCCGAATTCTGGACCTCAGCTTCCCGGCTCGTAACACCATTGGTGTTCTTTTGCATGAAGCCTATCTCCCTGAGTTCAAATCGAAGCTTCTCGAAATTGACTCCCACTTGATCCAAGATTTCGATCCTCTGGATCACCATCACATTGCCGACCCTAAATACCAAAGTTTCTCGGAGGAACGTCGTACCCAGCTCGCAAAAGCCCTTCACCAGGACCGATGCATCCGCTCCCTGTATTTTATTCGCCTCCATCTCGTCCCCGGTGTTGCAAAGTACTTTGTCCATGAAGGATGGGTACCTAGCCACGTCGCTGAAGATATCATCAACCAACGTCTCCCTCGTCCCGTCAAGAGACGACCTGCTCCCCAATCAGTCTCGGAATCCACATCCCAAAATCCCCAACTCTCTGGCCTCTCTACCCAAACTAACTCTTCTCGCGGCTCTGCTCCACAGGTTCCCCTTCCTACTAATCCTCACGATTTGTTCGGTAATCCAGTACCCACTCAAGACATGGGTACAACCCCTGATTTTGCCTCCAATGCTTACTCTTCGGAGAGCTCTCGTCCCAGTTCTCCCGTCTCTGACGCCGGTGATCTCTCTCAATGAGTGAGAACAACGACACCACCAACACCAATACTCATGCTCCCTCTTCCTCAATAAATCATTCCCCAAACCTGGTATCACACCTTTCCCCTACGCAGAACAGAATCACTAACCTTAATATTTGTAGTCTCAATTGTCGTAGTCTCTCTAAGCCTTCATCTCTAGATCTCAGCCGCTCCCTCTCTCGCCTTCTCGCTACCTCTGACATGAATATCCTCTGTCTTCAGGAGACCCACTCAGCGGATCCTGAGGTGCAGGATCGTCTGGACATCCAGTTGCAAGCTAAGACTTCTATATGGACCCACTACTGTGGAGTCGTGAGCATAAATCCTGCTATCCAACTCGATGATGCCTATGTCTCTACTAATGGTCGGTTAATCATCTGCACTGTCTCCCACGTCAACCACCTCTTCCGCTCCTTTCGCCTTATGAACATCTATGCTCCCGCCACTTCTTATGCTCGCTATGACTTCTATGCTGATCTCCTCCAACTACCTTATTTCCGCTCCTTACTGTCAAATCTCTTATCCGACTCGTTTACTCTTCCCTCTGCGGCTCCCGATCTGATTGTAGGAGATTTCAACTACAACTTTCGACACTTCCCAGCATCTGTCATCCAGGATGGCCTACAGCATTCAAATTTCATCACCAATTTACACCTCGACTATTGCTATCCTTCTGACACCTACTCAATCAACCCTGAGGATCCCTCCAATGTCCCCATTCTAGACTCCAATGACTCTGCTAACATGCCACCGGCCACGAGAGCCCAATGGCTATGGCATGCTATGTTACAACACCACTACCAAGAGTGCTCCCATCGTTTACAATCTGATCCACTTTTACCCACCTTTACCGGTGGTGGCCACCGATCTACCATAGATTACATGTATGTGGCGCCCCCTCTCACGTATTTTGTCCACACATCCAACGTTGACTTCATCGGTTCACAATGGACAGATCATGCGATGCTTAGCATCCACTTCAGAATGCGCAACACCAACCATGGCAGGGGCCTGTGGCGAGCCAATCCTTGCTTGGCCACTAACTCTTTCTTTGTGAATCAGTTGTACCGCCTCCTGGATGACTTTCACCGGGATCTGGCCTCCAGTACCTCTACAGCATCCCCTTAATCGATATGGGATGATATCAAATCTCTGACTCGCACAGTGGCTCGACGAGTGGGTCGGAAACAGGCTGAATGACGTCGGCGTCAACTGAGACACCTCCAAAGCAAACGAAACCGAATTCTTCGTACCTACAAATCCACGGCCATCTGGAATGATCGTCTCCCTGCCATCGAAGAGGCTATCAGTACCTTACAGCAGGAAATCACTGAACATCAGGCTCTCCGGTTGGGTTTACGTTGGCGTGAGAATGGCGAGATCTCTCCTGGCTTTTTGAAACGTCTGGTCACCCAGCGGATCACTCAGCGGACGCTGCCCACCTTAGTGGATCCCTCCTCTGGAAATCGTTTCTTGTCCCAATCTGAAAAGGAGCAAGCTGTCCATTCCTTCTACACCAAGCTCTACACTCCTGATACTGTAAATACCACGGACATTCATTACTTTGCTAACATGATCCCTCCTTCACATCGATTATCTGATGACTCCCATGACTCCCTTTGCGCTCCTTTCACTCTAGATGACATCCTGGATGGTCTCTTTCGGTCTCCCCCTCATAGTAGTCCTGGGATTGATGGTCTCCCATATCAGATTATGCGGCTCCTCTTTCTCCATCCTACTACTGCGGCTATTGGTCTCCGGGTATTCAATGATGCTCTTCTCCATGGTATCTTTCCGGCTTCCTGGATTCAAACCAGCCTGGTTCTTCTTCCCAAGAAAGGTGATCTCTCGTATTTGAAGAATTGGCGCCCTATATCTTTAATCAACACGGACGCCAAAACCTTCACCCGTATCCTTAATGCTCGCTTGATGGTCCATTTCTCAGACAAGATCTGCATCCAACAAATGGGATTCATGCCCCAACGGTTCATTGCTGAACAGGGTCTCCAAGTCCAATGCATGCAAACGATTGCCACCAAGTCCGGTCTGCCATTCATCGCGCTTCTTCTGGATCAAGAAAAAGCGTATGATCGCATCCACTTCTCTTATCTTGAAGCCATAATGAAAGCCTTCAACATCCCCAGTACACTCATTACCGCCATCCTTAACCTCTTCTCCTCCACTATGATTCAACCCAACGTGAATGGCTTCCCATCCACTCCTTTATCACAATTACGAGGCCTTCGACATGGCGACCCGTTAAGTCCACTGCTATTCAACATCGCATTTGACCCCTTCCTGCGAGCAGTCCACAATGACTCCCGTATCCAAGGTTTTTCCTTCCCTCCAGACCCTTTATCTGGATCTAGTCCCCCTCCTGTCAAGATACTTGCCTACGCGGATGACACTTTAGTCACCCTGAGCCATCCATCTGAATTCCCTGCCCTTGAAGACCTCCTGCAAAGATACATGGCAGCCTCCAATGCTTTGCTCAACTACAACAAAACACAGGTGCTATCCCTTTCAGGCCTCGCTCAACCGCAGTGGAGTTAATTCTTGGCTTCTAAAGGCATCACATCCTGGCATGACAACTCATCCACCTCTGCTCTGAACTACCTTGGTTACGGTCTGTTCTCCAACCAGCAACAACGGTCCTCCTTGGTCGCCTCTCTTATCTCCAGTATCCAAGACTCTTGTCAACTCCATTCCACTCGAAACCTGACTATACGGGGTCGTATCACTGTTCTGAATTCTTTGATCCTCTCCAAACTATGGCACATCCTACGTCTGGTCACTCTTACTAAGTCAGAATTCTCGTCCATACAATCCATCATCTCATCCTTTATCAACCGGAACGCTAAGATTTCTCGCTTTGCTCTTGACAAACTCGCCTTACCGCGATCACAAGGTGGCCTCAAACTCCTGATCCCAGCTCAACAGGCTCACGCCCTGCAATGGCGCTGGCTCCAACCACTCCTTGATCCCAATCAACCATCACTCACTCTGATGCCATCCCTTCCAATCCTTCGGTCCACTATGTCCTTTGTTCTTGGCTCTCCTCGGTTTCCTTCCTACCACTGGCCTCTGCTTTTCCCTCCCTGTCGCCCATCCGGTTTTCCTGATTCTGGTCCCGTCCACAACATACTTTCTGCTGTCGACTCCATCCAAAGAAACTTCTATATATGCTCCGTTGATATCCCCACCATTTTACGTCTCCCCTTCTTCAACACACTCTACACCCCCTCCCATCCTTTGTCACCCACATTTTCTCCCCCTTCCACAGTTCTCCAAAATCACATTACAATTCGTCGCCACCTTTACGGTTCTGACATCTTTGATTACAGCCCTACAACCCTCAACCTCACTCTTAAACAACACACTCGCAACCTCCCTCATTCTATCGCCTCCGCTCGCGCCATTAATATGATACTTTCCCATTCCCTTCTTTTAAACACCTTTACCCTCCATGCTATGATGCCATACTTCCCTCGACCTCTCTTAACTTCATCACAACTTGATCTCACCACCCTACCCACTATTGACCAACTACATCCCTTACTCACATCCCTCATCTCTTCCCAATTCGACTTGGCCTCTCACCAAGTCAAAATTGTCGCTCCTTCCACTAAAGGCTTCAAATCCTTACCTTCCTCTACTCCTGTGGTCTCCCCAGCACCGGTCCTGACACCTACTAGATGGAAAACCTTTTGGTCCCTCCGTATCCCTCTGAATGCTAGAAATACCTGGTTCCGTGTTCTCCATCACAAGATCTCTACCAGAGAACGTATTCAGTCTCGTCTCAAGACCCCTTTCAACGCCACCTGTACCATATGCAACTCATCCACAGAAACAACTGAACACTTTTTATTCGCTTGTCCACTTAAACGTTTCTTCTGGCGCACCGCTATCCTTACTTACATGCTTCCCCGGATCCAACAAGACACCTACTCAAACTTTCAGCAACTCCTTCATTTGGAACATCCTTCATCCAGGCATCAGCACCCTCTGTTCCCATCTCTTTCCGTACATCAAGTGTTTGCCTGCATGTTACAAACAGTCTGGTATTATCACTATCAGCACCACTTCCATCAATCCACATTCTTACCTTCTATCCTCCTTTCCTATCTACGAAACTCACTTACAACCCTACACTCCCAAGAAAACTTTCATCAAATTCTCTAATTTGATACCCCATTATATCCAGTCTTTTCCCCTCTCCCTTTAATTAGGTGACGAAAAGGACTTTAAATAAAGCATTGATTTGCCCTAAAAAAAAACTTTTATTTTTTGTGCCAAACAAATTTGAGAATTGTCCCATCTGTTTTTTAATTCTGTCCCTTACGTTTTCGCAAAGTGTCCCAATCATTTTGGGAAAAAGTGTGACCGACAGCGTTTGGCCCAATTAATAATTTTAGGTTTGTATCTAGTATTTTAATATCTCTGGAAATTCGTTTTGCTTTCAGCTGTATGTCTTTGTTTCCAATCCTAGGGATATATCAAACCTTTTAATTAAGAGTAATAGATCCATAGACATAGAGTTGAAAACTAATATGCTGGAAACCGCTTCATGGCATCTTGCTTTGTTTTGATTGTGGCAAAAAAAGTTCAAAGATGTACAGTGCATTTTACCAAAAGTGGGGAATAGCTTTTCCACGCCCTATCTTGACACTAGGACCTTCATATCAGGACCATTATATGCCCGCTCTGGGGAGTTGATTGGCATATAAACAGATATTATTCCCTACATTAGATGTTAAATAAACTACTCGATGAAAGTGTAAAAGTAACCAATATTATATATAAAATCAAGCCAGTATTTGGGCGCTGTTCTTTGTTAAACTGTCAACTCAACCCGGTTTCACTATTAGTTAAGTTCTGCTCCCCTGTGTTTGCTGCTCACAAAATGAGACCTTGTTTGGGTGCCTATAATGCTTCCTGTAAAAAATCGGTTTTTCGACCCCCAAATTGGAATTTTAGTTACAGTGTGTTTGCTTAGAACTGTTAAGCACAAAGAATAAATAGATTATAATTTGTAGCCTATAAAAAGTGTTTGATATCGCAAAAATAAGAAAAGACTTATTTGTGTAATGAAATAGCCACCCAAACGCAACTTAATTGAAAACCAAAGTTCATCAAATAGCACTCATTCAAATTCATGCTATTTGGATCTATTAATGAAAGCGCTCAAATGTACATCAAAAACCCATTTAAAAATACTAAAGTAAAGATACACGCTTATATCGCACATCGTGTGAATGAATCACTCCTGATCACAGTGTATTCAATCACACCCATGATGGTCGTAATAGGTGATGGTATCTTTATCCAAATGGAATTAAATCAATAACAAGCATATTCAAATATGACAACTATGCCCTGCTGCCATAGTTGCACAATATCCCAGATAAAGGATTCCATGCTTCAATAACAAACATCACACTTTAAACCATCAAGGTTACATTAAATCATGCTATGACGATAGCTCACCCAAGCCCATCAAGGTTACTCAAATCGACCCTTATGGCCAGTGCTCTTGCATTGATTACCACTTTAAATCAAACATCAACAACATTTGCCAGATATCGCAATAGCAGCACCTATTGCTCTCTATCATCACTAATCCTACAAGCTAGATGCAAATGTATAAGTACTCTTCTTTTTTTTTACTCAATTCCAGGATCTTCAGTTCATTTTATACACAAAATAAAATACAGTTGATTTCTATTGTATTTTACCTTTGCTTTATTTTTTTTGTGAAATCCATTAAACCTGATTTCACTGCAATTTGAATAAAATCAGACACAAAAACTAAAGATTTATTGATGAAGACAAGAGTTATCCTATATATACTAAATCCTGAATGCCAAAGTAGCAATTTATCTTGTACAACACATATCACATCTGGTAAAACTCAGCACCTAGATAACTGAGATGCACTTCAATTATCATAACTTGTCTATGTTATTGCACAACACAGACATATATGCCCATCAAGAATACTCTAATCTTTATAGACACTTGTAGCCCTTCTGGCACAACATCCCCCCTATACTTGACTACACCACCAATACGTTCAGAATTAAAAGAGTAAATATTGGATGGGCTTTGAAGAAAAGCTACACCATAGCTTACAACAAGAAGAAGCCGGTGATGAATTTGTAATAATAAGTCGATGATAATAATCAGTTGTCAACTGTATCTAAACCGAAAGCAAAAAACTTCTTTATTACAGGGCATCTACTGTAGGGGGAAAAACTGTCCCGTTCGTTCAAATAATCTTGACTTTTACCCAATATATTGCCGAAACTCAAAAAGAGAATCCCTCCCATACTGCGTTCGACAGAACAACTAACAGGAATTACAGCAACATAAAACCTTATGGCTGGACTATATTTTAACCCCAGTATAACCAGCCAAAGTGGGAAGTGTCAAAAATGTTAGGTGGGTAATTCTAGATGGTATAAAATGGTTGATATCTTTACTTCCAATAAACGTATCGAAGAGGTCTAAAAAACTACCCGCGGTATGCTCAGGATATTTAATATCCCAGGAGCATTCTAAAAGTATAAAAGAGGCTAATTTCTTCATTTTTTTTCTTTATTTCTTTGCTTTCTTATTTTTTTTTCAAAACTTTCATTATGCCTGCTCGTTTAACACAAGATTTGCGCAACATTCTCCAATCTTTGCTCTAACGTGGTCTTTCGTTCTCAAAGATAAGAAATATGTATCCAGGAATCGGTAACTCTACTCTTACAAGACTCAGAAAACTCTATTGCCCTGACCTAGCTATACTTGTTGGCGGAAGACCGAAAAAACTTGGTGCTAAAACTATGTCCCTAGTGTCAAGAGGACTTCGATCAGGTGCTTTAGATAATCCCCGAGCAGCACAAAAAAGTTTAAGATCGATGGGCCATGATATGTCTATTAATTGCATCCGCAAGTCATTGAGACGAAATGGACTTAAATCTCGTAGAAAAGTAAAGACCAATTTTGTTAGCAAGACAAACAAGCGGCTTCGATTGGCGTGGGCTAAAAAGCATAGGCATCTTACTATTGCTTTTTGGCGTTGTAGAGTGTTTTCGGATGAAACAAAAGTAAATATTTGGGGCTCAGATGGTAATTCTTTTTACTAGACAAATGATGGCCGAACCATGCAGTCGTATTAAGTCAAGTCTCAGGTGCATGGAAATGACGGTGGAGTCATGTTCTGGAGTTGCATAACATCGGAGGGGCCTAGTTATGGTACTACCATTATTGAAGACGCAACAAACTCGGGCTTGTATGTTGATATTTTGAAGACATCATTGGTCGACACTCTTGAGCACTTTGGGAAGACACCATCTGATGTGCGAATTTAACAAGAAAAGCAACACCGCATACCTCGGGCATTACTAAGCAATGGTTCACCGACAATGGGTTCAACCTAGACGAAAATATGAATTCTCCACCCCGAAGTCCCGATCTTAATCCCATTGAACATGTATGGCATCTCCTAAAGCTTCGTCTTAATAAGTGTTCCACTAGACCCTTTACAAAAGAAGAACTAGAGCGGCATAGTTACATAGAATGGTACAAAATAACAGAAAAAGAGTGCCAAAAATATATTGACAGTATGCCTGCCCGAATCAACGCAGTCATCAAGAGAAAAAGTGGTTCAACTCACTATTAATGATTTTATAATATAATGTACATTTTTCTATATTTATTTTTTAAATAATAAAATCATTCGATTTTAGTTTTTGAAAAAGGCATAAATATGCATAGATAGCACTACTTTCTCTCATTCAAACGACATATATCTCGACTTTGTATACAAAGAAATGACTAAAAACTAATGCAAAAAGACAATTTTTTAAAGGAACGGGAGAGTTTTTCCCCCTACAGTAGATCCCTGGTCAATGACTACTACGTTGAGATGGTATATAAATAGCAGGCCACTGGGGCCTTATGGATTGTTGGTATAGCTTGTTGAGAGGCCACCTAAGTCGGTATGTTTCATGTAGTGTTGGTGGATCTCGATATCTTGACATTAGGGAGATTGAATGTATTGTAGTTCCTGAGGCACCTGTGCACACAAAATTGGCTGGACTTGTAATCATCGATGTGATGTGATACAATAAACATCATCTATGTTGCTACACTGTAAAAAGTGGCTTGAAGAGAAAGTGAATGTAGCCTAAGATGCATGCTTGTATGCAACAGCCGGTCGAAAAACTCTCTAATGGTGAGGCTATTTACGATAGAAGAATTCATATGTTGTGCGTTGGTGCTTTACGATGTTTAAGCTTGCAATGCAAGAGAGCTGAAGAGGCCAAAAATCAGCGGTCGCCCATCAAGCAGAAGGACAGCTATGGCTGTGCCAAAAGAAGGCTTGAATGCCCAAATTGTAAGGCGCCGTTTGAGAAGGTTCCTTGTGGTGTTCCTGTAACCTTTACTTTCTGTGTAAATGACTCTCACAAAAAAGACAGAGGCAGTACCGTAATAATTCACCAAGAAATAACCGAGAAGAAGCACACACATACACCATTTACAATTTGCTCCATCTTGATAGATACGAAAAGAAGGAGCTTAACAAGATGGTGAAAACAAGTCCTAACGTCACCGCTGCTGCTGCCATTTCTGGCATTAATCCGTCTACTGGTGAAACCACGAAAAGTGTCAGAGAAATCAGCAATCTGACGGCTAACCGTGGACGTACAAAGTATGAGATCCGAAGAACAAAAATCCAACAGAATCTGTATACTATAAAAGAAGATGCTATAGCCCCGTTCTGAGATCTTGAGGAGAAATACAGTAGTTCATCGGTTCCGTACAGCCAGTAACTCAATTGAATTCTACCGTACCGGCCAGGAGGTTCTCTCAGAGTTTTTCAATTGCAAAAAGTGGCTGAAACGGTAGTTACAACCTAGTGTGTCAAGCAAGATATTCTGATGCATGTCATTGATGAAAAAGGAATTGGGACAGCAGAAAAGCTGCACGTTCAACGCGATTGAGGCATTCCACAGTGTGCTCTACAAGCTGATGCCTGAGAGGAGACAGCCTGTTGCCATCTATCTTAGACTGTTATCGCAAGTCGCCGAATATCATGGCATAATGATGTTGGACTTGTATAAGGACAACGTTTGACCTTATTACCGGAACAAGAAGCAGGAGAAAACAATGGCAAAGAAGTATGTGACCCTTCACGAAATCAACGACGGTCATGCGCCAGATAATAACACTGCTCTGTTTGAATCCAAGAAGAGAAAGCAAGAAGTAATAATCATTGGTGATGAAGAGAATGGCAAGCGCAAAAAGGCCAAGAAATTAGAAACTCGCGGTGCTGTTTTGAATGCTGCGATCAAAGAGCATTTGGATGAGAATGTCGAAGTGGAACAGAAATGTCCAAATATTGATGACATTGCAGATGATGATATCAGTTATAAGAGATTTCCCCTTGAATCGCTCACGGATAATGATAGTAAAAATGATCAAGCAAACAACGAATATCATAAAACTGAGGATCTAGAAAGCGGCATTAAGGATATGTTCAAAGGCAGGGATAGTGTAGGTAGTAGTTTTTAGCTGCTGATACTGTGGCATATCAAAGATAATTAGTGCTGGTGTTTCTGTCGAAGATGTTGTTGTCAACTCTGCTGACGACAACTTCGAATTGTCTCTTGCTCTTTTTCTCTTCCTGTTCTTCCTCTTGGCCAATAGTGAAAATCAAGCCTGAGCCTACTGCATTCAAGAAGAGAACTCCAACAGATGCCAATTTCTGGTTGTCTTTGTCGTGCTCAAAGCTGCCATATCTTGCAATTAATGGCAAGCATATTGATCGTATTATACAAAGTGTTCAAAATTTCACAACTGCTATTCATAGGTCTTTTCTCTCCCCTAATGCTCCCTGAGGTTTTTGCAACAGTAGCAATTGAATCTATTGCAAGCAGTTCGACCACGACAGCAGATCGGCCTTTGCTCGAGAACGACTCATCTACCGCTGCGCGGAGAATACGTGTCTTACACAATCACATACAAGTTTCTGTGGGTTTTAATCTAACGCGTTCAATTTTTGTCACGTTAATATAAATATCATATTGCTTAATTGTAATGTAGTAGATACGAAAGTTTGAATGATATCATCTAATTAGCTACGGATAAAATACATTATTGTTTTTGAACGAAATCGGGGAGTCTCTAAGATTGTTATCTTAGAATCAACGGAATAAAAGAAGCTGGTAGTATAAATCGCCTTTACTGTGGCCGCTTACCGGCTATGCAATTTAAAAGGTTGCAAAAGCAGCCATTTTTCATAGAGATATGTCAGTTCTATGTTTGAGCGCCCTTTTTTGACCTCCACCCTCAGTAGAAAATTCCACATCTTTGCATCTTACTAGTGGTAGGAAAGATAAACTACCCTAAACACTATACGATAGATGCGTCTCATTCCTGGCTATTTGTATTACTTATTTTGTTAGATATGTTTACTTGTCAACTACGGAGATAATGAACAAAAAGCCAAATTTTTTGAGCCTCATTGTGTTAGATTCTGTCTCATTTCAGAATCAATTTAAATGCCCGAATAAAAGGCTCTAGCTGGGTGCCCTTGACTGTAATGCTCAATTCCTCCGTTACCCCAGTATGAAAGATGAAAACAAACAATATGTGTTAAATTGGGGCATCAAGAGGTATCCATTTATCCCAATAGTTAGTTACAAACGCTATATCTTTTAGAAACTAGAGCGGTTTGAGTATTAACTCACAAATTTTTGTGGTTTTAAAATTACTTATAAGGCTTTCTACTGGTGTAGGATAAACAAGGTATATATAAGTTAAAATGTACTCCGGATAAGAGAAAGGCCGTGGGAGTATGGGGCATAGGTAAGGATAAGATGTACAGGTGTAGGTAGACTTAGGGAGTATACGGAGTATAGATAGTGGGGTATATGGAATGTAGAGTAATGAGTGTGAAACTTTAGCTTTTATTCATGCACATCCTGTTTTTGATCTGGCAAGTCCAATTTTTTTTAGCAAATGATTACCTTCTTTTGTAGCATGTATATACCGTGCTCGAAATATTTTTTAGAAGGCACTTTGCTACGCCCGAATCCGAGAAGGGTACCTTCATTTGTTGTTGCTACCAGCTATCAATATTCGCGAGATATACCGTACAACCCCACCAATTGTTTTATAACACCTTGTATAAAAATATACACTGTCGAAGCTAGTCGAGTAGACCCTACCTTGCAGTTTATATCGCACGGTTTGCGAGGACCATGAATGTATCTTGACATATAGATATTATTTCCGGCTCTTCTGCCAGGGACAAAATTTGCACCATCTTGTACGAACATGAACTTAGGAAACTGATTAGCTTGAGGTAATGATTTGTATGATGTGGAGAATCCATCACATCCAGGGGCGTTACACCTTCCTTTTTGGTGTTCCTCAAACACCTTCTGTCTGAACAAATCATTAAATTTCGTATTCAGTACCGCTTCATTGAAAGACCCACAACAATCTCTCAATTTGTTAATGATGTTGGTCAGAAGCATGTAGATAAATTGGAAAAAATCATTTCTCGCATACGCATACACTTTTTCAATAGAGGAAAACATTTTTCTTCGTACTGCAACGAAGGAAATTTGTAAATCTTGCTGGCAAGGTTACTCGACAGATACTCTAATACCATGTTCACCTAATCAACAGTATCATTCTGACGATCTTTTGGGAATGACTTAATCAGCTGACGAACGCCAGGACAACGTCTTATTCTGTCATGTTCCAAACAAAATGCCTCACAGTAGAAGTAGCTGCACAAATACGGGAAGGTGATCACTGAGGATGTGATTCAAAAGCATTCATGAGAAGACAATCATAAGGGTTGTTTTCATCAGCCAAAGATATATCCACAAATGAAAGAACGGCAATAAACAGAAGCTCAAAAAACACATCGATGGAGCAGGGGTTACTTTGGTAGGTAGGAACAGATAAAGATGGGTGGCTATCTAGATCGTTATTTTCATAATCTTTCACGAGCTACGAATACTTCTGAAGGGGAGACGTTCTTTTTTGTGGGAACATGAAGCCAGCAGGCGGATATCCTGATAATCGGATGTTTCTGTTCGTAAAATGTTGCCTATGAATGTTGTTTGTTTTGATGTTGTCATGGTAAAAAAAAAGAAATGTGCTTGCAATGTTCTCTGCTTTCAAGTAACAAGTTAACCTTTAAACTTTGTAATCATTAGTTGTAACAAAACAAATGCTAAAACCACCTGCAAAGACAAAATAGTACATGGTATCTTCCTTTGAGGCTATAAAATCAGCTTCCAATGGAGGAATAGGTTTCGACATATACACCACAGTACAGCATGTCACCAATAGCTAGTATATAGCTACACTGGCTGAGCGGTTTCCAGATAAAAAACTTTCATGATAAGGTAGCATTAGTAAGATCTGTAATGAAATAAAAGAACAATGAAGACACAATTTAAATCCGTTTTATTCAAAAGATAAGGTGCAATTATTCGACATTGCAGTGAAATCGGGCTCAGTTGATATCACCAAAGAATAAAGTAATAGTAAAATACAATAGAAATCAACTGTATTTTATTTGTATATAAAATGAACCGTAGATCCTGGAATCGAGTAAAAAAAGAAGAGTATTTATACATTTGCAACTAGCTTGTAGGATTAGTGATGGTAGAGAGCAATAGGTGTTGCTATTGCGATATCTGGCTAATGTTGTTGATGTTTGATTTAAAATGGTAATCAATGCAAGAGCACAGGCCATAAGGGTCGATTTGAGTAACCTTGATGTGCTTGGGTGAGCTATCGTCATAGCATGGTTTAATGTAACCTTGATGGTTAAAAGTGTAATGTTTGTTGTTGAAGTATGGAACCCTTTATCTGTGATATTGTGCAACTATGGCAGCAGGGCATAGTTGTCATATTTGTGTTGTGCCAGAAGAGCTACAACTGTCTATAAAGATTAAGGTATTCTTGATGGGTAGATATGTGTATGTTGTGCAACAACATGGACAAGCTATGATAACTGAAGTGCATCTCAGCTATCTAAATGCTGAGTTTCACCAAATGTGATAAGCGTTGTACAAGATAAATTGCTACTTTGGCATTCAGAACTTAGTATAAATAGAATAACTCTTGTCTTCATCAATAAATCTTTAGTTTTTTGTGTCTGATCTTATTCAAATAAGTCTTTTCTTGTTTTTATAATATCGAACATTTTTTATAAGCTACAAATAATAATTCTTTTATTCTTTGTGCTTAACAATTTGAATATGCTTGCTATTGATTTGATTTTGTTTGTATAAAGATAATACCTCTTATTACGACCATCATGGGTGTGATTGAATATACTGTGATCAGGAGTGATTCATTCACAAGATGTGCGATATAAGCGTGCGTCTTTATTTTCGTATGTTTGAATGGTTGTTGACGTACATTGAGCGCTTTCACTAATAGATCCAAATAGTATTGTTGTGCCAGAAGAGCTACAACTGTCTACAAAGATTAAGGTATTCTTGATGGGTGGATATGTCTGTGTTGTGCAATAACATGGACAAGCTATGATAATTGAAGTGCATCTCAGCTATCTAAATGCTGAGTTTCACCAAATGTGATAAGCGTTGTACAAGATAAATTGCTACTTTGTCATTCAGAACTTAGTATAAATACTGTAAGGGGAAAAACTGTCCCATTCGTTCAAATAATCTTGACTTTTACCCAGCATATTGCCAAAACTCAGAAAACAAATCTACCCCATACTGCGTTCGATAGAACAGCTTATAGGGATTACAGCAACATAAAAACCTTATGGCTGGACTATATTTTAATCCCAGTATAACCAGCTAAAGTGAGACGTGGCAAAAATGTTAGTTGGATAATTCTAGATGATATAAAATGGTTGAAATCTTTACTTCCAATAAACGTATCGAAGAGATCTAAAAAACTACCCGCGGTATGCTCAGGATATTTAATACCCGAGGAGCATTCTAAAAGTATAAAAGAAGCTAATTTCTTCATATTTTTTTCTTTATTTCTTTGCTTTCTTATTTTTTTCAAAACTTTCATTATGCCTGCTCGTTTAACACAAGATTTACGCAACATTCTCCAATCTTTGCTCTAACGTGGTCGTTCGTTCTCAAAGATAAAAAAATTTGTATCCAGGAGTGGGTAACTCTACTCTTACAAGGCTCAGAAAACCATATTGCCCTGATCCAGCTAGACCTCTTGGCGGAAGACCGAAAAAAACTTGGTGCTAAAACTATGTCCCTAGTGTCAAGAGGACTTCGATCAGGTGCTTTAGATAATCCCCGAGCAGCACAAGAAAGTTTAAGATCAATGGGCCATGATATGTCAATTAATGGCATCCGCAAGTCATTGAGACGAAATGGACTTAAATCTCGTAGAAAAGTAAAGACAAAATTTGTTAGCAAGACAAACAAGCAGCTTCGATTGGCGTGGGCTAAAAAGCATAGGCATCTTACTATTGCTGATTGGCGTCGTTGGATGTTTTCGGATGAAACAAGAATAAACCTTTGGGGTTCAGATGGTAATTCTTTTTACTGGACGAATGGTGACCGAACCATGCAGCCTCATCAAGTCAAGCCTCAAGTGCAGGGAAATGACGGTGGAGTCATGTTCTGGAGTAGTATAACAGCGGATGGGCCTGGTTATAGTACTACCATTATTGATGGCTCAGTAAACTCGGACTTGTATGTCGATATTTTGAAGACATCATTGGTCGACACTCTTGAGCACTTTGGGAAGACACCATCTGATGTGCGAATTTAACAAGAAAAGCAACACCGCATACCTCGGGCATTACTAAGCAATGGTTCACCGACAATGGGTTCAACCTAGACGAAAATATGAATTCTCCACCCCGAAGTCCCGATCTTAATCCCATTGAACATGTATGGCATCTCCTAAAGCTTCGTCTTAATAAGTGTTCCACTAGACCCTTTACAAAAGAAGAACTAGAGCGGCATAGTTACATAGAATGGTACAAAATAACAGAAAAAAAGTGCCAAAAATATATTGACAGTATGCCTGCCCGAATCAACGCAGTCATCAAGAGCAAAAGTGGTTCAACTCACTATTAATGATTTTATAATATAATGTACATTTTTCTATATTTATTTTTTAAATAATAAAATCATTCGATTTTAGTTTTTGAAAAAGGCATAAATATGCATAGATAGCACTACTTTCTCTCATTCAAACGATATATATTTCGACCTTGTATACAAAGAAATGACCAGAAACTTGCGCAAAAAGACAAAAATTTTAAACGAACAGGACAGTTTTTCCCCCTACAGTAGAAGAAGCAGAGGGGAGTAGCTCTTGAAGTGACAACAAAGAGACTACATCCTGCCAGAAAAATGACTTGACATGGCAACCCACCACGAAATGGTAAAGGTCCTCTGTAGCAAAACCGCAAAGAGCAAAAGCAGGAGACAGAACTTTGGTAGGCATAATCTTATGGCACCACGAACGGTGCGGAACACGGTCATGTAGCAATCGCCACCAAGGTGTGAAAGCCTTTGCAGGCATTTCCAGGGACCAGAAAGTACGCCACAAAGCAGGAGACAGCAACAAATGAGTAGGCAACTTCAAGGGAGGACCCATACGAGAGGTAATGGTACCCTTTGCACGGTGCCAATACCTTCGCAAAGCACCAAGAGAGAGACGAGCAACCGGAGCAGCAGAACGAGACGAGTTGGAGACAGTCCAATGAGTACAATCTGGCATCCAAGAGGTAGCTCCATCAGAACGGGGCATAGTAAAATAGTCTGCTTGAGACAAGACTATCTTACTATCCATGACAGGCGGGAATACCAGAGAGACAGGACCACGATCACGGTTCAAGGCTAGAAAAACAGGGCGCAAAACACGAGATGACCAAGCAAGATGAGAGGTGACACCATCAACTATACCTAGATCAGGTTGCCAGAAAGAGACATCCGACACCAAGAAACGAGGATCAAGAGATGATGGATTACGAGGAGGACGAACAGAAGGCACAGTACTGAGTACAGAACACAAGGGAAGATCAAGAAACCACCTAGCAGACCAACCAGAGGAAGGAACTAACTTTGGCAATCTCAACAGAAGCTTTCCGAGATGTTTTAGAACAGGCACAGAAGACACACGAGACTGGTAAAGACCAGGAAAACAAAACCACGGCAAGATGGACTTATGACCAGTGTAAACTTGAAAGGCATACACCAACCAAGAGGAGACAAAATCATTAGGAGAGGGTGGACGCAACAAACGTTGCAAATAGACAAGATGCAAAGCTAAGCTTTGATCTGCTATATCCACGAGACCAACACCACCAAATTTGCGAGGAAGACACAAAGTAGACCAGGCAACACCAGGGCGAAAAGACACCAGATACTCACGAACCACCTTTGTGAGTGACTTCAACCACGACGCAGTTACACCACCACCAGGAACAACACGCAACAAATGATATACCTTTGACAACAGTAACGAGTTAGCCACTAGTCCTGCTCCCCTAATGGAGAGATTCCTTTGTTTCAACAAGTTACTGTGTCGCTGGACCTTCACCAAGACACCATCAAGATAGTCTTGAAGTTGACTTTCAGTATGATACAAGGGATAACCCAAGTAACGTACTGCACCACGAGAGTGAGCGTCATGCCACTGGAGACCAGTAGAATCAGCCAAAGCAACCCAAGCAGAGTGGGACACACCAGACAACGACACCAACACTGTCTTGCTGATATTGACTTTCGCATTAGATGCTCGGCCATACAGATCAAGAACAGACAACAACACAGACCACTCTTCTGGCGAAGACAAAAACACCTCAAGATCATCCGCATAGCTCAGAATCTTGACAGGAGGAGGAGCAACAGAGCCACTAACAAAGTCCAAAGTCCAATTCCGGGCACCAGTACCATGATCCACACGAACTTCAACCGGTGAGGGCTTCCATTTACGTGGGATCCTAGTTGTTGAGATACCGTCGTTCAATTTTTTTTTTTTTGTATTAAAGCGTATCTTTATTAGCTTTATATTTATAATCTATACAGAATTTACAGGCAAGGCCAAGGATATCGTCGTTCAAAGTTGGCAAAAACAAAAACCTTTTGAAAAGTTGAAAATGTTGCCTTGTATAAACCCGCCCTGGCAAAAACAAAAACTTTTTCCTGCAAAAAAAACACCGCAGTCTTTACAACCTATTCGTCACATCAAAATATAATAGCCAGAAAGCACCTATACCAATTTGTTTACAAATATAAAAATATATTTTACATCAAATAAAAAAATTTAATTTTTCTAACAAAATATATTATATGTTAAAAAAATTGGAAAAGTGTATATATTATAATATATTTTATAATATATTATGTTAATATATGTAACGTAATAATTATTTTATATATTATTTTGTAAATATATTTAAATTATTTATTTTACTTACTATTCACAGCTAAAATTTATTATTTTAAATATTGTAATTTAATAAACACATAATTTTAAAATAATACAAAAAATATAAAAAAATACCAACTATTAAACGCAAAATTTATTTTTTTTAAATAAAAAAAAAATTTTTGTTTGTAATATATATAATTAATTTGTTTAGCGATTACGTATTATCTAAATTTTTTTCATAGCTGGCCTGCTAACGAATAGGTTTTTTTGGTGTGAAGGCTCTTTCGCTTATACATCACTTTTCAAAAAGTTTTTGTTTTTGCCAACTTTGAACGACGATATCTCAACAACTAGGATACATCCATCTTGCATCCAAGTATATTTAGATACATCCATTTCAGCTCTACAACATATCTTGATTTCAGATCGATTCAGCAATTTTTCGACGAATTCAACATTTTCACTATTTTTTTTTACAAAGGTCAACAAAAGTTACACTCCAGTTACAAGTTACACTCTATGTCAGTCAATTCTGAAATGACTTGGGCTGAACGTGCATCTCGTGGTTCTACTATGAGGTTCTATCAGCCATCCAAGAGGCGTTCGGTGGAGGCCGCCGCTTCTTCTTACCCTTTGGTGGGTTCTGTGATGTTTGAGGATGATGATTTGAAGAGTCAAATCTTAGCTAGTAAGGCAATGGCGATTGTGCAGCAGGCACTTACTTCTGGTTCAGTTCTCTTTTCTTTCCGTAAGGGTTTGTTTGGTGATCGTGTGGATGCGTACAAGGTAATTCAAACCCAGGTGTCTTCTCTGGTGGAATTTCGTCCTTTAAGTGTCTACGATGAAAAGAACGATGGTTCTTTGCTTATTGAAGCCAAGTTCGAGGAGGTGGATGATGCGAACAAGGCTATGACAACTGGTGTTAACGTGAATGGCATGGTGTACAAGGCTGTTCACGCCAAGGAATGCAAGGAGTTTGGTGATTTGAAGTTTGTCCAGTTTACTTTGATGCGCATCGTCAAAGAACCCACTTTTTTGCATGATTTGATCAAGTCTTTGTCGTTTTATGGTCGTGTCCTGCAGGTGAAGAAGTTCACTCGTGGTGGTTTCTTTGAGGGCAAGTTTTCGGTGATGGTGGATACCTCGGTGGGATATCAGGTAGAGGGTGGTGAGTGGCAGGAGGCTCAACCTCTAGATAGAATGCTCTATCTCAGCGAGTTTGATTTCTTTGTCGCAGCGACATATAAGGGTGCTCCTCCTGTTTGTCATTTCTGTCGTCATAGTGGTCATGTCCGCGCTAAATGTCCTGAGTTGCTCCAGCGTAGATGTTATGGATGTGGAAAGCATGGTCACATGTTGCGTTTTTGTCCTAATAAGGAGGATCAATCTGGTGCCAAGAAGCAAAAGGTGGATCATCAACTGAAGGATTCGGAGGAGGTCACTGAGGCACGTCGACAGACGGTGCATTTGATGGATTTCGTTGCTAAGGCAAAGCTAGGAGCAGGTAGGGAAGTGGAAGAGAAAGTCGAAGAAGAAGAACTCGAGTCTGTAGTAGACGAAGAGGAAGAATCTCTTCAGGGTGTTGTTGATGGTGTTGACGCGTCTGAAAATGACAAGTCCACTAAAAGTGATAATTTGGAGGTGCAAATGGAGGATCTTCAAGGTGAAGATCATCAGGATAAGTTACACGGAGATGATGCTATGGAAGAAGATGATGAGATCGTGCTTGCTGGTAGTGGTGTCAAGAAGCTTCCTGATGTGCGTGGCTCTGCATTCTCGAAATACGCTTCTAATGAGGTGGCTCTTACTATGAATGTTGACTCTCCAGAGGAGATGATGGGTTTGTCTAAGCTCAAGGAGGCCTCTCAGAGGAAGCGAATGGAATTGAATGCCAATTTGAAGGCTGTGAATGGTGCTGGTGTTGCTTCTGGTACTGGTGTTGGTGTTCTTGGTAACAAGTCTGCTGGTGCTGTTGGTGTCAAGAATAGCAAGAACAATGGCAAATTGCCTCTCAAGACTAAGCAAGACGCCCGTAGGGCTCAATGAGTACAAAATTAGGCATCAAGATTGGCTCCTTGAACACGCGTAGCTTGTTCATGCAGTCTAATCCTACAAATTTCAAAGAGTTTTCATCTTATCTTCGCTCCTCCTCTCTCCATCTGGATATCCTTTGCTTGCAAGAGGTATCTCATTTCCGCTCTCAATCTACTCTCACTGAATCTCAAGTCCGTTCCTTTTCTTTTGCTTTTCCTAATTGTTCTCTCGTTGTGTCCAAGCACTGTGCTATTATATGTCTCAATTCTCGCTATTCTTTGGTGGATACGGAGGTATTGTTGGATGAACGTTGTCTTGTTGCATCTGTCGTAGATGCCTCAAGCAATGTTTTGTGCAAAGTGGCCAACATCTATGGTCCAGCGCAGTCTTTTGACCGTCCTTCATTTATCTCTGATTTTCTCTCTCTTTCTCTTTGGTCTGATGTGTTCAACACACCTTGGATGGTTATGGGTGATTTCAACATTCACTTGCACTCTTTGCCTACTTCTCGTCAAGCCGATGTCGCTCCTTTTGTTCACTGGTTGCGTACTCACTTTGTCAATTGTCATCCGGATGGTTTAGCTACGTTTCCAAAGAGCAATACTTGTATTGATTACATCTTTGGTCACTCTTCTCTTGCTCCTCGTTTGACTAATAGTCAGTTACTATATATGCCCAGTAGGTGGACGGATCACTCTCTTTTGACTGTTGAAATGTTGCCTGCGACAGCTAGTATTGGTCCTGGTAGTTGGCGGTTTAATCCAACTCTGCTTGATGATAAGGAATTTGTTGCGTTGTTGAATGCCACGGTGTCATTGTTCTTCTCTGGTGCTGTTGGTGGTGGGTCTAAGGGTGTCAATACTAGTCAAGGTGGTAGTGGTGACCCTGAAAGCACGGTGGCTAGATGGGAATCCTTCAAGTTGTTACTAAAGTGCTGTGCACAAAAGTACACTAGAAGCATGAAAGCACGATTCAAGAACAAAGTTTTTACGCTTCAACTGGAACGTATTAGGGCTCTGTCAACGTCTGTATCAGGTGTTGAGACTAGGAATGCTATTGATCAAACTGACAGAGTGTCTACTGCTACAGGTGATGCTGAGCAGCAGGTCAGGCAACTAGAAGTTTTGATTGAGAATCAGATACAGAAAGAGACTAGTCAGAATATGCTTCGCTCTGCCACTCGTTGGTTAGAACAGGGAGAACGTAGCAACAAGTATTTCTATCGTTCGATCAAGGTGCGAGAGTCTCAACAGACAATTCAATCCTTAAAGTGCTCTACTACTGGAGATATCTTGGTGGAAGCAGCAGCTATCAACAGGGAGGCACAAGGTTTTTACCAAAGGCTATATACCCCTGATGCTGTCGATGCTGAAGCTATCGATACTCTCCTGGGGAATGTTCCAACTGATGTACGTCTATCATCTTTGGATGGTGATATGCTAATGGAACTTCCAACTCGCGAGGTTTTGTTGTCTCTGCTCACTCATGCTCCCAAGTCTAAAAGTCCTGGTCTTGACGGTTTGCCTTTTGAATTATATCAATATCTTGCTGGTGTTTCAACTGATTTTCTTGACTTGCTTGTGGATGTGTTGGGTGCAGCTTTTTCTGGTGTGTTTCCTCCTTCGTGGCAGCAAACTCGTATGGTCTTATTGTTCAAGAAGGGTGACCCTCAGTTGTTGGTTAACTGGAGACCTTTGTCCTTAATTAACAGTGATGCCAAGTTATTTACAAAGCTCATTGCTAATCGTATGAACAAAGTGTTGCCAAAGTTAATCAACCCTTATCAAACTGGTTTTCTCCCTCATCGTCTGATCTCTGACAATGGCTGGTTAAATCAGTTGTTGATGTCTCACTTGCGTGTTGTTGCTCCTGATTTACCTCAAGTGGCTGTTTTGTTGGATCAAGAGAAGGCGTATGATCGGGTTCATCCCGAGTATCTTTGTCGTGTGTTGCTCCGGTTTGGTTTCCCTGGTGAGTTGGTGTCTTGTCTGTCTTCTTTGTTCTTTGGAACCAAGATTTCAGTGTCTATCAATGGTTGGCTTGGTGCTCCTGTACCTCAGTTGCGAGGTCTTCGTCAAGGTGATCCTCTCTCTCCATTGCTATTCAATCTGGCATTTGAGCCTTTGCTTCGTTCTCTTCTTGCTTGTCCTGGTCTCTCTGGTGTTACTCTGTCTCCTGTTGATATCCCACGTAAATGGAAGCCTTCACCGGTTGAAGTTCGTGTGGATCATGGTACTGGTGCCCGGAATTGGACTTTGGACTTTGTTAGTGGCTCTGTTGCTCCTCCTCCTGTCAAGATTCTGAGCTATGCGGATGATCTTGAGGTGTTTTTGTCTTCGCCAGAAGAGTGGTCTGTGTTGTTGTCTGTTCTTGATCTGTATGGCCGAGCATCTAATGCGAAAGTCAATATCAGCAAGACAGTGTTGGTGTCGTTGTCTGGTGTGTCTCACTCTGCTTGGGTTGCTTTGGCTGATTCTACTGGTCTCCAGTGGCATGACGCTCACTCTCGTGGTGCAGTACGTTACTTGGGTTATCCCTTGTATCATACTGAAAGTCAACTTCAAGACTATCTTGATGGTGTCTTGGTGAAGGTCCAGCGACACAGTAACTTGTTGAAACAAAGGAATCTCTCCATTAGGGGAGCAGGACTAGTGGCTAACTCGTTACTGTTGTCAAAGGTATATCATTTGTTGCGTGTTGTTCCTGGTGGTGGTGTAACTGCGTCGTGGTTGAAGTTGCTCACAAAGGTGGTTCGTGAGTATCTGGTGTCTTTTCGCCCCGGTGTTGCCTGGTCTACTTTGTGTCTTCCTCGCAAATTTGGTGGTGTTGGTCTCGTGGATATAGCAGATCAAAGCTTAGCTTTGCATCTTGTCTATTTGCAACGTTTGTTGCGTCCACCCTCTCCCAGTGATTTTGTCTCCTCTTGGTTGGTGTATGCTTTTCAAGTTTACACTGGTCATAAGTCCATCTTGCCGTGGTTTTGTTTTCCTGGTCTTTACCAGTCTCGTGTGTCTTCTGTGCCTGCTCTAACACATCTCGGAAAGCTTCTGTTGAGATTGCCAAAGTTAGTTCCTTCCTCTGGTTGGTCTGCTAGGTGGTTTCTTGATCTTCCCTTGTGTTCTGTACTCAGTACTGTGCCTTCTGTTCGTCCTCCTCGTGATCCATCATCTCTTGATCCTCGTTTCTTAGTGTCGGATGTCTCTTTCTGGCAACCTGATCTAGGTATAGTTGATGGTGTCACTTCCCATCTTGCTTGGTCATCTCGTGTTTTGCGCCCTGTTTTTCTTGCCTTGAACCGTGATCGTGGTCCTGTCTCTCTGGTATTCCCGCCTGTCATGGATAGTAAGATAGTCTTGTCTCAA